TTCGTTGATGGTATCGGCCGCCGGATAGACGCCCTACATAAGCATCCTCCAAGAACTTATGCTTCCCTCATCCCTGACGAGGCTGTGGACCAATGTGAAACTTCTTATGAGGCTGCTGACGGCAAGAAGCAGAAGACCGCGATGGATAACTTCGATGACACAGGTATTATGGCATTAATTGTCGCCATGATATCCCGTTGTTTTTCGCTAACATCGATTCTCCTGGAGAAAACAGAAATACTCTGTAGCCCTCCTCCAACACTTGTTTTCATTACTCCCGCACCAGGCAACAGTTGTTGCTTTATATGACGTTGGATGTGTTCTGGCGCGATCCCTCGCAAAAGTATGCTATCACTAACGTTTAGATTGCTCGCTCACACCTCTCCAGTATGATATCCTTCCTGAAAGTATCACCACACGACTTCGTTTTGCGACGACTGCAATGCCTACGGCCATGAGTGGGCATGTCAGCTCATTTATAACCCACGAATGTGCGTTGGGCTTGGCCTGTCCGACGGGGAAGGGACCGAGCGTCTTTGGTCGCGCTTTGTTCGCCTGATTGGTATTGAGAGGACCTCTTCCGTGCGTCCCGCCTCAATTTCATTATAACCCTATTCACGCGAAACCTTCTTTAGCGTCAACGTCGCCTCTGGCTGATTGATCGGCAAGCCGCAGCCATAGGGTCCGAAATGCGCGCTGATCTCGGTGATTGGATCAAACGTCGCCTTAGACGTGGCATCAAAGAACAAGGGTCTGCAGCACAAGATGTACTAGACCGATGCGAAATCCCTATCGACGAGTTACGGTCTCAGTGGTCCCACCAACGGCATTCACAGTTATCCATACGTGCTCGTGAGTTCATTTTATTATAGTGCATTAGTATTGATAAACGGTCCTCCAAGACCTCCATCTCGCCTCAAGAAAGAGCTGGACACCGTGTTGGCCCTCCAGGCAGATCTCGATGCATCGGACAGAGCACTACAGACTACCAGAGTAATGCTAGAAAAAGAATCGGCCTCTGACGATACATTCGAAGCTCTGCTGAGCCTGGAGAGGGGACATAGTCGGCTAATGGACAAAGTTGAGGCTCTTTACTCATCTCTAAACGTTCATGATCGGTTCCCTGAACTTCAAGGGGTCAATCTTGATTTTGTTCGTACCCTTTTAATGGCGCGGGACCTCAAAATTAATGTTCGCAAACGTGCCGTTGCAAGCTTCTTCGAGTGGGACAAACTTGACCGCGCCGTTGGAGGCGCCCCAAGCTCTAGGTGAGTTCGAACCCCATTGTTAATACAGTGGTATACTTTGTTAATTACCTACAGGCACTAAGCTCCATCAGCATACGCGCAAAGCTATAGCAAAGCGCCAACCTGCCCTCATGACCGCTATTCGAAAATTCAACTCCTACTGTGAACGGTTAGCTTCCCTTTACGAACCGAGTTGGGGGATTCCCCTGCCTTCCCCTCTTCCAACGAAACTTACGGAACTACGCAACGACCCTAAATTAATGGAAGATGTATGGATTACACCATCGGTAGGAGAAGTTCCCCGATGGTTGGAGGACTCACGCATCAGGGACGGTATACGTGCACTCCTCAAACGGGATCGATGTGAAGAAGAACATATCCGCCTCAGCATTGAGGCTGATAATCTTTGTCGTTTCTTTGGTGATGAGCTGGCAGCGCTCGAACTCGCTCTTCGGTTGCCAGAAAGGGAGTGGATTCTATTCTTCTAGCAACTTTTTGCTGATGTGTAATCTAACTTAGATGAACCGTTTGCTGTCCCATTACAGCAACGGCATGCTAATTTTGTCCGACTTCAATCTCGATGGTCCAATTCCTTAGCTTCTCCGGCATGCTTCGCTAGCCTAGTCAACAATGCACTGGAGGTAGCTACCACCCTCTCGGGAACCTCGCGCAGCACGACACTTCTTGCCATCAATGCTGGCATACCTGCAGCGCCAGATCTCGAGGGTGGGGATGAATTTTCCATTGCTGATCCTGACCATCCTCCTCCCATTGATTCTGAACAAACAGCGCTTGCTGACGTTCTGGAGGGTCAGATAGGCACGGTAGAGTGGGATGATGATGATGATGACTCAACTGATCATGTGCGCGAAGCTACTGCCGTCATTCATTGGGAACTTCCTGAGGTGGGTTGACATTTACTGTCAGGAATACGGCACTGATGTATCATACTAGAATCTCTTCTTGCGGATGATTTTAATGTTCCATTGCGTGAGCGCGGCATTCTCATATCAGGCAAAATTGTCTCCCGAGTACAACCTAGCTCGGATGGAATCCCGTATCAGATATTTGACCCTAGGGACATCGGTTTCCTTAGTTCTCCTACAGCACGCCTGAATGATGTATGCATCAACAGTTGTGCCATACTTCTCTGGCACTCTCAACTCAGGACATCGGGTGCACAATGCGCCATCCTCTCAACCCACGATCTTCCCCGTATTCGTTACAATGCGCCAGACAATGTCATTTGGCGCAATACATCATGGGTTCGTTATTGGGAAAAGGATATATGGGTACTTCCTATTCATCGTCCGTCGGGCATTGGGCACTGGGTGCTATGTGTCATCCGGCTGTCCACAAAAGAACTTCATCTTTTTGATAGCCTAGGTGACAGGCAGCCTTGGCAAAAGGACGTCGAAGTGGGTTCAATTTAAATCATGCGTTTGCGTTTGACTGATCGGATCTTAATGAAAGGATATAATGAGATTAATTGTTCGGTTCCTTGCTATTGCGCGCCAACACGAATATCGTGTTAATATTGACCTTGAAGGCTGGGTTGCTCGACCTTTGAACGTGAGTTTCATCCTCCATTTTTCACAACTTTGCCGACCACTTCGTGTTGTTTTAGGTCCAACGTCTTCAGAACAATGATTTCGACTGTGGTGTATGGGTTTTGGCGACATTTTTGCTATTGTACGCGGCAAACATATTACAGGAGTACGAGAGCAGGACATGGACGATCTACGATACTATCTGCGGACTATGGTTCTTGCATTACCAGTTTACAGGCATGATTCGAAGTAGAGTAGTACAATAACAGGTATTATGGACTAAGACAATATGGATTCTGCCCAGTAACTAGCAAATCAACCTCCCTCTGGTAAGTTAAGATCCTCCGCGCGACACCATGGCGGTAGCACTCAGCCATAAGCTTGTGTCTTCCACATACCTGTAGGTTGTTAGCGATACGAGCATTCAGGTCATCCCAGCCTGCAAGCAACCTCTTCTGTGCGTCTCGAAGCTCCTCCAAAACTTCAGACGCCCCTCCTGCATCATACACAGCTTGACGATGAGCGCGAGATTCCCTATCCACACGCAAATTATGTCCGTGCATCACGTCAAAGAGATTCGTGTAAAACGCTGTTCTTCGGGTGAGTCGGGTGGAGGCAGAGAATTGTAAGGCGGGGCTTTATCCCACTGGGAGAGATCCGAAACATCGATCAAGTCAGAACCATGGAGCGATTGGTGAAAGAGAAATGATTTGGGAAGAGGAGGATTGGCAAACTGTGAGATTGAAGACGGTAGAGGGTTGTGCAGGGCCCTAGGAGTTGTATGAGGTCCGCGTCGACCATGACGTTTGGCGTAGGCACGAGCATTCTGAGCCTGTCGAATGATCTTGCCTCTGCCAAACATATCAACAACGTTGCAATAACAAGTCACTGAATGATACCTACCGTTTTGACTGTAAATATGATTCCGTATGTTGACGAGCAGCTGCTAGTTTTTCTTCCGATGTGAGGTACTTAGCTCGGCGGCCCATGGTGAGGTTAGTGATTGGACAAATAGTCAAAGTCAACCAAAGTTGATATGAACATCTCGCTGCTGTACCACCTAGTTACCTGTTGAAATGTGATATGGCCATCCACAATGAAGTTCTTGTCAAAATCTTTGTATGAGCATGATGGGGCGTGTTGCTAGCGTCGACGAGGCTAGTCCAGACAGCGTGATAAGTGGTCAATGCCTCTACATATGTCTTTCAAGTTCAGCACTATTGGTATCTTCAATCTCATTGGCTCACAATTGCCTCATGTTTATGAAGGATCTTAGCACGGTTCAAACGTTCAATCTTCTTTTATACCTCCATGTCTTAAACGACACCGCTCACAATGTACGTATCAAAATCCAAACAAGTGAGCAATGGCAAAAAAGATTCTAGCACTACATAACCCCAAGCGTGACATCTCTCAGCCCCACTTTACTTCAAAGGGACGCCAGAAGCTCATCCACCTCTGCCTCGGCTTCATCTTCCCCACGAGCAGTCCCATCAGAACTCTGCGAACCTTGCCCAATGCAGGTTATCTGCGGAATGAGCTCCTGGACGCTACCTACCAGTGACAGGTCTCGTCCTGGATTGAAACTCGACCTCCAGGAGGGTGGGGGGAGTGGGACCTCAACGAACATCTTGAGTTTCTGCCGGTGACACATTGCGTGAGCCACTACAGGAGCGCGTGCACCAGATAGCGGCCCACGAGCAGGCCGGCACCATGCAAGAGATGATGCAGGATTTCGTCCACAAGACAATGGCCCAGGAGCTGGACATTGTGCAGAAGGTGACTCAGGAGAGCTGTGGTTGACTTTGAGGCGAGGAAGACCCAGCCGATCACATCGACCATTCGCATACCAGCGCCACCCATGGGTGTGGTCGGAATGAGGTGCAGGTGCTTCCTCGATGATGACACGGCTGCGGGAGGCCACAAGATTTGCGAGGGCACCTTGTTTGGTGATGGTCTTGATGGTGAGCAGGTTGTTCTTGAGGGCATCCGCAAAGACTCGATGCTCACGAAGCGAGAGGTCGTGGTACGCAACTATCGCAGATAGATCATGCATGGCCTTCGATGATTAATCACAGATGCAGCATGCATGAGGCTGTTTGCGGGAGTAATTAAGTGAGGGCGCTGGGCGCTCGCCGCTGGCCAAATTTTTCACGCGGTCTGACCAAAAAGGAAAATTTGCTCGTCTGATTGCGTTGGTGGGATGACGGCTATTTGTAAGTAAGTTTCGTTCAACCACCGCACTCTCACCTACATCTTACCATTGTTTCCGCATCAGTTGGCAGTACGTTGGGTGGCTGTGAGTCTGTGACTCCATTAGTACGTTTCAAACTCAGTACTAGTTTTATTTTCAATCTGATTGAGTCTCGTTAACACCATTAGTGATTTGTACGGAACCCTCCTTGGAGCCTCGCCGCAAGAGGCACGATATTGTGAGTGTAGCTCTCTGACCCTCCACAGAGCCTTTGTAAAATCAATTCGTATCTCATATGTAGCCTCTCTATCAATGCTCATCTATCTCTTTTTAGTCTTAATGAACCGATGGTCCTTCCACCAAGCAACGCTGTGGTTATGCGTCTTAAGTATGAGCCCTTGGGGTACGTTTTCTTTCGCCTCCAGTATTCCCCTCAATTTTATTTAGCATCTTGTACAATTCGCCCAAAAAACAGATCTCCTCAACGTTACCCTCGTTGAACGTCCCTCTGTTCTGGTAAGCAACATTCTTTCGTGTTACTACTTGGAATGATGCCTATGCGCATGCTGCCCTCAATTTTAGTATTTTTACGCGATCCGCTCAACAGACAGACCACCTCGACGTTACCCTCGTTGAACATACCCCCGATCTGGTAAGCGACAACCCTCTTGTGTCAGTATAATGTCTATACTTACGATGCGCTGGAGATCAGGTTTCAAACATCTCACTCCGATATATTCTCGCCATCGCCTGTTGTATATAGGTACGCATGCCCACGTACCAAATATTGCTCTGTCATTGACATCTTAACTGCAGACATGACGCAACAAAAGCCAGAAATGCCTCTGGTGTCGACCAACAGCCATCTCCTGGTCCAAGCTACATGGGCTCATCCCCTGCATCCTTCGACTATGTTGAGGAACAGTTTGGCGGAGGTCGTCGATATGAAGCACCACCGCCTGCTGAGTTGACTCCCTCATGGCTGAGGACCAGACTCAAGGCCACAGTGCGGGACGTCGGTATTGTCCAAGGACGCCTCTGCCCGACGCCAGGCCTATCAAAATACCTCTAACGACGTTCAGCTTCCGTTGGTCCATTCCACCACGTGGTGCAGGACGGTGCTTCAACTTCAACAAGCGATACGTCATCGCTTACGCTGAACGTGGCTTACAGTCGGCACAAACTCACCCTTTCCTCCACTACAAGGTCCTGCACAAACTGCAGGATTTGTTTTACGGCCCTATGGACCAGCAGTCTCCTTGGATGCAGCAAAACCCATCTGGTGATTTCGGAATGATGCAGCCTGATACTTTCACGGCTGGATTACTCGGAGATCAAGCTCTAGGCATGGCTGGAGCGGGCGACAAGTCGCTGTGGCCTGCACCGTCTGTGACCAACGTGCAAGACTGTAAAACTACCAATGCGCAGAACACAACCCACCTTGCACCTCTGCCTTCACACACGCCTTTTCGTTTTCCCGCCAGTTCATCTGGTCAGCCTCTCATGTCTCGCGGATGTTCGCTGGATCCAGCAGGCCAACCGTCTTCGGGATTGATGCAGAACTCACCATTCACCCTGCATCCTGCACCATATGTACCGCCTCAGATCATGCCCATCCTATTCCAGCCACAAACATCATCCCGCCAACACCACTCAAGGATGGTGGGCGGTAAGACTCCTGGTGCCTCTGCGTCCACTGATAATGCACTCCTTGCCTCAACAAGAGATCCTAGTCCAAAGTTGGACCTAGGTCACTATTCTCCGGCTACCACCTACCGCGTTCGGTTCCCTGAAGAGAGTGAGCCGAGAATGCACCAGGAGGATCAAGCGGTAACTGGCCGCAGGTCAGCAGATATGAATGCAGCACTCGACACTGGGTTTGTGGGCATTGAGCGTCACTTTCTTGAGCTCGCAGCGTCCACCGCCCTCCCCATGACTCAACTAATCAATTATACCTGAAGTCTCAAGGACGCAGTGTGAACGGCACTAATTACTGGAATCTGTACGCCAATTACTTCAAGGACCACTTGCAGGAGGAGCTCGGCCGCTGTGAAAAAGAGAAATCAGAAGGCAGTGGGACACCTAGTAAGTTCATATGAAACTACGGCATGATGCTGCATGCTTATATTCTTTCATAGGTGCAACATTGCGAAGAAAATGCTACGAGAAATTCAAGGACACCTTTCCCGACACCTATCAAGACATCCTATCGAAGCATGAGGAAGTAGCTCTCCTGAGCTCGTCTCCCCAAACTATTGGCCCAGCGCGGACAAGCATTCCAAAAACACTATCGGAGTGTGACGAGCATCGTGCGTAATCTCTGCTGAAGTGACAACATTGTCTAACATATGTTATAGCTCGAGTCCAGCTCCGCTAGATTTGGATTTGAAGCAGCCGTTGTATTATGTGGTAAAGTGGTTAATGAAGATGGTTCGCTTGGTCATTCTTACAAACACACCTGGTGCTGGTGGGGTAAGCTCATTTTCACCTTCAACGTCAACACGTACTCAGTAACTCGTAGTTCTGGGAAATGCGATGCCGTGCCAGCGATGACATGATCATCGGTCATTTAAAGGCCCACGTGTAGTAAGTACATTTATGTTCATGCTACATGATGCTTACATAGCCCTAACCAGTAACACCACATCGCTATCTGCGGTTGATGATGCCTTTCCAGAAACCGGGGACGATAGTCATCAAAAACAGACACCGACCATTACCCACGACATAGACCAGGCTTCTGATGTTGTGGAGGGAGGACAGGAGGATAACTTGAAATTCGTGAAGCAGGAAATCACCAGGCAAGCTGGTATGTGCAACCATTGCCACTCATCTTCATTTAGCCTGATATATCCTGCATCGCACCAGCCAAATTTTGCTGCAACATACACGGCGGAAAGATTTTCCCTTGGAAGCTCATGCCAGCCACACTCTTGGAAGCCAATCTCAGCATCCAAGGATATCCTGCACACAAGTGCCTATTTCCCAGTGAAGCTCACAGTAAACATGCATTAAACAAAGGCATTGGGGCGCTGATGTATAAGGAGATCGCTGCACTTGTCGATTCATTGAAGGCAGGCACTATGCGCATCATCAAATTTCCCGACGATGATTGAGGTACGTATCATATTATGGGTAACAATGTTATACTTACACGATATATAGCGGCTGCAATAGCTTCAGAGAAGCCCATAATCGAGGGCGAGGCACCTCCTTCTGAATGGCCCCATCATGGCGCGCGACGGTTGTTCCTTGACGGCCATACTGATCACAATGGTCTTCGTCGCCTCAAGCCCAGCACAGCAACTACGAAGGTCAAGAAGGGTGTTAAAGCACCCAAGCACCCTATACCACCCTCCGAAGATGAACCCTCTGATGATGAATCATTGGAGGGTGTAAGTGTCAATGATGCAGTTGGAACTTCTGCGCTCGAGCCCCTACCTCAAGTGAACGTGCGAAAGCCTAACTACAAAATGCGAGTCGAAGTTGTACCTCCACCCTCACGCCCTTTCAAGGTTGTTCGACTTCCTTTACCACTGCCGCGTCCTTCCAAAGCCGTTCCCATGCCATCTGGAACTCCGAGTGAGGTTATCGAAGTTACGTCTACCGAAGAGAATCCTGTGGGAGAGCCCGACTCTGAGTATGAAGAAGCAGGACGTGGAAAGAAGAGGAAGCTCAAGTCCGCGAATACATCACGTGCGTCAAAGAAGATTGCCCCGTCAATTGAAAAGACTAACACTTCAAAAGTGGGGAAGAAAGTTGGGCGAGGTAAGAATAATGTGCAATCCAAGGCACCTCCGCCTCCCTTGCCAACCTCAACTACTTTCCCTGCGAAAGGCGGTCCACTATCCCCATTAACAGTGGGATCGTCAACCGATGGACCTCCATCACCAGAACATAGTGAGTACCATGTGCATCCGCCTTACTGTTTGCTGAAAGCTTGATAGTTAATGCTGGTAAAGCAATGCGCCTTCGAGGCGGACCTTCTGATGAGTCTAAAAAGGGTACATTTCATTCTTAACTTCATTGATTCAAGTGATTTTAATTTACATGCTCTATAACATGTTAAACCACGCCCAGTCACCAAGGGCTCTCAGGTGGTGATGAATCGTGGCCTGCGTATGGTGTACGGGAACTCGGACTCTGAGTCTGATGTCGACAACAGCGTGAAGGCTAATTCTGCAACCACAATGGGCGTCATCCCTGAAGCCACTGGTTCAGCTAACATCCAGTCTGATCCTTTGGAGGAGAAGTCTGCACAGACGAAGGATGAAGTAGTAGGAGATAAGGAAGAACTACCCCCAACCGCCCCATTGAATGCAGCGGCCCCCAATATTCCCGACCAGCAGCCTCTTCGTGACTCCAACACCCCTCGTCCCCTCACTCCTCACAAGACTCAGGACGAGCGTCCACATGATAACCTCCCCCATGATGCCCCTCGTGACAGCCCACTGCGCAATGCTCTCCATGACCCTCCACGCGACCTTGTCCGTGACCCTCGAGATGATCATGACCCTCCACGCGCTCCACGCGACCTTGTCCGTGACCCTCGAGATGATCATGACCCTCCATGCGACCTTGTCCGTGACCCTCGAGATGATCATGAGCCTCTCCGTGACCCTCGAGATGGTCGTGAGCCTCCCCGTCACCCTCGAGATGGTCGTGAACCTCATGAAGATGCTCGAAGTGCTGTTCGCGACCCTACACGCAACCATCATGAGGCCGTACGTGACCCTCATGATGGCCTTCGCAATCCTTGGGATGTTGATCCTCGTTATCCTTACACCCGAGGGTACTCCCATGAACCTGCGCGTGGCCTCGACCGTGGCACTCTTCACCCCCGTGACGCATTCTACCATCGCAATCCCCGCTATGGTCCGCCTCAAGATCCTTATGAATCTGGCGATATTCGTATGGAAAGTGACTTGAATACTCGAGACAGCTCACCTGTGTCCGATTTTCATGGTAACTATGGTCCTAGTGAGCGCGAACATGCCTACCCGACCCGGTACGGTCCTGGGGGTGACTTAGGCTATACTCATGAAGGTGGATACAGGTCCCGGCACAATGACCCCGATGAGCGTGGGCAATCACTATCTCCCTATCATAGTCGTCGAGTTGGTGGAGGGAGTTACCGCGAGGAAGGCATCAGTAAATCACTCGGTTCTGTACAGAACTGTACAGAACTGTACAGTGTGACAGGCCGACAGCTTGGTCCCTTCTATACAGCTCACTACAGTACTACTTCACTCTGTAGATCTCTGTACAGATAACTCACAGACACCCAGAGAAGGGCTCTTGTACCAATAAAATATAATTGTGCCGCTGCTGCTAGCTGCTCGACTGTTCACACATGTACACACAAGCAAAAAATCGACAAAATCAATAATAGCATTCAATCAGATGCATACTACACTAAACGACGCTCGAGATAGAATCAATGCGGGGCAATAATGTCAAGAATAGAAAGACGTCAATCAAGGATGATTTTCAAATGAGAATGTCTCGAAGCGTCATTCACATTGCCGTCGACTTTGTAGGACTCCGCCCTGTGAGAACTTCATCAGCATGCAATACTTCGAAAGCAAAAACTCCTTGCCATCCAGCTGCAGCCCAGGAACGAAGTTGCCGCGCTAATTTCGGTCCATGGTAAGGGTCACGCATGATCGATTCCAGGTTAGTGAGCATAGCAGTATACAAAGAAGAGTATTCCTTTGCGGTGAACTTCGGAAATGATTTTCCGCTGCCGTTCTTAGCAAAGCCATCTAGGACACAATTAACCTATCAAACATGTGGTCAGTGTGTTGTTAGTAGGACATGGAAGGACGAAAAAATACCGCGGTGCAAACCAGTGCCAAGCACTCTAGCAGTAAAGACTTCTGGAAGACCTCAGGTCTCCTGCGAGCAACACGGTAAGACCCTGTATAGAAGAAAGAGATAGAAGCCTCGCGGAGCACAGGATGAGAGGCGTTTTCGGTTTTCCCATTTTCATCTACACCGTTGCGTAAGAAAATAGCGTCTTTGAGCAACTCCGTGGCAGCTTCTTCAACCCAGGCAGCACGTTGTTGGGGTGGGACATGAGATGGAGGTATGAGGTCGTACATGGAGGGCACAATACTGGCAACGGTCTTCTTGAGGTCCGAGCGCCACGTTGATAAATCCTCATACAGCTAACATAACAGCACGTTAGATATCGGATGCGTGCCAATGAATGCACACACCAGTTTTGCCATATCATGCTTGCGATCAGGCCAAATACCTGGTAGACACGTCAGTAAAATATCTCGACAGCAAAAAAGACCTACCCTCTTCGACTTGTTGACCACCCTCGAGCCATTCGACGAGCGAAGCCATGAGTATCTCGTTGATGGAACATGTCAAATCTTTCGCTAGTTTGGGGAATGGGTTCTCTATCGCGTGTTGGGCGCGGCACTCGCTCTTCGTAACCTCAAGGAAGTTTTTCCATCGTGGACCATACCAGCCTAGTTGAGTGGCTCTAGGCCCATCACCTGATTCCTTCACTTTTGCTGATGTAGTCTTGACGTTTGTGTCCTTTGACTTGGAAGACTTTGGAGTTCTGGTTCATGAGAAATGTCGTGCTCGATATTCACTGGGTCCAAGGGTGGAATGAGGGAATTAAGCTTGATGATATCTTCTAGCCACGTGTTGCAGCCAGACCGGGGCTGGCTCATATGGCGAGCGACAGATGTGTGGTCCTTCAGAATTTTTCCGCACGATGGACATTGAGGCATAAGGGTAAGGGTGAGACATACGACAGTCATCATTAACCTTCTGATCGATATTTCGGCATTTTCCGATACTGACTTAAACAATACTACCATGAACATAACCAAACTGCGATCTCTATCAGCACGCGCATCAGGGATGGACAAGCAGATCTCCCGTTTACATCATCGCGAAGGACCATCGGGTGCATATGACATATACAATGTTCTTCATTCTGTCAATTCCTTGGTGATGTCGATCTTGAAATTCGCTTTTTCGATGTACCTTACATTTTAACAGTCCATACAGGATCCAACCGACTCTGAGGCCAACCTGGTGTTGGACCTTGTAAGAGCTAAGCGGCAAGTTTATCTAGCGCAAAAGACACTGGTGGACTGTATAATACGCGAGAACGAAGTGTTGGCAAACTTACTCCGATATCGAGCTGAAGAAGCAGAAAAATGACTGGAGGACGCGGATGTTGGATTAGGGTGCATGTGAATCGCATTTAAGAAGAATGGATGGAGTCATTTTCCTCATCCGACTCAAACACGCGATGGCCGCCTACAAACTGGTAAGCTAACGATACGAAACTTGATGCAGGAGGTTGATTATCCCAGTAGAAGATACTGAACGTGGTCGTCACCTCACCGTCCAGCTTGATTGATCCGAGCACTCCCTCTTCACATTATTATGATACTCAACTTATGTATATGCTGTTGTTGCATGAATATTTCGCTATGCAGTGTTATTTGTTGTATGTCCTCTCAGGCGTGAATGAACATATGCGTCTCACTCAGATCTTAAACTATCTTCACTGCGGCTGTTTAAGTTTGATCATTCAATTTGAAGCCAAGTCATATCGTACGAAACTGAGTCGTATAGACCTAGAGAAAAGTACTATGTAACTACTACCTATATTAGTTGATAAATTCTTGAATTATACTGTAGAACTGTGAGTAACTGGAGACAATGTATACTTTGCAGCCACTGTTGGCTGTGACTTTGGCGGAACTGTGGACTTTGTGGCTCACTGTCGTGGGAACATGATTTGTGTACATTCTGTGGAGAAATTTGTGATTTACTGATGAGGATACCCTCAAGGCCCCGGTAGGAGATTTCAGGATTCGAGATGGGATGAAGGTGCTCATTTGGACTATGATGCTATACCACGAGCATTCCGTCGCGATCTGCCCAATCCCCCAAGGCCTCCTCCCGCTACTTAATGTCCTCCTTGCTCCTCGAGCGTTTTGTGATGTTTGTCGTTGATTTTCTCTTTTCACCTCATGTGTCGCTCATGCCTACATTCGCTGCTCAAGTGTTTTTGGACGTTTTTAGTTGATCTGCTCTTTTCGCATCATGTGTCGCTCGTGCCTGCATTCGTCGTCTGTTTAGTCTCATTGGCCCTGTCTCGTACCCGCGTGTTATACCCTACCCCACCTACATTGATATCTTTGTAACTCGTTTTTGTCAATATCAGTATAGCGGCTCCTCCAAGCCTGCTGTTGCCTCCGAGATCATTAATATGCTTGCCCGGATCTGATGTTTCCGTTAATCAGAACATCGCAACAAGTAGATTAAAACATGAAGAAAGTACGAGATAATTGAAATAACATGAGTACAAGACAACCATGACTTGAATAAAAATAACATAGGCACCAAAGGATCAAATAACATAAGGAATGTCAGAGACTGTCAGAGACCCTCGACGAAAGCTAGAGGCCTCCCGAACCTCCCGAACTTCACACATGACCCTCCATTGCAATGTAAGACAGCCCTCCAACCAGTATGGAGGTCTTCATTGCGAGGTCCTGGAGGATACTCTGAAACCTCTGGCGGAATAGAGTGGGAGACCCTCTGGAGAGGGTGGTCTCACAGACTGCTTTCCCATCACATAGAAAGCGGGTCTAACAGACCGCGGGAACACAAGCATAGTGCTGCCAAGGGTGGGACAGACTCAGTCTTGGGTTGAAAGACTAAGGGAGATCATCCGACGAGGGGAGGAATTAATACGTTTGATTGGGACGGAGAACCAATGGGAAACGTGTATGACGCATGGTAGGATTGGTGATTGTGTATGTAAAATGAAAAGATTAAGTACGTATGAAGGTCATATCTTGATACCAGGCTTATCGCTAAGGTGCCTTACTACATCGTCAGGTGAACCAAGAAGAAGTCCGTGGTCAGATGCAGCAGTTTCTTTCAATGAGGGATAGGGTGAGATGATTTCTGATGATTGTCTAGAACCATTACCTCGTCCCACAGTGCGGTCGGCGCATACGACAAAATCGGCCGATGAGGTCAAATGTCTGAAATAGAATACAGGAATTCGTGTTCTACATGCCGAACATAAATTTCCTCTATTCTACATCAGTGCATTTACAGTAAGATTCAATACGATTGAGCGAACACATGTGTGTTCGCTCAGTCATATTGACTACTGAGGTAGTGATTATCGGGCCTATCATCCACCATCCACAAATACCAATTTGTGACCGGCACACTACCACCCGGCCTAGGGCCGCTGTGGAACACTAGGTGGAGGAGTTTAAGAGGGGCCTCCTCTGGCATGAATGTACGAAAGAGCGCCGCCAGTAACGGATGGTCCAGGATCGGTTTTCTTCGATATTCTTTTATGGACATCGCAAATGGTCAAAAGGTTTGAACACATTGCTACAAGGAAAGGCGAGCCGCGGCAGCTGACTGCCGATTTTTGATGGCAGGAAGGTATAAGTTCGGCGCTACTGGGACTGCAGTCATGATCGAGGGTGCAACTATAAATTATATGTCGTACAAGCAGTGACCTTCGGTCGTTGCTTGTATTGCCATCGTCATAGTGGAAATCTAGGGTACAAAAGTCTACTAATACTCTAGATTTCCACTATCGTTTATTTGCTCCTCAAAATAAGCACAGCGTATCTCGATGGCTTTTCATGCAGGACAATGCAGTATAAGTATAGCTGATCATGAGCAAAACTTTGGATCCGTTGTGAGATCCAGAACTGTGCGAGAAAGCGTGAGACCTAAACTAGTCTCAAAGGAAATTGTTTGCGACTCACCGTCCAACTTGTGCGGTAAGGCATGAAAAGAAAACACGATACGTGGAATACAGTGGTTTTCGAGGTTGTTAAGCAATTGGACTTCGACAATTCGACGATGTAGAGCTGTTATCCGTACCCATGCATTTTTCACTAATCCCTTCTTGACCGAGAGGTTGCGTCGTATGGCGCATATGCAGTTTATTTTGAGATCTAGTCGATGGGGAGGAATTCCGGGCGCAGTGAGTATCGCTAAGTGGTCTGGCGTTTTCTCAGGTGCGTCAGTGCTGCACAGCATGACGGGGTGGACACGAACCGCCGGAAATGTGTTAGATATAGACTCTAGAAGCAGAAAGAAGAGGTGGTGCGATGTAAAAAGATACCATGATGTGCGACGTGGACAAGGGCCTAGCTATGTGTGTGCATCATGATCAATGAAGAATAGCTCGTGGTGGATGGAGCGACAGCTTCACCACGGGGAGATATTCTGCATTGGATGCCAAGAAGAGGATAGTGACTGGTGGCATGGGATGGCGCTTGAGAGAGTAGCTGCAACCAGCGTTAAGATGATGAAATCGAGTAAGGGGACAGAGTGGGAAGGGATGAAGGTTGAGTATAACCCGTGATGGATCGGGAAATGTTTCCACTGTGGGAGGGAGATCCGTAGAGTCAAATGCGCAGAAAGAAGAGAATGTGCAGGCGGCGGGTGATGGAGTGAACGAGCCAAAACGAACATCGCATCGAAGAAGGATAGGCCATGGTGGGTCGAGCAATTGCTGATTCAAGTTCGACAACTTCCTGGCCCACCACGTGGCACCCCACGTCGAATACAAGGGACGTAGACTCTAGAGGCCAGAGGGTAGTGCGATGCAGATAGACACCACAATATGCGATGTGATAAGAAACTAGCGATGGATGTCGATGGCCGATGAAGTATGACTTGTGGGAAGTTGAGCGATCGCTCGACAAACGAAGTACCACCTACCACGACGTATTCTTCGTTGGGTACAGGAGAGACCTGACCATGAAGAAGACAGTAGATGATGGTGCTCGAGAGCGTAGATGTTGTATTGAAATTAGCGTTCAAGGTGAACTGAAACAAGCAGAATGTGTGTGAAGGGATGAAGCATAAGTATACACATAGCTCGCGGTGGATCGATGACGACAACCACGATGTATTCTGTATTGCATGAAAGGGACAAGTGTGAAGGCGCAGAAAGAAGAAAATGTGGAGCGCACCATACGATGGCGTGCAGGTGATTGTCGCGGCGCTGAGGTGATGGAGTAAACGAACCTAGGTGATGAAATCTTTGTGGGAGCCGTCCATGAAGAGGGTGCAAGAGACCGACGACGCCGTACTTCCAGCGGATGGTTAGAACAAACAATGTCATAATAACGGCGTTCGCTCGTTATCAATGTCCTGGTCCAATGCATCAATCAGTAAACAGCGCATAATATTAATCACGACGTCGGCGAGCTTGCTTACTTCAATAAATCATCCAGTGTCTGCTCTTGCTCTGATGAACGTGTAGTGATAGTGCGACTCTGAGCGAGGAGATTCCGTTTTTATCGTATCGAACGCGGTAATCCGATGAAGTTCAAATCCTGTGTGGAACCTGAGATTCCGCAGTGAACATCGAGAAGAGGAAGACGGACTCCTTGTGAATAATAAGAAGAGCATCATGCAAATAACCAGCCACGGACACGCACGACATCGCATGCTGGACTCGTAGAGTAGGCAATATTGTATCGTCGCAAGCTCCATGGACCATTACCATACTGCGAGACTAGCATGCATTGCAAGTAGGCCTACTTCTCTGAAGACGTCCTGCGCACACCCACATATATACTTAAAGCGAGAGTGGGTTCTGAGAGTGATAAACGCTAAGCACCTGACTTGATAGTGGTGCAGGAACGGAAGCGATGATAGAGTATGTGTTTGATGTTAATGAGGATGATACGAATATTAAGAAGCGTGGGTATCCGCATAAGTCAAATCGAAGCCAATTGTGAACTGAAACAAGCGGAACGAGTATAAGAGATTAAGCGTAAGTATATACATAGCTCGCGGTGGATCGATAACGACAACCACGAGGTATTCTGCACTGGAAGAAAGGGACATGTCACGTAAAGGTGCATAAAGAAGAAAATGTGGAGCACACCATACGATGGCGTGCAGGTGATTGTCGCAGCGCTGAACACGATGATGGAGTAAACGAGACTAGGAGACGAAACCTTTGTGGGAGCTGTCCATGAAGAAGGTGCAAGAGACAGACGACACCGTATTTCCAGCGGATGGCTAGAACAAACAACGACGCAACAACAGCGTTCCGTTCGTTGTCAATGTCCTGACTTGATACATCAATCAATAAATAGCGTACGATATTAATCACAATGTTGGCGAGCCTGCTTACTTCCGTAAATCATCCAGTATTTGCTCTTGATATGATGGACGTTTGAATCGGCGTGGTGAGAGTGCGACTCTGGGCGAGGAGATCCCGTTCGGATAGATACTATCGTATCGACCGCGGGAATTCTATGAAGTTCAGTGGAGCGTGAGCTAGATTGCCGCAGAAGAACATCAGGAAGAGGAAGACGGGCTCCTTGTGAATGAGAAGAAGCGTGTCATGCAAATCACCAGCCACGAGCACGTAAGACATCACATGCCGGACTCGTTGGATAGGCAGTATCACATCAACCCGACGGATACCACCAACCAGCGAGACTAGCATTTCTAAGTGGGCATACTTCTCTGAAGACGTCCTGTACACACCCACACACACATATATATGCTTGAAGCAAAGTGGGTTCCGAGAGTTATAAGCGCTGAGCACCTGGCTTGATAGTGGTGCAGGAACGGAAGCGATGACAGAGGCCCGTATGTTTGATGTTCTGTGGCGTTAGTGAGGATGGCACGAAGATTCAGAAGCGCAGCCATACCTACGCCAATTGCAACGTGGCCCATAACTAATAGTAATGTACAAGTCAAAATCAATCCCGCACCCGCAAATTCCAAAGAATACAGTCACGTATCCCACCCCAGTCTAAGTCCTGAGCACGAAAACGTCCTAGAACGAAGTGATTCAGTTTGAGAGACGCACTATGTAGTTCACTCACTTCCAGATGCAGAAATCCGGCTGCCAGTGGTGAAACTACAGTATGGTGGCCAACGTCATCCATGTACAGAGAGTATCCTCTAGTGACTCGTGCATGTAACAAAACCGGCGTACTCGAGTGAACGCCCAGAGTAATCGTTATATTGACAGTGCGTCGCCAATATCCATTACTACTAGTACTCAGGGAGGTCCCTGTGAAATGTGATGTTCATAACCAGCTAGTGAAGTGGATGTGGGAAATAATGGATAGCTTAGTAACAGTGAAGTCGCGAATAAGCTTAGATGATCTCTTTTCGTCTGTGTACGTGGCGGCGGAGCGAACTAAGGTAGTAGAACTTGGAAGTAAGAGAGTACAATTCGCAACGAGAGGCATGCGGGGCACTGCATGTGTGATGTGCGATACTATGGGACTGGCCGGAATGAGAATCATCGTCGATGAAGTATAGCTTGTGGTAGATTGAGCAACCATGCTCATGATAGTTCATTCTGACACGAGGTATTCTGCGTCGGATGCAAGGGATCATGATATGTAGAAACAGGGAAAGAAGAGAGTAAGCGTGTGATGCAGACACGATGTGGAAGATAAGGGACTAGCCATGAATGAGTGTAATTATCAATGCATCGATGAAGGATAGCTCGTAGTGGGGGTAACGAGGCAAAACCTGACGAGTGACCACACTACGAGGTATTCTGGATTGGATGACAAGAAGAGGATGGTAGACGTTGGCAAGATATTGCATGGTGCTTGAGTGTAGCTGCATTTTGTATTGCAGCCAGGGTCGGAGTGCGAAGGAATGAAGCTTGAGTACATATAGCTTGTGGTAGATCGAGAAATGTCACTTGCTAAATAAATAAATTTCGCCCCCGTTGTGGCAAGGGAGAATCTGGGAGTTACAGTCTTAATAGTATTCCCGCAGACCCGCGCTGCATTTGGAAATATCAATATTCGTGCGCCATCCCTAATCGGAAGATGCATGCTTAGATCCATTCTATCCAGGACAGTTGCAGAGTAGTGCAAAATAGACTGACCGGTTACCTTTCAAGATCATCATCTGAACCTTCTTCATATATTTCTCAACCTACTGGCAGCGTCCGAATAGCGCTATTAGCCCTCGGACATGTCACATCTGATCCAGTGAGACTCTTGTATCCCCGGCGACCTCAATGTTCGAACACTGAAAGATGGGCGGAGGGAGGAGGCTAGGCTAATGGTGCAGCATCGGAAAATATATCTTGACTATGATCAGGACGACGTTTATTAACATTGACGTAGATTTATATAACACGACGACATTCGATAAGTAGCACGCATTTGCGCTCGCCCCCAAAAAAACAAAAAAAAATCTCCCGAATGTCTTACCAAGTTCTTGTCAACAAGAATAGAAATGCCCTTTACTCAGCCTGGTGGGCAGAAGGTAATTGTGAACTCAGCATTGAGAGAAGCTTCGCAAGTGAATAGAGAAGTTGCGTCATCGTATGCATAAGCATATGCGTTGGGGCAGTTATCCTCTGCATATGGGTAATCAGTCACCTGCAGACAAGCGACAGCGTGATGACACTTACTGAAGTAGCTATAGTATTCAACGCCTGATGAAGGACACGTAGCAGGTGTGTCATACTGGCCAGTGCAGCAGTTGGGGGAGTTTGCTAGATATTTGATAAGGAGTTTGCATGGTTCGACGGGAGATAACTCTTACTTGGGTCACCATCGAGGTCAGCATCGCATGCACTCTTGCACCCAACAGGGAAGCCGGTGGAGTCATAAGGGCCTTGGAGAGGTGCCGGACCTACGGAAAAATTATCAGAGATTTGAACACAACTGGAGTACAGTTTGCTCACAGTCAGGCCCTAGGTCCACAGGGCAACTTGGAATCCCACATCCAACATTATTTGTGACACTGACGGGCAAATTATAACCGTCGACAAGAGATACTATGATAGGAAGTTAGCCTGACTGATGACCTTAGCCTGAACTTTATGCACCGTCATAGTAGTCGGTGCCCCCTGCATCCAAATTGAACTCTGCAAGGGTGGCGGGAGGGACACCCTGATAGCAGAGCAGTCAGAAAACTCAAATGACTTGCAACAAGCGTACTTACTGTGCCAGTGGTGGGGTCGCACACCAGTCCCCCATTGCAACCACCGTCAAGGCAAGAGTTCGGGCCGGGGTCGGTGGTGAAGTCACAGTCACGACGTCCCTATCATAATATGAAGGGGTGAAAAGGGAGGGTAGATTTAATGAAAACCAACCCAGATTCGTCCATTCCAGGTGCTTGGGACCTGTTACCAATCAGTCAGACAAGTCAAGATCGATGGATCATTAGATGTACCTGGAAGGTGACCGCAGTATACTCGCCAGCCTCCCAGCTGGTTGACGGTCAGCTCAGGTTCAAATAGTTGATGTTAAATGCCTACCCAGTCGTGTAGCTAGGCAATGTCCCAACGCTCGTGAACATCTAATTAGCTATTGGTGAACATACCATCGTTTATCCATCACAGATAGAAACATACTGCAGGCCTACATTCGCCTCTTCAGCATTAATGCCGACAGTAGGAAGCGCATGGACGTACCACATGGTGAAAGGACATGCATTGTACACAGTAAAGGTGCGCTGAGCAAGCGCTGTTGACGCCAGAGCGAGGGAAGACGCTGCAAGAAGATATTTCATGATGAAATTCGCAATTGAACTGAACTGTGAAGATACCTTCACCATGCTTCCAACTGCCCTCTTTATACCTTTAGCTAGCGCTTGAGAATTTCCACAACAAGCGCAGAATACACGAATGCCATGGAATATCAGATGGACTTCTGTGAGATGGAGTCTCATCATGTTAGCAAGTGATCAAGAGCGTACATGTTCGCCAGTCTGGGGTGGCGGGATCTGTCGAAATGGAGCATAGCACGGATCCGAAATTGTCGCACTCTGACATACCTCTGGACACTAACCCATGTGACACCAGCAGAGGGGAGGAAGTCTTAGCCGTCCGTTTCCATCTTTAGGTAACAAATCATCAAATGATGTGCGAGACGCACGACACCACAGGGGGGGGGGGGGGGTAATTCTACACCCATAGTAGTAGGTGCCCAACACTGACTGTGGGTTGGAAGATGTGCCTGGAGGTGTAATGGGTTTCAGCATTCAGGTGTTCTGAGTCGTGAGTGACTTGAATTCTCCATGCACCTCTAACTCCGAACGATGCTTGAAAACGTTCGTGATGCATGAGAAACTAGGGTACCGTAACATGCGGGTAGAGGCTATAAAAAGGATGGTCATCATTCCTGCGGTGATCAAAAGTGCTGCAAAAAGTGCTAGGACTCGGGAGGCGGCTGAAGGCGACTAGTGTCAAAATATCATAGGCTCCATATAGACAATTTGCAGTGTGTTGCATATGAAACTGCAGTGCGAGTTTTCGACTTGTTGCCTTTATCGGGACTTTTGCATCCAAAGTAGGCAAGATGTCAAAAGTCCCGGTAAAGGCAGCGAGTCTGGATTTCTCAAAACACTCGCACTGCAGTTTCATATGCAATGCACTGTACGCTATTAGGGGTGATCAATTCTTTAGTTGTCCATGTCAAGGTCAAGTCGCCAGCCAAACAATAAGATGAGCTACCTGAAGTAAGGCCGAAATGCCCGAAGCTACTGCGCAGTACTACTGACAGCTGTTGTACGCATCACTGAAAACCATATTATCATGTAGACAATATTCACCGTATTCGGCTAAAATGTGGCAGCGCAGACTATACACCTTTAGAACGCTATTCTCTACCCATGACCGTCACATGTGTTGTATACTGGTCAACTTGAGAATTGATCACGCGTGAAGCACGAGTGAGCCGAGTCGGCATACCCCGCAGCGCGTACCAGCCAAAGGGGAGATTTTGACACCTCCCGTGAACTTTACTGACATATAAGGAATACCGCATGTAGTATTTCGGTACAAGAGACGGACGACGCATGCCGCACTGGGCTCCTTGTATAACTGTAGTGTCGTTGAGAAGTCAGAATAAACAACGACACAACAGCGGCGTTCCGAAGTTGTCTTTGATAAATCACTGTGAGCATGCAGTATATTTGCTCCTAATATAACGAACGTTTGGATCGGTTTGGTGACAGTGATATCCAAGTTCAAATCGTATTGTGGTGATCGGCATTCGATCATTCTGAGCGAGGAGGTCGTATCATATCATATGCGGCCCGGGCAATCCGATCAAGTTTGCCAACTTGTACACACGTTAGGTATTGTCTACCATAGGACCACGCCCCAACGGACGATAAACACGGATACGAAAAAAATCTAGTACTATGGTAAGATCGATCAATCAAAAATTCACAAGATTATATGTGAAGACAAAGGGAGACAAAGTGATATAGAACTTACATGTCTTTGTTCGTTATGAATCTTGTTTTATATCACACCGCAGCAGCCAAAAAATAACTCGATGTCTTCCTGTCACTTCCCTGTTTGCATTTGCGACCTCCAAAGGACTATGCTATGATCAGGGAGCACAACGAAAAAGACAGTCATGCTGACAAACCTAGTAAAGTCCAATGAGGTTGTGGCTGGCGGGCCGGCGTGAGCCGCGGGATGACAGATATTTTTTCCAGACTTGCACCCTCTTGAGTCTTTAGTAGGGTACAGGAATTAATAGGGCATCGCGACCCAGAGCCACTCATTGAGATGCCTGCGAAACCCTCAAAGACCATAGTTCCATCTTCCACACATGAAGTTCAATACGCGTTCTTCCCATACGCAAGGTACACCTCCGTTGTTGGCGTCCACACCAGCCTCGTAGCGTTCACAGCCCTCTTCCTACCCCAGACCTCTCTCTTACTCTGGCCATCATTCGCTGATTCTGACCGTCCACAATCCCAGTTTCAAGACGCACTGACAGATAATCCAGTTATAACACTCGCTTGGATTGTCGCAGGGCTAGTGATCCTCCAAGTATGGTGGGCGGGGTGGATCAGGCAGTGGTGTTTCGAGTATACATCTCGCGGCGGAACGAGTGACGAGATTAAAATGGATAGGTATCAGTTCGATCGAGGGAGATTTTCGGTGTGTTTTCTCCTTCGCAGTTCAAATTTCTCATATTCTCTCAGAGATCAGGAAGAGCGGCTGTTTTCACTTCATGTGTAGCCTTGGTGTTCCACGCAACTATAGTGTTGTTCGGTGCTCCTTCTGCAAGGTGACAATTGTCGCATTAGACAAGATTTGTGCTGATCGTATGTATGGAAAGCCACTTCCCTCATACATCCTTGCTGGCGATTGTTCTAGCACTGCTATCCGCGTTCGCACCAGCTTATGCATTGGGTTCTCCCTCCTTCTCCTCCGACACTTCGTCCTTCATCACTAGACTTAACTGGACACGTTTATTCGCCGAGCTTTCGTGGGTCAATATATGTGCCGTCTTAGTACTCTTTGCCTGACATTGTGCTAGCCCGCGAAATCCAATAGAAAGGGCTCTGGTTTATCCTGCTGTCGCGAGCCTCCTTGGCGCTTGGCTCGGTGCTCTCCCAATCGCACTGGACTGGGATCGACCATGGCAGGTCAGTTCCAACATCATTTACCGAGATTCGAGCTCATGATACCTAGGCCTGGCCGCTAACGCCTCTCTTCGGAGGGATCGCAGGCTATATAGTCGGATCTCTCTCAGCAATTTCCGTCAGTACATTAAAGTGGTTGACTGAGGAGAACATCAGAAGAGAACAATCGGAGAAGCAGAAAACAACCTGAGGCGCTGATTTCAGTTCCTTATTTAAATCGAGTTCTAGACATCTATCAATCACTCTTTTGGGACCATGCCCTTCTATGCGAGTATGAGGCCGGCATCAGCCTCCCTGAGAAGTTTGCGTCTTTCTCTGGTTTCGCGTTCCCCGATGCATGACGAGACTCTGAAGTTTCCAGCGTCCACGAGACGCCTGAACTCGGCTTTTGGAATCCTTGTGTCGCTGACGTACCAGGCCATCATTATACGACAACAGTTCGGAATTGCACGTCATCATCGTGTTCTTGGGTTTTTTCACCTTGCAATAGAATACCCCGGGTAGTGCAAGTCAAATTTGAGGTCTGTTGGCAATCTGCTGGCATTGCAAATATCATCTGTTTATGTAAAGGTGGATAGGGCCGGCACCGAACAGTATTCAGGACATGAAAGTAAGTCATCTTCCTACCGCCCTTCAGATTTATTTTCACGATCCCGTATCACATCTCACATATAATGCGTCTCTCCTTCCGAGTCGTCCTCGCTGTTGTTGCTGTTTTGATGGTGTCTATGGCTGTCAGTGCTGACAGCGAATGCTATAAAGATGGCAAACTTTGCGACTCAGATAAAGATTGCTGCAATGGCTATGATTGTGTGCTAGTACTCTACCCAGACAATAAGAAGGTGAGTTTCAGTAGTTTAATCCAGGATTCATTGACTCACCGGTATGGTAGCCTTACTGGGCATTTAGATGCGAGCAGATCGAATGAGCTAGTGAGTCGTGTTTCGGCTTTCTCATTGGTGCAGTGTGGTTGATGGCACCGCACGTGAGTAGTTCGTTGCAGAATGCGGAGTGTTTATCTCAATTTTTACTGCTGCTTGAGCAATGAAGACCTTGGAGTAGACGAACATCTCAAACATGTGAATATGACTGAGGTACTTAAGGTTTTATTCTCGTTGTCAGCTCGTAGAATACTTATTAGAGCCTCACATGCGGTGACATGATACCTCATACAGTCGGATTGAACACATGTCAGCCGAGCCCCAAAAGGACTGGAGTTGTGAGCTGTGTTCGTGGGCCGAACCCAGCTAATGTGGGTCACCTAACAGCAAGAGAGGCTCTGCTCATGAAGTGGACAATGTCCGAGACTAGTGGTTAGCCATATGCAGCGAAAGCTATGGAGAAGTGCAGTCCCAGAGCAAACCTTCCAGATGCACGTCGTAAATGTCCTAGTTGTCTATCAGAATTCCAAGCTGCGCGGTGACCCAGAAAATAACATTACAGCTAGGGAGCACTCTTCTTTGGAATTTGAATCTCCTGAGCTTCAGCTGCTGATCTCCCGGAATCCGGTTTCGCGTTCCCCGATGCACAATGAAACTCTGAAGTTCTCTTACCATCCATGAGATGCCTAAACTCAGCTTTTGGGTTCCTCATGTCGCCTGACGTGCCACTCAGAGGCCGGTACAACAACCCATTGGAACCACTAATAGAATATCAGGGACAGAGAAGGTCAGATCTGAGGTCCGTTGGCAACCTGCTGGCATTATACTTGCACATTTGTTATAGGTTGAGCGCAAAATAGTGTTCAGGACGTAAAAGTAAGCCGTCTTCGTACCGTTCCCCTCCAGATTTATTTTCAAGATCACATTATTTACATCTCACATCTCACAAAAAATGGATCTCCCCTCCATCCTGAGAATTAAGGGTTGAATCGGATCCTCACACTAAAGTGGGTGTCTGGGACTGCAGACCAGCGCAGTACACTACAATACATAGATAAAAACATAGTCGGACTTTGGTAGTCATTGGACCATGACAGCTTCGATGATCTGCAAGACTTGGACCTCAGAGGGACAACTGCCAGCGGTCTCGGAGAGTCGAGACGTCCTAGCGCTTCTATAACCTTAGGCTAGAAGGATTTTAGAGAGTCGAAACTCAATACTGTACTCGAGACATACCTTCGGGGTTGTCAAGAACTGAATGTTTAACAGAGTGAGTAAGTACTAAAACACTCAAAAACAAGATCAGCACTAGATGATTACCTTCATCGTCGTCATTGATAACGTCTGTGCATCTCTCGTTGGAAAAACACAAGAATACAGAGGAATCGAAACGTACAGGAACCAATCCAGGCGCGCTTCTCGACATCTGTGGCGTCGACATTCTTGTGAGACGGGTGCAGATACTACAGACGAGTTGAGACATACTTTGCTCGCCCTCACGCTTTTTGACGGCTACGTCATCAATAAAGTGAGTAAAACATGCAAAAAACAATATCGGTGCTACAAGAGAATACCTTGGGAGCGCTCTGACACAGTGGGTGCTGCTGCTGTCATTTGCAGGAGAGCGATGGAGACGAGGACAACATCAGCAAACTACCAAATTGGTGACAAGGTACCACAACAATAACAAAGCCACACAAGTATTACAAACAGCACAAACACACAAGGCGCCAGGTCTTACAAACTCGACAGCGTGATACAAAGCCATACAAGCACACAAAGAAACATGTAGTATAACGGTACTAGTAGCACAAAATATATGTATGAACAAAGTTCGTTTCCCTCAGGTTTTAAGTCTTTTCGGGCTTGCCACGGCCTAGTACTTAATCGTTAGTTGTATTGCTAGTGATCAATATCAGTCGGGCTCCTCAGTTGTCGAGGAGCTGTTAATTGTTATTCTGTGGGTGATCGTACACCTTTCGAAATTGTGCGAGGTCCATTATGTAGAACTCGACAGCGTGATACAAAGCCATGCAAGCACACAAAGAAATATGTATAACGGTAGCACAATATATATGTATATGAACAAATATATATCTATTCATATTTAAACAAAGCACCCCAATTCAACGACATAGTACAATGAACGAAAGGTATACTTCAAGCCTTCAGATCTACAGATGGCCGCAGAATTCGTGCAATGAACGAAGGCTTTACTTCAAGCCTTCAAATCTACAGGTGGCCGCAGAATTAGGACAAGTACACCGCCAACAGTTATCGCAAAATCGGGCTGTGTGACATCTGCAACAATCTCAATGATAATGAATTATAGCAAACACAAGGGAGAAAGACTTACCGCTGCAGGTTCTGAGCTCGTGAATGTCGCAATACCATTCTTCTTTCATTCCATATGCATGCGCCCAACATTAGGGTTGGACAAGGGTATGGGTGACCCCTGGGGGTCATGGGTAGGGGTATCCAGGGGTATGAGTATGGGTAGCAATAATATGACCCACATACCCTGGACTATTTATAGGTACCTTTGGACTGTACAGTAGAGCAAACCTTAAAGTCTTAAACTCTAAATGGATCATACCACCTTGTGATTTCATTTTCCACATCTTACCAACATTTCGAATCATGTTATCCAAACGGACTAAGAAGCCCACATAAAAACTTCTGGAAATGGCTGCTGAGGGCCAAAACAAGCAGAAGGCAACAGACAATGCTTCTAACACTATTATTGCACCTAAACGTAACAAAATAACATCATCTGTCAACTTGGAACAAGCTACAAAAAGTCCATCCCCAGGCCCGACTTCCTATTGAGCCACAGTACGGACCGAAGAAGAGGAGGCATCTCTCACAGATGCCATTGTAATCTCTGATGATGATGCAGAAAAGGCCAAGGAAAGTTCAGTAGAAGATGTAGCAGAATCCTCGGAGGCCAAACTAGGTAGTGTTTGATTTCTAAACTTGTTAATCAGTACTAATCACAAATGGCTACAGAAAAACTCATGAAGGATTGGGTCTCACCTATATATGCTTTTTTTCACCCGACACCGGCAATTGAGTATCATGAGCAGCGCCGCTGCCATGTCTTCAAATGTGCAGCCCACAGCTGCAACCACAAAGTTTGGCGTTACCTTGATAAGAAAGATGCAAAGTCAACAAGCAACATGCGTAAGCATGTGAAGAGCTGTTGGGGCGACACAGCATTACAAGCCGCAGTTGATTGTGGCAACACGAAAGCGGCATGCAATGGGCCAATCAAGAGTAACATCACTTGCTACGAGGGTGCCGCTAATCCACAGGTAATAGTGCCGAGATTGTGTGATGGGTTTCAGAGAGTCTGCGATCCTTTGAGATTGTCAAGGATCGAGGATTCATCTCGTTAATGAAAACGGGACAGCCAGAATACTACATACCTGCACCGAAAACTGTTGTGCGAGATGTCAGGTTGGTGTTTGTTAAAACATAGAGACGTATAGCAAGAATGCTGCAGGTGAGAGTCATCAATGTTGCACGAATAATTCCGAAGCAATAATATTACTTACTAGGACTATACCAGCAAGCTGAACTTTGCAACCGATGCATGGACTTTGCTGAATCATCACGCATATGTCGCAGTATCTGTCCATCTTGAGCATGAGGGACAGCCGCGATCCATGATCCTTGATATTGTTGAGGTTTCCAAGGTAAAAGTAAACGGAAATATAGACATACCTCCCACTGACTAGTTATAGTCACATACAGGTGCGAATTTGGCCGAAGCATTCACAGAAATCCTAGAAGAATTTGGAATATCAGATAGGGTATGAAACTCGAATATCAGCAGAGAAAACTCACCTCACGAGGACATGCAGATGTTGAATGTCGCAGCAGACAATGCATCGTCAAATGACACACTTGTTGCAGAGCTTGCAAAGATCCTTCCAAGTTTTGGTGGTGAAACGAACCGAACGCGGTGTTTCTTGCACATAGTTAATCTTGTGGCGAAGTCGTTACTCCATGAGTTCGAGAAAAAGGGAAATGAGTCGTGTGATACTGTGGAGGAAGGCTCACTCACCGAAGACGAGGATGATGAGGATGATGTTCCAGAGCTTGAAATGTAGGAAGATCCCAGTGGTGTCGATGATGAAGGTGATAGAGATGATGATGAGGACGGGTGGGTTGACGAGGCTGCATTGTTGAGCACAAATGAGCACACAGAGCTGATGCACAGTATCCGTCCAATCAAAGTGGTATTGATTAAGGTGAATATGAATCACTTACCTTGCCATGCATCTCCTGAACAACATTCCCTTGCAGCTTCGCAAACTCGCATACAAAATACTTCACTCCACCACCATACTCCTTCCCGTGTGGAAATCAATCCTTGAAGATCTGAAGCTAGCTGTGAGAATTATGCACGTGCGATGTATCCACACGCTGGAATTCCACTTATGATATGCTGAACTTCGCCCTCAAATATCGGAAGGGCATTGATGCAATTACAGACAAAAGAAAGCTTGGACTAGGTGAGTATGAATTAAAGCCTAATGAGTGGCTGCTTGTGAAGCAGCTGCGCAATGTACTCAAGGTATGTGATGTGACACATCACATGCCAACTCGAGCTAATAGTAACATTTACTTTGTAACAGATTCTCAAGGACGCAACACTCTTCTTCTCCCGTTCAATGCTGAATCTCGCCATGGTGATCCCTGCTATGGATCACATCGACCATGTCTTCACCAGCGCCATCATCAAGAAGGAACACCTTGACCCTGCAATCTGTGCAGGCCTCAGACTGGCCAAACGCACTCTCAATCGCTATTACTCGCTCACTGACGCATCCAAAGCCTATCGTATTGCAATGGGTACAGTGGTCTGTATGTTTTTTTACATATATTCACTCATTTTATTATAGTACTCCATCCCCACCATAAGCTAGCATATTTCAGATCTGCAGGCTGGCCACAAGAGTGGATTCACACTGCAGAGAAACTCATTTGTTTGGAATTCAAACAGTCGTATGGTTCTCGGCGTGCAGTAGACATTGAATACAATGAGCCTGCAGTGGCTGATGATGTTGACGAGGTGTGTACTGACCCTTTTGCTTTTGTTTCGATACTAATTTATTTGAACACTCAGGATGATGAATCAAGCAATATTTTTGACCAGCTCCCCGCACTTGCACATGTCAAGACAAGTGGTGAGGAACTCAAAACCTACCTTAACACTGACATCGAAGACATCGCGGATCCAATCGCCTGGTGGCATGGACACCGCAAGACCTACCCTCACCTTTCTTGCATGGCGCTTGACTATTTAACTGATTCCAGGTATGTTTTGTTTTAATTGTTGGTGAATTCAGTTTTAATTATATTATTTTAGCAACATCTGTCGACGTTGAACTGAATATTCAGCCGGGACGCCTGCTCCTGTCACACGTCCAAAATCGGCTCTCAGCTCAGTCCACCCACACTCTACTTTGTGTTGGACTATGGAGCCAATTAGGGTTAGTGAAGGACAAGGATATTAGCGCAGTGGCTAGTCTGCCCTGAGGCTGATGCAGATGACGAGGCACTCAATAACGGATGGGATAGCATTATATTACAGTAGTACTACATTGTCATATACATTTGCACTGATTACTAGCACGGGTAGCAGAGGTACCTGTTGTACCTGCTACCCATTTATGACCCTTACAGTGACCCACACCCCTCAGTACCCTTGGGTGTACGGGTATGGGTAGTTTGTAGGATACAGGTGTGGGTTTGGGCGATCATACCCGCGGGTTTACCCGTGTCCAACCCTACCCAATGTTAAGGTCTGCTGTCGATAACCAGGAATTTGCTGCCTCTGCATGATGGCGCCAGAAGTCAATAAGTATAGCTTGGTGTCCAAGGATGCAATCAGCCAGGTGCTTCTCGGCTTCGCACACTTTTCATTTGGCTCAAACATACTGTCATAGCTCCATTCAGGACATCGTCAATATCTCACAGTTTGCTGAGGTAGAACTGCCATTGCGCCACACTTCACCTCAAGCTGATCCTGAGCAACAGGCTGGTAGTATGCGTGATGAAGACAATCAGGTGCATATGAACTTTGAAGGCGACTTTAATTTTATCAAAGATGGCTTTGGAGTAGCCTGAAGGGTCATTGGAGGAGCGGTACGAGGGTGCTGGGATGTGTTACTCTGAGGATGGTCTGACCTTTTTAGATGTATTTGATGCTGATGAATATGCAGAGTACAGGAAGGAGAATCTTTTCTACCCTTTCGCATCCAAGGAAGAGCAGGAAATCAGTGATTTCCTTCTGTGTTCACCCCTTAGTATGGCAGCAATTGATGTATTTCTGAAGCTTCCCCTGGTAAGTACCAGTCTTCGCACTCTACAGTATTGATTCTAACTTTTACACCCCCTGTTCAGATCCAAAAATTGCAACTTTCATTCAGCAACGCTAGAGAATTGCGAAGCCATGTGGAGATGCTTCCTAGCGGACCAAGCTGGAAGTGTCAGATCATCCCCTCGACCCATCCCACAAAATATCTGATTCAATTATTTTGGAGGGACCCTATTGAATTCTTGGAGAGTCTTTTCTCCAACCCTCTCTTCCACGATAAGCTTGATTTTGTCCCTCATCGTGTTTACACAATGGTGGCACATCTTATGCGAGTATACTCGGAATGGACGACAGGTGATGCTGCTTTGGAAATGCAGGTATGTGCAGCAGTTTATTTTTTTTTGTTATCTCAACACACTTCCTGTAGACTCAGTTTCCAAGAGGTGCTACAGTTCTCGGCGCTGTACTGTCCTCCGACAAAACCAACATAACTACAATGACTGGTGCTAGAATCGCTCATCCGCTTCTTCTGGGACTCGCCAACATACACATGTGTACTCATACAAAACTTTCATCAAAAGCTTTCTTACTTACGGCCCTCCTTCCTATCCCAAAGTACCTACACCCTAATCAACGCATGCGAGGCATGCTTGAAGATCACCTTATACATCAATGTCTTTCAATTGTTCTTAAGCCATTGATGAAAGCGGCGGAAGTTGGCATCATGATGTCTGATCCGGTTGGAAATGTTCAGCACTGTTTTACTCCTCTCGCAGTGTTCATCGTCGACACCCCACAGGCAGCTATGCTTGCCTGTGTACGTGGGAAGACCTCTCCATTTACTATGGCTTCTTATCTGCAGTTCAGTGATAGTTTTCGGCATCCCCCTCATACCCATTCTGTCATGCTTGGCCAGCTCGACAGCATCACCATCAATCCCAACGATCTCAAGGCGTATTTTGGCACCTGCACTGAATACCGGCTAAATGGTGTTTCTGCACCATTCTGGATAGACTGGCCTGCTCACTGATCCCTCGATCTTCCTGATGTCAGAACCACTGCATCATTGGCACAAGGAGTTGTTCGACCATGACTGCCAGTGGTGTTTAGTAATTGTGGGTGCCTCAGAGCTTGATTTCTGGTTCTCGATCCTACAGCCAGTCATAGGCTACCGTCATTTCGCTGGTGGAATCTCAAAACTCAAACAAGTCACCAGCAGAGGTCACCGTGATATCCAGCGCTACATTGTTGGCCTGATATGCGGTGCAGCTCCTTGTCGTTTCATTATCGCAATTTGTGCCCTCATGGATGTTTGATATTTGGCGCAGTGCCCTGCTCCTGACGATGACTTATTGGCAAGTATTGACCGGTCCCTTTCGACCTTCCATGACAATAAAGACATCATTCTGACTTCGGGTGTGCGGATGGGAGCCAAGAGGCCTATTGATAACTGGTTCATTCCTAAACTAGAACTCCTCCAGAGCATCACTTCTGGCACGCGCAACATTGGTGCTCTCATCCAGTGGTCTGCAGATGCGACCGAGCATGCCCATATTTTGGAAATCAAGGACCCCGCACAGGGTACCAAGAACAATGACTACGACCCCCAGATCTGTCGACATCTAGATCGAGATGAAAAGCTGCAATGTTTCACAATTGCCACGACGCTGCAGAGTCATCACATGTACCGTGATCCCAATGACAGGTCTGGAGAAGTTCCTGAGGAGGAGGCGGAGGAGAATGAGGCAATCAATTGCAATGAGCAGGAACAGGACAATCCGTGGACTGCACTTTTAGAAGAAATGAATCATATATATGTAAAAAAACATACAGACCATGTACCCATTGCAATATGATAGGCTTTGGATGCGTCAGTGAGCGAGTAATAGCGATTGAGAGTGCGTTTGGCCAGTCTGAGGCCTGCACAGATTGCAGGGTCAAGGTGTTCCTTCTTGATGATGGCGCTGGTGAAGACATGGTCGATGTGATCCATAGCAGGGATCACCATGGCGAGATTCAGCATTGAACGGGAGAAGAAGAGTGTTGCGTCCTTGAGAATCTGTTACAAAGTAAATGTTACTATTAGCTCGAGTTGGCATGTGATGTGTCACATCACATACCTTGAGTACATTGCGCAGCTGCTTCACAAGCAGCCACTCATTAGGCTTTAATTCATACTCACCTAGTCCAAGCTTTCTTTGGTCTGTAATTGCATCAATGCCCTTCCGATATTTGAGGGCGAAGTTCAGCATATCATAAGTGGAATTCCAGCGTGTGGATACATCGCGTGGCATAATTCTCACAGCTAGCTTCAGATCTTCAAGGATTGATTTCCACACGGGAAGGAGTATGGTGGTGGAGTGAAGTATTTTGTATGCGAGTTTGCGAAGCTGCAAGGGAATGTTGTTCAGGAGATGCATGGCAAGGTAAGTGATTCATATTCACCTTAATCAATACCACTTTGATTGGACGGATACTGTGCATCAGCTCTGTGTGCTCATTTGTGCTCAACAATGCAGCCTCGTCAACCCACCCGTCCTCATCATCATCTCTATCACCTTCATCATCGACACCACTGGGATCTTCCTACATTTCAAGCTCTGGAACATCATCCTCATCATCCTCGTCTTCGGTGAGTGAGCCTTCCTCCACAGTATCACACGACTCATTTCCCTTTTTCTCGAACTCACGGAGTAACGACTTTGCCACAAGATTAACTATGTGCAAGAAACACCGCGTTCGGTTCGTTTCGCCACCAAAACTCGGAAGGATCTTTGCAAGCTCTGCAACAAGTGTGTCATTTGACGATGCATTGTCTGCTGCGACATTCAACATCTGCATGTCCTCGTGAGGTGAGTTTTCTCTGCTGATATTCGAGTTTCATACCCTATCTGATATTCCAAATTCTTCTAGGATTTCTGTGAATGCTTCGGCCAAATTCGCACCTGTATGTGACTATAACTAGTCAGTGGGAGGTATGTCTATATTTCCGTTTACTTTTACCTTGGAAACCTCAACAATATCAAGGATCATGGATAGCGGCTGTCCCTCATGCTCAAGATGGACAGATACTGCGACATATGCGCGATGATTCGGCGAAGTCCATGCATCGGTCGCAAAGTTCAGCTTGCTGGTATAGTCCTAGTAAGTAATATTATTGCTTCGGAATTATTCATGCAACATTGATGACTCTCACCTGCAGCATTCTTGCTATACGTCTCCATGTTTTAACAAACACCAACCTGACATCTCGCACAACAGTTTTCGGTGCAGGTATGTAGTATTCTGGCTGTCCCGTTTTCATTAACGAGATGAATCCTCAATCCTTGACAATCTCAAAGGATTGCAGACTCTCTGAAACCCATCACACAATCTCGGCACTATTACCTGTGGATTAGCGGCACCCTCGTAGCAAGTGATGTTACACACCGTGATTCTGCTCGTGTGTGTTGCCGATGTGAGTAAGTAATTTTCCCCTTGCCTTTGCGATCAAACAAAGTTTGATTGACCCCATTTCAAGTAGACTCTTGATTGGCCCATCGCATGCCGCTTTCATGTTGCCGCAATCAACTGCGGCTTGTAATGCTGCGTCGCCCCAACAGCTCTTCACATGCTTACGCATGTTGCTTGTTGACTTTGCATCTTTCTTATCAAGGTAACGCCAAACTTTGTGGTTGCAGCTGTGGGCTGCACATTTGAAGACATGGCAGCGGCGCTGCTCATGATACTCGATTGCCGGTGTCGGGTGAAAAAAAGCATATATAGGTGAGACCCAATCCTTCATGAGTTTTTCTGTAGCCATTTGTGATTAGTACTGATTAACAAGTTTAGAAATCAAACACTACCTAGTTCGGCCTCCAAGGATTCTGCTACATCTTCTACTGAACTTTCCTTGGCCTTTTCTGCATCATCATCAGAGATTACAATGGCATCTGTGAGAGATGCCTCCTCTTCTTCGGTCCGTACTGTGGCTCAATAGGAAGTCGGGCCTGGGGATGGACTTTTTGTAGCTTGTTCCAAGTTGACAGATGATGTTATTTTGTTATGTTTAGGTGCAATAATAGTGTTAGAAGCATTGTCTGTTGCCTTCCGCTTGTTTTGGCCCTCAGCAGCCATTGCCAGAAGGTTTTATGTGGGCTTCTTAGTCCGTTTGGATAACATGATTCGAAATGTTGGTAAGATGTGGAAAATGAAATCACAAGGTGGTATGATCCATTTAGAGTTTAAGACTTTAAGGTTTGCTCTACTGTACAGTCCAAAGGTACCTATAAATAGTCCAGGGTACGTGGGTCATATTATTGCTACCCATACCCTTATCCAACCCTAACCGCGCCACTCACCTTATTCCTGTCTATGGTAGTTGATTCGTTTCCCCCAACCTCTGGCACTACCAGACCTATGATTCCTTCTGCAAATTTTATGTTAACAAATATGCTGATCATCACACATTTGAGATTGCGTCCTAAACTCTCCATTTTATATACATTGTACTTATTATCCTCAATTTGATTTCCACTCTTGTTTTCCTTAATTTGCTTTCAGTAGTAAGGGAAAAAGCACGAAAAGCAAGAAGTAAGTAGGTCTACACTTGTCACAACGAAAGAAAGGTAAAAATAAGTGAGTTAAGGAACTGGGTGTTTTACTGATGTATCTTGCTCAATATAGCAGATAAAACCAACAGCTTACGAAGATTCACACACCTCGTGACTGTGTAAATCGAACATCATAAGGAGGTGGTCTAGAACTTCAGGTGTTGTACGTTGGTGCGACTCCTCGAAACAACCCCATAAGCACGTTGTTGACAAAATGCTTTCACGATGAGTTTGATGTGGACTAGTCACAGACTTCCGTGTGAAGCACGCTGCAGGAATTTCAGTTGGCCTAAGCAACCGTCTACCATGTACAGGTCAAATGGCCGGTCTTCTACCAAGCAAAGGAGTTGTCAAACTCAAACTCGCATTTTCTCATTGTAAGATCAAATATTAACCGCAGCAACTCATAAGGAGCATGGAGTGTCCCAGCCATCACACTTTGCATAATAGTTTACTGATATTCACCTGATAGAAGGACCTCGCACTAATGGTAGGTGGCGACTTCATGTATATCTTGACACTTCTAGACCCGCATTTTACATGGTCTGCTTGAGTTTCGCCTTTGCTTACTATGAACGTAGATGTAAGAGACGGTGCATCAAGCATGGGACAACTCAATTGCTTATCTTCGAAAATCATTGTTCCTGTATATAGCCAAACATTTCTGTGTAACAACCCCCTCCATGTTTACATAGATTGTGGCAATTGTTGTCAATATATAGCCTAATATGATATTCTAATTTGTTCGCCAGTTCACTGATGGTAGTGTGTAAATTTGAGTTGCCAGTAATTCACGTTGATCCAGGTGGTGTAACTAGACCCTTGAGTGATAGCATGGCGGAGGCATGTATGTCAGCATTTAAATTTAAAGGTAGGAACCAGGACATGATAAAGTACATGATGGGTAGATGATCCCAAAGACTCGGACTGTGCAAAGTTCAAACAGACAGTACGACAGCATGGCATTTTACGATGTCTCTCCGCCTCCCACCACCTTCGAATTCGTGCATCGTCCAAACATCTTTCATAAAAAGGCTCGCGGCTCTCCCAGCCAACACCCTTGTCGACATCTCCGATTCAACCCTTAATTCTCAGGATGGAGGGGAGATCCACTTTTTGTGAGATGTGAGATGTAAATAATGTGATCTCGAAAATAAATCTGGAGGGGAACGGTAGGAAGACGGCTTACTTTTATGTCCTGAACACTATTTTGCGCTCAACCTATAACAAATGTGCAAGTGAAATGCCAGCAGATTGCAAACAGACCTCAGATCTTACCTTCTCTGTCCCTGATATTCAATCAGCGGTTCCAATGGGTTGTTGTACTGGCCTCTGAGTGGCACGTCAGGCAACATGAGGAACCCCAAAGCTGAGTTTAGGCGTCTCATGGATGGTAAGAAAACTTTGGAGTCTCATTGTGCATTGGGGAACACAAAACTGGATTCCGGGAGATCAGCAGCTGAAGCTCAGGAGATCCAAATTCCAAAGAAGAGTGCTCCCTAGGTGTGATGTTATTTTCTGGGTCACTGCGCAGCTTGGAATTCTGATAGACAACTAGGACATTTACAATGTGCATCTGGTAGGTTTTCTCTGGGACTGCACTTCTCCATAGCTTTCGCTGCATATGGCTAACCACGAGTCTCGGACATTGTCCACTTCATCAGCAGAGCCTCTCTTGCTGTTAAGTGACTCACCTTAGCTGGGTTCAGCCACAGGAATACAGCTCACAGCTGCAATCCTTTCGGGGCTCGGCTGACATGTGTTCAGTCCAACTGTGTATGGTATCATGTCACCGCATGCAAGGCTTGAATAAGTATTCTACAAGCTGACAACAAGAATAAAACCCTATGTACTTCAGTCATATTCAGATGTTCCTCTACTCCAAGGTCTTCATTGCTCAAGCAGCAGTAAAATTTGAGATAAACACTCCACATTCTGCAATGAACTACTCACATGCAGTGCCATCAACCACACTGCACAAATGAGAAAGCTGAAACATGACTCACTGTAGCTCATTCGATCGGCTCACATCTAAATTCGTAGTCAGGCTAGCATACAGGTGAGTCAATAAATCCTGGATTAAAATTAAACTACTGAAACTCACCTTCCTAAGGGGTGGGTAGAATCTTAGTACACAATCATAGCCATTGCAGCAATCTTTTTTGAGTTGCAAGGTTGGCCTTGTGTATAGCATTCACTGTCAGCACTGACAGCCATAGACACCATCAAAACAGCAACAACAGCGAGGACGACTCAGAACGAGAAGCGCATTATATGTGAGATGTGATACAGGATCTTAAAAATAAATCTGAAGGGGGGCGGTAGGAAGATGACTTACTTTTATGTCCTGAATACTGTTCGGTGCACTGTGGCCCTAACTACCTTTACATAAATGATGATATTTGTGAGTCTATGCGTGAGTAAGCGAAGTGGTGTAACTCTCCTTTGCTCCGACCCACCATCAACCAACTTTAAGTCTATTGTTATTAGTTCCTTGTATTGTCTACTCTAGACCCCTGTCATTCTTTGCTACGTTAAACCGCTACAATGCCTCTCCTAGCTGAAGACCCCAACTCAGCTATCATGCCGGATTTCGAAACAGCAGAATTCGCACAAGCTCGTGCTCAACTCACGAACGAAACGACAAACGAACAGCAAGCTGCAGAAATTCTAGCCAACCTATGGGATATTCAGAATGATGCAGACAAATGTCGTTGGGCTGCGAGAATCCAGGAAGAGACCCAAGCAGCAGAAGCAGAATGGCGACAAGCCGAAGAAGCTGAAGCTCAACGCCAACAAACCCTCCTCATGGAACAAGAAGCAGCCATCTCTGAAGAACGAAAGAAAAACAAATCCAAATATGCATTGGTCTGCAATATCGACATTCCTTCTAACCCCATAATCCTACCGTGTCGATACGCAGTCTGGAAAATGAAATCAGGAGATTCCTGTGAACTATTCTACTTCACTAACAGTGGTTTGGAAGAAGCTTCTCATACCATGTTTACAGCCGATGAAGACACCCTTGTGGTGCTCCCCATGTCCGACGGGATGTGGATTCCCGCTGGCGCTGCTCGAGACCCCAAAGCACAAATAGTCAAAGACGAGAGTCTCACCTGGGAACAATTCAACGAAGCAGCCCCGCGGATGGTAACCATAATGAAAGAGAATGATTGGCCGGACGACAGCATAGACATGCACATAGCTTTCTGGTCGGCATTGCAGAATCACCGCTGGCATCATGATTTCGATGTTCACAAACAGAGAGCACTACTACTATATCAAGCTCAACAACGGAGACGCTGGCACCTATCCATAGGCAGCTCCAACAGCTGGAGCCTAGCCAAAATCAATCAAGATCTGTTAGATGAAGCGCGCAAAACGATTTTCAATCAATTCAGAATGCATCAGATCTCTCTTCAGGTGCGTTAGACGATTCATCCAAAAGAACACACACTAAAATACAATATCACCTCTTTCTCTTTCAATTTGTGGTCATGCTACCTACAAAAATCTTTTGGCATCACGTCCAAACAAAACCAATATATGAACATCACACTCCAACCCAAAATGTATCACCAACCGGCCAATCATGGCCAACCTACTTTTGGGTTGTAAACACCTGGCCATCGCGGCACCATTACAAATCTCTTCGCGCACATCACGCGTCAAACAAACCCAAACGGTCCTCCCTCGCACTCATTGCGTTGACCAAACCCCAAACCGAACCTTCTCTCTCTACTTTCTCTGGGTCAATGTGCACCCCACAGTTTGCTCCCCCGCAACAGTCACACAGTACGAGCACTGCATCCACAAGCAGAGGTCAACAACAGCACTCTCACTCCTTTAGCTCCCAGAAGTGTTCCCCCCCAACTTCACCAGACGCCAGAGCCAACAAGAGACCGAGAACTTTTCGAGACCCCAACTCCCCATTTCCTTGCTGCTCCATTTGCCTCAGACGCCACACCCACCGCGTCATCGAGTGTTCCGCCACCCTCACTTGGGACGGAAAACATGATACAGTTGTCTATGCCATAATGTATACGCCCTTAGTGTCTATTTTCAATACTGTATCGAGTTTTCAATGGTCCCACTGTGGGACAGTGAGAAAATCGATGCATAATGTATATTGTATAATGTATTGACCTCGCATGCCTATTATACATTATCAGACAGCACTTTTGGTGGTGGGGACCATTGTCAGTGCCTGCTATTGTCCACACATCATATGAAAACCCCATGTACGCATTTTTGGTAAACCACTATCCTTAGACGAGCTGCTCGAGCCAGCTGAGGAAAAACAAATCGGGATTCCCTTGGGTCCGACTTGAATGGTGGGGAAATGGCCATTGTTGTTGCAGTCAGTCAAGAGATCGATGAGAAACAGGGTGAGGTGATTGAAGCTGATTCTGATGATGACTCGGAAGAAGATCATGATGCGGCCCCAGAGGTTTCCCGTGTAGAAGCACTAGCGCTATGTCAGCGGCTCGAAGGAGCATGACTTCAGCATGGACATTCTCAGGACTCAACACACACACTTGATTTGTTAAAGCAAATCTGTCGTTTCCATGCCCAATTACAACGCGAGGAGCTACTCCATGCGAGGCAGACAATGTTAAATTTGTTTTTAAGTAGATATGTACTCTAGCACCTTTGAATTTCGACGCTGTTGAGCGGTGTCACATGTGTTCATCACATCTAGTCACAATGTGTGACATCAGTCCTTCTGTATAACTTTGATAATGTATAGGTGTGAGGTGGGTCCCGACATTATACGTTATGGGATAGACAACTGTACCATGACAGAGCGTATCAACAAAGCGCTCTGGACTAAAACCGGCAAACAGATATGTACGGCATGGCAACGAGAGGAAGGATGCAGCAGCAGCAAACACGACAACAAGCACATCTGCTCAGGTTGCGGCGCCGTCACACATGGAGCCCAGCGCTGCCCTAGAGCACAGAAGGTTTAACCCAATCACACCTTACAAAGCAGAAGCATGGGACAAAGAGCTAAGAAATGCTGGTCTTTCAGCACATTTCGCCAAAGTCCCACAAGGTATCCATTCCAGTTTCATCCTAAACTTCCCTACTATACATACCACCCAAGCCCCAGCTAATAGCCAATCCATTATTACATATAAAGAACAGTTCGACGCCAGTATATAAGAATAAATCCAAAAAACACGCTACATAGGACCCTTTTCCACTCACTCTCTTACAAAATTAATCGGACTGTTTCAAACTTCCCTGCTTTCCATTATTCCGAAACCAGGCAAAACAGACAAATTCAGACTAATACAAAATTTCTCCTTCCCTCATACCCCCGATACCCAATTTCATATTCCGTCTATTAATTCATATATCAATGCTAACGACTTCCCAACCACTTGGGGAAAATTTTCTATCATTTACTTATTAATTTCGAGACTCCCTTTAGGATCAGAAGCGGCCACTCGAGACGTAGCCGAAGCTTACTGCACCATTCCCCTACACCCTTCTCAATGGCCTGCAGCTGTAGTGCGCACCTCAAACAATGAGTTCTGCATAGATACGTGCACAGCCTTTGGAGCAACCCCATCTGCAGGTGCCTATGGATACCTTGCAGACGCAGGCGCCGAAATTTTCCGTTACCGAGGCATCGGACCCTTGGATAAGTGGGTCAATGACCACATATTCTTTAGAATCCGTAAGGAATTCTTAGATGAATTCAATCGTAATCGCGCAGAATGGCACCGCGACCTTATTAAATGGGGCATGCACCAAACAGCAAGTCGCATATGGTACGGTGGACACGTTTTTGATGATGGCTCGATAGAAAAGTTTAGTGAAGACTGTTCTCGTCCCATCAGGGACTTCTCCAATGCGTCGCCGAGATCAGAACATGATGCGTTGTTTGCTCACAATCTCCAGGACATAGACGACGTGTCATTAGATTTAGGCATCTTCTGGAAGCTTAACAAAGATCAACCTTTCACTTCCTCAACCATCTACATTGGTTTTCTTTGGGACCTCTACCTCCGCATAGTCTTGCTAAGTCAACCGAAAGTAGACAAGTACCTTATGGCCATCCATGCTTGGAGAAAGAAGCCTACACATGTGCTACAAGAAGCACTTGAACTTTACGGTAAATTGATGCACACGTGCACAGCAGTCAAAAGAGGAAGAGCTTACCTCACCAGTCTTGAAAGAACAACCGCCGTTCTCCAGAAAAAGCCCCACTTGCCTCAACGCCCTGACAAGGAGACAGAACCTGACCTCATCTGGTGGTCCAATTTGCTACAGTCTGGTGGTGTCGCTCGCCAAATCCGCCCACCGGCCACATTTTCAATCCCACTCGCCTTCTCAAACGCTAGTTCTGGGATCAGCATCGGCATCGTCATCAACAACAGGTGGAATGCCTGGAGACTGGTACCCAGCTGGCAAACGGCAGGAGGAGGCAAACACAACATTGCATGGGCAGAAGCCATCGGCTTCGAACTACTGGTATACACCCTCGCCACTCTCCCTGACATTAGCGACCACGTCGTTGTGTATGGCGACAACACCAGTGTTGTCGAAGGATGGTGGAGAGGGAGCCACAAGAACAGAGCCGTCAACGAGGTATTCAGGCGTATCCACGAGTTCATACATGCTCTACCCAGACCTTTTGACATCCGCACAGAATACGTTGCCAGCAAATCCAATCCCGCCGATGGCCCATCCAGAGGAAAATACGGACAAGAACACCTTCTACTACCTCCCGCCCATGTTCCACAAGAAATCAGACACCTTGTCATCGACACGTCAAGTCCTCTTACCCCCACAGAGCTCCGTTTATTCCGTGATGGGCAGTACTCCACTCCTGCTGCCAAAGTCATCAATAGAACCCTTATCCGCCAACAAGCGTTCAAAAGAGCTAGAGCATCCTGCATCGAAGAAGATAAAATTATCTTCAACGCCATCTCTCAGTAGCCCTGTAACCATGCACCCTCGTTTCAACGCCCCATTACCATCATTGACCGCAGCAACCCCAGCTAACTCCATCCCAATGCGTTATAAACCAGGACTGGTTCCCTGCCCTTCACTCCTAAGACCTCACTGCTTAGCTCGTGAGAGACTTTGCAAATGGTTACCAGCAGGAGGGAAGGCATGTAACCATACATCTTTGTCACCCGAGACTCAGAACATTAACGTATCTGATGAACAATTAGATCATATCTTAGAAGTAATAGGGTCATCGTGGGCTAACTCCACCAAGGAAACGTACGGAGCGGGACTTCTAGTCTTCCACATTTACTGTGACTCATTTCACATTTCTGAAGACCAGTGCTGTCCAATATCCCCAACCTTACTTCTTGCATTCTTATCCAGCTGCGCCGGATCTTACTCAGGCACAGCGTTAGCCAACTACGCTGCGGGTCTTAAAGCATGGCATCTCCTACATGGATGTCCTTGGATAATGGACGCAAAAGAACTGAAAGCCATACTCGATGGAGCGTCCACTCTAGCCCCAACCTCATCCAAATCCTCCAAACGACTCCCGTTTACTGTCGAAATCCTGTCCATAATCCATGCAAACCTCAATCTCGATAATCCCTTAGATGCCGCTTTATTTGCCTGCGTTACCACCACATTCTACTCTATCGCTAGATTGGGAGAATTCACCGTACCTGCCATCAGAGCGTTTGATCCATCCAAACACATCACCCGTGAAAACATATCTGAAGCCTTTGATCGTAATAACCTGCCTGTAACAAAGCTCCACATCCCGAGTACTAAAGCATCACCTATCGAAGGAGAAGATACTTCCTGGGTAGCGCAAGAAGGTCCAACGGACCCAAAAGCAGCTCTCGAAAACCATTTCAAGTCAACCCAGCGGACAAGAAAGCACATCTTTTCTCCTGGAAACATCCAAAAGGCCTAAGACCTCTTTCCAAAGCACAACTTTCAAAGAGGCTCGGCAGCGTCACTCATAACACCAAGCTTCCAGATATCAAGGGTCATGGGCTTAGAATAGGCGGAACGCTAGAATATCTGTTAAGAGGAGTTCCTTTCGATGTCGTTAAATCCATGGGAAGATGGTCAAGTGACACGTTCACATTGTACCTATGCGAACACACAGTCATCATCGCACCATACATCCAGTCCTCTCCAGCTTTGGAACTGTTTACCCGCCACACAATGCCTCCAGTGCGGTAAACACGACCGTAAGTGCTCCTCCTACCTTTTGGGGTGTCAAGCTTCGCAGTTAGCGTCGCAGCACTCCTAAACTTGTGGGATCTCAGCTCACCTTGAAACCCTTAGGTTCGTGCGCTTGCAGCAGGCTTTTGCCCAAAAACATCCCTCCTTCGTTTATATTAGCTCTCATAGAAGTTTCCTGTACCTAAACAACTTCAAAACCACCTTTTCACCTCCCTCAAGCACACAGCATCAAAAAGCATAGATGCAATGCCAGCAGATTGCCAACTCGACTTGCACTATCCCGGGTATTCCATTGCAAGGTGGAAGAACCCAAGAACACAATGATGATGTGCAATTCCGAACTGTTGTTGTATAATGATGGCCTGGTACGTCAGCAACACAAGGATTCCAGAAGCCAAGTTCAGGCGTCTCATGGACGCTGGAAACTTCAGAGTCTCGTCATGCATCGGGGAATGCGAAACCAGAGAAAGACACAAACTTCTCAGGGAGGCTGATGCCGACATCATACTCGCATAGAAGGGTGTAGTCCCAAAAGAGTGATTAATAGATGTCTAGAACTCAATTTAAATAAGAAGGAACTGAAATCAGCGCCTCAGGTTGTTTTCTGCTTCTCTGATTGTTCTCTTCTGATGTTCTTCTCAGTCAACCACTTTAATGCACTGATGGAAATTGCTGAGAGAGATCCGACTATATAGCCTGTGATCCCTCTGAAGAGAGGCGTTAGCGGCCAGGCCTAGGTATCATGAGCTCGAATCTCAGTAAATGATGTTGGAATTGACCTGCCATGGTCGATCCCAGTCCAGTGCAATTGGGGGAGCACCAAGCCAAGCACCAAGGAGGCTCGCAACAGCAGGATAAACCAGAGCCCTTTCTATCGGATTTTGTGGGCTAGCACAATGTCAGGCAAAGAGGAGAACGGTACACATATTAACCCACGAAAGCTTGGCAAATAAACGTGTCCAGTTAATCCTGCTGATGAAGGACGAAGTGTCGGAGGAGAAGGAGGGAGGACCTAGTGCATAAGCTGGTGTGAACACCAAGGCTACACATGAAGTGAAAACAGCCGCTCTTCCTAATCATCAGGAAAACCCTCCCACACAAAGCTAGACAAAGATAGGCAAAATTATTCAAACTTCAATAAAAAGAACAAACTACCGATAAAATCAATAGTTTCTCGCTAAACTGCAACATTCTATAATGAAGATGTAATGTGCTATCTAACCGTCACAAATGTATGCCTATCAATATAAGAATTAACAAAAAAAGTGTCACATTGTTCGAGGACTTCAGCTGCTGGTCCATTGACGAGGTGCTGACAGGTCCTGAACTTTGGAATAAGATGAACACTTCGGTGGATATTTGTGACAGGTATAATGCTTGCAACTCTCTCACCCGATTGCACAAAGCGGCTGATTTTGAACATTCCATGGTTCGAATCAGGTGTAGGAGGAAACCAGAGTGAACCACTCTACATAGGCAAGATGTTTGGGAGGCTGGATTGTGGTAGGGAACATCATTGGAACAGCATTCTGCGGGATCGAGAATATGACGCGGATCTGACCCACACAATAGCCTGTTGAAAATCTGTTATTCGTGACTGCCTAGCATTCTCGAGATTCAAAAACTGACCTTCAATACCTACAGAGCGGCCAGTCCCATCATTAATAAGCACAGTATCAAATTGTGCTGGGACGTCAGTGTCTGTTTGACTGGTGGCCACACGGCGAGGCTTGACGTGTGCGCTGTCCACCGTGATACATAGATCACCATGTCCCAGTGCATCAACAGATCGCCATTTGATTATATGATACACAGGAAGTGTGCGGAATGGAAGGTGGATAGTGGCAGCAAGGTCTTCGAGGCGGCGTCGAGTGGTGGCTTCGTGTGGATGATGCAGTTGTGCAACATATCTTGCAAGCACCTCACGGAAGTACGTGGCCCCATACTCTGTGACTAACTTCTGAATTGGGACGCCTTTCACACTCAGATGCTTTGTTAATGTCTGAACGCGGTCGAAAGACAGGTTTGGTGGATGTGGTTGGTGTTGAATGGGATTGCCGTGGAGGCACCACATGACATACCTCTCATGTCGAACGATCTTCTCTTTGCGTTCGAGCCACTGAGTCATTTGGATAAACTCATCTTTGTGGTTTGTTGCGCGATATGCATCTTTGGCCAAGTCAATGTGGAGGCGCTCAGTATATTCTGTGTTATAATTGTCAGTCGTGCCAAACGTCCGGATCATCGACATATAGTGGCGGCCTGCATGGAGCTTTGGGAGATTGAAATTGTTTTCGGATTCCAAGGTCGACAAAAATCTGCTTGTTGTCGTGAAAAAGATCGAGAGCTTCCTTGAGGAGAGTCAATGTTTTCGGAACTCTGGCAAGGATATTGAGCAAGGTACAGGAAGTCAAGTAGACCTTTGACGGCCCGTATGAGATGGCTCAGTGCAAGATGGTTGGGGAGTCGGATGTCGATGATGATGCCAAGTAGAAAACGGCATATCTGACTATGCTCCATACCACTAATTCGTGAAAGGCTAGTGATACCTTTCTTAAATAGACAAATATGATGATTCAGGGGGAGCCTTCGACATCTTGCATCGATCTCGGCTGCTCCGAATGCCTCAGCCAGCCAACCAAGGAGATGCTTGATAAGGACCCTGGTATAATTGGTGGAGTACATCCTGGTGTAACAGCTTGGAAGATGTTGGTATAGGGTAGGGGCTTCCAGAATGGATGTATAATAGGCTTAATTCCCAGCTTCGCGGCATGCGCGTACAAATTCAAGATCTCCATGATCAATTGCAGCCAGTGCATCAAGGACAGCATCAAGGTTGCGCATCTCGAAAGGTACGACATTGCTTCCGAGTTTGTTTGGTGGTATGTCGCATTTGGGACATTCCATGGCTTTGACTCCTATAACCAAGACTTGCTCAGGGTAGTCACCAATGAAACAAGAAAATAAGGGATGACCACGACGCAGGATACCATCACCACTTTTCATGATAATACCATCTAGGCCAGCTTCCTCCAGCGGTGCTAATATACAGGCCCATGCAGCCATGATACAGGTTTGCAATGGTTCAGCGTCGTGAAGCCTTGTTGGTGATGTGCTCGAGACGGGTGGTAGGAAGATAGGCGAGAAGAATATGGGCACAGTGAGATGGCTTTCGGCTGAATTTCCTTTGGAATGTTGCCGATAGTGAGGTAAAATGGGTAGGCTGTTTTATTTCAAAACATTGTTACTTGAGTCTTGTCACTCGAAATGATAATTGGAATGATGGTAGCACCCGGTTTGCGCTGATCAAGTTTTTTCTATTTGATTTGTCAGCCAGTTTCAATGAGCAGAAGTCTTCAAAACACAAACTTACCTGGGTATCCCACCACCATTCACCAGTATGCATATCGTGGAACAATTGGACAGTTTGTTCCTTGTCTGCATAGTGGTGTTCTGGTGCGAAGACCAGAAAATCAGGCAAAATCTGGGTCACCATACAGAGCCTTGACACACTCAATAACGTCCCTATAGAAAATGTCGAAAGCCTCGCCTGTGACGACAATTTGTTCACGTCTGAACTTTGGGCGACCAGGAAGCTGCTTGTCGATGATTTTGTTCAATTCCTTTGAGTGTTTGTAGGAAAGACCAAGCTTTTCATGGACCTGGCGACGAAGATAGACACATCACACACAACTCAAAGGTGAGATTAATGCACATTCACTGACTTCATTGATACCAAGCAGGTCCGAAAATGCGGTTGAAGTTGGGCCGCGTAATTTAGCCCATCGTGCGATTTCCCAGTCTACTCGAGAGTTGAAGGGGGCATATGGATTTGTAGTGTCATTGATGACGGAAGCATATGCAGCGTTAGCATTGCAGATGTCAGCTTGTGGAACGGGCTGCCCTGCTCGACCATCAGGGTATCGCATGATGGTGATTCCATCTTCCTGAAGCATACATTGCTCAATCTGCTGACGCAAACCACGATCGTGGCTATTCATCCCTGTGCTGTCTTCTTCAGGCAGCTCCAAATTGGTCTTCTAAATCCCCTCCAGTAACGAGGGGTTCCCATTTGGCATTGAGGCCAGGTATATCATCATCGGAGTCTGAGCTATCACTGCTTTCACTGCTGCTGGCATACCATTCCGTGTCGTCAGGCCATTGAATTTCATCTTCCTCGTAAGTACCAAAAAAGTCTCCTTCGAACTCAGGTGGTCGATCATCAACTTCTACTTCTATTTCCACAGCATCATCTGAAGGAGTTGGATTTGGAGAGTGGGCATTTGAGCGTGATGCAGCGAGTACAGCCATGCAGCGTCGATTTTTGGTTTTAGCTAATTGTTGACTTAAGCCAGTGGCCTAAAAAGTCGTGTAACATCCGGTGCATTGGACCATAGTGATAGCAGGGAATGACTCGTGCATACTAGACTAGATACCTATGCATTCGATGTCATTTTTCAGGCTCCGCTACCGGATATCAATGATATATTGCCACCCAAGTTCCGCCTGGAGGTAAGATTCGCACACAATAAGATGGACAGCTCAACACCGTTGTCTCCTGTTCAATCAAGCGACCCACCTTCATCCCCTGCTCAATGGAGCAGTCCTACAATTCTATCTTCTCCGGACTCCTCAAGTCCGTCTGAAATGACACTCTGTAACTCAAGCCAAAGATCAGGCTCCTCAGGCTCTTTAAACACCATGAGCACAATGTTAAATACCTCATATCCAGGTGTTTCACAGGATAGCAAACCTACACCTTCTGAAGTGGATGAGAGTCCATTATTTAGGCATGACAAAACATCAAAGTCTTGATTGTCAAGGAAGTATCTTCCATACCCCCCCAATCCATCTCCATTGGAGCTTCGCTATGCAGCTCGGGTGATGAAGTCCAAATTCCAACCGGAATTCTCATTGGAAGAAACACAGAAGGTATGACATACTTACTTCCAGACACCAATAACTCATTGATATGGTCTGAAAGCTTAAAGAACAGTTGGAGAGTGGCCTCTCCCAAATGACAACTCCAACCTTGTACAAGGGATACAAGGCCAAGCTCACAAGTCGCGAGGTCGCACGCCAACATATGGTATTAGCAATGTGGGAGATTGATGAAGTTGCGCAATATGAAGCATTCCTCATTAGCATCTATGGCAAAAACAAACGGCAGGTCAAGATGGCGGAAGGGGAATTGCAGGGCTTTAGAAAGATATTTTCTCAGCGTGGCCAGGCAGAACTTGAGGATGATAGGCGATATCTTCAAGCTGTCTATGAGGACGAATGCGAGATCCTCCGTGTCACTAGTGCCCAAACTGACCAGGTTGCAAATCTCCTCAGTTCATGTGTCAAGAGGGCATTTTGAAATCTGCTACAACATTTCCTCTTCACCCTGGTGGTGGACTTCCCTGCATTGGCACTAGGGAACTCTCTGAACCCTCAGACTCAGACTTGTCTGATGAATCTTACCCAGACGAGTTCCCAGACAATTCGGACCATGGATCCGAAGATTCATGCGAAGGTGCGGGCTCTGAAAAGTCAGCTGGCTGATAATCGCCCTTCCAGTGGTATGGGAAACTCTCGTTTTAAGTATTGCTATTCAACTCATCACAAGTTGCAGGCTTACTCAGACCGCACTTCTCATCCCATGTTCAATCTCTGTTTCTCATATGATCATTATTGATATGGAAGTATCTATTGTGTCCTTGCGATTCGTGAATTCATATATGTGCTTACAATGTAGTAGAGACTTGTCAAATGCACCCCTCGTGTTGTTGTGTTATTACACTCTATAAAATGAGAAGTATTATGTTTCCTATTGCGATACAATACAATCTACACATTAATTGGCATATGGAAGGCTGACTGGTCGACCATCCATATATGTCATCATTAGAACATTCCATATATGTCGTCATTTTGACTGCTCCATATATGTTGTTGTTTCGAACCGCTCCATATATGTCGTCATTTCAGTTGTTTCGACCGCTCCATATCTGTCACTCTTCTTGCAGGTTCTCATCACCCAATCATAATGCCACTTACCCGTCGAGTCCCCTGACCCTCTTCAATGTAAACATAATCAAATGCAAACTGATGAGTTTGCATTTGATCACCCAACAGATACGCTCGATGATCGTGAGTCAATTTAATTTTCGCCTGTGTTCCCCATCTGTTATTGTACGTGAAATACTCGTGCCCCATCTTACCTGTGTACTGATATCAACCAATTAGCAGCGCAACCGCTGAGTATCGGATTGTGATTGTATGACTATCCCGCTGACTCGGTACTACTCAGTTTTCATTATGTATGAAGGTCCTTCTTCAACATGTTTCTGGCACGTGATGCAAGCTCTCCCACTGTGATCTTCATCTTCTTTCTCCCTACTGTCAACATTTTCTCCAAGCAAGTATGCAGGCGCATGATAACGACGACGATCCATACTTCCCCAACCAGCTTCGAGACAGGTCATTTTCATCATCAGGCTATGATGGATTTGTGGATGGATTTTCAAGTTCGAATGGCCAGTACCCAAGCTAGTGGTACACCAATCACTCATTAACAGATCAAGCAGATAATGACATGTCCCCACTTTCAAGATTCCTCCATATCACCAACCCACAATATGCGACAACTACTAGTAGTCTACCGCAGTTGCTAACAGACGAGATAGATGCTGCGCCATTGTCCAGCTCTAGCATACCCGCCCCCGGTCCATCGTCTAGCACCAGCAAACTACTTGATGCTGGTGATAGCATCCACCCTTTGATTCCTCGCTCAGCTCAACTCAACTCTTTCTACAATCCACCGGTTCCTCAATTGCTAGCAGAGTCGTCACAGCATCCTGAGAGATATCGGCGCCCTCGAACCTCTGTCACACCGTATTTCATACCTGAGTCCAGAGTATTTCGGCCACCTGAGCCAACAACTACAACAGTTGCCCTTGTTACCATGCAACCTGCGATGGCCCCTACCATGGCCCCTACCATCTCACAGTCCATGCCTGCGATGACCCCTACCACCTCACAGTCGATGCCTATCACTATTCCCGCTGCCACCACCTCACAATCCATGTCTACCACTATTCCTACTGCTGTGCAGCCAACTGCGCCAGCTCCTGTCGTCATTAATGTCAGGCCTGATGTCAGGAAACAGATTGTAGATCGCGCAAAAAGAAGAATCGTGAGATTCATCTTGACGACGTCTGCAATGGCTGGTACTGATGACGAGAGGGCGAGGCTTGTTTCTCTCGCAATTTCAGAGGCGACATCCATGCCGGGTATGAATGGTATGTTTTTTTTACAAATAAGTTGCCGATTTGAATACTAATTCATTTTTTCTTCAAGTTACAATCAGAACGACAAGTAGTCAACGTCAGCAGGTGATGGTTGCATGGAATAACACTTTTCGGAAGCTATTGGTCATGGTGCGGAGTTGTCTCGCCTTGGGTTACATTTTCTACCCCCCGCTAGACTCCAATCTCATGCCAGTCGAATTTCAGGGGCCGTGTCATAGCCACATTGATTAACAATAATCATAACCCGTTAGCCTTTATGCATAAGTTTACGGTTGACGCAGTATGTTTCAATTTTGTTTCCAAATACACACTCATTTCGATCTCTTTCAGGACGGGAACCTCACCATACTTCAAGGGGTTCTTGATAATCCCCTGATATTTCATGTTGTCGTGCATTTGATATGGTGCAGTGACCTCGGCATTTCAGAATTCCTCTCCGCCACAATGTCACACCAACTCCAACAACTTGACTATGCCATCGCTGCTGTTGGAGCAGTTGTGAAGTTAGCGCTGCGGGAACAGATTCCCCATCCACCGGTTATCCTGCCATTCACGCAGCTTGAAGGGAGTGAGACTTTCAACACTATTGTGCGCTATATTGGTGACCTGGACAGTGTCCAGAAAATCATACTCGACCATCAGAAATCTCACATGCTTAATGTTGGGAACTCGCAGGTCCTGTCGACCAATGTATTAGCTCAACTTGACATGATGATGGCTGGGGTACAGTAGATATCACATAGTGTGTGTAGTTTTTTTTTAGCTCAGTTCGTACATGATCACAACGTCTATTGCTATCGACTAATTAGTACTAAGTTTGTCGGCAGTCCATTGAATAAGTAAAGTACAAATAGCCGTATCGATTTTTCCTAGCTCGCGTTTGCGTCCGGATGGCGTCCATGCTGATTTGACACAATACAACACCTCCACACTTGGGCTTCGACATCCTCCTCCACTCGTCACTCAACCTGTCTCCTACCCTTCACCGTCTACTTCTCTTTCCCACTTGTTTCCCCTCCACCTCCTCTATTTTCCTTTGGATGTCGTCATTTCTCTGTCTTCTCAGTGTAGGGGGAAGTTGGTCGGCGAGTGTGAATGATCTCTTCGAGTAGCTTCGAAATGAAGTATGTATTGATTTGGATAAAAGAACGCTCGATTAAAAAGGAACTATGGAGTGAAATTGGTGTAAAAAATTAAAGGGAGTGGTGAGTGGCTCTTTTAAAAGAAAAACTGCAAGTGCGAGTAGGGAAGTGCAAGGTATAATGAACTCGACTCATCGCGGCAGAGAGAAAATGAATGCGGGAAGGGAATAGCGTGTTCATTCAGCTGGATGTATGGTACCAAAACATTCTGGCAGGCTATCATCCTTACGATGATGAAATTGAAGCTGAGTGCCCAGGCCCTGGACTAATCCAAAAGAGATGCTTGAAATTGTGCTCATTTTGGAACCGGTTGGACAGGAATTTTGCCCAGTGGCGACGGCACCATCCCTGCAAGATATATAAATATTAGTACTGAAGCTGGTGCAGGGCAATTAGCTATTCCCCCATTACATTCTTTACCGCTTCAAAATCTATCCACTCATTTACTATACCCTTCAGATTAGCATGCCACGCAGCAATGATACAGGTTCTGGTCAGCCCGCCGGGAGTAAGTACTTACCACTATAACAAATCCAAACCATTGTGAATACCTGTTACTGCAATAGATGAACAAGGCACCAAAAAAGAGCTATGCCCAGAATGCAGGTCATTATATGATTGAACCAGTTGAAAAGCATCACTTACAGTTACTGGATGACTACCAAACCACATCGGCAGCGCCCCGCTGCAGAAAAGGCCACGGAGAAAAAACCTAAGCAAAGGAAAACCCAGGTGTCTGCAACTGGCAAGCATGGCCATGGCAACCATACCCCAGACTCCGGGCCTGTACCTAAAAAGCGTCAAGGTAAGTGTTTGAACTAGTTTAGCATCTTAGTACACTTACATCAAATGTACATAGTTGTGGGTGAGGCATCCAAAGGTTGCGACTCGACAGAAGCACATACCAGCAAGAAGCGCTGACTCAGTGAGCAATGATCTGAACTAATGCCTTGATGACTAATCTATGGTGTTTAGTTGCCAAACCGCATGCCGAATCCGATTCCGACATCGATGGCAATGAAGGCTGCATCAACACTGTCAAGCACAAGAAAGGTCAGTCAGCTTCAACTTGACGGTATCTAGTGGTTCAGCAACCTTACAGGTTTGGCAGGAAAAGAAAAGGAACAACGGTCAGGCTCTTCCCAACAGGCGATCGACAATGTATTTTTAATGGACGAGCCCATCGAGGAGATCTCTGATTTTCAACCTAGTTGCAATGACTCAGAGGAGGACAGCGAGGAGGAGGAGGAAATTGAAGACAACTTGGATGAGCCCAAGTCCTTATCAGCCGAAGTAAGTGTCATTGTCGCAGTTACTGTTCATAGCAACTGATCACACCTTCAATTGGCTTCCCTCAGACACCGGTATTTGTTTCGATGTCGAAGGCCGAACATGCTGACCTCCCTTTGACCCAACAAATCTGGCCTTGCACAGCTGCCTCAAAGAAGCTGATGCGGACAGCTGAATCGTTCCCCTTCCCGTTGGCTCAACCAAGGACTAAGATAAGTTGACTCGAATTTTTATTTCTGTGTTTAAATTATAATACCACCCCAGAAAACAAAAACTCAGTCTGCACGCGATCATAAACGGGCAAATGAGGTGAGTGAAAGTTCTCTCGCGGTTATTTCTGCGTTCAAATGGTGTTATGGATCCTCTGCAGACACCTGTCTAGGCAGATATTCAAGTTGTTGGGTCGGACGAGGAACCTGATGTCATCATGCTGTCAGATGACCACAGTGACGTCGAGGAGGACGGCCCAGATGCTCATGCTGATTACTCTGGAAGGCCCAGACTTGTATGGACAGAGACCGGTAAGCTAAAGCTAATGGACCAGGATATCAACACCCGTCGTATGGTCCAAAGAGCGATATTGGAGGCAAAAGTGCACATGACATTTGTCAACGGCTATCCGGAGCTTACTGAGAAGAGCCTGTTTACGCGGAACGCACTCTTAACAGCAGCTCGTGCCTGCGGTGTTTCGCCAATCCAGGATCGCCTCAAGACTGATGATTCATATGTGACGGCTCTCGCCACGCTGGTACGCTCACGAGTTAGACTCTCTGCAATGTTACTAGTTGGTTGAACCTCACTCATACAGATTGAAGCCCGGGTGCCCCTTTTCCGCACTGAATTAAAAGACAATGCTTGCGCCCAAGTGACAGCGTATTATCATCTTGGCCCTGATTGTGTCGACACTGCGAAGGCCCTGCTGGTCAACCACATCTACCATTATGAACAGCATTTCAATGTAGGTTGCTATGTTCTGGGTTATGCATATTGATTTGCTCAGTGCCATACGCACTCTCCAGGAGAAGAACGACCCCATTCCACAGCCAAAGAAGCCATACTTCACTGATATTCTACCATATCTGATGAAGGGGTGCTACTTCAACGGGCTAAAGTCAGTCAGCATGAAATTTTCAGATCGCTTCAAGGAGATCGCAAACAACAAGGCCCAGTGGCCCGAGGTTACAATTCCAATGGTTGTGTTAACCAGTACTTCAGTATAATTATTGATCTACTCCCAGTCCAAGTCTATGTACTAACAATGAGTGTATAGGTGTATGCCGCACTCTTCTGGAAGGCTAATGGATCCCCCTCTAAGTTCAATTTCACTGGTAATCTATTCAGCGAGGTCTACTTTTTTCACGTGAAATTTCTTGAAGACATGAAGGTGACGGCGCCACGCAAGTTTCACAAGATGATGGCCGACATTTTCGAGGCTATCCAGTGAGTTCATTTCCATGCTGCACTAACTCATCTGTCCGAGTCTCACACCTCACAAGGAAACTCTGCACCAATAGCAGCGCTGCTTTAGTAGGATCACACGAGTCTGCGATGGCTTTCCTCGATATCGACGGCATGGATGATGAGGAGTAGATTTCCAGGTTGCGGTCTCGTTTTACATAATCGCATTTGTCACATCAAATATTGTTCTTAACGCTCCTTTGTTGTCTCGCATTCTATGCTGATATACCCCTCGTTTAATGAAAACTTAATTTGTTCTTGTAAAACGTTCGAACGAAAGCAACGAAAACCTGGACAAACCGTCAATAAAATCCTTGAGAAGTCCCTGAATTTCTTTAAAATTATCACTAAATTAGTGCGCACAGGTAAGGTCTGGTGGGGCAGTAAAAAAGGTTCTCTAATCTGCTAAGTTGTCTACTTTTGCAAAATTATAACGAGTTAGAGCAAAGTGTATTAAACTTGACATACTTAGTCTAGGTTTGTATCGGAGGGTTTTCCTGATGCTCTCTGAGAGAATATGGGAAATTTGAACTGCGAAGGAGAAGACACACCGAAGATCTCCCTCGATCGAACTGATACCTATCCATTTTAATCTCGTCACTCGTTCCGCCGCGAGAGGTATACTCGAAACACCACTGCCTGCCCCACCCCGCCCACTATACTTGGAGGATCACTAGCCCTGCGACAATCCAAGCGAGTGTTATAACTGGATTATCTGTTAGTGCGTCTTGAAACTGGGATTGTGGACGGTCAGAATCAGCGAATGATGGCCAGAGTAAGAGAGAGGTCTGGGGTAGGAAGAGGGCTGTGAACGCTACGATGCTGGTGTGGACGCCAACGACGGAGGTGTACCTTGCATATGGGGAGAACGCGTATTGAACTTCATGTATGGAAGATTGAACTACGGTCTTTGCGGGTTTCGCAGGCATCTCAATGAGTGACTCTGAGTCGCGATACCCTATTAATTCCTGTACCCTACTAAAGACTCAAGAGGGTGCAAGTCTGGAAAAAATATCTGACATCCCGCGGCTCACGCCGGCCCGTCAGCCACAACCTCATCGGACTTTACTAGGTTTGTCAGGACTCAGCATGAATCGAGCTCGCTGTCTTCTTCGTTGTGCTCCCTGATCATGGTATAGTCCTTTGGAGGTCGCAAATGCAAGCAGGGAAGTGACAGGAAGACATCGAGTTATTTTTTGGCTGCTGCGGTGTGATATAAAACAAGATTCATAACGAACAAAGACATGTAAGTTCTATATCACTGTCTCCCTTTGTCTTCACATATAATCTCGTGAATTTTTGATCCCCCACTCGAAGATATGCGAATACCGCATCCTGACAAAATGATTACCATGAAACCTATGGTGATATTACTTACCATAGTACTAGATTTTTTTTGTATCCGTGTTTATTGTCCGTTGGGGCGTGGCCCTATAGTAGACAATACCTAGCCAAATGTAACGTGTGTACAAGTCGGCAAACTTCATCGGATTTCCCAGGCCGCATATGATATGATACCAGTATGATACGACCTGGATCTCCTCGGTCAGAATGATCGAATGCGGGGTCGTGCATGCCTTTGGCTAGCGATTTGCATGATGCGCTTCCCATTCATCTGTGGAATCTCCCGCGCGTCTGGGCCGCGTAAATATGATATCTCGCTCAGAATGATCGAATGCCGATCATCACAATACGAAGAACTTGGATATCACTATCACCAAACCGATCCAAACGTTCTAAAGTTAGAGCAAATATACTGCATGCTCAGTGATTTATCAAAGACAAATTCGGAACGCCGCTGTTGTGTCGTTGTTTATTCTGACTTCTCAACGACACTACAGTTGTACAAGGAGCCTGCGGCATGCGTCGTCCGTCTCTTGTACCGAAATACTACATGCGGTATTCCTTATACGGCGTTCCGAAGTTGTCTTTGATAAATAACTGCGGGCATGCAGTATATTTGGTCTTACTCTAATGAACGTTTGGATGTTTGTGTGACAGTACAATACGTCATATCTAAGTTGTGGTGATCAGCATTCGATCAATATTCTGAGCGAGGAGATCTAGGTCGTACCATATCATACGCGGCCCGGGAAATCCGATAAAGTTCGGGTTTGTGTGGAACGCGCGAGAGATTCCGCAGGTCACGGTGGGTGAGTGAGAAGCGCACCATGCAAATCGCTAGCCTGAGCCAAAGGCCACGATCCCATGTGCTCGTAGGGAGGCAATATTGCATGGACACCCAATGGTAACATCCTGCGAGACCATCCGATGCCGAAGGACAGATTCATTGGGTGTCCATGCATGACATGCATTATGAGTGGGCTCAGTACTAGAAAGTACTTCTATCTGAACACGTCCTGCACAGACAGACAGGCAGACATATGTGCGTGCGTGTGTGTGTGTGTATCATTGAAGCGAGAGTGAGTTCTGGGGATGGTACGCGCTGAGCACCGGCTTCGTCATGATACTGGTGCAGGAACGGAAGCGGTGATAGAGGGTGTGCTCTATGTAGGCTCTGTAGCGTGAGTGAGGATAGCGCGAAGATCCAGAAGCGCAGCTATACTGACATGCCCGCGTTCAGGCCTACAATATATAAGTCAAAGTCAATCCCAAATTCCAAATTCCAAAGAACACTTAAAACTTACAAATCATGTAACCCCTACTCCAACCACGAAGCCTTTCTGGAACCAAGTACGTCAGTTTCAGAGACGCACTATAGAGGCGGCCGCCCCGATGACTATGACACGCACCTCCGGAACCAGAAAGACAGCCCTTCCGACGCCAGTGGCGGAGGCTCAGGTGAGGAGATTCAACGTCATACGTATAGTGCACGCAACAAAACCGGTGTAACCGAGTGAACGCCCAGAGTAGTTATGTGGTTGACAGTACTGACACAGAAACGACAAAACTACTCGGAGGGCTCACCACTGCCGAGGAAGAGGGATGGGGTTCCTGCGAGGCGTTCATAGTCAGATGAGCTAGTGATGAAATCATGGATGGCTCACTATAAATACAATTGCCAGCAATTTCTTTTTGTCTGAGAACTAGCGTTGGCGGATCCCCGAAGTGAAGCCCAACGAACTTGGAAGGTACTAGAACTGAAGCACAAGAGTGAGATTCACAATGAGATGCAGGGCACCGCGTGTATGATGTTGGAAGTAACGATAATGATCGATGAATAATATCCCATGGTGGGTCGAGCGATATATATTGTTACTTCGCGCCTAGCCACCACGAGATATCTGTATCGGATGCAAGGGTTGATGATGTGTGTAGAAGCAAAAGAAGAGGGTAGCGCGATACAGGGAGATAAGGGACTAGTCGTGGATGAGCATCATGATCGACGAAGGATAGCTCGTAGTAGGTTGGACAATTGTATACTCGTCCCGCCTTCCTTGAGGCATCCTGCATTGGATGCAAGGGATCATGCATATTATGTACGTAGACTCTAGAGGCAGAAAGAAGGGTGGTGCGATGTAAAAAGACACCACGATGTGCGACGCGGACAAGGGACTAGCTATGGGTGTGCATCATAATCAATGAAGAATAGCTCGTTGTGGGTAGATCAGGGACTACGCAACACGAAGACATTCTGCATTGAATGCCTAGAAGAGGATAATGGCTAGCGGTATGCCATGGCGCTCGAGAGTAGCTGCGAGCAGCGTCAAGATGATGAAATCGAGTAAAGGGATGAAGTGGGAAGGGATGAAAGTTGAGTATAACCCGTGATGGATCGAGAAATGCCGACTCCCACTGTGAGAGAGAGATGTATAGAGGTAAATGTGCAGAAAGAAGACAATGTGCATGCGGCAGGTGATGAAGTGAACGAGCCAAAACGAGCATCACGTGGAAGAAGGATAGCCCATGATGGATCGAGCAATTACTGATTCAAGTTCAGAACCTCCTGGCCCACCACGCGGTACCCCGCGTCGAATGTAAGGGGTGTAGACTCTCGAGGCCGGAATGATGACAGTGCGATGTGACAAGGGACTAGCGATGGACGTCGATAATCGATGAAGTATAACTTGTGGTAGGTTGAGCGATCGTTTGACAAACAGAGTATCACCTACCACGACGTATCCTTCGCTGGATACAGGAGAGACCTGACCATGAAGAAAATAGTAGATAGTGGCGTTTGAGAGCATAGCTGTTGTAGTGCAACCAGCGTTCGAACGTTCAAGGTGAACTGGAATAAGCGGAATGAGTGTGAAGGGATGAAGCATAAGTATACACATAGCTCACGGTGGATCGATGACGACAACCACGAGGTATTCTGCATTGAATGAGAGGGATACGTGTGAAGGCACAGAAAGAAGAAAATGTGGAGCGTACCATACGATGGCGTGCTGTGATTGTCGCAGCACTGAAGACGGTGGTGGAGTGGACGAGCTTAGGTAACGAAATATTTGTGGGAGCCTTCCATGAAGAGGATGCAAGAGACGGACAACGTACTTCCAGCGGATAGCTAGAACAAACAATGGCGTTCCGTTCGTTGTCGATGTCCTGGTCTAATGTGTCAATCAATGAACATCGCACAATATTGACGTCGGCGTGCTTACTTGGATCAATTTGCTCTGATGAACGTCTGGATCGGTGTAGTGAGAGTGCGACTCTGAGCGGGGAGATCCCGTTCGTATGGTATGGTATCGGACGCGGGATTCCGATGAAGTTCAAGTTCTGTGTGGAGCGTGAGAGATTCCGCAGGTGAACATCAGGAAGAGGAAGATGGGCTCCATGTGAATAAGAAGAAGCGTGTCATGCCCATCACCAGCCACACGCATCATATGCTGGACCCGTAGGATAGGAACTATTGCTCTGTTCGTATCCTCAGGGACCTGCAGCATGCATTGCACTTAAGTGGGCTACTTCTCTGAAGACGTCCTGCACACCCACATATATATACCTGAAGTGAGAGTGGGTTCCGAGAGTGATAAACGCTGAGCACCTGACTTGATAGTGGTGCAGGAACAGAATCGATGATAGAGGGCGTGTTTGATGTTCTGTGGCGTTAATGAGGATGTTACGAAGATTCAGAAGCGTGGGTATCTGCATTCAGGCTCACAAGTGATAATATAAGTCAAAATCGAAGCCAATCCTGCACCCGCAAATTCCAAAGAACACTTACTTACAAGTCATATATCCCAAATCCTGAGCAGGAAGTCGTCCTGGGGCCAAGTGCTTCAGCTTCAGAGACGCACTTTGTAGTTTACTTACTTCCGGATGCATAAAGTCCGGCTGCCTGGTGAGACTACAGTATGGTGAGGAGGAGTTCAACGTAGTTCATCTACAGAGGGTATCCCTAGCGACTCGTGCATGCAACAAAACCGGTATATTCAGGTGAGCAATCGTTATATTGACGGTACGTCGCCGATATTCGGGACTACTCGGGGAGGTCCCTGCGAAATGTGATGTTCATAGTGACGCGGATGTGGGAAATCATGGATGGCTTACGGTGAAGTGGCGGATAAACATAGTTGATCTATTTCCATCTATGAAATGCAGCTTATGTTGCGGCGGAACGAACGAAGATGGTGGGACTTGGAAGCGGAAGTGTGAGATTCGCAAGGAGAGGCATGGGGGGCACCACATATGCGATGTGCGATAGGGATAGGGACTGGCCAGAATGAGGATCATCATCGACGAAGAAAAGCTCTTGGCAGATTGAACAATGGCTGAACTCAACCTAACACGAGGTATTCTGCGTCGGATGCAAGGGCTCGCGATAAAAGAGGGTAATGTGATGCAGACACGATGTAAGAGATAAAAGGATTAGCCATAAGATACTTGGTGGTGGGGTGAAGAATTGATCAATGGACTACGAGGTATTGGTAGACGGTGGCATGACGTTGCATGCCAGCTGAGTGCGAACGCCGAAGGGATAGCAACCGTGGGAAGGGAGATGTGTAGCTGTTCCGCTAGCTCTGACGAAGGACAGACTTTGAGTCTATGCGGCGTTGTCAACGAACGTGGTTAATTTCGGGTTCCAATCAAATCGCGTCGAATTGTTTGATCGATGAGTTGATGAAATAGTTTTGGTGCAGTTGTGTGTGTGAAGCTGGCGCCAGCGGAGTAACCCAATTGATGAACCAAATTGAGCATGCATCCTTCAAAAACTAGTCAATCCGATTAACTTATCATATCCCTTATAAACCTGCTATAACCAGTCCAGTCCTTGGATCGCTTTTCGACCATGGACACATTCGCAGAACCATACACACGCGCAGGAGACGACATTTCACTTGACGCAGTTCGTGATCATGTTAGAGCACTCGAAGCACGACACAAAGCCAACGGCGTTCAATTATCAGGCCGTATCATTCATGTCTGCCATTATCTTCCTGTAACTTGCACCATCACTTCCACCGCTGCAAAAGATGGCGTACTCAGTCCACCTCCTACACCTCCTCGTGTTCTTGCAGATGTACCACCAAGCCCATCCGATGAACTCCCTCCACTTGCTCTACCCGCTCAGCCTGAACGTTGGAAAGTAGCTCCACGCTACGGACACAGCGCAATGACGAGTGGTATTCGTAGTCTCAGCGTCACACACGAACAAATCATTCTGGGATGGACGGGCGACATTCTATCACCTGCTGCTCCACCCGATGGGAATTCTTCTCCAGATGGTCATTCACTCCACTCTCATTCATCATACGCACTAACACATCTCCACAGGTGACGTCAACCCATCCACTGGTGAACGTGTTCCTTCTGTTCGCGACCGTGTCCCATCTTCTCGTATCTCTCACGAGGACAAGGATGCACTCGAAGTCGAGCTCGCTCACTACATTGACAAGAACGGTCTTGAACCAGAAACTGGTAAACCGATCAGTTATCTTCCGCTCTGGATGGAAGACAACGTCGCACACGGTCATTATGATGGATATTGCAAACAAAGTTAGTCCTTGTCTATATCAGGCACAGCTCTTCTTGATCTACCTCCATCATCTACTTTTGGCCCTTGTCACCTCGTTTTTCATACTTCTTTCCTTCTTTGGTTCACCTCCCTCGCCTTTCTCCTATTCCACTCCGTTGGCACTTTGATCCTATTTGATTTCATCTGCTTACCCATCTCGTCCAATCTCCTTCATTTTCTACTTCGACTTCCTAACCTTGTTCTCGCTTCTTATTACTACCGGCCCGGGCCACCTTCTTTCCATCCTTGCTAACTCCCACCCAGCTCTATGGCCCCTCTTCCATTACCTCCTCTGGCAGGACGTAGCAACAGAGCATGCCAGTGCTGACGCTAATTACGACTATTATGAACAGGTGCGTTCGCTTACTTTGATCCGATCATCTTACCCATACACCACTCCACCAAAAGGCCAACCAAGCTTTCGCAACACGCCTCGCTAGCGTCCTCAAACCAGGCGACCTCGTCTGGGTCCATGACTACCATCTCCTCCTAGTCCCTCGCATGGTCAGGAATGCAATGCATTCCGGTGCTGTGAGCGGCGTGGGCGGGGAGAATGGCGGGGACGTGTACGTGCTTCCTCGATCGAGGAGGACACGAGTACTAACATACACACCACAGCACCATCGGTCTATTCGTACACACGCCTTTCCCTAGCTCGGAAGTGTTTAGATGTTTACCGCGTACGTCCCTCTCTCTTTTCCCTCGATCCACTAATATACCCCACCCAGGCCGCAAAGAAATCCTCGACGGAATGCTAGGCGCCAACCTCATCTGCTTCCAAACCTACAGCTACACCCGCCACTTCACATCCACCTGCGTTCGCGTGTGCGGGTATGAAGTTACTAGCAAGGGTGCTACGGCTGCCTCTGCTAGTGCGTCCCGGAGCGCGAGCGTTGTTCCGCGTAGCACGACTGCAACTGGGATTGAATTCACCCGCAGTGGAAAAGGCAAGAAAGGCGGAGCCGGCGTTGAGAAATATGTCGGTATTGATGTACAGGGACACGTGGCTTCTGTTACGCATTGTCCCGTGGGGGTGGATGCGGAGAGAGTTGCGAGGGATACGTGAGTTTTTGTTTTTGTTTTTGTTGGGGAGTGCTGATGCGCACGCACACAAACCAGTCTCCGCGCAGGCGTCCAACCGAAACTCGAAGCACTCCGCGCCCTCTACGCAGATAAGAAGATCATCGTAGGAAGGGACAAGTTAGATGTCGTCAAGGGAGTTTTGCAAAAGGTGATTGTTCTTTCTTACATCATGGTATCGTCGTTGACTAACTGGTCGTTGCTTGTACCATCGTCCAAACTGACGTTATAACACCAGCTCCGCGCGTTTGAAAAGTTTTTGCATGATTACCCCGAGTGGCAGCGCAAAGTCGTGCTCATTCAAGTATGTACTACCATCCGTTTGCAATTCGTGATCTAAATATTGATAAACGTTGCAGGTGACGTCTCCTGCGTTAACAGACTCTCCAAAGCTGGAGCGTCAAGTCTCCGAACTTGTCGCACATATCAATGGAGAGTATGGGAGTTTGGATTTTATACCCATACACCACTAGTGCGTGCACCTTCATCATGTCTTTACGTGTCTAATTTTTTGTACGCATTTCCTTCCACACATAACCTCTGCGCAGCCACCAAACCCTCAGAAAGGACGAGTTCTACGCGTTGCTGAGCGCTGCAGACCTTGGAGTAATCACGCCCCTCAGGGACGGAATGAACACGACCTCGATGGAGTTCGTGATCGCACAAGAGCGCACAAAGCGCTCTCCACTCGTATTGAGCGAGTTTATGGGTATCAGCCAGCACATGGCTGATGCGCTCCAGGTGAACCCCTGGGATCTTGGGGTGCGTATCATCTGCCCATTCAGACCATCTTTGTGTTATTGACAACTGTGTGGTGAGTAGGATGTGGCAGCTGCCATGAACCGCGGGTTGGTCATGTCGGAGGAGGAGAAAGCTTCAAGACACGCTGCGTTGCACTCGGTCGTGACGACTCACACCTCGCACACGTGGGCTGCAGTCCTTGCCAAGATGCTGCTCTCGCAGATCAACGGACAAAACACCGCACGTCAGACGCCTTACATCCCTAGAGACAGTCTCAAGACACTGTATGAAAATGCCGGGAAGCGTTTGTTCTTGTTCGATTACGACGTGAGTGGGATGAAGGACAGTACAGGGCTCGTCGTTGATATTTGACGGATAGGGCACGCTCACGCCGATCGTCAAGATGCCATCGATGGCTCTTCCTTCTCCTGATGCACTCACAGCCCTCGCGAAACTGTCATCCGACCCTAACAACATCGTATATATCGTATCCGGCCGTGACCAAGCGTTCCTCGAGGAACACCTAGGCCATCTCCCACGTCTCGGGATGAGCGCAGAGCACGGAGGATTCATCCGTTCGCCTGATAGCGCTGTGTGGATGAATTTCACCGCCACTCTTGATATGAGCTGGATGGAGGAAGTAGCGGAGATTTTTAGGTATTATACGGAGCGCACAACTGGCAGTCATATTGAGATGAAGAAGAGCTCGATTACGTGGCATTATCGGTCGACTGATCCAGAGTGGGGGTGCGTGTTTTTATTCTTGTCTTTGTTTTTCGTGGAGCTGATGAATGGTGGGTGGATTGTAGACTGTTCCAGTGCAGGCAGTGCCAGGATTTATTAGAGAATAACGTGGTGCCCAAGAGGCCGATCGAGGTGCTCGTGGGTAAGAAGAATCTGGAAGTGAGGCCTATCGCCGTGAACAAGGTCTGTATACGCGGTCTTTGACATATGTGCAGACTGACTGATAGCTCATACAAGGGTGAGATCGTCAAGCGCATATTATACCAGAACCCTGGGGTCGAGTTCATATTTTGCGCTGGTGACGATAAGGTCTGTTCCATCCCTCCCTCCTCCCCCCACTTCACTCACTCACTCACTCACCCTCCAACAGACCGACGAAGACATGTTCCGCGCCTTACTCCTCTTCCCCCCTTCCTCAACTGGCAAAGCGACGATGGAACCCCCGCTCTCAGTAATGCTCGTCGACAACACCAAGGAGCACAGCGACGTCGAGCTTGCGGTATCTCCCGAAGCTGTGTTCACGACTGCTGTTGGACATAGCAGCAAGCGGACGCTCGCGAGTTGGCACGTGACGACGCCTGAGGAGGTCGTGGAGCATATGTTGCATCTGGTTGGAGAGGTGCCGAAGGGCCCGGGGGAGGAGGTGAAGGGGTATATGTGAGTCTTGCGTCGTGCCTTGTCAATCGCATTGCATGCGTTGCGAATCTTGTTGCGGTATAGAATTTTTTTCGGTTTAAAATATTTGTAGAATGTGTTGAGAACATTCATGTGCTTGTACATGCCCCTAGAATTTCTATAGAACAATGATTACTTGTTTTGCGAGATGTCGTTGATTCTGGGAGTCTGGAGAAGAGCGAGGTTGATCGTACTTGCCCTGTCATTCAGGACATGACTTTCTCGGCTTATATGAACATACTGTAAATACTAGAGCAATCGATGAAGTTGCGAAGACTATTCTGAGAGTAGATATTATTGTACGATATTGGATTCCCATGTAAAATAACTACGGTATCAAGGTAATCCTACAAGAGCCTACAACAGGGACATCGACGGGATGAAAGACAATCCAAGACTAACAACTTATATAGTAAATCTGTAGCAAACCAAAGCAATACGACATTCTAGAACTACACACCGATATGAATGAAAACGATCCTCTGCTCGAGCGGCACCTTCCTCTTCACGACGTACGTAGCATGGTTGAGTGCCTGCGCCGCCTTCCTACAGTCCATGACACCTCCATCCTCCAGATCCTCAAACACCTTCTCATAGAAAGCCGTCACGACGTGCTTCGCGACAGAGTCGTCGACCTCCCACAGCGTGCCAATGACGCTCTTGAACCCAGAAAACTGCAGTCCAGCCGCAAGGTGGATGACTTCGTCAGGCGTCTCCTCATCGCCCACGGCGGTATGACACGCCGACAAGAACGCGAACTCAGCGTGCGGAATGTCTTGTTCCATGATGTCAAGCAGCGTGAGAGGTGTGTCTCTCATAGCGAAATGAGAATTGTAAGGCTGCTCATGGTCTTGCTTGCCATGACAAGCGAGATGCACCCATGTGTTCCGTTGCAGAGCTTCTAGTGCACCTGCTCGCGTGGCATTATCGCCGGAGATAGTGGTGGGGTTGGCTGTCGCGGGAACGAGGCTACAGACAAGGTCGAGCTCGTCGTCGACAGCTAAGAGCGCCTTGCCTTGCCCTACCCCCGGTTGACCCTGTCCGATTGCCACAAAAGAAGGGAGCACAGGCTCCTCCATTGACTGTTGAGCTCTGATCAGAGCTGAAAGTGTTGGAGTATATGAGCAGATGTAGATATCTTCCAGGCAGTATTCCGGCCCAGAGTCATCTGCATTCATCCGAAATGAGTTAGCTGCGTGGAGAGGGATCGACGTGAAGTCTGCAGTCGGACACAACCAGATTCGAGACCGGCGCTGCAATGTGAGACCACGCTCAAGTACGTCGACGATGGGTAGCATTATCTCATCCCATACTACCCGTAAGAGTTCTCGCAGATCCTTCCTCTTCTCCTCTGGGCGCATACCAGCCGAGTGCTTTATCGCCTTAGCGAAATCACCCTTGAGCCTCTTAAGATGTGTGAGAGTGATGCGCGGGAAATGGACGTGATGGGGATCTCCTGATGTCGGGATAACAAGGGCGCTGCATGAGTATTGACTGGCGACGAAGATGATGACTGGGCCATGACGCGCTGCCGCTTGCAAGTCATTGTACGAAAGCGGGAGCAGGAATCGTGAGAACGCCCGAAGATTACGGATTTGAGCCACTGCAGCGTCCCATTGCCTTGTAAGTCGCCTGTACTCGGTTGCTGCCCGATCAGCAGCAGCTCTGTCTGTGCTGGCTGCGGAACCCTGAGCATCAGAAAGGCTCTTTCTGAGCTCTGAGAGCTTGCGAACTAGCTCAAGACTCGTGGACTCCAGGTCATCGAGAGGTGTTCTGAGTCGCGAGGCCAGCGACCACTGCTGGCCACGGCCCTGCTCCACGAGTTCGACTGCCTGTCGTAGATTGTCACGACGGATGGCACATGAGGCTGCATCTACTGGCAGTGACTGTGCGCCGTGGAAAGTGGTTGCAGCCTCGCGTCGTGAGATGATCGACGATCGTGTCATCACATAGTTGTCAAAAAGTTCCAAGCATATTTGGTACGCTTCGAGGGCAGATTCATGTTGATAGACTTCTGCTTGGCGAGCCCAATCAATAGCCTCCTTTATGCGTTCTGGAAATCCTTCAGTTGGGTGTTGCGATGCCAGTCTGAAGTTCTCTATAGCGAGTGGCAAATCGGTAGACTTGCGTTGCACTCGATAGCGAGACAAGTAGGCTTCTTGCAACCACATGTAGCTGAAATGTCTATCTGGGTGCAGTGAAGGTAAAGCCTCCAACGACTCTTGGCAGAGTCGAATGGCCTCCTCGATATCTTCATTCTTCTGAGTTTTTGTGAAACGAGAGCGAAGTACTGAACTCAAATTGTAGAGATTTCTATGACGCTCTGGATGGTCAAGCCGCGTTAACCGAAGTGATTCGCGGTAAAGATTGATGGCCTCGTCGAGATCCTCGCTGACATCCAAATTGTCATATCTGATATTGAGCGTGACAGCAAGGTTGTTAAGCATGGTGTCATGATCTGGATGCCCAGGTGGGCTCGACATCAGTGCCTCGCGACAGAGGCTGATAGCTTTGCTAATGTCATCAACATCACCACGTTGGGTGAAACGGACGTGGAGGGCGCCCCCTAGCCTGTTCAATGATTTATAACGAGTTTCGTGCCCAACAGGGCACATGCGCAGCGCTTCTTCATATACACAGGTGGCTTCGTCAAGGTCATGGGATCTGCCTTGGTGATCAAAGCGGAGTCGGAGTGATAAGCCCAAGTTATTCAAATAGGTAGCACGGCTGGTATGTTCCTCGGGGTATAGAGAAACAGCTTCGCGACTAACTCGTATGCTCTCGTCTATGTCATCAATGCTGCCGCATTGTTGAAAGCGTAATTGGAGAGCCCTTGAAAGCTTGTTGAGTGCGTCTGGACGGTTTTGATGACCCGGAGGACAAAGCTGGAGTACGATTCGTCGGAGGTGGATGCCTTCATCGGATGCGTCGGTTGGACGATTGTTGCATGCGCGGATCACATAATCGACGCCATTTGCCCCTACCGCGATGCCACGAAGGTAAGTGCCCTCTGGACAGAGGGGCAACAGCTTGCAGTACAGTTGGGCGGATTCATGGATATGGACGGCAGTGCCCTCCTTGAGGTAGCGCCAGGTCAGCGCTTTGGTGAGGTAATAGAGCGATAATGGATGATCGGGGTGGCCCTGCGGACGCAATGCAAGGGCGTCGCGGAAGAGGGAAGTGACAGAGTCAATGTCTTGAAAATCCTTTCGAATGTAGCCTATGAGGCGGACCCACGCAAGGTTGGTGAGAGCCGCTGCGCGGTCGGGATGGTCGACCGGATACTGGTCCAGAACCGACTGAAAATGCTCTACAGCATCGTTCAGTTGAGAGACCGTCTTGCTTGTCACATATTGAGCAAATCGGGCGTGGCCTGCATCTGTGTCTCGACCAATCTCGCAGTCTACTATGGACTACAGTTGATATTCCGTCAGCAAAAGCCGACAGCACAGAGACTGATGTGACTCACGTCAAACAGTGCGCCGTCCTGATCGTCACAAGGATGTAGAACAGCGGCCTTCAGCATGAGGGAAGGGTGATCGCCACAAACTGATGGGAAGGATAATTCTACAGGATGTTAGTAGTGTGCATGAATGAAAAGTAGGGTGATCACCGAAAGGTTCATCTCCAGGATGGAGCAGCTCATCCCATGATGTTTCGAGTTTTCCAACGACTTCTCCACTGCCTAACATTCGACCGAGCTCATAGGATGACCTGATCTCCATCGATAATTTAGGTGCGTCGCGTAACGATCTACAAACGGACAATCAGCCCTCGAATCGCATATGAAAGTCAATATGGACTTTACAAAGTCATGACATCGCCTAACACTTCAGCTTCGTTGGATGAAACCATTCGGACGGGTGATTTCCAGCGCCTCCTCGAATCGACATTAATGGACACGTAAAAGCCTGCGGGTACGCGCCCGGAAGGGTGTGGAAGATCATTCACCCTGATGACTGTACATGATAGGATAGGGCGCGATGATGAGATACAAAGGTGATAGAGTAACCCACGTTCAAGTCTGATGTAACTGGCCCTCCCAGCTACCGGGCATGATGGTGGAATGACGCATGATGACAGGGAGGATCTAGAATGAGCTGAGCGATAGGTGGAATGAGGGGTAGAAGAAGACGGGAGGCACAGATGTGGGAACTGTAGATGAAGTTCAGGTGAAAGGGAGAGAAGCAGGTTTGAGTGAGGCCTTGAGGGTCATATTGCACGTGTAATTCCATGCTGTCGAGGGCAGTTCGGCACGATAGATGCTGATATGATTACACCAAGCGCTGAGGCCAACAAATGATCGACGAGCGGCAGTGGGAGAGCCTGTGCTATAGAAGTGGGGAGATGTCAAGGTCGGTCATCAGCGGAAGTGGCAAGCGGGGATCTCAGAGCGTTCTGTGAACCTTGCTATGAGTCTCATTGCAGGTTGGCGTTTATCACTGGGATGTACTAGTAATCATTCAGAGTACCAAGGCAAAATAGGGAATCAAAAGGATATCAACATGCACAGAAAAGCCGATCCATTATATACAAGTCATGAGCGTGTAAGTTGATGCCATGGAAGATGACCGAGAGCGCCGTGCAAATACCAGAGACAGTTTGCGAGAACATGACAAGTGGGATTATTCAGATTCAATATGAGACACTTGGCTGGATTGATCATGAGCGGACCGTTGCCAACGTTGATACAACGAGCGAGGAATTTGAAAAGCGTGACTGCGACCTCAATCATATGGTGGATATGGTGGATGATGCATGTGGTGTGCACTGTGCACAGGGCAGTGAGAAGAAAACATCATGCGGACTTTGAAAACCATTCCTTTCAAATCAACCAGCTCGAAAGCCACGAATGCTCATCACACACGGGATTGCTCCACACATCCAAATTCCTGAGCGGGCCAAGGTCTGAGTATTTTAATCCCCCCTGATCGGCTCTAGCAGAGCCCAGTTGTTAGCATCGGCTGCGTGACGCACCAGAAATGCAGCTTCATTGTTCATATCCCGAAGATTCTGTTCAAAGCACAGGAGGGTGAAAATAAAGCCTTTGAAAGGTGTCGCGGGGATCGGGCGAGTTTTTTTCTGTTGTTTCACAATCAGTCGTCGCTATCGCGCCTGCACCTGTCAAGACGGCGCTCAGCCTGAGGGATACCGTCGGAACGCTCGGCGTTCCTTGCGGGGCTACCTCAAGTCACTGCTTCCCGCGACCTCAAGACGCTGATCCGCTACCAGAAAATATTTACCGCTTGCGACTGGAGATTACAACTCCTTGCGTATGAGGTGCGGTTGATTGTATCAAGCAATGTGACTGGCTTGTCATTGAGTTCACTTCGCGGCTCATGTATCTTTCGTGGATCTTGAAACTCGATTCAGACTACTCTCGGATTGGTTGGAATTTTTTTTTCCTTCTTACTCCTTTGTGGAGTCGTTTTTACTCTCGCAAAGGACGAGTCCCTGTTATCAGATCGGCTGGACGTTGCTCATCGACGGTTGATGATGTTCAAGATTCAATCTTCCATGAGCGACGCCAGTATTGGAAATCCATTCATCGAGATATATATTGTGTATGTAGTGCTACTTGCTGTAATCCGCACTGTTTCTTTCATGGGCTACTGATGAGAATGATGCGCACTGGATACATTCATGCCCGCTGCTGAAAGGCATTGAAACGGAGCTGGATACAACCACCATAAACAGTCAGCACACTCGCAACCCCTTCATCGTGCTTCCACAGAGACAAAATTGTCTGCAAGAGTCCCTAGAGCCGAGCAGACGAGCAGCTGCGCACCGTGACAACCGCCAGCACATCCAAGACCCACAACCAGATTGGATCCACCCTCCCGGTCCTGCTACAAATTTACCGTAATTATTGCCCGCTATTCGAACATCCCGCCTCAAATAAAACTGGGAGAGATTTCATCCCTGATACTTCATGCTTCTGACCTCAGGCGTTATTCTGTACCGAAGGCAACACTAACTCCTTGCTATTTGGTCGTTTGCCATGGAACCTTTACCCTATCTCGCCTCAAGAAAAGCTCGCATGTACGATTACCACTATCGTCCGATCCACAACATTTCGAACATAACGTGGTTTTCTCTATCTCAGAACCTCCTTTTGGCTTACTCCACCGTAGTGCTTCCTTCATGGATGTTGATTGATGAAGAAATTATTGATCTGCGCGCCACCACTGCTACAAGAATCTACGACTACACGCTGATATAAAGAAACGTGATTTTCTACTTCAGCGGCTTCTTCCCAAGTATCGGATTCACGCACTGGGACTTTGCTTTTCGGTGTTTGCAGAGGGTACGATGATGAGTCCTCCCCGTCTTCAAATTAAATCCTCGCCTGGACATACTTCAGCAAGTGTGTTCATTTATCTCGTACGTGGCAATATCGTCGTCTACACCATTCTACAATCGAAGATGTCGCTCAAGTAAGTTGGTCTCTGCGTGAGCACCAACACCCAAGAAATTATTCCGAGTCAGGAACTGCTCTATGAGAGATAAAAATCTGTGATGCCCGCTTGGTACCATCTACATTACCGTTGTGCTGACGGTGTTCAACGCTTTCGAACAGAGGTCACAGGGAAGGACCAGGTGGTGATTCGGGGGCTGAGCGCCGTGCCCGCTAAACTCAAGCACATAAAGAAGTGAAACCGATGATATAAACTACTTGCAGTTTCCCAACCAAATATAAGATTTGTTCTCGCCACTGGAGGAACCTGAACCTAATCCTGTGAACGATGAGTGAAGTTTCGAAAGACTATTCTAAGAGTACACAATTACACGAGGAGATATCGATGCGAAGCAAGTATCAGGGCAATCTTACAATAAGTACACCAACGAGACGAAATATCAACAACAATTCGTACTAGAGCCTAGAATGAAAGCTATTCGAGACAGAACTACACACCAATATGAACGAAAACCATCCTCTGCTCGAGCGGTACTTTCGTCTTCACGGCATGTGTAGCACGATTGAGTGCCCATGCTGCCTTCGTACAGTCCATCTCGCCACCATCCTCCAAATCCTTGAACATATTCTTGTAGAAAGCCTCGACGACATGTTTTGCGACAGAGTCGTCGACCTCCCACAGCGTGCCAACGACGCTCTTGAACCCTGAAAACTGGAGACCAGCTGCGAGGTGAATCACTTCGTCGGGCGTCTCCTTATCGCCAACAGCGGTGTGACAAGCGGATAAGAACGCGAACTCTGCGTGCGGAATGTCTTTCTCCATGATATCAAGCAGCGTCAGAGGTCCATCTCTCATGACGAAATGCGAATCGTAAGGCTGCGTAGGGTCCTGCTTGCCATGACAGGCAAGGTGCACCCAGGTGTTCTCTTCCAAAGCTTGCAGTGCACCTGCTCGTGTGGCTGCATCCCCAGAAATAGTGGTCCGGTTGGCCGTCGCAGGGACGAGCTTTCGGACAAGCTCGACCTCGTTGTCGACAGCCAAGAGTGCCTTGCCTTTCCCTGCACCCGGTTGACCTTGTCCGATTGTCGCAAAGGATGGAGCGACACGACTCTTCATCATCCGTCTAGATCTGACTAGAGCTGAAAGTGTTGGCGTGTAAGAGCAGATAAAGAGATCCTCCAGGCATGGCTCCTTAGAACCATCCGCCTTTGTTAGAAAGGGGTGAGCTGCGTGCAGAGGAATAGATGTGAAAGCTGCAGTTGGACACAGCCAGATTCGAGAGAGGAATTTTAATTTCAGGACATGCTGGAGGACATGGACAATGGGTAGCATGATCTCGTTCCATACTGTCCGCAAGAGGACTATTAGATCGTTACGTGGCACTTTTGGGCCCATGATAGATGCGTGTCGTATCGCCCTAGCGAAGCGATCCTTGAGATTATTCAGATCTGTGAGAGTAACGGACGGCAAGGAAACATGATGAGGCTCTCCTGTTGTCGGGACGATGATGGCGCTGCACGAATATTGACTAGCGATGAGGATGATGACCGGGCCCTGGCGCGCTGCTGCTTGCAAGTCTTCGTACAAAGGTGGGACCAGGAATCGCGAGAAACCTTCAATATCGCGGATTTCAGTTACCGTAGCTCCCCACTGCTCCGTGAGTTTCCTATACCGTGTTTCTGCTCGATCAACGGCAGCTCTGTCTGTGCCGACTGCGAGACCTTGAGTATCGGAGAGACACTTGCTGAGCTCCGAGAACTTGCGAGCTAGGTTGGAATTTGTCAACTCGAGGTCTTCCAGTGGACTCCTCAGACGAGAGGCCAGCGACCATTGCTGGCCACGGCCCCGCTCCGCGAGTTCGACTGCAAGTCGTAGATTGTCACTGCGGATGGCACATGATGCTGCATTTACAGGCAACAATTTGGTACCACTGAAAGCAGCGGCAGCTTTGCGCCGTGAGATTGTCGACGATCGCGTTGCCAAGTGACTGTCAAGAAGGTCAAAACATGTGTTGTAGGCCTCTAACGCAGATGTATGACTGTGCTGCTCTGCTGCAGTAACCCATTTCTGGGCTGTTGTAATGCGATTTGGAAATCCTTGAGTTGGGTGCCGTGATGCTAGTTTGAAGTTCTCTACAGCGAGTGACAAATCAGTAGACTTGCGTTGCACTCGGTAACGAGACGAATAGGCTTCCTGCAAGCGCATGTAGCTGAAATATCTATCTGGGTGCAGTGAAGGTAAAGCCTCCAACGACTCTTGGCAGAGTCGAATGGCCTCCTCGATATCTTCATTCTTCTGAGTTTTTGTGAAACGAGAGCGAAGTACTGAACTCAAATTGTAGAGATTTCTATGACGCTCTGGATGGTCAAGCCGCGTTAACCGAAGCGATTCGCGGTAAAGATTGATGGCCTCGTCGAGATCCTCGCTGACATCCAAATTGTCATATCTGATTTTGAGCGTGATAGCAAGGTTGTGAAGCGCGGTGTGATGATCTGGATGCCCGGGTGGGATTAACATCAGTGCCCTCGCGACGGAGGCTGATAGCTTCGTTAATGTCATCAACATCACCACGTCGGATGAAACGGACGCGGAGGGCGCCCCCTAGGGTGTTCAATGATAAATAACGAGTTTTGTGCCAACAGGGCACATGCGCAGCGCTTCTTCATATACACAGATGGCTTCGTCAAGGTCATGGGATCTGCGTTGGTGATCAAAGCGGAGTCGGAGTGAGTAGCCCAAGTTATTCAAATAGGCAGCACGGCTGGTATGTTCCTCGGGGCATAGAGAAACAGCTTCGCGACCAACTCGTATGCTCTCGTCTATGTCATCAACGCTGCCGCATTGTCGAAAGCGTGATTGGAGAGCACTTGAAAGCTCGTTGAGTGCGTCTGGATGGTTTTGATGACCCGGAGGACAAAGCTGGAGTACGATTCGTCGGAGGTGGATGCCTTCATCGGATGCGTCGGTTGGAAGATTGTTGCATTCATCGATCACATAATCCACGCCATTTGCCCCTGCCGCGATGCTGCGAAGGTAGGTGCCCTCTAGACAGAGGGGCAGTAACTTGCAGTAGAGTTCCGCGGATTGGTGGATATAGACGGCGGTGTCCTCCTCGCGGTAGCACGAGGTCAGCGCTTCAGCGAGGCAATAGAGCGATAATAGATGATCAGGGTGGCCCTGCGGACGCAATGCAAGGGCTTCGCGGAAGAGGGAAGTGACGGAGTCAATGTCTTCAAAATCCCCTTCAATGTAGCCTTTGAGGCGGACCCACGCGAGGTTGGTGAGAGCCGCTGCACGGTCAGGATGGTCGACCGGACACTGATCTAGAACCGACTGAAAATGCTCTACAGCATCGTTAAGGTGAGAGTCGCTCTCGTTTGAAACATATTCGGCAAATCGGGCGTGGCCTGCGTCTGTGTCTCGACCAATCTTGCAGTCTACTACGGACTACAGTTGACGTTCCGTCAGCAAAAGCCAACAGCACAGAGACTGATGTGACTCACGTCAAGCGGTGCGCTGCCCTGATTGTCGCAAGAATGTACAACAGCGGCCTTTAGCGTGAGGGAAGGACAGTCGCCACGAACGGGCGGGAATGTGAGATCTACCAGATGTTAGTAGCTGTGTGTGAATGAGACGTTAATCACTCACTGAAAGGCTCATCTCCGTGATCGAGTAGCTCATCCCACGTCACTTCGAGTTCTCCGATGACTTCTCCATTGCCCAACATTCGATCGAGCTCGAAAGATGCCCTGATGTCCAGTGACAATTTGGATGAAGCATCCAGTGATCTACAAAAAAAAACAGATGATCAGTCCTCGAGTCGCGTCCGAAAGTCTCCATGGACTTTACAAGGTCGCGGTATCGCCCCATCCTACAGATTTGTCCGATGATAAGACTTTGACGGCTGATTTCCAGCGTCTCCTCGAGTCAACATTGATGGATACGTAGATGCCTGCGGGTGCGCGCTCAGAAGGCACTTGAAGATATTTTCCGCTGATGACTGTAGATAGAGTGTGAGGATCATGAAACGGATGCGAAGGTGATATGGAGCGCTCACCTTCGAGTCTGATAGATTGGCCTTCCAAGCTATTGGGCATGATGGTGCGATGAAGTAAGATCGAGGATGGGCTGAGCGGTGAGTGGAATAAACAGTAGGAGAAGATGGAGGGTGGGGATACGGGGACTGTGTATGAAGTTCAGGTGAGAGGGAGTAGAGAAATTGAGGGTTCAGGCCTCAGGTCGTGCTGCACGTGTATTTCCATATTGTCGATGGCTGTTCGGCATAATAGACGCTAGCATGATTGCACTAAGCGCCGAGGTCAAAAACGTTAGCGGGAGAGCCTGTACGCGAGAAGTGGCACGCCATGTTGGAGGGGACATGTGGATCTTAGAGCGTTCTGCCATGTTGACCCAACCTTGCTGCCGTACTGGCATCGGTGTGCTTGACTTTTATCAGACATACTTAGCGCTCATTGAGCACGTACACCAAGGCAAAATGTAGAATCCAGTGTGATTCATAGTACAAACAATACAAACCGCTGAAAACGACGCGGACATGAGGAGCTGAACCAATCTTATAATACGAGTCTGTTATGGGGGGAAAGGTCCAAGGATGATCGAGTGTTGTAGAAACAACTTAAGCAACCTGGGTTTGCGAGGAGGGTGAGACTCGCTCAAGCTCGGTCTTTGAGATGAAGGTAGAAGGCAAGTTTTGAAAGGACGAGTCGACCGTGATCGAGAGAGACTTGGTTGGGTGTTCCTAGAATTGAATTATTAAGCGGACTTTGGAAATGATTGCTTCCTTCCAAACACAAGATCGGTCTACTCATCCAAATTCCTGAGCGGGCTAAAGTCTCAGTGTTCTAATACCCTTCGATCGGCTCTAGCAGAGCTCAGCGCTCAGCTATTAGCAGCTGCGTAACATACCAGCTTCTTAAGCAGATCTTGAAGATTCTGTTCAAAGCCAAGGGAAGGCTAGGGCGAACTTCAGTTTCTGTTGTTTGGCAGTCAGTCGTCACTATCGCGCCTGCACCTGTCAATACGGCCCTCAGCCTGAGGGAGACCTCAGGAATGACGACGTTCATCACAGGGCTACTTCAGGTCGGGAGTTCAACACATTCGTCCGCTGCCAGAGGAATCAAATGGTTACTGCTTACGACTGGAGATTGCAACTCCTTGCTTATGAGGTGCGGCTGATATATCATACAACGGGACTGGCTTCGACGCATCGAAGGTTGATGGTTTACGATATTTAACCTGGAGATCAATCCACGCTATTTCTTTCTGGGCTGGGAATCATGTGCACTGGATATAAGTACTTGATCACACCCACTCGTACGGTTGCACGTCAGCCTATCTGCTATCCAATTCTGAAAAAGACTGAGTCATAGGCACAAGTCCAATTTTATCTTACTACTAGTCATCGACATCTCCGAGACGCACTCCTCCACGAAATGGCCGCCGTTCGCACATTGAAAGTCGAATACCTGTGCCCAGCGCGTGATTTCGGCCGCCTTTGCGTATTATCTGCAGGCTGGTTTTTGAGTGCTGTGCATCAACTCGGACTCGGAGGTCCGCGCGCGCCGTTTGCCGATCGTGTGATTTGAAGAAACAAGCACAGCCACAACCTGTTAGTTTGAGGCTGTTGGACTTGCAACGAGAAACGTTCAGTCCAGTCTGTGACTGTCTGCCTTCGTCGTGTTCAACGGTGAACTCGTCGTTTTAGCTTGGCTGAATGGCCAACCGTATTTCAATTCTGACCGCGAGCGAGCCCAGGTCAGCACTCGACCGACAATCCAGCCTGGTCTCATCCTCAGCAACGTCATTCGTAACAGCGCCTTCCCCGACGACGACGATCTGCCCAGACATGGATCACACTCACGCTCAAATTCACATAGTAGAAGTAACAAGGAACGCAGTTCACCTTCACCCCCCAAAACCATTGCCTAGCATCCCCCGTGAGGATACAATCGGTCCACCTCCGCCTTCTCCTCCAGCCAGCGTAGACGAGTCACCCGACAATCTATCGTCCTTATTCCCAGTAAGACTCTCCAAGTCAGACCCACTCCCGAAAGGCATCGAATCAGATATCGACGTAGAGTTGGATACAGCCACTATAAACAGTCAGCGCACAGGCGACCGTCTTCACCGTGCTTCCACAGAGACAAAATTGTCTGCCAGAGTCCCTAAAGTCTCCCAGACGAGCAGCTATGCCCCAACTGCTAGCACATCCAAGACCCAGCATCCAGACGGCCTCCTCCACCCACCCACACGTCCTGTACGGCGCAACACGACGGGCTCTGCGCGCCGTCCCCATCCACCTCCGTCTACATATGTTGCAACCGGAGAACTGGAGGATGACATCCAAATCCAAGCAGAGCAGATTCGCCGTGAAAGAAAGCGAAAGCAGGCTGCCGAAGTCGCCGCAGCAGCTGTCGTCGAAGTGGCTCAGAAACAGGACGAGCTTCCCTTGGTGGGCAACTTGATAGGAGAGGACCACGCAAACTACGTCCTTATGTACAACATGCTGACGGGGATCAGGATAGCTGTGCGTCCCCAATCTCTTTATGTGCGCAGGCTGTAACTCCACACAGGTCTCACGATGCCAGGCAAAGATAAAACGACCCCTTACTGAGCAGGATTTTACCGCAGGCATAAATACTCTTTCGATATGTACGTATCACCCATCTGTCCTACATTCTGAACTGACATCCCCCCAGCGTTGGGAACGAACTTACTCCCTCTGCGAGATACGACTTCAAATTCAAAGACTATGCCCCTTGGGTGTTCCGGGAACTCCGCGAAGACCACTTCTCTCTGGACCCCGCAGATTACCTCCTCTCCCTCACATCCAAATACATCCTGTCCGAACTCACCTCCCCAGGCAAAAGCGGCTCTTTCTTCTACTTCTCCCGCGACTACCGCTTCATCATAAAGACTATCCGGCACGCGGAACACAAGTTCCTCCTTCGTGTTCTCCCGCAGTACTGGGAGCACGTGAAAGCGAACCCTCATACTTTGTTAAGCCGATTTTATGGACTTCATCGGGTAAAGCTTCCCAGGGGACAAAAGATTCATTTCGTGATCATGAACAACTGTTCCCGCCTCACAAAGACATCCACGAATCTTACGATCTCAAAGGGAGTACTGTTGGGCGCATCGTGCCACCTGCAAACTGGTGCAGAATCTCGCGCGGTGCAGAAGGATTTGAACTGGATCGATAGTAATAGGGTGCTGGAGCTTGGTCCGGAGAAGAGGGCCCTTTTAACGGAGCAGTTGAGGAGGGATAGTGAGAATGTTGAGGGATCTGGGGGTTATGGACTATAGTTTACTCGTTGGGCTTCATTGGGGGAATAGGGGGAATAGGGAGAATGTGAGAGGGAGCACGCTGAGGGTATTTGAGGTTCGTCTACCATTCCTCTTACATTCATAATCCTTACCCTTACTAATTCGTGTGCACAGCCCTCAGTCCCACCCATCCGACGCAAAACCACGCAAACGAAAGACGGGCGGTCCCCTGAAGCGATAGCTATGCGCCGAATCATGCGTGCATCTGATCCGCACCAGTTAGGAACGACACTTGATCTCCCGGATTCGCCTTCTCCGTCAATGCAAACCGTTGCGCCATCTACGCCAGCCCACTCCCAGCGCACGCGACCGCGTTCCGGTTCGAAGGGTACGAGCAACACAAATTCGGTTGTGAGCGCGAATGGGATTATGCAACAGGCCCACCCGACATTCCAAACCCCTCCACATCCATCTCATCCTCTGCACCAATCTCTGCCCCCTCTGCCCCCCCACCAGCACCATCATACTCCTTCCTACACACCCTCGCAGCAACCCCATCCCACTCAAGACCGCGATCATTTTCTCTTCTACCAAGACGAAGGAGGCCTTCAAGCGACAGATGAAAGCAACGAGGAGATGGACGTCATTTATTATTTGGGAATTATTGATATTTTGACGCCGTATGGGGGGTTAAAGAAGTGTGAGCATTTTTGGAAGGGGTTGAGCGCTGATCGGGTGAGTTGCGTTTTTTTAGCCCTTTCATTCCTTCCTTCGTTCCAAAATCAACGCTAAATCACCTTTCAACAGCACAAAATTAGCCCAGGTCCCGCCTTCTGAATACGCGGACCGATTCTTTGGGTTCATGAAAGCTATCATGCGTGGAGGAGAGGGTGGGGCGCGATTCAAGCCTGAGTGATGTCCTTTGTGTGTGTGGTGTTTTGTGGTGTGTGGTGGGCGATGACTGATGCTTGCCCGCAGGCGACAGCTGAATCACACATTAGTAATGAACATACTGCCCCCTCGTGGTCATGGGCTCGGCGAGATCTACGACACCGCATTACGCCAATTTGTCATCGCATCACGCATCATCCTTCAAACTCGTTTTCCTGCTTCTGCTGTTGCTTCAATCTGGGGAATCCGCGGACATTTGAGATGCATTGGGAAATCGTATTGTTCTTTCTCTCCCTTTTTGCTCAGCACGCTTTGCCATTTTTTCGACACCATCCACAATCCCTCATGTTCCCTTGCTCATGCCCTTTTTATTTTCTGCATGCTTTCCCTCATCCCACGACCGTTGCAATCTCCCATCCACTACATATTCTATTTTTAAAAATTTTGCATGTTAATTTCTTCTCCATTTTTCTTATTCCTTCATTCTTTTCCTGCTTGTTCGTGCATTATTTCCCTTTCGTCGTTGATGCGACTTTAACTTTAATATCGCGACATGCTTAATCTAGTGCTCTGTCTCCCTCCTGCCTCTGGTGCCGTATGTTTTTTTTTCGCTTGGAGGATGAGAGAGGGCACGTCGTACTTTTGCTATCACTGCACGCGTACGATTTTCGAGCACATCATTGCACGCTCCTTTGCGCATCTCAACGTTTACGCTCATTTCTCATCCTCAGCGCTTTCTTTCGTATACACATACACGCTCGTTCGGACACGCATCCACTCGTTCATACACGCTTTGTCTCATCCTCGTACATACTCACACTCGCTTGTTTCATTTTTTTTCTTGCCTCTTGGGACTACGCTTGCTTGGGGATAGATAGCATTATTTATGGCAAGTCTAGGTATAATTTATCATGATATGCATATGGCGTTCTTTGGCTTTGGAACGTCCGTCTTGAGGGTCTATTCAAATGTGTTTATGCGATCGAATTGACCGCATGTATAAGGTCTGGCCAGCTGTGCAAGGACTTTGTTTCGCGGGCATGCGCATGTACGGGCCCCTTGACTTTATACAGTATACAAAACACGGATGATCATCAATTGATTAGGACACCTATTGATTCCATTTTGCAACTTTGTTGGAAAACACAACGCATGTCATACTACGGTGCTAGCAGTATGCAACCATGACCCAACTGCTTCTACGTGATCTGGTAAGTCTCCGAAGGCTTCACAATCATAGTCTCCGCCTGCGAGCTTCCGTCCTTCCGAAACACGAAGGCCACTTGCCATTGGCTCCGAGTCCACGCTCCATAGTCGTTTGGGTCGATATATTGGAATGCAGCACTCCCCGTGTCACCGTTGTCAGCGGTGACGCGGACAATGATCGTGGATGAGGTGAAGTTTATAATAACAATCTCGTCTTCTGTGCCTGCCGGTGAGTCCAGAATGACTAGTGGAACTGGCTCTGAACGCACCAGACATTGTGTGTAGTAGTAAAGAGATTTGAAGCAAGTGTTCAACGCAGCGATAAAGATCGGTGGGGAATGAATCAGGAAGGAGGACGAATGAAACTAGGCCTTGGACTCAATCAAAGGAGCAAGGGGAAGCTACCTTCGAGGCTCGTCGCGTATTTATACGCATGAACCTGAATGAATTCTTTCGGAGCTCACCGTGATTCAAAGCTCACATATTCCCCAAATTATTGACCAGCGGGTTTTGCACGATCTTAACGTTGTGGGTCAGATGATCAGAATCCGACCTTGAAGCAGCTGATCTATGGAGGTGCTCGGATGTGAGTAGCACTGACAGGCAACTCGTCATCAGTCTTGTTGTCATTGTGATTTATGTATGTAACATACCTTTAGATTAATTGGATTTAAACAAAGTCGCGGATCTCCGAGTGACTTCGCAGGCCTGCGTGTGCGTTGGTGGCAATCTGAGCTATGGCCACGCAGCCACATGTGTGATCATTTGAAAATTTTGGCCTGTTTGTCGGAAGGTGACGCCATTGAACGTATTGCTAGCCTAGCGGTCGAGCCTTTCGATTTTTGATCTTCTAGTGGGTCTGTTTAGTGGGGGTATCATGTATTACTAGTATTATGTCGCTGTGGCTGAGCTCTATCTCTTCTCCGGCTTTTGTCAGGCTCACTTGCATGTATTATTAGTTTCCAATCCTCATAGGCGTCGTCTGCGGGGAGTCTCATTTGCAGCAGTTTTCTCTCTGCTTCTTCTGCCTTCCGCACAGGCAGATCATCATGTGGCCTATCAAGGGTTCTCCGCGCGAAGTCACTTATGTTTCCCACCTGGGTGGCAACATTCATATTACTAATCAGTAACAGTACTGCGTACCTGTACTTGTTACCAATTTGTAAGGAGTATCTATCTACCACGCTACCAGCAGCACTTGGGAGTCACTTGGGTGATTTCTCAGACCGCCATAGATGGGCCTACTATAACGGGTAAGTTCGAGCTCTGCCTCGGCTAATCCCTAACCCGCCTAAAATAGCCTTTGGCGCTGTCAATCATTTCCACCGCTACGCTTCTCATAAGCTTTTGCTCATCGTCCACCACGATGAGCTAATTCCATCCCCTCTCCTACCCTTGATTTTTATCTGTTTTACAGAGGCACTTGTGCCGTGCGTAGCCACTGGCCTACCTAATGTATTCGATACCTCTTCTATGCTGTTGGACCGGTCGTCATTAGGGTACCGCACGGGTAACACCGAGGGTCGGAAAGTTGACACCGCACCCGCACCCGCCAACACCGTACCCTTCACGGGTACGGGTACACACCGACCCGTCAATGTCGCGGTTTATGGAAAACACCGCGGTGTCTCTGAACACCGCGGGTACATTACCAAGAAGAGTGTATTAAGTATTAACAACAATGAAATAAAATAGTACTACTTTTCCTTGTCATTCTCCTCTGCTTCGACTTCATTTCGCTTCCGTTTTTGAGTCCTGACAGCGGCTAAAAAGGTCCTCCATCACCAGAAGATCACTTCTGCCCCACGCTCCGAGGCAGAGAAAGGCACGAATTGTTGATGGTGCGAGTCGGTTGCGAGTAAAATGAAGGAGCTGCCGGCCCTGCGAGAAGACACGTTCAACCGCAGTTGATGTTGCTGAGCAAGATAATAAGTATTGATTGATTGAAAGAGGATTCGAAGGAGACATACCTGGGACAGAGAGATAGTCGAGTGCCATCCGATGCAGCATTGGATAAGCACGGCAGTTGTTTTGCCACCATGCGAGTGGGTCCTTGGTTTTCACAGTTGGTAATCGAAGAAAACTCATCCAACTCGCTACTAGTAGTACGAGACATGGAACCAAGTGAGTAGTCACCAAAGTCATCCTCGTTCTGTATAGTTGTCAGTGTCAGTGCAAAATTAAATGTTGCATACGGACTGTGTCTGCTTCAATGTCATCAGTAATCTCGGCAGATTTCTCGTATTTATCAATAAACTCTTCGCGAACGAGCTTCTCGGCAATGTCAATCCATTCTTTCTCCCAGGAATGCTCACGGAAGTACTCGAGCTTCAAGCCAGGATGTAGGACTTTATGAAGATGATTAATCAATGATGTCAATGAAAGTTTGAAAGGCTGACCCATGGCAATGCGGTATACGTTGGAGAGATCTGTAATCTTCCAGTAGCGATCCATCTTGTTCTTTGCAAGCTGCATAGCCGACACAACTGCAGGGTGATATGCTTCCTTCGTCTGTTGATTGAGCTTGCTATCAAGTTTGTCCATTGCCGGTATCACGGCTGCGATAGTGGCTGAGTCCTGAGAGAAGAACAAGGTAGCCTTCTTGTATTGCTGGTGGATCAAAATAAGTGAGACAAATAAATACAATGTATGACGAGCAAGACCTACAGAGAGAACCGCAACGAGGTCAGCAACAATTTTCCACTCATCGTCATCCAATTCATATTTTTTTAGCCCGCCTGAGGCTTTTATCACTCGTTATGCGATCAATGGGTACCTGATACTGTAACGCGAAGACCAGCATGTCATATGTGGAATTCCAACGTGTCGCAACATCACGTGGCATGAGCTTTTCTTTCAAGTGTGATGCTCCACATGCCCGTCGCCATGCTGGGAGCAAGAGAGTTGTTGAACGAATTACAGCGAAAGACAGACCACGAATCTGCCATATGATATTAGCTAGTATTAGATGCGGATCTAAGACACTGACCTTTGCAATAGTTCCTTTGACAGCGGCAGTGTCATCTAACATCTTCTCACGATTGGCTTGCGAGAGCATTTCCAACTCGTCAATATTGTCATCAGCGTCATCAAGCTCAGAGGTCAAGTCAACTTCCTCTACTTCCGAATCATCATCTAACATAAGTGGCGGCTCATCATCATCCACATCATCATTGGCTTCAGATGTTGATGCTGCTGATGACTCGGAGCTGAATGGTTTCAGCAAAGCTTTTGCCGAAAGCTGGAGAGTATGATTAAAACATCGAACACGGTTGACAGACTCAAACGAGTTGTCGAGGCTCGCAAGCTTTGTTGTTTGAGTATCATTGGCAGTCGCGTTATCAGCATTGACTGCAAGAATCTACAATCTTCACGTTAGCATGATTTCTGCAATATTCAAGATCGGCTTACTCTCTTCGTCAGCCCAAAGCGTTCAAGCATTGCTTGAAAGGCTTTCGCCATTGCAGCACCAGTATGTGACTATAAGATAAGATTGTGAAGATTGGTGGAGCATTCGAAATGGCCTGTGACGTACCCTCGGCAACTTCAATGATGTCAAGCAGAAATGAAAACATTTTACCCTCATACTCGAGGTGGACTGTCCACGCTACAAAGCACGGTGGTTGGGTGAAGTCCAAGCATCCGTGGCAAAGTGTAAGCGTCCAGGGTGATCCTAACCATTGTGTTAGCCAATTTTCTGATGTTAGCGAAAAGCTTACACGGAGAAGCTGTCCAATGCGTTCGCTACACTTCTCGAATGCTACTTTGATATTGCGGGACAATACATCAGGTGATGGAAGTTCAATGTTCGGGCGACCTGCACAAAGAAGCTCGCGGAGTTCACGATCATTGATTATATTAACTGGGCGATTACTTTCAGTGATCCATTTCACGAGACGAGCACTGAAACTAATGTTAGCATGCAAAAATATCCAGATTCAGATCATTTACCGAACTTCTGGGTTCGTGTGTGTCCGATGGGAGTAATGGACGGGCTGTTGGCCTTGGCGTGCAAATGCTGCGTAGACAGAGCCACTATTAGCACCAGCATCCTTGCCCTTCATGGCGTTGTTGACGGCATCCTCGCCAAAGCATCCAATGGCATGGTGCTTCAGATTAGTCGTCGAGGACTTATCCTTTGTATCCTGATAGCGGCGCACACCACCTAAAGCTGTCTTACACTTACGCGCACCACACGGGAAAAAATGACACAAGCGGCCATTGTGGTGTTGGACCACAACTTCGGATGAAAAGAAACTATAGATAGGTGACCGCCAAGTCTTCTTGAGAGCCTCTGTATCATTGTATAATCAGATATTTGCAAAAATCAATGGAAAGAAACATACCAAGATCTGCAGAAGGATCGGGATCAGGCTCGAATGCACCTGCCGTTGATTTGTTATCGTCAGTGGCAAGTGAATCAGTACTTGATCGCGTAAGATCAACGGTGTCTGTGGGGCTCGATCGAGAAGACCGAGACACAAATGACTGCTTGACCTTCTTCAAGGGGCGGGCCAGAGCCTTAGCACCCTTTGCAACAGCCTTTTTGAGTGACCTGGCCTTCTCGGAGATGGACGACGAGATAGACTTAGATGATGAGTGTGACTGGGTAGACGAAGCATCAGATGCCTTCTTTGTGAGCTTAGTTTTCATGGGGAGACGACTCAGTGGACTTACTGGTCTCGAGTTTTTGCCTTGGCTTTATGGTAGTGACTCGAGCTTCTCTGCAACGAAGTGTCAGCTCAATAAATTGCTAGAATGATTCACGGGGGTACAAAAGACATGACAGAAATCAGTATAGCATTCACTTGTGATCCTCAAGCTCTCAGAGGAAGGAAAAACAGAGAATCAAACACGGTGTTCAATGGCTGTCGCGCGCCTGGTTCCCGATTTGGTATATTATACCCGCCCAAACACCGTCAACCCGCGGTGAATGGCCACGGTATGCTCAAGGGTACGACTATCCTACTCCGTACCCGTACCCTCCAAACCCGTCAGCATAGAACCGCGGTGTTACCCGTACCCGTGCGTTTCCCTAGTCGTCATCGTGCTACTCAACAACACCCACAGCGAGCTCACTTCCGTAGGCAACAGCTGAACCATGCATTAGTAATTAATATACTGCCCCCTCGTGGTATGGACTCGGCGAGATTGACGATGCCGCGATACGCCAATTTATCATCGCATCACGCATCATCCTTCAAACTCGTTTTCCTGCTTCTGCTGTTGCTTCATCTGGGGAATCCGCGGACATTTGAGATGCATTGGAAAATGTACTGTTTCTTTCTGTTTCTTTCTCTCCCCTTTTGCTCAGCACGCCTTACTATTTTTTGACACCATCCACAATCCTCGTGCTCCTTTGCTCGTGCCCTTTTTATTTTCTACATGCTTTCCCTCATCCCACGACCGTTGCATCTCCCATCCACTACATATTCTATTTTTAATTTTAATTTTGCATGTTAATTTCTTCTCCATTTTCCTTATTCCTTCATTCTTTTCCTGCTTGTTCGTGCATTATTTCCCTTTCGTCGTTGATGCGACTTTAACTTTAATATCGCGACATGCTTAACCTAGTGCTCGGTCTCCATCCTGCCTCGGCTGCGTATGATTTGCTTTCGCTTGGAGGATGAGAGAAGGCACGTCGTACTTTTTCTATCACTGCACGCGTACGATTTTCGAGCCACGCACCTTTGCGCATCTCAGCGTTTGCGCTTATTTCTCATCCTCAGCGATTTCTTTCGTATACACCTACACTCTCGTTCGGACACGCACCCACTCGTTCATATATGCTTTGTCTCATCCTCGTACATACTCACACTCGCTGGTTTCTTTTTTTTCTTGCCTCTTGGACTATACTTGCTTGGGATAGATAGCATTATTTAGGTATAATTTATCATGGTATGCATATGGCATTCTTTGACTCTGGGCCGTCTTGAGTAGGGAGTAGTGTCAGGATCTATTCAGATATGTTTATTGCAAGGGGGTATGGCATCGAGGCGGTCTGCGGTCCAATAGACTGTATGTATGAGGTCTGGCCAACTCGGCAAGAACTTCGTTTCGGCGCGCGTGCCCGTGTACGGCCCCCTGACTTTTCATACGATATACAAAACGCAGACGATCATCAATCGACAAGTACTACCTATTGATTCCACTTTGCAACTTTGTGGTACAACAAGACGTATGACATGCTGCAGTACTAGCAGTATGAACAGTGCACACCATGACCCAACTGCTTCTACTCATTGACGGTGTAATTCTGTCCAGGCTTCACAACCATAGTCTGCTCCGCGCCTGATCCCTTCAACACGAAGGCCACTTGCCATACGGTTCGGTCCCACGTTCCAGAGTCGCCTGACTCAACGCTGTCGAATGTAGTAGTCCCTGTGTCACTGTCAGCAGTGATGCGGACATAAATCGTGGATGAGGTATTGTTTATAATGGTAATATCGGACTCTGAGGCTGCCGGTGAGTCCAGAATGATTAGTAGGAACTGGCTGTAAACCTTTGAACGCACTAGACATTGTCTGAAGTAGTAACGGGATTCAAAACGAGTGTTCAACGCAGCGATAAAGATTCCTGGGGAATGAATCAGAAAGGAAGATGAATGAAACGAGGCCATGGACTCACTGGCAGTCAGAGTAATCGAAAGAGCGAGTGAGAGCTACCTTCGAGACTCGTCGCGTATTTATACGCATGAACCTGAATGAATCATTTCGGAGCTCAGATTCAAAGCTCACATATTCCCCAAGTTATTGTCTGGTTCAGATGATTGGAGCCCGGCGAAGCGGCTGGCTTTGCCAAAGTTCGGATGTGAAACGAGTAGCACAGGCGACTCGTCATCATTCTTGCCGGCATTATATTTTATGTATGTAACATACTAGTACCTTTGGAGTAAACCATCCTGTGGGCCGATGTTAATGGTTGGCGGCGCGAAGTCTGGCAGTTGCGAGTCAGATCCGAACAGAGTCTACCGTCCCCTGTTACTCGTCCGAAAATTTTCGCTTACCTGGGATTGCATCACTTCAAGGTACGAGCAATCACCGCTCAAACTGCATGTACAACCATTCAATGAAGCCTGATAGGGATTACGTCTCAAGCGTTGCTCGCAGTGGCACTCGCACAGGTTCGAGGGTGCTGGACAGTGTTACGAGCACATTTTGGTGTTGAAATACAAGGATGACATCGTATCAGCCATGAGTCAACATCTGTTCGTTGATGTCGATGAAGTTGTGATTGACCCCGAATGCACAGTATCGCTGATCAAACGACCACATAAGTAAGTAAAGTACTGCCAGGATGGCTACTATGACTTACGTTGAAAGTTTACCCAGCTGTTCCTGTAAAGCCTTTGTGCTATGGGGAGCGAAGAGGGCAAACTTACTAAATGCCGAACACCGACTTCGGCATGTAATAGCCGGAATTGGATTAGTCAGTCGATTGAAATGAGCACGAGGGTGAAAACGCGTGTCACGGTACTTTGGTCGCGTCTGTGGCTGAGATTTCGTGTTTTCAGGGGCCCCGGTGTACATTGCAGTGTGGGTACCGTATTTCCACAATCACTGTTCTGTCGCGATTATCGCGTGTATTTTAATGCAATAAACAAAATATTGAGGCTCGATTTTCGAAAATCATCCATTATTGGGGTGATATGCGTGATCATGAAGTGACGCATTGATCTCGACAAGTTTTGAGCCATTTAAAATATTCCTAGGCTATCATAGTATTTTGGTCTACTCGGATTGTTCAAAAAGTGGAGAATGCGGTACCCAGACGTCTGTGCCGCCTCTTATTGAGCATTTGGGCGTTTAATGCCCGTGGGAATGTACACTTTGTTGACGGGTGCTGCCCGGTGACCACCACTGCCAGTGAATCTTTCGTATACAAGTACTCTCGTTCGGACACGCATCCACTCGTTCATACACGCTCTGTCTCATCCTCGTACATACTCACACTCGCTCGTTTCATTTTTTTCTTGCCTCTTGGACTATGCTTGCTCGGGATAGATAGCATTATTTAGGTATAATTTATTATGGCATGCATATGGCGCGTTCTTTGGCTCTGGGCCGTCTTGAGTGAGGTATATGAAGGTCCATTCAAATGTGTTCATTGTAAGGGGGTATGGCATCGATGGAGTTTGCTCAATTGTGCAAGTTCGTTTCGGCGCGCATGCCCATGTACGGGTCCCCTGACTTTTCATACGATATACAAAACACGGACGATCATCAATTGACAAGTACACCTATTCATTCCAATTTGCAACTTTGTTGTACAACAAGACGTATGCCACACTACACTACTAGCAGTATGCACAGCGCACACCATGACCCAACTGCTTCTAATAATCATCGTTGATGTAGTACTAGGCTTCACAACCAAAGTCTCCGCCTTGCTATCAGATGGCTCCTGAGACCTCCTCAACACGAAGGCCACTTGCCAGTGGCTGCGCTTCCACAGTTCATACTTTCCTGGCTCAATATCAAAGAATTCAGTACTTCCCGTGTCACCGTTGTCGGCGGTGATGCGGGCAGAGATCGTGTATTGGGTGTTGTTGAAAATGCCAATCTGGGTCTCCGTGGCTGGTGATGTGTCCATAATGATTATTAGGAACTAGTTGTAAACCTCTGAACGCACCTTGACAGACATTGTGTGTAGTAGTAAAGAGATTTGAAACAAGTGTTTAATGCAGCGATAAAGATCCCTGGGGAATGGATCAGAAAGGAGGACGAATGAAACCAAGCCTTGTACTCACTCAGAGTAATCGAAGGAGCGATGGGGAGCTACCTTCGACTCCTCGCGTATTTATATGCATGAACCTGAATGAATTCTTTCGGAGCTCACATTCAAAGCTCACATATTCTCCAAGCTATTGTCTGGCGGGTTTTGCACGAGCTTACCGTTATGGTTCAAAATGATCAGAATCCGACCAAGCAGCTGACCTTGGCAAAAGAGGGGTTCGGATGTGAAGCGAGTAGCACTGACACGCGACTCGTCATCATTCTTGCTGCCATTGTGATTTATGTATGTGACATACCTTTGGAGTAAATCATCATGCGGCCCATCAAGGGTTCCCGGCGTAAAGTCTGGCAGTTGTGAGTCAGATCCGAACATGCTGAATGGAAGCCTGACGGGGATCACATCTGATCGATTCACTCAAGCGTTGCCCGCAGTGGCACTCAGTGTTGAACAGTGTCACCGTGTTGCGAGCACATTTCGGGGTTGAAACACAAGGACTATGATGTCGTATTTCTAGCCATGACTCGGTCAACTGGCATCTGCTCGCCGATGAAGTTGCGATTGATCCCAGAAGCACAGTATCACTGACCCAGCGACCACGTAAGTAACATCCAGGATCATGATGGTACTCAACTTGAACCGAGATGGCGACATTGTCTGACGTAAGGTGATCGGTCGATCAACCAGGGCCAAATGTGACTTACGTTGAAAGTTTGAGCTGTTCCTGCAAAACCTTTGTGCCATGGGTCCTCGGGCGCGGGGCAAACTTAAATGCCGAACACCGACTCCGGGGACCAGCATGTAGTAATAGCCAGATTCTGAAGAATTGATGTAATTCAATACAAGGGTTCAAACGTTCACCGACTACCTGGTAGCTGCTAGACTTACTCATGGGCAACTTCCAACTTGAATTTCCTGTAAGCTATCGTGAGCAATGATTCGCTATCGAAGCATAAAGATACGCACACGTCCCACACTAGTAATATTGTGACGGCTTTGAACGCTTTTGCGAATGCTCGGCGTTTGCATGATGGTGCTCGACGCCGACCAGTGGTCTTACTAGTAAGGCAAGTCGCCAGGTCACCAGTGAACTTTACACCTTCTGTCATAAGTACGCCTGAAAGGTATCACAAGCCGTCAGCCAGTAATATGGCTGCAGCCACATCAGAGGTGCGCCGCACGGTGGACCAGTCACCTCACCAAAGCTTAAGTCATTTCAGAGAATGAGTACGGTATACATATCTGTCACGACTCGTGAATTGCAAGGCATTCAAATATTCATTTTTAACCAAATTATAACGTGGCATACCTGTGGAAATACTAGTTTACGTGCTGGCTGTATAGAAGAGACTCCGAATATGCAAAGTTTGGTTTACACATACATATCGTCATCATCCCGTGTGACCGGGGCTTGTGATATTGGCTCAGGCTCAGCTTCAACAACTTTCTTACGCGCTGCTACAAAATAAGTGAGTAAGACATCAAGGGGTACACATAAAACTCACATCGTCGTGTAGCTTTCCGTTTCGCAGCTGCTTTCTTGCCTTCAACTCGCTTTTCAAGGGCTTGGTCCTCTTCGCCTTGGCGTCGGTGTTCATCGAGTATCTGGAAGGCTTTGAGACTCATGTCACGGTAATCCTGGTCAGAATGGCCGTACCGATTCAAACTCGTTGAGCTCCGTGTCTGGCTTGTTTGCCGATTTATTGGAGCGTGCCTTTGAAAGTATCTCACTAAACCTGTCGAACACGCCCTCCTCGTGCAGCTTATCGCGGTAGAACTGCAAGCCTTCAATGAGTTTTTTGACCGATCGCTCCGACTTGAATGGGAGGAGAGACAAGCAGAATGCAATGTCGCGCGATTGACGAGGATCCTCAGAGAGTCGGAAACGTTGGCAGAGCTTCTCAACAATATTTTCGGCTTGCTTTTCCTGTTAGAAGTTTAATGAATTGGGACCATGACATTGGAAAGAGATGAGGACCGGCCTTCTCAATGAAAGAAAAGATGTAGCGCATGGTGCTTTTGAAAATTTCCTCTTCGACTGCGTGGTCACCTGTGGACAGGTGACTGATGACTAGAATAATGATATGAAGGACGTTAATGATATTAAGAGTGAACCGAGGCATACCATCAGGTAGATTGTTGTAGATCGCATTGTCCTTCGTCGACAGCTCCGTGAAAAACAGCTTCGCAAGGTCGGATATCCGTGGCTCCTCGTCCTCTAGACACTTGGCCATCTCGCCTAGCTGACCTTTCACTTTGATCATCCCGTTGAGGATCAAGTGCGTGAGCACCATCAGCGTGTTCTTCTTTACGACAAGATCTCCATCAGAAAGGCCTTTATATAACTCATTGCTGTTCTCGTCGATGATGTTGCTGAACGAGACTGCTACATCGCCGAGAGCAATGACAATGTTACTACGGATATTTGGGTCTCTCGAGGTCTCAAGGATCTTGAAGAGGAGATGATGGTGCTGATCACAAAATTGTGAGCTGACGCAAAGGAACTTGCTAAACGAGAGGGTTGCAGCGGCACGGAGTGTGCGATTCTAATGTATCTGTCAGTAGTAAGATAGAAAAAAACAACTCGTCACTTGCCTTAAATTTATGTGGACTACCGCACACGTGGACCAGCAACGGTCCGTACAACTTCAGCAACGACTGCTCTCCATAGAGCAACTCGGTTTCGCGAACGGCAGCTATCCGTTCACCAATCTCGTCCTCTGCATTGCCGGCAACTTGGTCAAGCTCTTCGGTCTCTTTATTGGCTCTGTTGGGTGAGCCCCCAGTTGCAAGCTTTTCCGCTACGTAAAATGTCAATCGATAGTTTGAAGGTGTCTGCAAGTGAACATACCGAGCTGTTTCTCATCCTTTTGCCGCTTCCACTCCCTTTCCACTAGCTCCAAAAACACGATGTGCTTGATGGCCACATGGCCTACGACGAAAAGCAGCTGACTGAGATGGAAGACATCTCCAAGATCTTTTTCCTCGCACATGCTCGACTGTTGGGTCGAGATATGTGTACTAGAGGGCGCGTGCGAGGCTGCTTCCGGGGGTTCCATCTCTCGATCCACCTCCATCGTCTCTGTGTCTGGCTCGGATGGAGGCTCCTCCGGATTTTGCCGCTTGGTAAATGCCCTCCGGGTAAGGTTCTTTATAAGGTTATTACAAAGCTCGTCGGGGTGCTCTCCTAGGGCGTAGATAGTGTTGATCGCTTGTTCGGCCATGCCGAACCAGTCTTTCGATCGACAGGGGTGCTCTATGGTGCTTTGCAACTTACGAAAAATGGGGTTCTCCATTTCCATGCGAAGAGATTTATCGAGAAGAGATCCTGTTGCTTGTATGAGAAAATTGTTGATGGGGTATGACTCTGATCGTACCTTTGACCTTCTTTGCACTGCCGTTCAAGCGCTGCAGGGCAAGACTCGTGTATCTTGCAAGGGTAAGATCGGCCTGCCGTAGGCTGAGCGCTTGGTGTTGATAGGGTATTTACTCGCACTCACCTTGCCGAATGGTCCAAGACCGATCTTCAACAATGTATCGACCTTTTCAGAAATGATGGTGCGTTTCGAAAGTGCCAACATTCCAAGGATAATGATTGCACCACGACGCTGAGAGCGGGGCAAAGCTTGAGGAGCGCCTAAAAATGAACATGAACCAATGTGCTTGTGACTGCAATGGAACATCTCCCACTGTAAACCTGCCACAACTTATTGATCACATCATAATGAATCTGGCCATCTTCCATCATGATACGCATCATCTCTTCTAAGCTAGTAAGCTCTGCAAGCGTTGCTTCGTATGTCAATCTTTTACAAATGTTCAAGCGGCTTTAAATCTGAGAAAGCAAGCTGGACCTACTCAATCATGTTTTTGGCAATACGGTTCACTTGCTGCTTGGGTTCCATGTCGGGTAGAGGGTCAAAGTACAGCATACGGTAGCATTCGAGGAGCCTCGACCGCACCCCCTTCAGCTCCTTCCCGTCCTCCGACGTTGAGCTGTTATCCTTGTGCCATATAAGATGTAGCATCCGTTTGATGCCCTTCTGGTAGTAAGGTTAGATGGCCGTAATATGGAAGAATCATATGTATCACCTCGGCACTGGCAAGCTGGTACTCAAATGCGACTCTGAAAAACTCCATACTCTCCAATACTTCTGCCTTGTTGGTGCTCCCCAAAAGCTGCGTGAGCGACACCATCCCACCTTCCAGGGTACGGACGAAGTCCAGTGCCTCCGTGCAGTACTTCTTGCGCAAACTCATGGCAAGAATTTCATTAGTCTCCAGGGCAGCAAGTGCTTCTTGTTCAGAGACAATGGCTGTGACATCGACGATGGATTTCCGGGCTGCCTTTTTCTTTTTGGGCTTCGGGTTGTCTGACGGCGCATCGCCGTCATCATTTGCATCTGCGTCCTCCGTTTCCATTTCCACGTCTTCGTCCTCATCAGCATCATCTTCGTTGACATTTGACTCTACCTCTTCCTTGTCATCTTGATCCCTCTCAACCGCTTTCCCAATGCCACCTTCCATCTCCTCCAACTTGTCCTTCCAAGTATTATACCGTTCCTCCCACTTTCCCAAGTTTAAGTCACCTCCATACATATCCCCGTATGGATGGGTTAGAATCAGTTTAACGAGTATCGAAACAGCAGCCTTGCGTACTGTGCTCGCCTTATCCTCCAGCGTGTCAACGGCAGCGCGTGTGATCCGGAGCCGTTGTTCTGGAAGACGCAAGGGCAAATCAAGCATCTTCGAGAGTGTTGCGAAGACCTTGGAGCGTACGTAAGAGGATAGATCAAGCGTTCGTGAAAGGAGGAGTTCGAACAGCCCATCAAGCTCCTTGCCCGCCTGGTTGGAGCCATTCGTCCGATTCGTCATGTCCTCCGACGTAGCGAGTTCGCGAATGAGTGAGCCGATAACTTCAACGATTGCCATGCGCATAGGATAAGACTACATGCTTGTCAGATGGGGGAGAAGAAGTATTTCTGGGGAGCGCACCTCTGAGTCGAGATGGCCAATCAGGAGACTGATTTGCTTGAGTACGGATCGCGGCGACTCCTCGCTGAATCTAACCAAGAATCGAGAGAACGCCCTTGGACCTTTGGTGTCCTGCGCACTGAACGATTTTCCAGCAATTTCGCGCAGTATCTCGTCGCCAAGTTGGGCGTGATCGAACTCCTTTGCCAGGATAGAAAGGCATTCTGCCATGGGTTCGGAGAGGTGCTCATAGTACTGCAAGGATTGCATGATGTTGATTTGCGCAGCGAGCGTGTGACCGTGATGCTTTACAGCAAGACAAATGACTTTGTAGACATGCATGCGGATGTTTTGAATCTTCATGTATTGGTCGGACTCGGCCACATGGTACGCGGGGCGGGTGAGGCATCTGAAGTAGGGTCAACAGATGTCTAGGCAACTGAATTGGCGTGCATCCCCCGCCAAATCATGTGATATAGAGCAAGCTGTACGCACGTTATGAACGCATCTCTCTCCGGGCTGGTCACCCAAATGCGGTGCGTCTTCAGTTTCAACGCCTTGCAAATGAGTTCCAGAGTGCCAGGGATCTGGTCGATCCATGTCCATTGTTCCGCCTTCTTTACCGCCGCCCTCGAGGTACCAGTCTTTCCGCCCCTCCCACGACGCGCCTTCACAGGTGCTGGCGGAGCGTCCTCCTCGCCCATTGCCTTCACCTTCTCTGCAGCACCTACAAACCAATTAACTAAGAAAGCATACATTTCCAAAGGCAGCTTGTGAGCCATAACGATCTGTTGGTCTTCTTCTTTCGAGTCGCGTATTGCAGCATCAATTTGAGCCCCAAATGCAGAAAGTAGAGCATCGAGCATCTTGCTCATATAAGCACCAGCGACTGCATCGGAATGCTTGAGAAGACTTCGGAATATATCAAATATCTCTGGATCAGTTATTTCTTCGGATGAATGAGCAATTGCTCCAACAGCCTCTAAGTTCGTGGTCAGTGAGTATCAAACGCCAGCACCAAAAGCCAGCGTACGTTGCAATAAGGGGCCGGGATCGTTACTGTTGGGATCCTGTTCGTTTGGGATATCGTAGTTTGCGATGTCCTGAAGTGCCTGTAGCTCATCTTGAAGCTCAAAGGATACACTCATGGCGGACACTCCTCTAACACGGCTGATATCTGTCAAGTTGATGGTCAAAGGTAAAGCGCGCCAACACGGTTCCTCTTGTGAGCACGTGCTTCGTGTTTATCACGTAAGCATTGCCAGCTCCATTTTCGAAATTCCTTGGTTTCTCAAACCACCACTATGGCGAGTCGCACTCACTCTCTGGGTTGCGAATAAGCTAACTTCATGTTTGCAGATCATCCCAGTGAGATGTTTTTCATGCGGAAAAGTCATCGGGGACAAATGGAACGCATATCTCGAGTTGCTAGCCAATGATATGAGCGAAGGGTAATTCTCTGCGAGCTTGAATGCTGTGACATCCCCTGACGAGATTCCAGTGACGCTCTCGATGAGTTGCAGCTGAAGCGATATTGCTGTCGGCGAATGGTGCTTACGCATGTTGACCTTATCGAAAAGCTTCTGCATTATAATCGTAAGTGGGTTGCTGCATATGACAAATCATGGCTCATCATGGCTTTCAGCTATGGAGCGCTCGAAGGACAAGAACTATTGAGGCCTTCTGTACAGAGTGTATTATGCATGTATCCACTCTTGTGCTTGACTTTCATAACTACATATGAGTTACGAGTCTGTGTCGTTTAGCAGTAAGAATAGGTGGAAAACATGGCGATTACGAGTGATCAGGATCACTGTTATCACCTTGTCTCCCACATGTTCTGTTCTTTGTTCCTACCCGTCAGGGAACCACACAATCCTCGACCATAAAGTCGTGCCATCGGCATTCTTCAAGTTCACTCCTGCTGCTTTCCACCGGTTCTCGTTACGTATCGGCTTCGAACTCACAGAAATTTCTTGACCCGCCATCCACAAACTCGGGATGGTTCCTTATCCTTATGTATGTGGCCCTTCCATCTAGGACGAGGAGAGCTAAAAGGGATTTCATAATATGGCATTGATTCCTACTAGCAAAAACTTGCTTGGCATGGAATGATGTTACATACATCAAGAAATATCATCTACGGAAGCCTGACACTACGAAAAAATTTATACAGCAACATACAAAGCCCTTACCACATAGATCAACGTCTTAGATGCTTTCGTGCAGGCTCTCCGCACATCTCCCTGTTATCATCAGTCGTCACTCAGTTCGCGTTACGGATGGACGTGGGCGCCTCAAAAAGATGGACTCCTGCGATAAATGATCGTGTATCTCTATGATCCTGGCTGCCAATCTTCATAACTAGCTCCTCAGGCATCAGGATGCACAGGTCCCGCTCTAAATCTCAATGACCTCGAGCTTGTCTATACCATCCTAGATAAAAATTAGCATGTCGGACTTCTTTGGAAACGCAAGAACTTACGCTATCTTCTAATTCCCTCTGAAGTCAACTTGGGCAAATAAATCCTGTCCTTATCAACCCATATGTCTATCACCTGGTCGGAACCAAATACTCTATCCGACACGACCTCCACGTAAGGCAGGGACGTCGTCAACGTCTCTACCGATTCGGAGATTTCTATCGTAGATGGCTCTGTCACTACTATTCCTAAACCCTCCCGGCGCTCAACAGCTAACGGGCTGAAGTCCATCATATGTAACTTATAATCCATGTCATCCGGGTGATCTTCCGCTGTCGCGTCCGTTGCAGGAAATGCTTGCAACACTCGATTCCCGCTAACGCCAACTCTGCACCGCCAGTTGTGCACGAAAACACGAGCATTCAGAGGACCCCAACATTCCCATGGGATTTCTGCCATTCCATCAAAGGCCCCGGCTTGGGGATCGAAGAAAATCCTAGTGGAAATGACGAATGTGAATGAGTTTGTGGCATCCCGAGTGCGTGTGATGAGGGATAATATCCGATTTTTAGGGTCTGAGGTCCACATTGTTCGTTGGGCTTGCATCTGCAGTTGTGAGCTATGTGCAATGTCGTCCATCGGAAGAAGACACTGTATGCCCGTCACTGATACAGGCATCAGGAAGCAGGCCAGTAGTCGAGGTGCCTGTGACAGATCCTCAATTGAATAGAGCTTCAAGTCCTTGCTGACAATCAGCAGTCTGTCGTTTCCGAGGAAACAAAAATCAAGCGACTCCCCGACCTCCGGGTTTATTATTGTGTCACTGAGCACGCACTAATAAAACGAGTGTCAACCGCCAACTGTTAGCTGATCCTAACCAAAGCTCACACTGGACGTCGTTGATTTTTGCCAGTCCCAAATCTGCAAAAACCATATCTCCTCGCCGAATTTATAGCTGCCTTCATGAACCAGCAGAGAACGCCGGAAAGCGATAAGCTTCCCCAAACCCTCGAGCTTCCAATTTTCTATCGTATAAAGGCCGTCCTCGCATCTTGGAAGCGCCGACAGAAACAACGTCTTTCCAGCGGCTTCGGGGTGGACACCACTATCTCCATCCAGGGCTCCAAGGTCGATATACAACCTCTCATCATCCATCCCGAGGGTTTCATCGGCAATCATGCACGCAATGGCAATCAAGTTTTGCGCTGGGTCCATAAATACCTCTATACTATCTGCATTTGGGATTGAACACAGTGATCCTGAAGGCCAATCACGCTCGATCTTGTATTGTGAGGGTTTTGGCAGTATTGGAAAGATCTTAGCCGACTGTTCATCTTCGTTGAATAAGCAGAGATGCCCGTCGGCGAGAGATGTTTTAGCGTCGTGGAATTGTTCTGGTATAGAAATTGTTTTGAAAGAATGGATATCAAATTTGAACCATGCGTGGGCTTTGTCCCGCAGAAGCTGTAGGCGCTTGGAAATAGAAGTGTGGTTGTCGAGATCTGTGTCGGGGACAGGGAGTAATTGTTGACCACCAAGTTCAGTGATATACTGAAGCTCGGACGAGGACGTGTACGTCTGGCGAAGCGCCTTGCATACCTGCAAGATGATGATCACTATTAAAGGATCGATCAACACTCGGTGACTCACGGATGTACAGCGCAGAATATCTTGGTAAGGAAGGAAGCTCAGGATATAGGATTGGAGTTCTTCAGCGAGAGCTAAGAGCCCTGTAGATCTGGGCTTCATCTAATTTTAAGCTTGGTTCACTGTCGTGATATGAGATGGTATGAGCCAGGGCTCAGTTGTTTGAATAACAGCGTCTACATATAGACAGCCCCTGAGTACTACTCAGCTATAGGTCGTGGAATAGTGGTACTGGCTAGCATACGCAAACAGCTTTCAGTACTGGCTCTCTACGTCTTATACTCGCCGATGCTCGTACAAAATAGACAGAAACAAAGTGCGGTTCCAAGAATGCGCGATTACCGTCTTCCAAGCCCACTCAGGCCCCATGCAACCCTCGACTGCACGAAATCAAATCTGCCCAGTATCCTTAGCATCAGATCGCGCAGAGAGGCCAGACTAAACGGCATCCACCAAGCATATGGGTTGTACGTCAGGCTTGCGAGTTTCAAAAAATTCTTTATGAAGCGGATAATTTCCAATGCTCGAGCGTGACGCGCTTCCGCGATTTCCTGCAAAATAGTATCATCCACATCGGGATTTTCTGCAGATGCTTGAATATGCTTTGTGACAGCCTCTGAGAGAAATATTGCATCCCTGACGGCCAGGTTCACGCCCTGGCCGGCCATGGGTGAATGAATATGGGCCGCGTCACCCACTAGGAAAATTGCAGTGCCAAGACGCGTGAAGGTGCGGTCAGCGATGGCTGAATGGGGTCTGAAACGTGTCGACCAGATCAGCTGGTCGATCTTGACAGGTGTCGGATTAAGGGATATATCCGATGTTATGCACGTCGGACCATATGTGTCAACCAAGTCCTGGATGTACTCCTTCGGCGGTGAATGGGGCGGCTCTCCGTTCTCCACTGGTACGGCACAAGCTACACGAAATATGTATTTTGTGATGGGCTTTCCATCTCGCGTCAGCTCGTCATTGAAGTGGTTTCCGATTGGTGTGAGCATAAGGACACTGCCTGAGAAAACTGTGTTATTGAGGTGACCTTCGATGGTTAGCGGACCAACAGGTTCGGGCTCAAATGTGACATCCGCGACGACCATTTGAGCCAATACGTCGTTGCTTAGGTTTGGGCCTTCTGGGTCAGAGAACCCTATTCCAGAAATGGTACGAATCTAGAGGTGCTCGTTAGACATTCCAAAAAGCTAAGCTAGCAGGCACCAGGAACTCACAATCGAGCGGGCGCCATCTGCGCCGATGATATATCTAGCTCTGATGACTTGACCATCCTCAAAGGAGACGTCGGTGATGTAAGGATCCTTCTCGTTCTGTTTCATTCCAATCACCCTGTGTGGACGCTGCACTTGAACACCAAAGCTGCAGCTTCTGCACAAGCACAAGCTCGGTCACATTTCGAGGGACGAAGAGTGCGTAAGGGTGAGCAGAATGTATCTTGAGATGGTCGAATTTGACCTCAAAAATCTGCGAATCACGGGATGTCATTCTGATGCTCTTCCCCTTGATAGCTCTAGATAGTAAGACATCTGCTGCATTGATGCTGGCTAAAGCCTATGATTATAAAGTCATTAGGGGGCCTTCTCATGAACGCCCAGGTGGCAGCGTACCTCAACGGTTGCAGAGTGTATAGCAATAGCCCGTGATATGTTCTGTCCTTCGACTATGGCATCGACGATGACGAAGTCACGACACCCGTGGTGGATAGGGAAACGCACGGGTACGGGTAACACCGCGGTTCTATGCTGACGGGTTTGGAGGGTACGGGTACGGAGTAGGATAGTCGTACCCTTGAGCATACCGTGGCCATTCACCGCGGGTTGACGGTGTTTGGGCGGGTATAATATACCAAATCGGGAACCAGGCGCGCGACAGCCATTGAACACCGTGTTTGATTCTCTGTTTTTCCTTCCTCTGAGAGCTTGAGGATCACAAGTGAATGCTATACTGATTTCTGTCATGTCTTTTGTACCCCCGTGAATCATTCTAGCAATTTATTGAGCTGACACTTCGTTGCAGAGAAGCTCGAGTCACTACCATAAAGCCAAGGCAAAAACTCGAGACCAGTAAGTCCACTGAGTCGTCTCCCCATGAAAACTAAGCTCACAAAGAAGGCATCTGATGCTTCGTCTACCCAGTCACACTCATCATCTAAGTCTATCTCGTCGTCCATCTCCGAGAAGGCCAGGTCACTCAAAAAGGCTGTTGCAAAGGGTGCTAAGGCTCTGGCCCGCCCCTTGAAGAAGGTCAAGCAGTCATTTGTGTCTCGGTCTTCTCGATCGAGCCCCACAGACACCGTTGATCTTACGCGATCAAGTACTGATTCACTTGCCACTGACGATAACAAATCAACGGCAGGTGCATTCGAGCCTGATCCCGATCCTTCTGCAGATCTTGGTATGTTTCTTTCCATTGATTTTTGCAAATATCTGATTATACAATGATACAGAGGCTCTCAAGAAGACTTGGCGGTCACCTATCTATAGTTTCTTTTCATCCGAAGTTGTGGTCCAACACCACAATGGCCGCTTGTGTCATTTTTTCCCGTGTGGTGCGCGTAAGTGTAAGACAGCTTTAGGTGGTGTGCGCCGCTATCAGGATACAAAGGATAAGTCCTCGACGACTAATCTGAAGCACCATGCCATTGGATGCTTTGGCGAGGATGCCGTCAACAACGCCATGAAGGGCAAGGATGCTGGTGCTAATAGTGGCTCTGTCTACGCAGCATTTGCACGCCAAGGCCAACAGCCCGTCCATTACTCCCATCGGACACACATGAACCCAGAAGTTCGGTAAATGATCTGAATCTGGATATTTTTGCATGCTTCAAAAACGGAAGCGAAATGAAGTCGAAGCAGAGGAGAATGACAAGGAAAAGTAGTACTATTTTATTTCATTGTTGTTAATACTTAATACACTCTTCTTGGTAATGTACCCGCGGTGTTCAGAGACACCGCGGTATTTTCCATAAACCGCGACATTGACGGGTCGGTGTGTACCTGTACCCGTGAAGGGTACGGTGTTGGCGGGTGCGGGTGCGGTGTCAACTTTCCGACCCTCGGTGTTACCCGTGCGGTACCCTAGTGGTGGATGAGAGAAAGAGCAGCGGTGAGACCAGCGGGGCCTGCGCCAACAATAAGCACAGTAGAATTGTCAGGTAACGACATGTCTTAAGGAATGGTAAGAACGATAAAGTGACAGTGACTTAATGCGATGGTGGTATTTAAGGCTATCAATATCCAGGTTATGATGAATGATGTCATAGTGGTATTCAAAGTTCGCACCTGTGCTGAGAAAATGAGAGGCAAACGCCGGCAGCATGGCATACTTTTCAAAGTCCGTCCTGCCCTCTGACCGCTGTCCTGCCGATCAACCAGCCGTCGACGTTGTCGACCTTGCTGGTGTTATCCAATTTCCAATCACCCTTTATTTGTCACTTGCTCTGTTCTTGGGGAACCATCTAGAAGATGGCACATACTACTAGAGGTGGAGCCAGAGGAAATCGTGGTCAAACACAATCCAGACAAGCAAAAGAGAAAGCTCCTGCAAGCACAAATGCACCAGCAAATGAAGATGACAGCCTACAACCTGTGATCAGTCCTGCTCCCAACACCAAAAAGAAGCTGGCTATCCATTGGGAGGGGGCCTACAGTGCTCGCACCTCTTGCCTCATTGCCTGGTGCAAAGCTAATGATGATGCATGCATCAAACTCTTCTCCGATTCTGTGAAGGATGCAAAAGAGCAAGGGAGGAAGAAAAAGCAGAGTGCTGCTCCAAAAGAAACATACTACTCGCAGCTCGCAAATGCTATATTTTCAAATGATGAAGATCCTGAAGTACAGCTCCTCTTCCAGACAAAGCCTGGCGCTTTGATCAAGCCTGTTCAGACTCGATTCGGAATGTAAGTAACCTCCGATCTTCTTGCATCTGATATGAATTACAAATTTATACCGTTTTGTTGCTGATCAGATGCTCCAGGCTCAAAAAAAAATACAACAAGTTCAACAAGTCCCTTAAGCAGACAGGCGCCAGATTAACATATGATGAGCTACAGAAGAACCCGCAGACCAAGACACTCATTGGTGGGTTGTTCTCATGCGCATCTGTCAATTTTATTTATCTATTTCTTGCAGATTCGCAACTGGACAAATTCCCATGGTGGCCAGACCTTCACGGTTGGTGGAGGACAAATCCTGCCTATAATACTGTATTCTCAACCGCTGATCCTGGACAAAACTATGAATCTGCTGCGCTACAACACTTCCATGTGCCTGACCATGAGGACGCACAACTCCCTGCCGATGAAAATGAGCCACAAGAGGATGCCGATATTGAGGACGGGGAAATTGTTGACATGGATGTTGTCAGCGCAAATGTCGACATCTGTCGAGACCCCATAGATGCCACTGATGAAGATGCTGCAGGACAAGCAGATGACGATATCCTGATGGAACAAGATCAGTTTTTCCACCTGCAACACACACCGGCGTCCTCCCGTTCATCATCAACCCCCAGTTTTTTTTGTGGATCTACCTCTACAGGCTCATACACTTCCTTACCACATCTTCGCCCACCAATCACACCTATATCAACACGTTATTCTGACCAAAATGCGGTGTCGCTCAACTCTCCAGAGCCTCTAAATGAAGACCAGTCCGACGGCCAATATCCTTTTTTTTCCAGCTTCAAAAAACCAACCTCCAGCCACAATGCCACTCCACATGACTCCGATTCTAATGTCAGCACCAGCAATGCAATGAGGGGTTTGTGGGTTGATTCGCGTAAAGGAAGTCCTGCTCGAGGACGTCCGGCATCACAAATCATGAAGCTATCTGGAGGATCTACTCGTAGCGCATCACCTCAATCATCTCAAGTCACCTCGTCTCGTCCTCCATCACGCAAACGTGCCAACAACGATCAAGCTTCCACTGCTGCTGCCGCCGAGCAGCTCTCTGAAACAGCGCAGGCGCTGATCCAGCAAGTTGGCGAAAAGCGCGATGGTCGTGTCGAGCACGATCGCTACAAGCAATTGAAGCTTGAGAGTGACATGTGGGCTAGGGAACTTAAAGTACGCAATGCTCACGATGAATGAGAACATGCTATGCGTCTCGCTGAGCAAGACCACCTGCACAAACACGAGCTCATGGGTCACCAACTGGAGCATGCAAAGCTAGAGCTTGAGCTCGCCCGTGCACGTCGAGAAGAAGAGGAGGCAAGGATTTGGCGTATTGCAATGGAGCGGAACCTGGGTCAAAATTGAGTCTTGGGTTGTCATCTTCGCGTGTTGCCTCTTGGTTTGTTACTTCGTGCTATCTTTGTTGTTTTTTTGTTGATAAATTTGCTGTCGTTTGAGTACCGCCAGTGTTTTGATATAAGCATTTGAATACACAAATTCCGCTGCTACATCTACTGAAGCTTGAGAAGCAAACACGCCATTAAAGCATTCCGAAATTCTTGTCCCGCTGTCCCGATATAAGTCTCGTCGCCCTGCCCCTCCTCTCCCTCCTCCTCCTCCTCCTCCTTGACATTCAGATCCATCCTCTGCCCAGTCAGTTCCTCGTAAAAATTGTCACCGGTACTTGCGATGCCAAGAGTCTCCTCAATCTCAACAATCAAGTTATGCAAGATTAGACAGCAGCGGATCCACATGTTGGAATAATCCAGCTCTTTCTTGCCTTGGATCGGAAACCGAAGCTCTTGTAGGCTCTGGAATCTGCCCTTGATCGAACCGAAAAAGTGCTCAGACCGAACACGGACCTACAAGTATGTAAGCGACATTCCGAAGCCATCCATCCACACTTACTTTGGAAAGGTGATAGTTGAATGTTCTCTGATCCCTTGTCAACGCCCCTCCAGGTGGTCGTTTGAATGGTGTGACACACCATACTTGCGAAGCATATGCGGAGTCGGCCCATAGCCACTGGTTCGCGCCGAAAAAAATTGTTTGGGGTGCGTGCGACCCTGGTTCACCCAAAAACATTAGAGTCATGAAGACTACCAGGTACGCCAATTACATAGTCGACAATACGGAGATTGTGCGGAAGAATGACAACCTTTTGAAAGCATGAGCTCATCCGATGAAAGGGAAAAATTAACGTACCTGAGCAGTGAGAGAGTAGTTTGAATTTTTGTCAAAAAACCCCTCACCGTGCCACCCAGGCTTCTGAAATAAGTTGAACGGGGGTGCCATCGATGCAGAGGAAGCCGCCACGCCATTCCCGGCATGTCTTCCCCTCAACCCACTGCTGCACTCTTTTCCGTTCCTCTTGATCTTCTCGATCAAGCGGATCGAAGTGGATCGCGTCGTCATGGTGCTTCAAAAGTGTGATCATAACTCTTTTGAAGCAGTTATACACAGTTCTGACGGATACCCCTGCCCATTTGGCCAAATCCTGCGTCGTAGCAGCATTTCCATAGTGGCCTATGCCATTGAGAAAAACCGCGAGTTGAATGGGGATAGGAAGCTGTGGGTTGTTAGAGTTGTTGTAGAAAATTGCGTGTGGTTGGATATGTTCGATGAGCTTGTCGAAAACAGCAGGGCACACACGAAGCTTTCGGCAGAATTTGTCGGGGGCATGCATCCCCCATTCCGGCAGCAGGTGCAGTTGTGGGGCGTGGCTAAGTTTGGGTCTTGCATTAAGGACACGGCTGATCTCTACTTCGTCGTGCAAAGCACGAACAGCGTCTATAAACTCCGTAAATGCTCGACTGGCCATCTGTGGCACATCCAATGAGAACTGGGAGGATGCGAGTGAGTAGGCGCTTGTTATGGTGATACCAGTCATCAGGGAGTCCAAAGATTCATCCGATGACTCTGAACAAACTGACATGCCAATGGATTTGGATCCACTGCTGTCATTAGAGGAAGTACTGTAACTGTCATCTTTGGAGTCTGGTTCTTCAAGGAGCTCATCAAGTGCGTGCTGCACAAGCTCTACATAGCGGGCTAATACAAGGTCATCGTGTGCATTTTTTAGGGCTCGTAGTTGTTGTTTTCGAAGCGATATGCGAGGCATAAGTAGTGGGCTGATCTTATCAGCGTAGTACAGTGATGTGTAAGCAAGACGGAGTTATAATTCGGAGTTTTAATGGTGTCGTCCAAGTTTCCAAGCGTTGTCTGTTCCGTATCGGTTTTAACTTTGAATACCACTATGGTTTGATATTGGCGCACCTAGTCGGGACTTGGCCGTCGAACGGACATGCATTATTGCAAGGTGGTATCTTGCATGGACTGCAACCGCTGGGAAAATATGTAGTCCATGACGCAATTTAGTGACTGAAGTATGTCTGACTCGTCCTGGTGAGTATGGACTAATTAAGTTCATGTGCCAAGGTCCCTTCATTTTGGCACAGCCACCAAAACGCCACTTTTCTCAGCCCTAGGACATTAAGCAAACAATTGTTTCTCAACAACCACTGCTGCTCCAAATGCTATGTTTCTTTGTAACAAAAGATGACCTATTTTATGGTGCTCAGGGCATGACAACAAGATTTGAGCAATTTGGCCACTACTCCGGTATCCTGTTTTCACGGTGTTACTTTATGCCTCATGGCAAGATTAACCGTTATCGATTATCATTGATCTCTCCAATTCTCTGTGCAAGTCTCCCAGGACCTGGTTCCTGTGTCCCTCTCCGTATCTGTCAGGGGTTTGTGCAACTTATATCCCAAACTCCGGCGGCATCCTGTTTTCCCCAATGGGCAACACAAAATCAAAAAGACGGACGCTGACACTGACATATTGCTCACTGATGAGTCGGATGACGTCATGGAGAATATACCTGAGAGCAGTGGCCCTCCATCATCTTCATTTTAGGCCATTGCACTGCAGATGCTGATGACGACAATATTAGGAATACACGTCGAGGTTAGGATAAGTTGTTGATGTTGAGGACGCCATCTCGAGCCCTTCAGAAAGCGTCAAGCTCTGGCCAATGCTCACACTGTATGTGGTCAAATGTTGCCAGTCCCAAATCTGCAAACCACAATATCTCCTGATTCTTCTCGTTGAAACCATCATGTCAGAAAGCGATATGAATTCCAAAGATTTAAGATATCAAGCATCAAACTATCCGATGCAAGGATATCATCCAAGAATCCAACAGAAACAGGGTCCGTCCAGCAGCTTTGGGGTGTACTCCATCTCCATCCGGGACTCCAAGGTCTATATTCAATTATCGTAAGATCCTGTAGTTGCCTTCAGGCCAGCTGAGGATGATCTATGCGATGGCGATCAGGTTTTGCGCTGGGTCCATGAACGCATCGATGCTATCCGCATCAGGAATTAAACAGTGATCCTGGAGACCAATCATGCTCAATTGTTTGTTGTGGGGGTTTGACAGTATTGGAAAGATCTTAGTCGAGTACTCCTCTTAGTTGAAGAGGCAAAGATGTCCATGGACGAGGAATGTGTGCCCATAACATCGGAATCGGTCTGGTATGGTGACAGTCTCGAATAAGTGTATGTATGTCAAATTGAACCATGCCGAGTAGGATTCACCTCTGCAGACACTTGAAAATAGGAGTGTGGTTCTTGAGATCAGTGTCGGGGAGCAGTTGCTGACCACCAAGCTTAGTGATGTACTGAGGCTCGGAGGAGGATATGTGTTGACATAAGCTCTCGTTTCCCTATATGTTACTGTTCTTGCCTCTTGCTATGTACTGTACAGCACCTTCTTCGTACCAGCCACAGATCCTCCATTGTCTTTATGTACTCGCCTCGCGTTTTTCTCCCACCTCAGCGTTGTTCTATTAACATCCGCTGAGGTGAGTATCTTGCTTCGTGTACTTGACACTCCCACTGATGTAACGTTACCCACTGTGGGTAGTAAAATCAATTGATTTACATGCGTTCGTCACTGATCGCATAAGTTTTCGGTAGGTCTGTCACTGAAATGGCACTCAGGTCTTTTTAAGTGAGAATATAATGTTTGAAAATCTTATTGACTTTAGCATTGATCACTTTAAACCAGTGACTTAATCATTGAGCACGAAAAAAACAAATGACGAACACACTGAATCCAAGCTGAAAGACCAGGACCAGGCAAGCCATCACCGCATCACCATCATGTGCACAGTTGCTGACTGAGCTCAATGTTATCGTACTTGACGGCATATCTCTACCCAGTGCATTGACCATAATAATTTAAAGACTATATACATCAATCATCGTTCTGATTCGTTCACCACCATCGACATTGTGCCTTCAACGTTGACCAGCCATGTCACGACTGAGAAATTCTTTACCTACTGATGACTATGGAACTTGCAGGTGCAAACCATCGTGTGGCAAATGGCTATCAAAGTCTGCATGCAATAAGCACTACCGCAAATTTATCAATGACGAGCTCGAATGTATGGAGGACTCGGATTCAGACCAGCGAGATGATGAAGACAGATATATGGAGCAAGAGAGTGGTAGCTCCAATGATGAGTAAGGTTGCGCTGCTGTAATATCAACAGAGAGTACTATTCTGATTATACTAATCGTGAATTGTGATAGTTCGACTGGCAGACCTGGGTCCTTCCGCACTGAGTCATCAGATGATGGCATGAGTGTCGATGATGGCAATAGTCAGGGTGCCTGTAGTGATATTGACTGTGACGAGGCATCCGATCTCTCCTACGAATCTGAAACGCCAATTGATATCCCCGACAACTTCATTTTTGACGAAGCAGATGATGATGAGTATCTGCACTTTTTGCTCCAGGATATTGCAGAGCAGCTCGATGCTTGGGCAGGACCGAATGTTTATGGTGATTTCTATGACATCCGTGAGTGTTTTCCTGTTCAATCGACCCCATGCTCAACGTTTCAACACAGGTAATGACATCATTACAGAAGAGGACCGAGACAATATCTGAGCTTTTCAGCTGAAGATGCTCGCGAACATACCTCACCATGCCTATGATAGAATGCGTTATGCTTTCCAACACAAAATGTCATTGGATTCTGAATGGGTCGTAGTTCACCGCTTAGCGCTGCTGTCTGGAATTGAACCCCAGAATATACACTGCTGCATAAAATCTTGCATCGCTTACACGGGACAATATGTTCATGACGAAAGATGTCCTTTTTGCAATGAAGCCCGATATACCAAACACGGACGCCCTCGACGGACATTCATGTACATTCCTCTTATCCCTCGACTTCAGGCTCTTTTCCATAATCCTGCAATAATCGAACAAATGACTTACCGCCACAACTTTGTGCCTGAGTGAAAGGATTATCAGGGATGTGTTTGATGGCGAGTGGTATTGCCAACTTTTCTCCCGTCGTGTTATCATAGACGGTGTTGAGCGAAGGCACAAATACTTTCACAAGCGACATGACATAGCGCTCGCCCTATCTGCTGATGGCTATCTTGTCTTCAAGAGACGCTGTGGGGGACCATCTGCTACTCCCATCCTTCTGCAAAATTTCAACCTGCCTCCACAGATCCGAACTCATCTGGAGAACCTCATCTGTGTGGGAGTTATTCCGGGTCCTCATCAACTGAAAGACATCGAGTCTTTCCTCGTCCCTTTGGATGATGAATGTGCTATTCTTGCTGATGGAGTGCGAACACTTGACGCATCCACTCGAAATCATTTTGATCTCCATGCGTACATCATCTTTGAGGATGGCGATATTGTTGCTATTGAGAAGCTATTGAACATAAAGGGACACAATGCAGTCTATCCATGTCGTTCGTGCGAGATACAAGGAGTACAAAATATCACCGGCCTGCGGCAAAGTGTACTACACACCTCTTGGCACCCCAGATCTCGACCACCAGCCTCGACCATCTCTTGACCCTTGTCATCTACCGCTTCGCTCGCACCAGAGCTACCTCAATACATATGAAGCATTGAAGTCAGTCACGACAAGAACAGCGACAGCTGCCATCGCCAAGAAGACTGGTATTCACAGCCCTCCTGCACTACGATGTGTCGGATCATTGGACTACTCAAAATCATTTCCATATGAATGGATGCATTTGTTTCTTGAGAATGTCGTACCTACCCTTGTAAATCTGTGGACCGGTCGTTTTAAAGGCCTTGATTCTGGTCTCGAGAGCTACGAGATCCCAGATGATGTTTGGGAAGAAATCGGAGCTGAAACAGCGGATGCTGTCAAGGACATCCCTGCAGCCTTTGTACGGGCCCTTGGGAATATTGCTCACGATCGCTCAAATTTTACAGCTGAAGCATGGGGATTTTGGTTCATGTACCTGGCCCCAATCATACTCAAGGATCGATTCAAAGACGTGAAGTACTATGACCACATGTGTGAACTTGCAGGGATGATGAAGAAAATGCTTCAATTCCAACTTACTCATGGCGAGATCAATGCACTCGACGAAGGACTAATTCAATGGGTCAAAACATATGAAGAGTAAGTGTCATTCCTCTCAATGCAGCGCTATTGTTGACTCTAACCTTCCAATCAGGTACTACTACCAATATGCAGAGGATCGATTGTTGGCATGCACCCTCCCCATACATGGTCTGCTTCATGTCGCGAGTGGGATACGATTTTGTGGACCGGTATGGACAAGTTGGACATTTTACATGGAGCGCTACTGTGGATTTCTCCAGGCTCACCTGCATTCACGCCGGTTTCCTTGGAGTAATATCAGTCGTCGGGTGTTATATATGGCCTATCTGACCCAGGTGACAATAAAATATGATCTTGGCGAAGATTTTCGTGTGACATCTCGACATCTACAAGTTGGGGAACTGCAACGGGGTGAAAGGGTTTTTGATACATGTACGTGCTCATCGATCTATCAAATGATGACTTGGCATGCATATTAATGATATTGGGTGTCAGATCCTGAATTTATCATTTGCACGCCTATCAACTACAAGTATAGGCCTAGAGATGATAACTTATCAGGTGCCATTGCTACATACTTCCACCAGATCCTTGGTGGACGGCAAGATCAAATTCAAGCCCAACTGCCCATGGTGATGTCGCTGTGTGGAAAAGCACAGATTTGCCATCGAGGGGACACCATTCAGACTGTCTTCGCAATTCGCCGACTGACGGAATCATACAGAGATAACACCTTTGTGCGGGTAAGTTTATTATTGTCATTCAATCATAGAACTTACCATCTGCAGTACGAGATTCAATATAATGACTCAGGAAAATGCGCCACCAATGTCATAGGTTATGGTCGCCTTGAGAAGATCTTACTTTGCACCTTGGATGGCAGGGCCATATGGGGACTCACCGAAATTCCTTCCACATCCTCGTGGTCGTTGCCCCCTGCGATACAGGTGGGCGTGATGCTTCGCAGATCCTTGTGGAGTATAAGAAATTCCTGCCAATTATTGTTACCGATCTGCGGAATATAAAAGCTGCTGTAGGCCGAGTTAATACTCGCAGAAGGTGGGGTATCATAGATCGTACCATCAATGCTGCTTGTGCATCATTTGCGGATGTGGATGAGGAGTATAATGAAGATTATATTTCGGATGACGAGATGTAGATACAGCAATCAAACAAATGTTCTCTAGTAATGCACGCATCCTTATTTCCCATCACCTCATATCCCTCATTGCCATCTTGTGCAAATCCACTGCCTAGCATGAGCTCATGTTCCCCTGTGGGGAGTTGGGTGAGGTAGTCATAGCCTATTGGTCAGGTGTAGAAGATGAAGGAGCAGTGGGAGGTAGGGTTGGAATCGGGGATAGGGAGGGATTGTCCAGGACATTGGCATTGGAGGTGCAGACTCGGTAAACCATGAAAGACTTGGATGAATTCAGAAAAATTGTCACGTGCACACCAAATAACACGTCAACAAAGGACAATATCAGATGAACTCACCAGATTCTTTATGTACTGCGATCAACGATGCCCCACAACAAAGGAAAAATGGTCAGAAAGATGGACAGGGTTGCAAAGAATCTCAGTCGCCTTGAGACTGAGCTTCGTCATGTACAACGTGAGTCAAATGTTGAAGTTCTAGAAGGAATAGGAGTAACATTTGTGTGAGTAGGAAACGATAATCGTGGAAGGCTCGGCCCCACTGGGCATGCGAAGAAGCTGATTGACAAACCCAAGGGTCAGGCAGGGAGGTCAGAGCTAAAAGGAGGGTATAATCTTCAACAAGCAATGGGATTGGCTGGTGACAACCGGAAATATAACACGTTTAGAGTGAGTTGTGTGGACTGAGCACTTTGAGATGATTCATACTTTAATTAGATGATTGCACAGCGATATACGAATCGATACCTCGATACGGAGAAAAACTCTCAAAGAGCAGGACAAACTCACCGTCACACTCCTTTTATCATATGTAAGTATTGTGTCCTTTTCTGTGCATATATGCTACTCTAACCATGCTTACTCTAACCATGCTTAATTGAGTGTATGCACACAGACAGATGACTCAGATCTCAGTGACGGGGCACTTGACGACATGCTTAATGATGATGAGAATACTTCAACTCCAACTTCCCGACAAAAACGACACCGGCGCATACATGATTCGGATGATTCAGAGACTGACGAGGGGTGCAACTCATGACCTCAAAAAAAACTCAAGTTCGCACATGTGAGTATTCAAGACCTTTCAATTACACTACTAATACTCAAAGCTACTGTGACTTGCAGGTGTCTATTCCTGCTCGTGCAAAGCCAGCTCCAGCACCTCGCACACAGCCAGCTCCAGTACCTCGCACAAAGCCAGCTCTGAAGTCAAGGATGACCCAGGCTCCTTCTCGCCATCTAGACCTGCTGCTGCCCACTCCAACCCGTCCAGACCCACCACCTGCCACCAAGTTGAAGCCAATATCCTCATCAGACACACGCACCACGAAGGTTGCAACAGAAGCTCCATCAACTACCAAGCCGAAAGCAAAACCTGTCACGGTGCCTATTCCTCACAGCACTCGTGCCAAGACCAAGCCTAAACCAACTGAAGCCTCTGCGGCACATCTCAAGGTTTAGTGATTTATCATCGCCACTGGCTGACATTTGAACTCATTGAATCGTAGATTGACACTGCCGTCAATGATGATGATGACACTTACGAGTTTGCTGACCTCCCCTTGGTCTGTCCGAACGACAACTGCAGGGATCTTGTGCCGGCAGACCCCAATATTGAGCTGGTCAAACAGCTTTGACAGTGGAATTCTTTCAAGAACACTAACCGCTGTTTGACATCAGAGGGTCTACGGCTGGAGCTCGAGATATGTGCAGCACTTCGACAACTGCGCAAAGAAAAGCTCAATATTCAACGCGCCAAAGCACGAGGATGGCCAACTATCATCACCTGGGAGACCGTCTCAGATCGAGTCCTCCAAATGGAGGCTGAGTTGAATCTCATGATTCACGATAAGAACACGAGGCGCTACAGTTTTTTCAACGACATGTTTCTTGAAGATCTTTCTTCCACAGGTCTGCAAAGTGACTCCGCCAAACGAGAATTTTCCAAGCTGGCCATCACTAGCAGACAGCGCATACCGGCAATGGTTACAAATCACGCTCGTCCTGGATAGTGAGTTACTCCTTGCGTTGTGACATGACCCTGCATTAATGACATCTTGTTAGCTACGGGGAGAAAGGAAAAGCGATAATCCAGTCCGCGATATTTTCCATGTTCGACCATGAACAGATTTCCAATGAGGCCTTCGCTCCCCTTGACTTCAAGGTCTATATCGAATACTACCTCATACCTTGAGTCGCTATCCACTTAATATCGAAGGACCTTGAATGCAGTCTAGAAGAGGCATACGAAGAGATGATTGCTAGCGCTGATTCAGGTGTTTCTTTGCATCCAGAGACCGAAGAAGACTCACGCATTGAAAGAATTACACGCCAACACTGTGTAATGGCTGCCGAGAAATGGGTTGAGAAGGTCAAGCACTTCCGCAAGGAGATGAATGATGAAATCGAGAAGGGAAAGGAGGAACAGAGGATGCATGACAATTTAGCTGCAAAGATTGCTGCCAAGGTGAGTAGTATCATGTTTTGCATTCGGTCATGGGCTCAAATGATCGTCTAGCAGCGCGCACGCAAAGTGGTATGTCCTTTCTCGATGCTTACACTGACATCATCTTGTTCACTTTAGCTCATATTCGTGTCATTACGCATTAGCCTGTTGCTTCCAAATCGCAATCAACAGCGGGTCCTTCAAAATTTCCTGGATCATATGATGATGCAGCATATGAAGATGACGACGAATCAGAGCTCTCTGAATTGGTGCGCCCTTGAACTTTCATTCACACCAACTTTCCCCTTGAATTCCTTCCTCGCTTAGCCCGAGAGCATCCAGGTTACTCTGGTACCACGGCCTAAACCTTCACGTGCACGACCAGCAAGGCGAAGGGTAAGTTTTTTCTATGCATGCTGTCTCACTGATGAGTTGTCTGTTTCAGTCACGCAGATGAGCTATCCACCCCCACCGGGTCTTCATCTGCTCTTCGGTCCTTCATCTTCGGCCCTTCATCTCTGCTCTTCGTCTCTGTTCTTCAAAGTGGTCCTTTGTCTCTGCTCTTGGGTCCTGCGTCTCCGGCTCTTCGTCTTCGGCCCTTTGTCTCTGCTATTGGGTCCTTCGTCTTCGGCTCTTCGTCTTTGGCTCTTCGTCTTCGGCCCTTTGTCTCTGCTCGCCATTTCGAGCTCACTGATCAATTGCAACTGCTGTACTTTGCTTCGTGTCTTTCTGTTTATGCATTAGATGTCTATTTGTATTTGCCTGTACCGTATTAGCACTGCCCTAATGCTGCATTACGATTGGACAATTCTAGTGATGGCCTCAGTCTTTTCCAGCGATGACCTCAGTCTTTTCCAGTGATGGTCTCAATCTTTTCCAGCGATGACTTCAGTCTTTTCCAGTAAAAGACTGAGGTCATCGCTGGAAAAGACTGAGGCCATCACTAGAATTGTCCAATCGTAATGCAGCATTAGGGCAGTGCTGACGGTATCAATCTTTTCCAGTGATGGTATCAATCTTTTCCAGCGATAGCCTCAGTTCTTTCAAGTGACCCTCACTATATTTTTAATGATATGTTTGCTCAAATTTCAATGAAGACGCTGCTGAAAATTCTGTATGTCAAATTGGTCCTTTCAGTGATATAAAAATCGCTGGATTCTAGTGAGCGACACGCTGAATTCTGGTAGGCATCCCAATGGGAATCCAGTGATTCCATTCACTGGATTTCCGTGAGTGTACTACCCACAGTGTACCTAGTCTTCGTTAGGTACTTATTAATTTAGCGTTGTTCTATTAACATCCGCTGAGTCTTCGTTAGACCTTGAACAATATGTACGTTTGACGAAGCGCCTTGCATGCCTGCAGGCCAGCGCTGCAGCAATCAATCAACACTCCTCACGGATGTCACAGTACAACGCAGAATATAAGTAGTATCTTCGTAAAAGGGCCGCCAGGACTACGGTTCTTCAACGCAGCTTTGTCTAAATATGGATATACAGCCCCTCGATTGCTTTCGCAACCTCAACCGACCCAAATTGATAGTCTAGCATGTCAGTCTATCATAGTCGGATCTGGGAACGACTTTCACGCGATGCTGATGACATGATACAAGCTGCATATAAATGAGAATGTGGAAAAATCCTTGATAAATATTGAGAACGACAAGTTGCCAGAGCAGAAAAATAATCAAAATGCGCGTATGTCTGTAGTGCTTTATGAGAGCTAAAAGAAAACTCAACATGGTACTGATACCTACGAGAGCGAAAACTTGCTTGATATGTTATAATGAGCAGACAACAGAATGCGAAAAAGGAAACAAAAAAAACTACGGAGGCCTAACACCACCGACAGCCTATGCAACAGTATACGCGTGCTTCATCCATCACACGCATCACCGCAGCGATGCCTTGGACGTCTTCGCGCTGACCAGCCCTTCCCCCATCCCCGCATCATCATCAGTCGCAACTTGGTTGGCGCTTGCGTTACGGATAGACGTAAGCACCTCCTTGCAGTATTTGAGCTTGTCTACGAGTCGCTGGTTGAACTTGGCCTGTTCGGGATCTGCAACAGGAGGTTGTAAAGATAATGCCATAATCTCGCTGAGCGTGAATCGCGAGATCTTGTAGTTCTTGTCGATATGCGTCACTAGTAAACCATGAGACGAAAGGATGACTTTTGAGTGATCGTAGAAGTTAAACTGTATAAAACCCAGCGTCAATTGTCAAGTACACGAAGAAGGGGTAAAATGAATGACCTGAAGGACGTCATGACTCATCTTGAACACGATAACGTGTTTCATACGCAAATACTTCTGTACGAAATCCATTCCCTTAGTGCGATCATGGTCCTCGAAAGTGTACTCGTAGTCGCCGTACAGGCGGTCCATGATGTAGCGCTCGAAATGCTTGAGAAGGTAGACCTTATTCTTGAGGTCCTCAGGAAACTCGGTCACAGAATAGTTCTTCCTAACGTAGACAGTTCCGTGGCGTCGAGAGGAAATATAATCAAAGTGACTGGGACATGTGTCAAGTCGTGTAAAAATCAGAGGTAGACAAGAACTCACTGCTTATCTGCTGAGAGAATGAGGGTTGTACTGTCATTGAAGTGCACACCGACAGACCCATCAGTCAGGGCATAACCCATTCCATACTTATTGCAGTAATCCACCCAAGACACGATGAAAACGCGCTCATCGGGGATGGTAGTATCATCACGGGGATTACGGAACAGCTTGCCGGCAGCCTTCGCGTCAAATGCCTGCGTCAAAGTCTGTGCAGCGGCATCAAATCCATTGAGTTTTGCTTGCGGAGATTCCAAGTGCACGTCCTGCACCAGATTTTCCTTGCGTTCCCCGCGCATTGGCTCCTTACCCTTCAGATCCTTGCGGGTAGGAGGTAGATTCTCCTGGTCTTCATCGAGGCGGTGAGCGCCAAGACCAGTGACCGGAGCCATCTGGGCTACGATTCTCGCTTTCTGCGATTCGAGCTCCTTCTGCCTCTGCTGATCGTGGTTTTTCTCCCGAGTTCCTCGAGGCGCATCATTCTCTTCTTCTATGTCTTGCAATCCGCGTGCAGTGCGCACGTTCCGTAGAGGTGATTTCGTGTCCTTCGCTGCTTGCAATTTCTTGAACAGAGGCGACTCCTTGATTCCGTTTGTCGACATGACCAACGGCTGCCTGGCAGAACTAAGCAACGCAGAGATAGGACTGCCAGGCTGAACAGCCTTCTGGAACTCCTTCTCTTGCTGAGCGATGGTTGACGTAATCGGATTCTTCGCCTTGTCTTCTGGAGCCGACGGAACTGCTATGGTCGAAATATGGTCGTCATCCAGCCACACAGCTTTCTTGAGCTTCATGAGGTTAACTACGGACATTGGGCGCGTAAGGTATCGGAAGTCGGGGGGCGCGTCATGTGCAGAGACGGGAATAAATGGTGGGACAATGCCGAGCTCGATGAAGGGCGACTTAAGGATTTCAAGGAGAGTGGGACGTTTTGATGGGTCAGGTGTTAAAATAGACGTGATGCAGTCCTTAGTATCGGGTGCAATGCGGCGTTCAGGCGGGAACTCGTAAACATTGTCGCGGATCCGTCTGCACGAATGGTTAATTAGAAATCAGGATGCAAGAATGGTATGCCTCACGTATAAATCTCCTTGACGTCCTTGGTTTGGAAGGGTGGACGTCCGATAACAAGTGTGTACAAGATGACACCGATCGACCAAGTGTCAACCTCGAAGCTGTGCCCGTTCGCAGTGTCAAACAACACCTCAGGGGCAATGTAGTTTGGTGTGCCACAGATAGTTTTCTTTCGTTCACCAGGGTTCTCGATCAAGGCAGCAAGACCAAAGTCGCCGACCTTGATGTTCATGTTCGAGTCAAGGAACAAATTCCCGAGCTTAAGGTCACGGTGGATGACCTGGTGGATATGCATGTAGTGGCATGCACCGATGAGCTGTACAAGAAAGAATCGGGCCTCGCACTCGCTGAAGCGGCGACGACGACGGAGCATGTCCATCAATGATCCGCTAGTGCAAAGCTCAAGTGTCATGTAGACGTTCTCGTCATCTTCGAAACATTCCTGGAAGCGCACAATGTTGGGATGAGCGAGCGAACGGTGTATCTTGATTTCTGCGTAGAGCTGAGCAAATAAATGTCAAGATGCAAGTGAATAATCAGACGTGGTGTAGACTTGCTTTGGTCTTGGCCTTCTTCGTCTTCAGAGACGATTTAGTAACGACCTTGCAAGCAAGGTGTTGTGCGGCACTGTGGCGACCGTCTGCCACCTCATAGACACGCGCGAATCCTCCCTGTTTGAAACATGAAAGGTTAGTGTGTACAAGGCGGCAATCGAGGGAAATCCTACTTCTCCGAGAAACCCTACACGGTAGTACTGCACTTGTCGATTCTGGTCGACGATGACTCTTGGGGGTGAGGGAGGGGTAGTCTTGCTATTCTGCCTGGGCAAAGGTGGGTCGGCTGGAGTTGCCTTGGGTTTCTCTTGTGGCTTTACAGGGGATGCCAGGTGAGGCTGATTGAGAACGTTTGCATTTGTGAAGGGATGACGACGATGAACGGGCTGCTGATCGGAGGGAGCGGGCATACGGGCATGAGTGTAAGCAGACATTTCAATGGCCTAACACCTTGAAAGTCTGATGGTTGTCTTGAGAAGAGAAGAGAAGAAGTGCTCAGAAAATGAACAGAGCCAAAACAAGACCAACTTTAACTGCTCTTTGGCTGACAACAATTCAAGGCGTGGCTACCGCGTGTTTCGCGTGTGTATTATGTAATCCATCACGTGTAAAGTCAACATGCTCGTGACCGCTCAAAAAACCCTAACCTTAGTCTGGGGTTCCATGATCCACTAGCTGCCACGCCGCATGATGGTCCAAGCGACGGTCAAAACACATCCAGTCTGAGCCACTTTATTGTTTGGAAAAGCGGAAGCGATTAGGGTATGCTGCGAATAAAAGAGTCTGTGGTGGCGGCGTCGATAACCTTCCTCATCCCCCAACCGGATAACGGTCGCAATATCCCAGACCCGCCACAGTACTGACTTTCTTTTGCTGTGGACCTGAATTGTGGGGTTTTATCATCTACTACCCATTGATTACCTTGGCACTGAAAACGTCCACAGGACCCATACCTCTAGGGAATCATGTTCTCCTCATTTAACCCTAAAAACCTGCCTTTCGTAGGCAAGGGAATGCTGAAAGTCACGAGTTTGACTAAGGCTAGGTACGCCGCTACTTCATAGTTGTGGCCTTCACTTCACAGAAGATCTTCCTACAGGAAAGAAAATCGAGATCCGACGCAGGAAATCGATTCCGCGGATCCTGGAGTCAATGAGTTGGATGGCGATAAGCACTCCACGGAATCGGATGATACATCTACGAACACCCAACCGGCTACATCTGACTCAGTCATTGACACAGTTTTAGATGGCAAATCGTTACCTAGTCACTCCTTCACTGGTTTTATGATGATTTCGAAAGGCTACGCCATTATCAGGCGAACACTCAAAGCTATTCCTCGAAATCCACAAAGAATGCACTCCCGGAAGATGCAGTACCACTTCTCCCAGGCTTATAGCCAAACCAAGGCCTCCACACAGCTCTCATCTACTTCGACGATACCAGATGATTCTACAGGACCGGTGTGTTATGCAGGACCTTCTATTGATCATGATCTATCGACGAAGATCAAGACTTATCTCCACATCGCCGAGGATGATATTCCGGCCGCAGTATCAGAACCATCTGGTCACCCCACGGAATGCAATGTACACGTACCGGATGACGATGACGACGATTTCGTCCTATGCAAGACTTCCCGGTGTCCGCGGTATTGCACTAGTAACCATTCTGTGCCCGACAGTACACTGAACCTGAGCACAACTGCTCGAGGAACACGCAAGACTGAGAATGATCGAATTGTGGATTCTGCGGGAGAGGAAGAATTTCGTTCTCACACAATCTGTCGCTTTCCTCGCGGCTCTACATCCGCCCCTTCTAGCAATACCAAGACACCCTCAGCTTCGAAAAGAGAATCCAAACGCGTAGATGCACGACTGACGAATGATGCTGAGGAAGGCACTTGTATTCGCAAGGCCTACTGTCCCACTCAGACCCCAGTAGGCGCCACTTCCACTGATGCCAAAGTGTCGCCAAACGCAGCCCCATTTCTACTCCTTCCTGTAGTCGAGTCCGCTAGGCTGCCTGCCGTGCCGATCGAGCATCTGGGATCATCAACAGAAAGCGTTGCATTCAACAGCCCCTTTGCCACATGCCAAGTTGACGTGAGACACGTGGCATCGTCGTCTGGTCTCATTCCATCGCTTCCCATCCTACCCTCAACCGCGCTGCATGATCTTTACTCACCGACAGATGGACCCAAGTTACTTGCAAACAATGGCATCTCGTCCCTTACATCGATATTTCCTGTTCCTTTTATGAATCCTCCATCGTACGGGGCAGCCTTCAATTCCCATGCTCTGGCATTTCCCAGCCTACCTGAACAAGTGCTTGCCGAGCAGCCAGTCTCCACGTTTTCAGGACCCTCCCTCAGTGCTACTACGTACGACAGGTTTACCGCGGGGCCATTCTGCTCTGGACCTTTCACTTCCGACTCGCTTGACATATCTTCTGACTACGCATCTTTTGTCACAAACGGTGATGTCCGTGCTAAAGGTCCCCTGTCGCAGCCAGAATGGATTGGCCATTCCGACTGTATTGACGTAGAAATGGTGGATGCTGTCATTAAACCTACGACGTTGATACTGCAGCAATGCCTTGCGAAGCCTTCTGCGGAACTAAATACGTTTAGGCCCTTCCTTGACCCTCCTCCTCTTGATGTCACCACTGCGATACACTATGCTTGTACCTATGAATCTCCAGCTTCAATTACCGTATGTGGCGGAGTTTCAACAGCTGTGTCTGCAGTTGGGCCTAGCTCCGAGGAATTCTCTATGAATGTCGAAGCTAGCTATTCTCAGCCTGCATTTGATTCTACTGCACGTCATTTTCCTACCGATGTCGGACCTTCAGCTGTTCAATCAGGGCTCGGCCATAGTTCGCGATGGTCTTCTAGCATTCTTGAAGCACACTCGGCTGTATTTTCGACGCCCATATTAGAACGATCTACCGTCTTATCTGGTTCTAGATCCACACACTCCTGTTCTGATCCTTCCGAGATATCATTAGCAGAGCAAGATATTCACGAGATCACCGCTCGGGAACAAGAGATACAAGGGACCTCTGGGCAGGCCAATCGTCTTCACGCCATCCTTGAGAACGAGTACGCTCGTAAGTGGACCATTTGTTCCCAAGACTGTGGACTAACGAACATCGTATTCTGAAGAACATGCAAGTTCTGCAGACCTCAAGTTCGACATGCACGAACACGCTGCATCTCAGTCCATTCCTTCCCTAAACACAGTGATCCACGAGGAGATTGTGGTGCAGCCAGTCGGTCACGTTAACGACACCATTACCCCAGTCCGTCGCCAACCTCAGTCCATCACCTCGTCAGCACCTCGCATCACCGGGAGAGGCTCTGATGGAAAAGAAACCCAGGCAGGCGACGATACGAAGACTGAGCCAGATGAGGACGCTAAGTCCGAGCCAGATGATGAGATCAATGAGAAGGATGTGAACGCTGAAGTACTTGCCCACGCTATACTCGACATTCCGCTTCCACCAGCGATAGTCGCAAGCGTTCAGCTCCTCGGTCAACGGAAACGGAGGAACTCGTGTTGCCGTGAAGGCATCACCCGCATGCGTGCAAAGAGAAGGCAGATGAACATTGAAGAGAGCGAGGAAGACGGCAATGGTGGGATTCGTGCACATCGGATGCGGTCTAATCATTTATCGAGACCGTCACCTTATGGATCGGTGCCGTGGCGGCGCAAAGGTCATGCAAAGGGACATGAGAGATGGTATCCTTCGAGCGGCCTTCACTTCCAGGCCAGCGTACCGTCCGGTGAGACCTCTCAGACATCAGCAGTTGAGTCAGGCGACAGCTTCCTGTCGTGTTCCCCGTTCAATCTCTCTATCCGCAATTCATCCAAAGTGCATGAACTAGAGTCCACTCCAGCTCAAAGTGCCCAGCGTCACACCACCGTCCCCACATCTTCACGACGTCGGTTGCGAGATGAAGACTCTCACTATAACGCCTCTGGCGAACTTCGCAACAAGGAGAGACCCTTGAAACAGACCCGATTCAAAGGTTGCGTCGAGCAAATGAGAGACTTTGTGCAACCCCCACCACCACCGGCAAATCCAATACCAGACAAAAAGAGACCGCCGGCCCTGCGTCGGGCTACTGGATACGGGAGCGCGGGTCGTCACCTTCGGGCTCATCATCCCACCAACGGCAGTGTGCAGGTACGTACAGACAAGCTGGATATCATGCGGCGTGCTCGCTTGGCTACAAGCAGTCCAGCTTCGAGACATTCTCCCACCAACGACGATGTCATGCAGCGTGTTCGCTTGGCTACAAGTAGTCCAACTTTGAGACATGTACTTGCGCTGAGACCACCGCGTGTTGTATAGACACCCGGGACGAGGATCTGAAGTTGTGTGGTTTCATATTTGCGGCAGCCGCATTTCAGAGTTGCGCAAGGACGTCGTCCGTAACCCTCGCTGGAGTTTATCTAGTATTTACTACATACATTCATACGTTTAGCTATCATATACCTCAGATGAACGTCGACACGAGCCTCAAGAAAAGTAGTCCGCACGACAGTCTTGCTTCGAGATAGGATGTGAATGCCTAGTTCAAGTTATGAACCGCATGTACCAATGATTATGGAGGTGGGGGAAGAGCCCGGAAAGTACGACGTTTTAATACCAGTGGTCTCGCGCCGGCAATCGTCACTGTCCGATGAAAAAGCACGGCAATCAATTGCTGAGGATTAAGGCTACATATCGGTAACAAGCAGTACATAGCCTGACTGCATCATGGAACATAATCGGGTGTTGACTACAGTACATGGGTAACGTCAATTGAAGTGCGGCGTGGGACATGAGTATGAATTCAAAGGAAGGTTAGAAGAGATTTGGCCAGCAAAACTCTGAGAGAAAAAGTTCGACATGATCGGTCTTCGAAAATGGAAAGATTCAGTTCTGAACGTCTAAATGTTCCCTGCACAACGGACAGGTCTGGTTCCTCGCCAGCCATGGAATCAGACATCTCTTGTGGAACCTTGCAGAACAATATAAGCCGGCAGCCACTACAAGAACAAGAGCAACATACGCATGGCGACACTTCGCTCCCAACACGCCATGATCCCCATTTTTGAACCGGGACAAACAGATAGTGCACTTCTGTACGTTCACACCCAGCAGCGACAATTTCAGCTTCACACGTCCATCACTTGTCACCCTTCGCCTCTCTAGTTCTACCAGTCCAACAAGGCAGTTATCTAAACTGTCAGGATTGCGATGTAATGCGGCAGGACCGATGAAATCGGAGATGAGGAGGAGGGCCTGCGCATGTGGGTGACTTCAAGTACGGGCTTGAGAACTGTGCATCCCGAATACTCACGTCATAATTTGAGCCGTCATCGCGGGGGTGATCATCTCCTAGGCTGCCAACGAGACCAGTGATGTATTCGGGTGCAGGTGATGTGACTGTGCACGAAGATGGCAGCGTGGTTGATGTTGGCGTGAGTGGCCCACGAGGACTAGAGCTGCCCACAGTGACGCTGTCACTGTCAGTATCGTCCTCGAGGTAGTCGATATGGAGAGGCGGTGGAGTACGCGCAGGTGGAGTACGATCGGGTATCATGGGCGTGCTGTCCGGGAGAGGGGGGGTGCGGTTTGGCAACGGGGGTGTGCGAATGGGGAGGGGAGGGGTGTGACTGGCGCTGGAGGGGCTAGCTTGATCCAAGCTGTCGTCGTCCAAATTGATCAACAGGCCCTCGGGCACATGCAGGTTTTTGGGAATAGCCCTGGGGTGGTGTAAGACTGTAATAGTGGTGGGAGTCTTCGGATCCGGTGTCCGGCCTACAAGCCATGTAAGAGAGGGCGACGTAGATGGGGTCTGGGGTAGAGGACGGCCTGCATAGTGACGCCGAGGAGATGCAGGAGCGGGGCTATACGGAGGGGTATGTGACTCTGGGGGCGGGGGTAGGCGGTCCCGAGGGGAAGATCGCACTATACGCAGGCGCACTTCGCATCTCCAACTCGCGCGACAAGGACCGTCCACGATGAACGAGGATCTCTTCGCGGCAGGCTGGAGTCCGACGACGTGAGACCCGCTCTGTTGCAGACCTGGTAGGCAACGAGTTATTGGGCGCTGGAACGGGTGTAGCAGGCGTCACATTGTAGTCAATGTAAGTCACTTCTGAAGCCGATGTCGGAGAAGCTCTGGCATGTGTGCGGGTAATCTTCGGAAGCTCTGGCTGAGCAACAGCACGAGGCGTCGAATGTGAACGGACATGCTCATGCTGAACTTGATGAGTTCCCAAGTTCATCTGCGAGAAGGAAGTAAGTGCCCTTCCCACTGAAGGTTGGGATAAGGATAGGGATGATAGAGTTGGCGAGTCCCTCAACGTTATCCCACGGGTAGGGAGACGAGATCTCTCCAATTCCTCGCAAACGCCAAGATCCTGTTGAGAGAAGGATGGGAGCGTCCTTCCGACTGTGGCCAACGACAAGCTCGAGGAGCTAAAGAGGGAAGCAGAAGACGAAGAAATCGGGGATACTGGGGCGCTCGATGCGCATGTGTGATCGCTACGCAAGCTGGAATTCGTGCGCCTCCGAACATGCCGATTTACAAATGGAGGAGAAGCCGGACGTTGAGGACGATCTTCAGCCGGAAGTACAGTCCGAATGCTAGGACGGTATGGGTGTCGATTTGTATTTGAGCTGCGAGTATCTTCTGTACAGACCTCGGGATAAGGCCATGTCTCTGCAAAGCCTGAGCTTAGTGCAGGAGCTGGGCTTGGGGGGCTAGGGTGACCGGAGGAGTCTTCCAAAGAGGAGTGAGAGGAGTCGGTGCGATCCAAGACTTCCCAGTCCTCCAAGGGTTCAGCACCTGCGCGTTCTTTCTGCTTCCGATGGAAGAGCTTTCGAGAAAAGTGGTGATCTCCGTGACCATGAAGTGCGGAAGGTGAAGATAGATTGAGGAGTGAAGGTGTGCTCTTGAAGAATGGACTGGGGTTACGCAACAGCGAGATGACAGATGATGAGGGTTGTGGTGATTGAGACCTATGGAATATCCTCGATGGAGAAAGGGGAAGGCTCGGAAGAGGTAGCCTGTGTTTAGGCGTAACTGGAGAAGATGCATCAGATGCTGCCTGCACGCTGCGGTCGTCAGGATATGGATCTTGATCCTCAGGAATCCTGAGTGACAATCGAGAGTTCGCGAAACGAGACTGAGAAGTAGGGCTTCGTTTTGGAGCCTGACTAAACAATCGGGTCCGCTGCGGCACGGCTGGAACATGTGATTCCACGGACCGCTGATGGTGCCTTGTCACCCTTTCCTCGAGGGGAACTCCACGTTGTCGATCCATTTCCCATCTCTGCGGTAGATCTACGTCCACAAGCTCTATACTTGACTCGTCGTCATCAAGTAGTGCCTTCTGTTGTACCGGCACTGGGAAGGCGCAAGACCCTGATGAAAGATTCGGCGCATGCGCAAGCGTGGGACTCGGCGTATGCAAGGGCATCATCAAAGGCGATAACGCAGGTGGGGATATCGATAAAGGAGTTGCTGTAACTGCGGATATCACTGGATCTGTGTGCATAATGATGTTATCATGCGTAGCTGAGGGCTGTGTAGAGCCCGAAGAGGAGGTGCGATTTGTGACAGGTAAATGTTCTGGATGCATATGAACCCCAGCCACGAATGTAGATGAAGCAAGTACAGATGAAGCAAGACTGGACAAGGTAGGACTGGTCGCTACCTCATAGGTTGGAGGCGGTGGATAATCCGAAGTATCTAACCGATCAGTTGAGAAATTCAATTCTGCCACCTCGAGAGATTTGATTTAATCTCACCCCCATCTTCCCGCACTCTTGCTTGTCTGCGACGGGCGCTGGCGCCACTCCGGGTATCTCTGAAAGAGTAGCCAAGGTTAAAGCGAATTTCTTCGCGTTGGCGTTCGTCTCTGTCTGCTTTCTTGGGCTCTTTTGCTTTGCCACGAATCTTACCAGTCGTAGCTTGTCGACTGGGCTGAGCGGTATCCAGAGCCTGACACGGGTCGACCTGAGCGGGCTTTGTGGCCCGTTTGCTTGAGGTCATTGTGAAGCACTGAGGGAGGATAGAACAGCCTGAGATGGCAGACAAGGGCGAAGATGGGCAACACGCCTTCACCTGCAGGCGACCTGACTCGCTCTGGTATAGTAGGTGTTTATATTTCTTTGGCGGTTTACCAAAGAGGCACAGCGCCCTATCCTTGCGGCACTCGTGCCATGATCCTTACGCGGAACAGGGACGAACACGAGCCATTCATATCGCCTGCTGAGAGAATACGACAGAATGCCCTTGCAACGTTGCAAGGAAACGTTTCAGTGCAGAAACCACACATACCATATTTAGTGGCTGACATAAGCATCACACCTGGCATTTGCCGACGGGACCAATGCATGACATAAGCATAATCACGACGCACGTGACCCCTAACGCGTCTGTGAAGGTTGTGGAATCTAGATCTTGAAACTTTGTACACCATGCCAGGGCGTGTATCTTCTGTCGAGGAGACCCTCACCGCCAGCGTCCCCTAAGATTTTTGACCAAGTTCAGAATTCCACTGCAAATCACCAGAAAAATATCGTTGCACTCTACAAACTCCACCTAGATGCTGCCAATTTCACCGAACCCGTACATGATGGCAGAAGCATCAAACTCACCGGTGAGCGTATGTTCGAGGAGAAATTCAAAGACATACTATGCAGGGCTGCCGCTGTGAAGAAAGGAACGTCGCAGGGTGACCGGATAGTCAAGTTTGTTGGAGCGTACACAAAATACATTAATGAGAGAGGTATGATATCTGCTCGTTTCACTGATTCCAAATCTTATTTTATCGTAGCCACTGAGGTAAAGAAGGAGGATGACGACGACGATGATGACGATGAGACCACAGCCTCTCGGTTTGTTGAGAAAGTGCTTGCCTTCCTCCTAATTGGCTTTGAAGCCAAGGACAAGGTTGCACGCTACCGCTGCGTCCACTTTTTGGCGGAGATGGTCGCGCACTTGGGTGAAATTAGGTTGGCAGTTTTTTTGTGCAATGATCCGGGCTGACTAGGCACAGCGAAAAGTTGTACACTGAGCTCCGCACAGCTCTGTTCGAGCGCGTGCATGACAAAGAAACATTTGTTCGAGTTCAGGCTGTCATCGCACTTTCGAAACTATGTGGCTCGGAAGATCCATCTGACGTGGAAGAAGGAGAACCCACTGCTCTTGAGGTGTTGCTGGAGACTCTTAGTTGTGATCCTGCCGCGTTGGTTCATTTGTCATAAATCGCCCAACAGTGTGCTTATCACTTGTCTTGTAGAGACGTCCGTAGAGCCGCATTGCTCAACATTCCTCTGTCTTCAGCGACCCTAGATGCTGTCCTTGCTCGGACACGCGACACTGACACGATCATGCGCAAGCTGGTTTATTCCGCTATCCTAGTCCAACATTGCTTCGTTTCTGATGGATCTGCAATGGGGCTCGTTCATCCTCGCGTGCTTACCATCGCACAGAGAGAGTTCATTATTCGCAATGGTTTAGGTGATCGAGAGCCAGCGGTTCGCCAGGCTGCAGCTTTGTTACTCAGCAAATGGGTGGACGTTGCTCGTGGAGATGTCAAGAACGAAGAAAGCAAGACCGTTGAAGATGATGTTCTCGCACTTCTAAGCCTCTTTGATCTTACAGAGAGCACAGTTGCAGAGGACGCACTGCTGAGCGTTTTGGACAGACGCCGTGATATTTCCGACCACGTCGAGTTTAAGGGTATGTTTCATTGCAGAATCTTGGTCTGAGGAACTAATTGGTACATCATAGATGCCTACTGGGCCAACCTGACCCCAGAGCGAGCTTTTTTCGCTCGCGTTTTCGTTGACCACTGCATTGCCATTAAAGATGCGGAAAAACTAGACGCTTCTCTCCCGGTTGTCACTGCCCTTGCCTACCACATTCAAGCTGCCTACAATGCATACCAAGAAGACTTGGAGGTTGCCGAGCAAGAAAGAGTAATTCGTAGTGAACCAACTGAAGAAGAAGAAGAGGCTCGCATTGACAAGGAATTTGTCATAGGCGAGATGCTCAAGGTTTCTGTGAATCTAGACTACGCTGATGAGATTGGGCGCCGAAAAATGTTCCAGCTCGTGAGAGACATGATCTCTCAGGAAGCACTACCCGAATCGCTTGTCGCTAGATGTTTGGACGTATTGCGAATGCTATCACCAAACGAGAGGGATCTTATTCGAGTGGTTGTAGAAGTAGTTCACGAGCTTAGGGATGTCAGTGACGAAGAAGAATCTCTAGTAAGTCGGACACCTCTCTGTTCATATTTCATTCCAATGACAACCTTATCTTTGCTAGAAGGAGCCTGCAGATGACGGAGAGACCAATTTTGGCGAAACACCCATGCCAACTCGTATGGCACCCAAAGAACCAAAGTCATCAGAAGATATGTCTTCCGAAGAACGAGCCCGTATGGACGCGATTGATTTGCGTTGTCTCTCGCTTTGTATAGGCATGCTGGAGCGTGTTAACGGAGTGCGTCATAGCTTATGTTCAGTTTCCTAATCACTCACTGTTGCTCAGACATTCGAGGAAAATTCGACACTCGAAGGCATCCTTGGCGAGCTAATCATTCCTGCCGTCAAGCGTAAGGAATTAGTACTTCGTGAAAAGGGTCTCATTTGTTTAGGTCTTTGTTGTCTTATTGCTCGAGTATGCTCAGGTTACCCATCATGTGGTTTAGAAACTAATTAATTTCACAGCGCATGGCTCTCAACTCTTTCCAGCTTTTTTTGGGTCAAATTCAGACTGCCCCAGAGGTCCTGAAGATCCGTGTGCTGCAGATCGTCTTCGAACATTCTCATGGTACACGAAAATGACTTCTTGAACAAAGAGGGTGGTGCAGTGGGTAACAACAGCTACAACCTTATTGCTATGCTCACGCTTTTATAGAGCGAGCGTATCGTCGAATTTTTCTTGCATGTCCTGGAACATGAGGAATCCGACAAGGTGCAAGCCCTTCTGTGTATTGGCCTTGCAAAGCTTGTTCTTGCCGGAATGATCTGTGATGACAAGGTTGGTGCCGATAGATTGTTGCACAATGTCACGAGGTAACGCCTCTTCAGGTACTGCAGAGCCTGGTTGCTGCATATCTTGCCCCGGACACGATCGACAACCAAGAAGTCCGCCAGTGCCTTGCCTATTTCTTCCCCGTGTACTGCTACTCCTCCCCAGTCAACCAGCGGAGAATGCAACGGCTGTTCGTTGGATTGTTCGAGAAACTTGCCCCAGAAACCCGAAATGTTGACGAAACCCAGGAGATGGTTAGTCCTGCTCAAATAGCAGCTATGTTCGTGGATTGGACCGATCCGCAGAAAGCTATGTGAGGCAACGTTATTTATCTTGAAAGTGTTAGTTAAGATGATGCAGCGAGGTGCAAGATCAGCCAACCGACGAGACAATTCATATCGACCTGGCAAGCGATATCGCAAGAGCATTGTTCGACGACAAAATGATAAGTATGTCAATAAATTTCCGGAGGGAACCATTAACCCACGCTGAAATTACAGAGGAGGACAAGAAAGTTTTATATCAAGTTCTTGGGCGGCTATACTTACCGGACAAGGTTGATGACGATAAAATCCGCACACTTAAATTACTACTTCACAACCTCAATTCTGTGAGTTCATCTGAGATTTTTGTGTCGATCAAAAAATCATCCGCATACAGCGTCGACCGATCCGTGACACAGCAGCCAAGAATGCCCTTGCGAAATTTGATGCTGCGATCTCGAAAAGATATGCTGAGCAACTAGAGAGCTTCAACGAGGAAGACTACAGGCAACTGGAGTACCTGAAAGATTTGTTCGAGTTTCTTGATGATATCATTCCCTTGGACGACGGTGAGGAGGTTGACATACCTCGCACTCGTGCCCGGAAGAGGTGTGATTTGCGTTAAGCTACTGTTTATACGCGTTGAAACTGATTGAGTGGCATAGGCGCTCGGGAAGCATTGCTACTGATACCACGGACAGCATTGCACCAGATGAAAGTGTGGCTTCTGCTACTTCTTCATCACACCCAAAGGCCAAGGGCAGGGGGAAACAAACCAAGTAAGTAGTCATTTGTTCATCATTAACTTCCAGTCGATCAATTGTTACTCAGGCGGAGACGTGTTTCTGATTCCGATGACTCGGATGATATCCAATCGTATGACCATGTTACCCCAGCACCCACGCGAACCCTGCCAAAGCGAGCCGCGTGCGTCAACACGTCATGATTTTCCCGTTTAATGTGATCTTAACTTTTGCTCGCAGGTCGGTAAAGAAACCTCAGGTAGTGCAGTTAATAGAGGATGACGATGACGCTGAGGAGCAGGAGGAGGAAGAGGAGGAAGCTTCACCCCCTCCTGCCTCTCAGAAGGGGCGAAGGCCCAGGCCGTAAGTCGCTTGCATAAGTAGGACAGCACATACTCATTTGGTCGTGTGCAGTGCAACCAAAGCGAGGGGTGACATTCAGCCTGCTTCTGCAGGGAATAGTACCCTCGATTCCATCATGGATAGCGAAGAAGACGAAGAGGAGGAAGAGGAAGTGGCTAACGATATATTGGGTTCGGAGTAGAATTTTCATCATCTATGAGTACAGTATCTATTATGATTTATATTTGTACCCCGTACCGCTGTACTTTTACTGGCAGGACTGCTGCTTTCACAGTTTTGGGTGATTTCGCCAGATTGGATGATAATATATACCTTTTGGTAGCGAGTTTAGTCACTCGATACAATAGTGTCAACAAACAAACCAGTGTGATCGATCTCCAGGATCGCTGCGTCCAGTTCTCAACGCGTATATCTATTATCGATCATGGATGGATAGACCCAGTGCAAAACCTGATCGTTATCGGGTATCACACCACTGATTATCATCACGATTCTCTGGACTGGTCCGAGAGCCTGTTCTATATTCACCTGGATCGAGATTATGTCCGCCCCCAAGCAGCCGGACAGACGCTGCTTCCATCGATCTGAGCTTATAAGGGAATGCCAAGGCCACACTTTGAAGCTCCAGGAGTTTGGGAGGCAATGATTGCTCTCCAACCGTCGTCCTGCAGAGCATGCGATGGTTGCAGATCTAGGACTGGTAACACTCGACCGTCAACGTTTCAACATCCAGCGTGCGCGTTCGCCTTGCTAAAAAAAACTTGAGTGATGATCGACTTTACAAATGACTCACATATGTGAAATGTTATCAGTTACAGTGTTACACTATCAAACTCAGATGACGAAGACCTTTGTTTCCTCGGAAATAATATAAGCGACAAAAATTTGAATCTTGAGGATAGTATATCCGAGTCTCGGGCACCGCAATTGTTGGCATGCTTCTTGATACCCGTATCAGCATTTCAGTGACGACTCGTGATGCGCATGATGTTGCTCCTACGGCCGCGGACGATATTGCGTATGGCCCACAACCGCAGATGCAAGCCCAACAAACAGTATGGATCTCAGATCCTGAATATCCGAGTCGATTGCTGTCCTTTGTCGTGGACCTACCGAGTGTAGCCTTCGTCATTTCCACTAGGGTTTTTCTTTAATTTGAATAGTAGCGGCAATACCTTGGGAACAATGATCGGGGCCCTTCAAACGCCCGTGTGTTCCATTTCAACACAGCTTCGGCGTTAACGGGAATCGAGGCCGTTGCTGTAGTTGGATCACGCTTTGGTTGTTAAGCGCCGGGGCCCGGGTCAAGGACGAGTCATGTGAAAGAGCCATCTACGATAGCATTGAGGGGGTGGGTTAGTAACAACGTCCCTGCCTTATGTCGAAGAGTTATCGGACGGAACATACACACGGTGCTAGTGCACATGATTTAGTGAAGATATGGGTTGATAAGCACAAACTTTATGTGCCTGTAGGTCCCTCTTATTTTCCCAGGAAATCAGTCATACTTATTTTATTTACAGAAAGTGGAGTCTCTTATCAGCTATAAATTGATGTAGCAGGTCTAATGGGTCCCGCAGGATTAGGGAGGCGTACGAACACCGGTCTAGCCAAAAGAAAAAATAAGCACACGTTGACATGCTGTGCTGCCCGTTTGCAGAATAGACTTGCCGCTATCAATGACCAAATGAAATCAAGTATTATTCAGGTTACGGAACACCTACTTACCGCGATACGCAACCGACCGAACCACCTAGTTCGCAAGAAGCTCAAATCATTGGTCTCACGAGTGATGTAGACCAACGATACGGTGAATTGTGGCCCGAGTGTTATATATATAGTGGCAGCTGTGGAAGTGCACGACCCACAAGGCAATATGTATGTATGTTGCGGGTCAACTCAGACTAATAAGTGTAATCGCCGCTGATTTTGTTTGAGCCTACCCCGAAATGACAGGTAGTTGTATTTCCTGTTTCATCATGCCAGTATCTGGTCAAATTGAGCGTGCCCTTTGGAAAATTCTCTAAGTGACTTATCTCGTTCGAAACCTAGAAAACCAGCTGGTATGTCTTCACCCTCAACGCACTCGAGACGTACACCTGGAGCTACTCGCACTGGCTACGTGGGATCTCAAGAATCGGAGAGGCTCGGACTAGGAACGAGAACGAAGACTTGAGATTGGGTCCAAAGACTAGAGAACGATATTCGACGGGGAGAGGTATTAATACGCTGATTGAGACGGAGAATCAAAGGAGAACGTGTCTGGCGCATGTAACGAGAAGTGATTGCGTATGTAGAAGAAAGGGATGAGTACGTACGAGAGTGACGTCGATAGTCATATCTTGAGATGGAAGAAACCTTGCACTCACATATAGAGGGTCCTTTGTCGATGTATCTACTATCATGTAGAAGCTCAGCGTGTAGGTGGATCCATCGAGGAAGTGCTAGCGCTGCTCTGGGAATAGTGTGATGGCTTTAGCAGTAGGATGTATAAATATTAAATACCAGAGACTGATGGCAAGCTTCCCAAAACACCGTGTCCGTTACGACTGAAACCACAGTAACTCCGAGCTTTGCATGTAGTCACGCAACCACAGGGTGATATCTGTCGCAATTTTTTTCACCTGCGAGTTCCGACGTCACATCGGTGGATTGAAAGCTGAGGTACACCCGTTTTTCCCGATCAGATAAGGTGAACAAAAACGCACGGTTAACGTAATCAATGGTGACTGATACTGATACAAGTTGATGATTAGTTGAAAGCGAACATGAAAACAACAATAGCACTTGGTTCGTTTGAGTGAGTCTCCTTCCGATCTGAAACGCTGAATCCTGGACCTCCTCAGTAGCCTCTCCGCTGCCTCTCTGCATCGGTAAGGGGGACATACTGCCCACGAATTAGCGACGGATTAGATAAATTGAAAAAGCCTACCATGACCCCCATCAAATTCTTCTTTGTGACTTTACCATTCTCGTCCTTGTCGACTTGGGTGATCTGCTGAGCAAATGTCCCAACTGGTATGAACATGCGCCCAGGGCTCTTGAGCTGATCTACCAGCTGCTGTGGGATGGTCGGGGCAGCGGCGCCGACATGAATTGCATCGTATTGGGCAAGGTCGCTATATCCCTGACGACCATCGCCAGTGACAGTGACGATCTCGCCGTTATCGAGAGCGAAGCCCAGTCCATCTTGTCTGAGATTAGCCTTTGACCAATCAACCAGTTCGGGGATGTGATCGATGCCCACGACAACGCCGCCTGGGACAAGGTGGTGGAGTACGGCACAAAGGTAGCCGGATCCACTGCCGACATCGAGGACGCGCTTGCCCGGGCCAAGGTAGTCGAGAAGGTGCTCGATCGCATGTGCGTGCTGTAGAAAGGTACGTGAGCACTAATGGAATTAAAATTTTAGGGACTTGCCATGTGTGGTGCAGATATGGTTGCGCCATGCCCGATGGATCTGTGGAACGTAGTATGTAGTTAGGCTCGGGAAAAGAGAGGCGATACGCACTGAGGGGAGTCGTCATATGCTTCCGATTTGTGGATGACATAATTTGCACGGTCAACTTTCGTCATGGCCTGTTGCAAGTTGGACCAAGGATATAGTAAGTACTGGTAGTTGTGAACTGACCTCGTCCACTCTATCTGTTGTGATAATTTGTGCTGTGTGCATGTTTGTAATTAGGTCTGCGTTTGTGCGACCAGAACAGCGCCAAGCCATTGTAGCAGCCGGATTAATATCCGAAGAACGACTTCAAGTTGAATGATTGATGATAAGGAAGCTAGCTTGGTCACCTCATTATTAAACTGCCAAGAAAGGAAGACAGACGGCCGGCGTCCACACGTGCGTAACATGACGCAGCCAAGCAGCAGCCAAGGATTTGACTACTAGTCTGGTGGCAGTACACCTTTCTCTGCCTCTTTTTCCCATTCTTCACGGTTGCTATTTAGTCTCCATCCTTCGCTTATCATTTTCAGTCATCTTTTTTAACCCCTCCCGGCATCCCGGGACCATGGACAACACACCCATCTGGCCACTTCTGTCTACTGTATTCCAGGTATGTATTCGGAACGACTAACACACTGCTGTCCATTGATTTTCTTGCCTTTTAGTCAATTCTAGAGGTGTTTCTGCTATGTCTCGCAGGCTACATACTCGCATGGTGCCGTATTATTGACAAGCCCACTCAACGCGTTCGTTTGGCCCTGTACTTTGGCTTTTCAACTTGCTTATACAAATGCAGGTGATAAACCATATCAACATCTCCTTGTTTACCCCTGCGCTCCTGTTTTCTAAAGTCGCATTCTTCCTAAGTCCAGGTGTGCATCACATTTTGTCCATCAGCATGATCCTAACTAACCTGGTTTGTCCCACAGCAAAACTCAAGGAACTATGGATTATTCCGATTTTCTTTATTGCCGTCACCGTTTTCTCTGCCATCGTGGCGAGTGTCCTTTCGAAGATATTTAGACTGAAGAAATCTCATCAGTGTGTTTCTTCATTCATACTCCTTGACCTGTCCTTCCGTTCCCTTCTCTCCCATCTTTACAATCACCAGGGCTAACATCCCATCACTATTTCTAGCAACTTCGCTGTGGCTGCTTCGATGTTCATGAATTCGAACTCGCTACCCATCGCTCTGATGCAGAGCCTTGTGATCAGTGTGCAAGGCCTTAAATGGACTCCAGACGACAACACGGACGCAATGCTGGGTCGTGCGCTCACGTACCTTGTACTGTATAGTACTCTCGGGATGATGGTGCGTTGCGTTAACTCGAATGATGTTTCAGCCATATTTGGATTTGGATTTGATGATCTGAATTGGATTTCTTGGTCTCTATGGTTATTTCATTTTTGGCAACAGTAGTTGTCCCTTTGTTGGGCTTGGCCTGCTTCGCCTTTCCAACGAAGCTCCCAAGCCAGTTCTTTGAGCTTCTGGACTCGCTCCGTATCCCGTTATTTGCAAATTGTTTACTTATATTGCTCACAGCTTCGCTGGAGCTACGGCGTGCGTTTGCTCTCCTCTGCAGATACTCCACCTACGCCAACCTCTCCCCATTCGCCCCTACTTGCAGATGTACCATGCGATGCTGAAGGAGCCCAATACGCTGATAATACATCACTATCAGATGGGTCGACGCTAAGCGAGCACCATGGTTCATCCATGTTCCAACCCACGAATCCCTCTCATCACTGGCAAACTCAGGTGCACCCTACAAGCCCTTCACATCACTGGCAATCCCAAGCCCGCACCCAAGCTGTACTTGTGACTTCGTCTCCCGATGACACAGATGACAATGATCAAGATACAGCGTGTGAGATTCCCATCTCAGAGCCTGCGGGCCATATCTACGGACAGCTGCGTCCGCACCACTCGCCATCACACCTTCACCTCTCACCAACTCACGCACTCGAACAGTCGTCACTTTCGCATCCACGCTCTCCACACTCACCGCATCCATCACGGAACACAGCTATATATCACTCCTTCCCAAATTCTCCTGTGCGGGAACATGCGCCTTTTGTCTCAGACAGTGTCACGCCCGCAGACTCGGAGGACGAGATAGAAGATGGGACAGAAGTTACAAGTGAGGCTCTCGGTCGTCGACACCATAAGAGACCGCACACTGGTCTCCGTCACGTCTGGAAGTGCACCAAAAATGGATGGCGCCATGTTAATGCGTTTATGACGATGCCACTATGGGCTTCCCTCCTTAGTCTCATCGTTGCGTGTACACCGCCGCTCCAATCTGCGCTCGAACGCATGGAACCTGTGAAAGGCGCGCTTGGTGCTGCAGGCAACTGCAGTATACCACTAACACTCGTGGTGCTTGGGGCATACTTCTACTCGGAACCTCCCAATGATGACATGAAAGATGGAGATCTGGCGGACTACGAGACAGACGGGACAAGGCGGGACTTTGGACAGAACAAGTCCCGCACTTCACTGCTCAGCACCCTCCAGGAGATGCTAGCACTCAAACGTGCACCGCAGCCGCAACCTCAGACGCGAGGGGAAGGCAAGACGGTGTTCGTGGCGATCCTTGCAAGGATGGTAGTCGTCCCGGCTGTGATGCTTCCCGTGTTGGCGATTCTTGCGAGGTTTGATGTTCATGATATCTTTGAGGAGTAAGTGCCTTGAATCATTTCATGGATAGTTGCTGATATACAATTTTTCGATAGCCCCGTGTTCGTGGTGTCAAATGTGCTCTTGATAGCAAGTCCACCAGCTCTGACGCTCGCGCAGGTGCGCCGTGTACCCCGTACTAGACTCGTGATTAATTTAATGCTTGCGTGTTAATCAGATAACGCAAGCTGCCTCGAACGACTCATTTGAGAGGCTAATATCACGGACGGTTTTCTGGTCGTACTGCGTCGTCACCCCACCAAGCACGATTTTGGTCGTCCTTCTGGGTTTGCTGATTGCGAAGCTGTAATTTAGATGGTTGTTACACTTTTCTGCTCATCATGATTCCTTGATAGCCGAATGACGGATGTCAGATTTTTTAATATCTTTTCATCTTATTTACTGGGGGACCATGGGTGCTCTTTGGCGTATTTTTGTTGACAGGGCGGACGAGTTTGCATATGTGCGCACTGATCTATTGCCGATTTCATATACTTTGTATTGGTCTTCTGGGACTTTTTGGTATACCATCCTCTCAGGTATCGATGAGCATGAGATTGAATGCGAGTTTCGCCCGAATACTACTCGATCGTTCATCTTCACCGTCATACATTGCACTTTGCCCGACTTCCGCAGGCGAGCTAATTGCCGTCCAGTCTTGATAAGTACTTATGCAAATATTGTTCGGAAGCGAAATCAAAACCGAGGAGTAATTGTCGCTTATTTTGCAGTGGAAGTGCTAGGATAAACTCGGAGCACCAACAATTTAGCCATCATTATGTTGCAATAGGCTTAGTATGTTTCAATGCTAGCGTTGAATCACTTACGCGATTCAGAGGGTACGGGTGATGCTCGGGACAGTAGAATCCAGAGTTTGCACAGGATATCCACTCCTATCTCCAGGTAAGTACTATGGTCCAGGGGCCCCAATAAAGCGCCCGCCTCTCAACTTGAAAGTCAACACGCGTTCTTCGTACTAGATGAAGTCGAAACATGCTATTCGATTCGTTAGCGACGACGATCGGGTGGCATGTAGCTGGTACCGATGCTGTAGGCCGATATTCGTGGTTCTTCATAGACGGCCTTTACAAGGCGAAGACCCGGAATGAAGGCATTCTCGCCTGCGTGGGATATGAATCATAAAATCTACATCCACATTATTGACATATTACTGTCCCGAATCTGTCGACAAGGACGGTGTCATGGTATCCCACACGGTGTTTTTGTGCCTACTAGGAGGATTAAAATTCAACCTGGTAAGCTAGCCTGGAAAGGAGGAATTAAATAGAACCCTTTTTCGTAGACTTTAAGTGAGGATCACGTCTGAGGGTGCTAACGCCAAGTATGCGTCGAGTACAGACTATGCTAGTAGTCACGCACAATGAACCACCGTAAAATATGGTGATTATTGCCAGGACCGGCCCCCAAGTAAGCAGGTTCGAATTGGATAATCCTTCGAGGGTGTGGGAGCAAAATGTTGGAGGTTGTTGGTAGGGGTGGGAGGAGCGACTGTACGGGAGGGATGCGTGTGAGCGTAGGAAACAGGGCGGGGGAGCAAGCGGGTGTTGAGAGTATGTGAGCACGAGTTGCTATTGATGGCACAGGACGACGATGGGGCCAGTGCAGGACAGAAGAGAGCATAGGAAGAGTGGAACTTGAAGTATGGAGAGTACTCGCAAGGTGCAGGAGGTTGCGATTGAAAGGCCTGGGCCCTCGAAGTTGCAGCCCCGGGACTGCCAGTACTTGGGCGCAGTGGGTGACGGTGACTCGTCCGATGCGGCTCGGCCAGGTACATAGGCCTAGGTGGCATTGGATTAGCAACAGCTTGCCATCATCTAAGCCGAGTCTATGCTCTAGATTCAGATACTGGCTCTAAGGACATCACCTACCCTCCGTTAAGCTAGAAATGGAGAAATCTCACCGAGTCTGAGGGGATCGCTCGAGGCAGTCCTGTATCAGCAAATTACTTCGCTAAGAGCGGCTCAGTTGAATCGAATGCCAATAAAACTTTTAGTCTCTTAGCCTAGACCAGACTGTCATTCCTTGAGCTGCACCATGTTCAAATGCGTTAAGTAACTTGAGTCTGCTTTGGCTGTGCTAAGTGTGCTTGTTGTGCGGCCTTGCAAGTTGGAGGATGCCGTTACAGTTTTCGAGGGGCCGACGTGGTCAGGCCATCTGTGAATTCTGAAACTAGTACACTAGGAGAGTGAGTATTAAATATTTCACACACAACTTTCCTTTTCAACACAAGTCATAGTCACATTTACATCGCTCCAGGTCCATTCCAGGCTCCAGTGGACCGCAAAGATCAATTTCGTCGTTTGAGGGCCTGCCTGGCATGGTCGGATTCTATGAACTCCAACTTATTCTCCTTGTCTCCTCGTGTCTCGTCTTCCTCTTCCTTGAGCGCCATGTCTCACGACGGAAAGAGTCGAAGGAGAAAGACCTACATACCGCCGAGCGCCTGGAAAACGGGGGAACCGACAGTATCACACAACTCCCTAGCCACACTAACAAGGCAGTATCTCATCGTCTATGCAATTGTAATGGGTATGCACCTTCCTCAGCTCATGGAAATCGCGTGGTCATGAACCTATGCAGGTGCTGATTGGCTCCAGGGACCATATGTGTACTCATTGTACCGGGAACAGTATGGTCTCCCGGAAAGGATGGTTGCAATCCTTTTTGTCACAGGTTTTATGTCCGCGGGGCTCACTGCACCACTGGTGGGCGTCTGGGCGGATCAACAGTACGTCACATATGCCCTCTTTACCACTATAAAGACGTTTGACTCTGGTACTGTAGCGGACGCAGAAAACTATGTCTTGCCTTCTGCCTAACGTATACATTCAGCTGCTGTTGCGTATCCATCCCGTACCTGCCCATCCTTCTCCTTGGACGTGTATGCGGAGGTATATCAACATCAATCCTCTACTCCGCGTTTGAGTCCTGGCTTGTGAGCTCTGCTGGAGCGCTAGCCCTCCCCTCAACGGATCTTTCCACAATATTCGGACGCGCCACGCTCGTGAATGGTTTTGTTGCAACAGGCGCCGGCGTTGCAAGTAATCAGCTAGTCACTTTGACAAACTCATTCACATCTCCTTTCGTCGCCAGTGGAGTCTTGTTGTTGTTAGCGTACCTGGTGATCCGTGCAAGCTGGGGGGAGAACTTTGGCGGCGGCGGAACAACACCCGGCAAGGATCTATTTCAGTTGAAAAGACTGGGGCAGGCATGGCGCATTGTCAGAGATGGTGAGTCTGGCTTACTTCCTGTTTTTATGTCATTCAGGTCGTGAATGTGATTTTAGATCCTATGCTACTCGCCATTGGCCTAACCCAGACTTGTTTCGAGGGCTCTATGTACCTCTTTGTCTTCCTCTGGGTACCATCTCTCCAGGAAGCTTCGCCGACGTTTCCCACTATTGCACTGCCGTTGGGCTACATCTTCTCCTCATTCATGATATCCATGATGCTCGGATCCCTCCTCTACACTGTTGTCACCACTCAATCTGGTGGTCTGACGGTCCATGCAAAGCTCAGTAGCTTGGTTTGTGCATTTGCGGCCCTCGCACTGGCAACAAGCGTAAGAAGCGAGAGTGAGCGCATCAGGTTCTGGGCATTCTGTGCATTCGAAGCGTGTGTGGGGATGTATTATCCTGTGCAAGGGATGTTGAGGGGAACTTTAATATCAAACGAGCACCGAGCAACAGTACGTCGCCTTTCCTTCTTATAAAAAGAAGGTGCTGACCCAAATGATGTAGCTAAGTTCCCTGTTCCGAGTCCCCCTGAACGTGTTTGTTGTCGTCTCCCTGATGACCGGGGTGTCGAGTGCTAGAAGCGCCGTGTTGAGCGCAAGTTCGTTGATGCTTGCGTTCTCTGCTCTTGTGACTGCGTTTGTGGTCGTCGTGAGGGCAGATGACCATGTGTCCCCCGAGGCCAGCTTGAGACCAGAGTGAGACGTATGGTCAGCGTTCGTCTATTTGACCTGCGTGTCATTGACTGATCCAAGTTTCCAGCGTCTGGTGTATACATAGACCCGTAGATAGTCACTCGTTTAAATTCCTACACATCAACATTCGTAAAAACCGTTCCTAAGCTTGGAAGGACTCTGGATTAGTAGATTATACAGTATAGTTATCAACTGTTATCTTATACCAAGCCAAGTTGTGGCTAAAAGTCTTATTTATTCAATCTCCGATTCATGAACCGCTGTGAGTCAGCTGATCGGTAACACAAAATTATAACCTCTTCGTCTCCTTTTCACTTACTGTTCCGTCTTTTTCCTTCCTCTTTTGTTTTTTCCTCCTTTCCTACTTCATATTTGCTTTGTCTGACGCTGCAGAGATGGACGTGGACATGAAAAACAAGGACGAGATTGACGACAAGCGCGACAGGGAGAGAGACCGTGAGTTCGACCGCGACAAGGACCGTGAAAGAGACAGAGAGCGCGACCGAGAGCGCGACAGGGATCGCGATAGGAGAGACCGCGACAGGGACCGTGATCGTGACAGGAGGGACACAGGTGCGTAGCATTCCTCGGCCTGGTATACAAAAACTCATTATTTCCACCTGTCGTCAGGTCGCGGCGGTAGGAGCCGGACTGACCACTGGGAACCAGACGACAGACGGAATGGAGATGCGAGTCCCTTGTCACCCCTTGTACTTACAATCCTGACATAAGCTTCCTGTAGCGCCGGAAGCGCTCGCGCAGTAGAACACGTTCCCGGTCTCCGAGGCGTCGTTCAGCTTCGCCTCGTGACCGCAGGCATGCACGCCGTTCGCGCTCTCGCAGTCGCAGTCGGACGCCCTCGCGTTCCCGCAGCCGTGACCGCGGTGACCGTAAGCCCGCTGATCCGTTCCCTCGCTCCCTTGGCGGGCCCATGAATGCAACTCACGAAGAAGCCGTCGAATTTGCCAAGATCAGCAAGAGAGAAAACCGAGTCTATGTCGGCAATCTCAGTTACGACGTCAAGTACCGTGACCTAATGGAATTCATGAGGGGAGGTGGGTTGGGGAATTTAGATTTTTCTTTGATTGGGGAGAGAGGCGGGGTGTGGCCACTTTGTGAACCCGTTCTGCTGAGGCTCAGAAGGCAGCTGGTGCTGGCGAGTGTGAGCTGATGAGGGAGAGTGGTGTCGTGCCCTGGCCGGTTTATTTCCTTGGCTTTTCGATTGATGGATGGTTGGATTGAGAGGATATTGATGGGAGTTTTCTTTTGGGGATTGATAGCTGGTGAGGTTCTATTCGCCGAAGTACTCGTCACGCCAACAGGAGTGTCCAAAGGCTGCGGGTGAGTGACTTCTACAATATTTCCATAATTATAACTGACTCGTCACACAGCATTGTCGAATTTGCTTCACCTGAGGATGCGCAGCGCGCCATCCGCGAACTCTCCGAAGTGGCCATGCTCGGTCGCCCTGTTTTTATTCGCGAGGTACGACTTCCTTGTCTGGTTGGTGCTATACCCACGCTGCAAAACAGGACCGGGAGAACGAATCGCGTTTCGGCGCTACGCCTGTCCCAGGCAAGATTGGAATGGCGATGGCAGGGCAAGGTTTGCATGCGCAGCCACCTCCACGTCCGCCCCATCATAATTATTTTGGAACTCACAACAATCCTGGCAATCAGTTGTATGTCGGTAATGTAGGTTTATCCTTCTGCCATCTGTTATCCGTGCTGAATCATCTGCAAAGCTGCCATACCAGGCTGGTTGGCAGGACCTCAAGGATTTGTTCCGTTCGGCTGGTAATATTATTCGGGCTGATATTAACATTGGTGCGGATGGGCGTCCCAAGGGCTCCGGAACTGTAGTCTTTGAGACTGCGGCTGATGCTAAGCAAGCCATCGGTACGTCTATTCACATCTTTGTAGACGTCGACTAACCCGTCATGCAGGTATGTATCACGGCTTTGATTGGTATGGCCGGACGCTTGAGGTTCGGGAAGTAAGTTGGAGGTTGTTACTGTCTCCAATGCAATGCTGATAGTCTATCAGGACCGGTATGCTGGTCTTTCTGGCCCAGGCTCGTTCCGTGGCAGCCCTTTCCGGGGTGGTGGTGGTGGCTATGGTGGTCGTGGTCTGCGTGGTAGCTTCAGAGGTAGTCTGCGTGGTAGTTACCGTGGCGGGTTCGCGCCCTCTGGTCCTGCTCGCGATTTCTCGAATCAAGACTTGTACGCAGACTACTCCGGTCCTGACCAGCCCGCTGCTCACGGTGGCCTGAGAATGGATGGCTATGGGAGCGGCTACGGGAGCAGTGGCTATGGCGTGCCGGGTGGTGGTGGTGCCGGTGGTGGATACGATGCCGAGCCTAGCCAGCAAATCATGGTTCGCAATGTGAGTGGTTTTGTCGTTGTTCTGTGTGGACAGGATTATTTATATGCATTCCAGCTCCCTTGGTCTACCGCAAATGAAGATCTCGTCGAGTTGTTTGAGACTACTGGGCAAGTTGAACTCGCTGAAATCCTTTTCGATGGCGCTAGATCCAAGGGATGCGGTGTTGTCCAGTTTGCTCAGGTTCAAGAGGCAGAGACGGCTATTGGTGAGCGACCGTTGTTTTACTTTTTTTTTAGATCGCACACTAACGCAACCGCGTAGCAAAATTCCAGCAGTACATGTATGGTGGACGCCCTCTCGACGTGCGGTTCAACGACCGATGGCATACATTTACACCTACTGCAGCCAAGGGCGGTCAGGTGATGCCCATGCAGGCGGAGTGATTTATTTGTACCCTTGTCACTTCCTTCTGTTCTGTCGACATTTGAACTCGGACCGTGTTCAGGTCGATTTAAAAAATATCGTGAATCGTTGTTGAACTTTTTGTCTCTTCCAAGATTGATTTTGTCTTTAACTAATCGTAAAGTTGAATGTGCGTAGGCTTGCAATGAATCACTGTTTAACAAGACCTGTGGGCTTGAACTGCATCAGAATGTATAGGTCCGAAATGGTGTAGTAATTGCTGCATTGATTTTCGTCACACATGACTGCTGATTCGCGTTTTGTCTGCGGTGAATCATGATGGGTGTACTTGTATTCACGTACTGCACATGGTCCACATGACTCCCTCTGCTGGTGTGGATACCTCGCTCACTGTTCCTACAGAAATCCATCCTAAACCTCGATGACCTCAAGCTATGGGTTAAAAATCAGCTTGGACTTCCTTGAGACAGGAAAGAATCTGCACTTGCCGTATCGCTTTGAAGCACATATATTCTGTTTTTATCGACCCATATCGGAGTCGGCTCGTGAGACGACTTTGTGTCCGACACGACCTCGACATAAGGCAGGGAGGTTGTTACCAACTCTCCCTCCAAGTCTATGGTAGATGGCTCTCTCACCACTTGTCCTAGACCTTGCTGGTGCTTAACAGCTAACGGGCTGAAGTCCATCATATGTAATCTGTACTCCACGAGGTCACTGTATGACCTTTCGATTATACTAGGGATGGCCTTGAAGACTCGACTCCCGCCAAGGCCAAAACCAAACATCTCATTGTCCTGGAAAACACGAGAATTTAAAGGGCCCCAATGTTTCCATGGTACTGCCGTTGTCATTCCTTCGAAGAGGTCCAGCTGGAAGAAGATACTGGCGGAAATGACAAAATGGAAGAGAGCCTCAGAAGAGTATGTGAGCAGGGATAGCAATCGATGTGCGGGGTCGGAGGTCCACATTGTTCGTTGGGTGCGTGCAAGATTCAAGTTGATTTTCGAGGGGAAGCATCTTATGAACTGCACTTGTGCAGGAAACAGGAAACATGCCAGCAATTCCGGCGCCTGGGACATATCCTCGATTGAATAGACCTTCAAATTGTCATTCATGACAATTAGCAATCTATTGCTTCCGAGGAAACAAAAATCAATCAAGCCATCAAACTGTTCGGCGTCGAATACAGTGCCGCTGAGGACGCACTAAATCGAGTGTCAACTCCTCCAGCTACTTCTGACATGGCTCACTCACATTGGACATTGTGGAGTACTGCCAGTCCCAAATCTGTAACCACCATAAGAGCCTGTCTGGTTCACCGCGTGGCGACTCATGGCGCCAGAGAGCAATATGCCTCCCTAGGCTCTCAAGCCTCCAGTTCTTATCGGAGTCAGAATCTAAGGCTTGAAAGTCCATGTTCTGGCGTCCGAGTAGCTCAGGGGACATTATAAGTCTTCTTCCAGCAGCTTGGGGGTGGACCCCATCTCCATCCAAAGCTAAAAGGTCGATATATGACCCACCAATAACATCATATGCGGCAGCAATTAGGTTTTGTTCTGGGTCCATGAGCACATCGATGTTCTGTGTGTTGGGAAGTGAAGATAGCGATTCTGAAGACCATTCACGGTCGATTGCTTGTTGTGAGGGCTCTGGTGCTATTGGAAAAATCTTGGCGAAGCCTGATAGATTTTCAGTATCGCAGAGGCAGAGGTGGCCATTGGAGACAAATGCTTTATCACTATAGAATATTTTTGGTACGATGACTGTTTGGACAGGCCGAGTGTTAAATTTGAACCACGCGTGGGCTTTGTCCCTCAGGAGCTGTAGGCGCTCCGAGATAGGAATGTGGTCGTCAACTCCGGGTTGGAGATTGACAGGAAGCAGCTGTTGACCACCGAGTTCAACGATGTACTGAAGTTCAGAAGACGACAAGTACATCTGGCGAAGGCCTGTACATACCTACAAGATAATTGTCAGTACAGAAGTTCACTTAGGAGTATCGACGGTGACAAGTAAAATGATGCTCACGGATGCGCACCGAAGAATATCTTGGTAAGAAAGGAAGGTCAGAATGTAAGCATGGAGATCTCCAGCGAGAGACAGAAACTGAGGCTTCATACTCTGGTTCATGACTGTGAAACTTGAAAGGGGGGGTCCACCCGGGTCAGGGCCCAACAACGTCAAATTATAAAACTAGAACTAGAAAAGCCCCTGTCCTATAGGTTTCCGGCCTTGGCTGTTTTGCTTTGAAACCGTGCAACCACTGGCAACTGACCAGCATACACCATCAAAAGAGGAAAACACTATTAAGATTCGGCATCGATGAGATTAAAATACAGGAATATTCATGTTCTTCCTGTCACCCATTTCAAAAAGAAAATGCGAGCTATGCAGATGACGACTCACAAGTACTACTCCGGATCCCCAACTCGCCGCAGCTCCGAATCCCCGCCCTGAGGCATCTCCCCAACCAAACACAACACCACCTCCCCAAAGGAGCGACTGTCTTCCTTCTATCTGGCCTGCCTAAAGGAGACTGCAGCTCCTCGGGCGTTGTCACAGGTTGTAGAATTCGTATTTTTATTTGATCGGGGAGAGAAGGTGTGGCAGCTTTGGTCCAAAATCTGTTCTGCTAAGTGCTTAGGTTCAGAAGCATCAGGGAAAACCTCGCCAGGAAATTGCGAAAGATTTGCGTAAGTGGCTGTGTTTTATCATCAAAGGTGCTGAGGAGCATGAGATGTTGGTGTGGAATCCCAGTGGTCGTTTTTTCCTTGGCTTGTCGATTAATCACGATGGATGAGTGGAAATATTGAGAGGCTGTAAGCCCATTGGCTTTTTTGAGGATTGTGAGTGATAGCTCATGATGTTCTATTCCATCACGCCTACGGGAGTGTCCAAAAGCTGCGGGTACTATTCATACATAGTGAGCGCACGATATAAGATTAACACAGCTCTCACCGGCAGCTCAGTCAAAGACTCGAAGTAGCAAATATATCTCAACCCTATGCCATACGCAACGTTACAAGCAAATTCAAGTTAATAGTACAATTCGCGTTTCTCTACTGTGCACCCCACTCAACACCAAAGCCAAATATCACCCATGCTGTGAGGACTATGGTGAATCCGGCCCCGAGCGCTACCCAGCGCGCATACAACGACACAGAACTTGGCACAGGGCTTTTCAATGTCAATTCCTTCTGCTTCGGCATCACGCTCTCGTCCCTCTTGCCTTCTTCCGCAACCGTATATCGACGTAGCTCCCAAAGTCTCTCCACCTCCCTCTCTACATGTCTCGGGCGCACCTGTGAGAGTCGCACGGCAGGTAGATATCGCTGTCCCCACGACGTGTAGCAGGCACCAAGGAGCATACCTGAGATGAGCACGGAGGCGAATGCGTACACAAGCCAGACCGTCACAGCACCCTCGAGGGAGCCGGTGGAGGATAGGTCTTGGAGCTTCCCTGTTGCTGTCACGGTGATAATGATGGAGGCTTGAACAATCGATTCTGTAATACACGAAGGTGAGTATTCTTCCCTTTTAAGAATTATACATACTCTTGATTGCGAAGCTGAAAATCATGTCAAAAGGGGAAGCGCAATAGATATTTGTCGAGGGACTCACGCTGTCGCATAGTAACGAGGATCAGGTATAATGCTGCGCACGACCTCCACTTGGGGAGCTGAGGTGATACTCTGCAAGATAACGTCAGTCTCGAAATATTTCAAGGACGTCTCGATACACCCACCTGAGCAAACGCATAAAATATGTATGCACAGACTAGGTCGAGTTTAGTACGCCATCTACCTGAGTCATTCTGACTCACTAAATGTCGGCACTGTCTCCGAAAATCTTAACAGTAGCATGGAGATGAGGAACATACACCCGGAGAGAAACACTGGCCTTGTAGTCAGCTGCTGCATTACTCAAACTATAAAATGCTCACAAATCGTTACACGACGCCCATATGCATCAATGAACATGCCCAAGAAAGGGGTAAGTCCAATAGGAACGAGCAAGTAAAAACTCGACACCCATCCGCCAACTACGGCTCCTTTCTTGAGCCTTTGCTGTGCAAATTGCCTGCGCAGAATTCAATACTTATTACACCATTGCAAAGGCAATAACTCACGTAGATACCGATACAAATGAGTCTACGCCACCGGTTTGGAAGGTTGCGAAAAGAACTACAAACCAAAACGTAAAGGGCATTTGGCGCACAGCTGACCAATGAGATCTTCTAACTTTGATTCCACTTGGTTGGTCAAACCGTTTGCAGTAATCGACGACCTGGTAATGTGAACGAAGGTATTTGTCGAGAACAAAGACACAAATAGCGCATAGAAACGAGAAGAGGCCCATGATGGCGCCTGTCCACAGTGGCCAGGAATATGAGCCAAGGTTTTGGGACATTACGTTCGCGGTGCTCTGTCCGACATATTGAGCCATATTTGCCATCGACCTGAACAGTGGAGGTATATATAAGATATGAAAATGTAGTCATGGAACCTACCATATGAGGCCTTGAAAATCATCGAATAAAAGTGAGACCATGCGCTAACAATTACAACTCAAGGAGGCGCTACACTCACCTATAGACAGCGCGAAACCATTCCCCGGTGCAAAATACGTGGTGAATATTTTGTGCTGCGCATTGTCTAGCGAACCGTCCCCGATGGCAGCAATGATCTTGCCCGCCATGAGGACATGGTAACTATTGAATCCATTTGTTGTGGCGCCAGCCTGTACTGCAGCACCCGCAAGAAAAAATGCGGTGAGTATGGCAGATAACAGCGGGCCTCCAAATTTGTCGATGGCGAAGCCAAAGGCGATGCAGAGAAACGTGTTAACCTGTTAAACAATAAGTACATCGGTTCCGCTCTAGCGAGATAAGATAAGCCATACCAGATTCGTCACAGATATCTAAGCAGGCCAGGTACACAAGAACGTCAATCCCGTTACATTTCTATCGCGTACATTTCTTACCAGCGTAGCAAATTCGGAATTATTGATCTTGAGTTCGTGTTCTATCGTTGTCTTCAGAGTCGCAATGAGAGCCTGTAAATAAATAATCCGCATAATCCATAAAAATTGAAATATGACGCCTACGTCGGACCAGTGGTGTCCGACTTGCACCATATATGAGCTACCAGCGAAATTCATGGACGTGAACACTTACATGTGCACATGCATGTTAATCCAACGATCACCACCTGCCATCTCAAAGGTAGCTTCGGCTTGACAGGAGAGTAAGACGGAATAATGATTGATAACTGGCTTTCATCTTTGCTTTCGATATCGACAGGAGCAACGGCGCTGATGAAGCGAATACTTGCTGTGGACATGATAGTATCAAAACGAAAAAGATAGGGCTTCAGTCAACTTATGAGCTGGTGTACACCTCGGAGAATAGAGGCGGAGAAATCCTTTCAATATATGAAACTTGGCAGGCTAATTGTATAAGTTGTGGGGGATGCCCAAATGAATTCGAGAGATGCTCCCGAATTATGTCCAGTATAATATTTTGATGTTACGTCCGCAACACTGAATGAGTACTAGTTAAACATCAATGTCGTTAATGGTAATGAACCGACCTACTGCGTTCGCTAGCCAGGATGGGAAGATCCATTGTGAGCCGATTCTCTGGTACAACTGTAGATATGTTATGACTAGCCTATCAGCACCCCGTAAATGCAGGGTCGTAGGCCGATTTTGAAATGTCTTTGATATCGTACTTGTTAATGAGCGCTGAGTGGCGTTAGCACTCGTATACTTCTCTTCGAAGACTGAGTCGAAGAGTGGGAGTGGTGAGGATTTGGTAGAAATTCCGGCACGTCTCTGCCTGGGGACATTCCTTGTGGTGCGGTGCGGCAGGTATGGGCATGCCACATTATGGGATGAGAGGATATGATTACAGTGCATATACGAGTGTGTTAACACACCTATATAATACTTTTCGCAATTTGGAGCGGTGACGGCTTCCTGAAGTTCTCGAGCTCCTCCGCGTTGAAATTCTCCAAGCTGATCTGGGCGCAAGGAAGTATAAGATTGTCACCTGCCCATGCACTCGGGCATCGAACTTCGAGTTTGAATTTGAGCCTGCCGCATTATGTAATTCGCTCTGCCTCCGATGAGTCACGCTCACATATACTTATATACGTGTTTTAACTTTTGATTATCGGATTCATGGATATATTGTTCATCCTTACGAATAGCTACACGTACTACTGCGTAAGTGTTCTAGTTCTGCCTATGTACATGTCTTCTCATTTTCCATAGTTGTGCAAATTCAGTACCAGCGTGATTACATAGAAGTTCGAATTTTTGCTCGACTTGCGCACAATTGAACTTCGTGATGTCGACGCCGTTGATTTTCTGCAGGACGTAGAACTCAACTGAGTACAGCGTACCTGGACGTACGTGATGTCGACGAACATTCGTAGCTTTTGAGTCAATTTGTTTTTCCAAAATACTGATCAAGTTACATACTCCATACAATTGTAAATTGTAATCCTACATCTGACCCATCTTTGAGCAATGTCCACCGCTGATCCGATATATCTCTTGGAAAAACAAAAACTCCATGAAGGAGAAACAAGGAAAAAATTCACAATAACTAGCCCAAGAGTAGTCTGAATCGAGTTTCATGATCCACAAAAGATACATGAGCCACGAAGTGAACTCAAGGACGAACAAGTCCCATCGGAGTCGCGCCTCATATGCAACGAGGTGGTTGGCCTCATACCTCGAGAGGATAGCCTTTTCTGGCAGTTCATGAGGACCCATGGCAGCAACGAGCACTTATGCTCGTTGGGGTAACTAGCCTGCAACAGGCTTGGTCCACCTTGCGGGAGCGATACTATGTTATCGACACAACGCACCAAGTCATCATGAGCGCCTTCTTCACAGACGCATGCACGATAGCGACAACTGGGACAAGTTCGCCCGATCCCCGCAGCGTTTTCAAAGCCTTCCATTCTCACCCTCTTCTGTGATTAACAGAGTCTTCGGGACGATAAGAAACGAAGCTGCTTTTCTGGTACGCTGTGCAGCTGATTATAGCTGGGCTCTGCTGGAGCCGATCGAGGGGGATTGGAATGCTCAGACCTTAGCCCGCTCAGGAATTTGGATGCGTGGAGCGATCCCGTGTGTGATGAGCATTCGTGGCTTTCGAGCTAGTTGGATGAAGGAATAGATTTCGAAGTCCGCTTGGTGCTTTATTCCGATCCGAGGATTACGTGACTTAACTTATTAAGTCATTTTCAGCCGACTCAAAATCAACCATCAACGTTGTGAACCCTCCCTTCATGTGGAGTTTTAGTTCCTCGGGCTCGAGTCTACTATGCTAACGAGGGTTGATATATGATATGTGCTTTTCTTGAAATTTCATCTCACAGATTGAGGTACATCCTGTCGTGTAACGTGTATGCGAAGTACATATTCACCTTTCCGACGGTCTACGGCGAGAATCGATGGAGATCCTCTACTTAATAGTATCGGCAAATGCTAGGAAGCATACACAATGAACTTGGGGCTTAGATTGAGTTTGACCACCTTGTATTTATGACGGCACTTGTCCGTCAAAGCACGGACGTCTGACTATGTACTCTCAGCCCTACTTCATCCACAGTCCCCTTATCCTTATGCCCGTCTTCCCCATTCCGCCCACCACTCAACCCATCGTCGATCCTTGCGCCATCGTGTCTGGTAGCTCATAGAACCGATATGTCAGACTTGAAGGTGAGTTACTCCATATCACTTTCGTATCTGTTTCATCATCACAATATATCTACAGTAATCAGCGGAGAGAATCTTGAAGTCCCTTCTCAGTGCATACCCGCAGGCATTTACACATCCATCAATGTCGACTCTCGGAGACGCTGGAAATCAACCATCAGTGTCTTATCGTCTGATGAATCAGTAGCGTGGGGCGATACTGTGACCCTGTAAAGTCCATACTAACTTTCTGGCGCAATTCTAGAACTGATCATCGGTCAAATGTCGTGGGATGAGCTGCTCGATCATGGAGATGAACCTTTTGGTGAGTGATTTGCTGCTAATTCATGCACATCTACCAACATCTCATAATTTTATTCTTCCCACCTGTTTGTGATGTCCACCCTTCCCTCACGCTGAAGACTGCCGTTGTACATACTTGCGACGGTCAGGATGGCGCACTGTCTGATGTGAGTAGCCTGGTCTCTGCTGTCAGCTTTTCCTGACGGGACATCAACTTTAGTCCCTCGCAGCCTGCGAGATTACTCGAGACACAGATGCGGGCCACGCACGATTTGCCGAATACACAACAAGCGAGACGGTCTCTGACCTCGACGATGCTGTACAGTATTTTCAGTCGGTTCTGGACAAGTGTCCGGTCGGCCCACGCAACGACTCTCACCAACCCTCATCATGTTCCCTTGCCGTCTATCGCTCTCGCCGATCTGAAGGTTCTCAAGGATCGCTTCACCAGGGCAATACGACACGCATCTCGAATGAACTGAGGACAGATCTGATAGTACTCTCGCGGATATCATGGGACGAGACCATGCTACTCATTCAACGTACTCGAGCACGTCCTCAAACTAAAGCGTCGCCCTCGAATCTGGTTATGTCCAACTGCAGCTTTCACGTCCATTCCTCTCCATGCAGCTAACCCCTTTGCAGATCGCTCTAAGGAGCCATGCATGGGGGATCTCTACATCTGCTCTTACACACCAACACTTTCCACTCTGATCAAATCTAGACGGATGAAGAAGAAGTGTGTGCCTCCGTCCTTCGACAAGGTCAACCAGGTGCAGGGAAAGGCAAGGCGTTATTGGCTGTCGACAGCGAGCTCGAGCTTGTCCATAAGCTCGTCTCTGCGACGGCGAATCATACCACTATTTCTGGCGACGCAGCCACACGAGCAGGTGCACTCGAAGCTTTGCAGCAGAACACCTGGGTACACCTTGCTTGTAATAGCAAGCAGGATCTACGTACAATTCGCATTTCGTCATGAGAGACGAACATCTGACCCTGCTCGATATCATGGACAAAGATATTTCGCACGCCGAATTCGCATTTTTGTCTGCGTGTCATACCGCCGTGGGGGATGAAGAGACACCCGACGAAGTCATTCACCAGTGCGGGGGTCGACTGATGCCGTCGCAAAACACGTCGAAGCTTTCCTACAAATATATGTCCAAGGATTTGGAGGATGGTGGCGTCATGGACTGTACAAAGGCGGCTTGGGCACTCGACTGTGCTACACACGCTGTGAAGACGAAAGTGCCGCTCGAGCAGTGGATGGTTTTTATTCATATCGGTGTGTAGTTGCTGTTGTATTGCTTTCGTCTGGTATGGGTTCATGGGTTCCTTTTCTTGCATTCTCTTTCATCCGCGTTGTACTTCAAGTTGTAGGAATCACTGAATTGAACTGTTACGCCTGTTATGTACTCTTGTGCTACCTTATTTTCGCGTTCGCAGTTTTCTTTTGTCTACTCTCAGAATCTTCAGCAAATTCATTTATTGCTCAACGATAGCTATGTGTATTTCGCAACGTCGTCCCCTGGTACCTTCATTCTCTTGCCTTCAACTGTTATTTCCGAAGTGGTGATTTCCCTCTGCGACAGATGCCTTCGCCGGTGCATATCACTTGCCAGGTTGCTTGACGCATCTTGTAGTTGTTGCGTGTGCAAAAGCTGGGTTGAAGTGCCGACCTTCCACTAGAGAAACTGCTAAGAGGACTTTGACGAAATGGCTTGCAGATTCAGAATGAGTAATGATTTCTAGATCTACATATATAGGTACTGTTAAGTGTGCTCCAAGCTTGCAATATATGTTGGGGATTTGCTGAGATGATCTGGCTCTTCTTTCTCTGCTTCGCCGTCCTTGGGGTCTCGGAATTCTTCAAAGGTTCCGAAAACGTCGTTGTCATCCACCTCACCTATACCAGGGGCTGGCGAGATGGTGTTCAGTATCATCCACACCATTGCGCTTATGCACACCGACAAGGGCCACGAGAGGTAATAGACATGTCTAGATTTTCAAGTGTTCAGCTACGGCCTTCGATTGAATGCCATAGAGAACGTACACCCATGCGTCACTAACGATCACGCTTGCTGGTGTCACAGACACGCAAAACCCGGGTAAGCTTGCCCAAACGCCCTAAGATCTGATGTGAGATGGAATGGTAGGTAGAGCTGTGGAGGTCATACCAGGACCCAAGCAATGGGGGCCCTCCAGTTCAAACCGTGCCAAAACCTAGTAATCGTAAAAGAGAGCTCGTTAGGACATGCGAAAGAAATTGCAGACCAATAGTCGCTTCCAGTCTGTGGGAGGAAGAGGTGCGAAAGTTTGATACGGCGATGTCTTAAGATGTGATAATCTGCCTGAATGTGAAGATCGTCGTTCAGGCATGAAGGCTCTGAGACAGAGAGACACGAACTTACAAACATGATCCCCGTAAGAGGTCCCAGGAAGACTGCATATCCAGAGATGGCAGATATGAAAGAGTTGGCGGTCTGATCAAGCCGATTAAATTGCACCATTGACAGCTACTGATGCAGAGTGAGTAGACCTACGTTCATGATTTTCCAAGGGTTGATGCATATTCCAATGACAGCAATGATTAACGAGCCGCGACGGATGTTGATGTAACTGTCGAGCCCCGCACTGAATAGAAACTCGAGAGACATATGAAAGACTTACCGAGGGCACAAAGCTGCGAGATCCATTCCGCCTACGACACCACATGCGACAACCTACATCATTGATTAAAGTTGCCAGGCGGAAAGATATGCTAGCCTTTTCGGAAACATACGGTTACACTCAGTTGCGATAAGAAAAACGCAAAGGCAGCAAAAAATACTGCGGCACGTGCGGCAGGAACTTCGTTGCGTTGAATTGCCTGGAGCAAGTCATAAAGTTTCCTGCGTCATATGTATTATTCCGTTGTACATTACAGAGAAGCAGCTTACCACAATAACGGTTCGTTTGGGTAGAAGCCCCGTGCACAAGACGTTGTGACAATCCCAAGGATGTTGGATCCGAGAAGACATAGAGGTATGCTAAATATCTGCCCATATACTTGGTCTCCAGGGTGGACTGCGTAGCGCGAGAAGTCTAATGATGCTCATTTAGTTATGTAGCGATCGTTGTCTTGTGAAGGACCGCGCACCACTCTGATATAAAACCTAAGAATGCTTAACTTAGCTTCGCATAGATTGTAATCGATTTAAGAAGTACTTACACCACCAGCCCAGCCTCCAATGCCGCTATTGATACACCTCACTATCACCCAAGCTAGCTGAGAACCTTGAAGGTTGCTGATCCCATACACAGCTCTAAGGACAAAATGTCAATATACATTGCAAGAACAATACTGATGTGAACGCACTCAGGATTAGAGAAAAGCGGACCACCATTTCCTTGCTTGACGAAAGCCCAAAGGAATACAGCCAGAGCGGCTATCAATACAAGGACCGCAGATATAATTGCGGGTATGCGATATCTATTGGTGGACGCATGGTTCAAAGCCGGCATCACAGAAAAGTTGGTGAGGACGCACGACTCAGGTTTCAGAAGCAACAAAGGGAGGCATACAAGCCAAAATACAATGAAGGCAACTGACGGCACAAACCTTGTCAGTCATTGTTGTTGAGCGAAATACATTGTTACTGTTACCAAAGTCATTGGTTTCCATTGCAGCATTGGGTGCAAATGTGTTTGGCATGTCATAGAAACTCGCTAAGATGCTCATTAACGTCTGGCAAGTCGTGGCGAGGCACTTGACTTACGCCAGATTGCACCAATCATCACTTTTGTCATCTGACCACCGAACCATCCTTGAACTCCATACCAGCAACAAGACAACAGAACACGGTTAAGAAGCGGGAACCATGAGCCCCGCCTGAGACACACTTAAAGACAATGCTGAGAACAGCAAGCAGGACTGAAACTTACAGTCCCCAAGGTGCGCGATTTATAACTGCCTAATCAATGTCTAAGAGGATATCGAGAACGGCAGAGTATTACTTACAAAAGGAACATGCCATTGGCCTCCTCCATAGCCACTAATTACGAGGGAAGCTGTGATGCTAAAACAACGCATACTATGATATATCTCAGAGGGCTATGCATTACACTTACATGATCGTACTGGTCAGGTTTGCTGCAAGATGAAGCATAAATTTGTTTACTTGGCTACACGTGTCAATGGTCTCACCAATGATCGCTTGCTGAACCGTAAGGCCCAGAGCGACTAAACGTTGGAGTCAACTTTTAGCAAATATTGAATCTGTATTCGACTCACGAGATGCGGATGCACCTGACCACTCCGCGATGTTAATCGCTGAAGTCGGCGTTAGGCTCAAAATATATCTTCACGAAGAAAAATTACGTGCCAGTCGCAAACCAAAAGAACACAAACACTTTCTTTGACCATGTTCGGCGAGAAGGTGGAAGAGGGATGGTGTCGCCATTGATGTAAGATGTTGCACGACCAGGCACCTGCAATAATTATATGATAGTACCGCGACTTGGATTTAAATAACTGCTGACTTCTGGAATGAGATCAAAACCTAATCACAACGCACCTCAAGAAACTGCATCACGTTTTTTGTCGTTATGTTATCACAGTCCATGATAACTGGAGTAAAATGGTTGAAGGACTGGGTTCAACTTGTTGAGCGAGAAAGGGCATCATATAGTGAGTTGACACTACCATCTCTGGCCTGGTGTTTCAAAATGGCCCGGAGTTGCAAATCGTGATGTAGCCGCACACTCATATTTCACTCATTTCCTTTGCACAATGATTCTAGACGATGATTGATTCATAGCTTACTGTTTGTATTTTTTATTCCATGAAAAATGGACGAAAAGTGCTTGCGGCAGCGAAACACTGCTCAGAATGTGCGTTTTCCATGCCAATCCATCGGAGGGAAGCCAGCACATGCGTTAAAAATTAAAAATCAGGAATTTTACTAGTGATTTTCAATTGCCTTCTAATACCACTCTAATTTTTTCCGATATGATAACTGAGTGATGTTGATTGATCATGTACGTGACAGGAGGAGATTGTGTTCGGAGTCATAAATCGCTGCTCGGCAACTCGGCCAAAACTTGCACAATTCTATTAGTAGTATTCATCTCACGCGCCGGTCACGTGCTTGACGCGACCTATCCAGAAACTTTGTTGCACTCCATTACTACGCGCTGTCGCTGCTCAACTTAAAGTTAAACGTTATGCCTCCAATGGCGTCGCAGAAGGCGAAAGACGAGTCTCCGGAACAACGAAAAATTTCTGCGATGGTTCACGTAAACGCATCCTTGCAAACGTTATCATCAGTGGCACAGTCCGGATGGAAAGCAAATTCGAAGGAAGGAAGAACGAAGTCGAGCGCGCTCAGCAAGGTGTCAGCTGCTATCTCTCGTGCAAATGAAGCTTTGTCATGCCTTCGTGTTCTATGTCCAGGTGACCTCGACGTAGAGCGCGCCGCATCCAGCATGATGAGCAAGCTGCTTGTGTTGGAGATGGTGCGTGGTAAATGAATTCTCCTGCGAGTTCAACTCAACCATGAAGTAGCATGATACTGCCCTTCCTTTCCTTAGTGATATGCACGCTCGTCTGCTCGCTTTGCTTGGGGTACCTAACCCAAAAGCATCAGCCCACTCTGCCCCTACTTCAAAGTCGCCAGTTCGCCTGCTTTACCTCCCGCTGTCAATGATACCACCACCAGTAGACGCTGTGCTCCTCACGCTTATCTCAACGTATCTAATGCACGCAATAATTTTATTCACGCATATTGCGATGTCTTCCTCGTCATCGACTATTGCTACCCTGGACTCGGTCTGCACGGCTTTGGTAGAATCCGGCACGCTCTTGACATGGATGCCTTATTGTGTATCCTTGCCTAGCAAGCATAAAGACACTACGCTCACACGGGCATATACTGCGCTGACAAAATCATGCTCCTCAATGTCTGCGAACGCGCGCTCGACCTTCCTCGTCCGCGTATATGCACTCAAGTGCCTTCTATGCACGAGCCCTGGAACCGTTCAGCCAAATACATTCTGGGATCAAATCCAGAAGTCATGCACAGTGTACGTCAGATCCTCTTCTCCCACGTCAGAAGCGGAGGAGCTCTCTGTCGCAACGCTCGTGTCGGAGTCCCTTGGTGAGGTCGTACAGATCGCACAGTCCAAATTATCGTTTTTAGAGGGGAATTCGTTTATCCTGCTCTGTGAGACGTGGACGAGATTCGCAAAACGCGTGCGTCACTGACATTATGATATCGATTTAACATGGTCCTGACCTGCTGAACAGAGCAACGATTTGCGCACCCTTGATCGCATAACAGACCTGATGGGTCCAGGATCCTCATCTTGCTCGTTGGCCGAGGTCAATAGCCTAGCCAACAATCTGAGTAAACTCGACATCTCTGCTCCTTCGCCCCAGGACAGGGACACTGCCGTTTTCGAGTGCGCACGCGCTTTGGCAGTGTTAACTAAACTCACTGCATGCTTGGATGCAAATACCGGTCAGTTTTTATCATGTCTGGTATCTTTACAATACCTGACAAATACATTTGCAGACGAAACAGAACGTATTCACGAAGCGACGAAGGTTCTTCCTGGTTTGGGGCGCCTTTTGTGCCTTTCGGCCGAACCGAATGAAGAGCTGCACCGTGCGCAAGGAAAGCTCCAACGTGCCTTAGAGAGACTCAGACGAGCTTGCATCAAGGTCCTGGATGGAGAGACGAAGGTCCAAAGTCATGTAATCATTTCCATACTTATGACAATCTCCACTGCCCTGGAAGGCGTGTTCAAGCAGGTAAGCTTCAACTTAACCCATGAACGGAGGAATTGACGGGTGTCGTCGCAGAATCCAAATAAGGACATCTTGACCGCATCCCTCGATTCACTATTTACCCTTGCGCGCATACGGCTTAAATGCAATGATTCTGACACCTATACGCCCACTCTCGACCTCCTCAACCATACCATAGTCCTTCTGGACTCCACCCCCGATCATGTGAACGCCATCCCAGCTTCTGCACGTGCCAACTACATCCGCTGTATCTCCGGGGCATATCACAATTTGGCTGGCACGCTATATCAAAGCTCCAAGTACGGGGGCGCGGTGCGTTTTCTGAAGGAAGGATGTTCACTTGGTGCACGGGCACTTCACATACGAGCGGGTGTTATGCAGGACGACACAGAGGATGGCGAACGGGACGAAGGGTGGAAACAACTCGAAGAACAGATGTTTCGAAGGTGGGAGCTTCTTGCGGTGTGCTATTCTAAGATGGGGGACCGGAAGGTAATCATTTTGCATTGCTTACCTACCCGGTATGGAACGCTAATGTTTTTGGGCGCTGTCAGCTTGCGTGTGGTGCATTTTTGGAGAGCGTAAAGGCCTTTCCGTACGGCTCATCCGGTCTAGAGCACCTAGCTAGGTCAGCAACATCAACAAATGCTTTCAGCGCGAATGCAAGCACAAAGCAGCTTGGTGGGATAATTGACAGACTAACGTACACAGCGACATGCGAACTTTTTCTCCCTACAAGTGAAGTCAGCCTCCATACTGCACTGAAGCCGGGTGTTATTAGGGATGAGGTCCTGGGCCTGCTGCTCGAGCGTCAGAGTTCGATTCTCGAACCTTGCCTTCGGAAGGATGGTGTGCAGACTATTGTGCGCGGGCTGTTGCGAGATGCTCTATCGGTGTACAAGGCTACCGTTCTTCCGTTGCGCAGGGCTAGAGTCCTCTTGAAGTGCATGGAGCTCTTATGGAAGGATGGGAATGCCAATGATGGAGAGACTTGCTGGACCGCGGAGCACCTGGGTGAAGAAGTTTTAAACCTGCTCACTGTCGAGGTACGTCTTTGCCTCTTTTCTGCTTCTGAATGTTATAGTTTTTTCATTCCAGGACCTTGGGCACGACTCCGCCTTTGTAGCATTCCGTTTACAGTACACTGTAGCGGTTCATCTTTGGTTGAGCCTCTTCGCGTATCGTAGCGCAGGATCACCGATGACTTCGACTGTGTCATACCATGTAGAAGAGGCGTGCAAGATCCTGCGCGGGCTTATTCCTAACTCTTCAACTGAAACGGATCCAAAGACGAAGCGATCGCCTGCTCGTGCGAAGAAGTCACCTAAGGACACTGTGCCTGCGAAGAAGCCGACAAGAGCTGCGAGCGTACGTACAACAAACAAGACCAGAGCGCACAATCCTGTCACACCACGTCCCCGCAAAGGTTTGTTTTCGGAATTGCTTGCCATCTGTATTGCCTGACAAAGTTCCACGAGCAGCTCTTGAGAACGTGTCGAATGTGATTCAAAGCACGCCTCCGAAGCAGGCTGGTGCTACGATTGGCGTTCAGAAGGTGGTAGTTGTATTCGACCTCGAGACAATCGTTGGTCAACTTCGTAAGCTTTGTCAGGATCCTTTGCCGAACGCCGTTGATTGATCAAGCAGAAATGAACGTCCATTTACTTGGACTTCTGGGTCTAGTCTTACTGAAGATCAAGCTTCTGGAGGCTCTGAAGCGCATCTGTGAACGTCAACTCGTCGTATCGGCTAATTGTGAGTGTACCATGTCTTCTAGAAGTTGCTGTTTTCATCTTTCTGAACAGTATACATCACTGTATGCATTGATCTCGCGTCAGAGTATGTTAAATTGGGCAGAACGAAGCGAGCCAATTCCATTTTTGCACGGAGTTCAGCGGTGCTGAAATCAAGTGATGTTTTCGACGAAGTACGTATTAGTTATTTGCTAAGATATGCAGAGATTCTGGCTCTTGGAAACAACATTCTTGAAAGGTGAGATTACTTCACGCTAAGGCTCTTCTACTGTGACTCAACATTTCGCTCTCTAGTGCTTCCTTCTACTGTGAAGCCATGGGTTTGTCGGAATCTTCTCCGCCCGAAGATAAAGCTCTACCGACTGCTGAACGGATAAGACTGCGTGTTGGACGGCTCGAGTGTGCAGCGATGGCTTGCAGGGTCTCCGCAGCTATTCAATACTCCAGGGTCTGTCTTTCGGTTGTCCATCACGTATTGTTGTCTGACTCGGTTCCCCCAGAACAATGTAGTCGGTGCTTTAGAGTGCACGTTGCAATCGTTGCGACTGTGGAATCGTGCGGTGGACACGCTTTCTCGATTAAGCCAGCCTTCCTCCAAACCCACAAAGGCAACCGATGATTCAAATCCATTTGAGGCTACTCCTCCAGAATCGTCAACCGCCAGCGATACTCGGTCCAATGATCACCTGAGATCATTAGGTCAGAAACGTCTCATGGACGGGATGGAGTGGCGAATGGTTGAAGGACTACTTTCAACCCTGGTGACGCTCACTCACGCCTACTTCACCCGTGGTTCTTGCCGCGAAGCTGAGTATTTTGCTCAGCAAACACAAGACCTCGCCGAGTCTGTTAACGCCCCAACCATGGTTGCTCGTGCACTGATGCGTAAGGGTGAGATCCAGTTGTACCAGAGGCAGCTAGATGCAGGTAGGGACAGCTTGGCCAAGGCTGCGGAGTTGCTGCAAGATCTGCCAGGTGTGGATGCAGCTGATATGAAGCGGCTGAATGGAGATTGGAATCGCTTGAATGAACAAGTCCAGGACGCCAAGGACCTCTACGAAGAGGCATCTGTAATGCTTGGGGAACTAGAGGGAAAGTTGGCGTCCTTCGACGGCAGGTGATAGTCGCGCTTAGCGTTCAATGCGCTTCCTCTAATCAAAATTTCTAGTCGTCGTAAATCCAGTGTAACCCTTTCACCACAAGCTGCCTTAGCTACCGCCGGACAGGGAGCAATAGTCCCTACCTTGTTGTCTGACATTCTCCGCCGCCATAGTAAGGAGCTTCGTTTCTAAACCCTAAACCTGCTAACTGGTCAACTGCAGTCTGGCTACTGCGCGATGATGGAGATGCTACAATCAAGGATTTGATAGACCGTCTTATGGCTTTGCCTGCTTCCCAAGACACAAAAGTGAGACTTGCTTATTGATGTCGGATTTTATAGCTAAATCTTTCACAGGGAGAAGAGCATGCACTCATGGGGAAACTCACCCTGCATAGCGTCTACGACCAATTCCGTTCAGATATGTTCCTGAGCTCCTTGGCTGAATCTAGTGCGTACGTTTTGCATACCAACCCTCGAGAACTCAACATTTGTGTTCAGCAATCGCACTTCCGACGGGCATGACAAGCGACCGAGTGGTATCGCTTACACCTTCGACACAAGATATCTTGAGTACTCTGGACCAGGCAGAGAAATTATTTTGGGCCGACCTTGCACTTACCGCGGATCGGGGGAATGTCCCTCACGTCCGCGAAGCGACTATAAATCTTGCACTCATTAAAGCGCTTCAGACATCCCTTGGAAAAGGGGGAAAGGATGGACCCATTATTGCTGCGCGCCTTCTTGGTAAGATTATGATTTACCTGATGAGGCCTGTTTTTGACGCCAGACTAGATGCGTCATCCGCAATTACTCTACGCCGTGAAATGCTAGAGGCTATTCAATATAAATTCCCCAGCGTGCAATTTGACGATCTTAAATGGCCCCTTATGACGCCCAGCGGTTCCCCGCTACCTCGGAAGAGACCGTCTAAATTTCGGCAACTGAGGACCTCCAGCACTGAGGAAGCATCTGACGATGACGACGACTCGAATGCAAGCATGACGGCGTACTGGGATTCTATCCGCGAGACGTATGCAGAGCAGACTTCAGACACTTCCTTACTATCGACCACCGCCATGTCACAGTTTCCATCTCATTGGACAGTCGTCCATATCAGCCTCACGCCTGACAAGAGTACCCTCTTTATTTCCCGTCAGAAAGTTTCTTCTGAGCCGTTGATGTTCTGTGTGCCTCTCAAAGGCCGACGCGAATCGGACGAAGACGAACACCTGACGTTTGACGATGCGGTGAAAGAGCTCGCTGAAATAATCCGCTTAAGCGACCAAGGGACACGCAACGCAGTCAACGTACGAAATGATGATCCGCGAGCAAGAACTGCCTGGTGGGCGGAGCGCAATACGCTGGATAAAAGGATGCAAGAGCTGCTAGAGAACATCGAATTTTGCTGGTTGGGGGCATTCAAAGTGAGCATTCTCTTTTGGCAAATACTTTTTGAGTGAACAACTTTCGTAGACCATTCTCAGTCCTGTCTCACCTATATCAGCCGAGCTCATCACCGACCTCCGCGCCCGTCTCGAGAAGGTGTTCAAGCGCATTCTTCCTCCCCCAGACAAGAAACAGAAGCAGCCTCCTCGCTTGTCTGACGTGCTCCTCGATTGCTTCTCATCCCTGAGTCCGAAATGTCGTGAAGAAGAGCTTGAAGACTTACTCTTCTTCATCCTTGACCTGTACACATTCCATGGCATCCCAGTCGCCATCGCAGATATAGACGTAGATCAAGTAACAGTGGATCTTCGCTGTGCGCTGGAGGAGCATACCACTTTCAAGAACAAGCGAGGGAAGGTGAATCCAACTTCGGTAGACGACCCCCACATGTTCCTCGTCCTGGACCACAATGTACAGGGCGTTCCTTGGGAGTCGATACCAGTCTTGAGGGGCCAGAGCGTGAGCCGCATCCCGAACGTTTCATTCTTGCTTGATCGGGTTCGACTTGCGTCTGCCAAGAACCGATCAGGGGGTGTTGTTGATAGGACATTCGTAGATCCACGCAAGACGTTCTTCGTGCTTAACCCTAGCGGAGACTTGAAAGGGACTGAGGGGCGATTCAAACCATGGCTTGAGCAGATGCGGAGTGTAGGCTGGGAGGGAGTCATTGGACGTCCGCCAAGCGAACAGCAATTCTTAGATGCTCTTGCGCGGAAAGATCTGGTTGTGTGAGTGACTCTTGACTAATTGCTGCATCAGACCTTGATGACTTTTAGGTATTTCGGGCACGGTGGAGGAGAACAATACGTGCGGTCACACAAAATCCGTCATTTGCCGCGCTGTGCAGCGACGATGTTGTGGGGGTGTTCCAGTGGGTCATTGAAGGAGATGGGTGATTTTGACAGAGTAGGCACCCCGTTCAATTACATGATTGCTGGATGGTACGTCGCAAGCTTGTTTTATCTACACTCCCTGCTCAACATTCATCGTGCACAGCCCTCTACTAGTGGCGAATCTTTGGGATGTAACTGACCGCGATATCGACAAGTTCTCACAAGCAGTTTTTGACTCGTTGAGATTGACTCCGACTCGTGGAGGGGGGCAGGGTGTGTCAGCAGTTACCGCAATTGCAAAAGCCCGAGAGGCATGCAAACTCAAATATCTCACCGGGGCAGCACCAGTTGTATATGGGATTCCGTTCTACCTATAATGAACAATACGACGCACTTATGTGCTCCATGCTCCATTTACAGTTTTTTACAAGGTTATTGACGATGGTGCAATATCATGAAGGCGTCCGCCCAGCCGTGTATAATTGATTAGCTACAAAGATGCGTGACCACGGGGTTCAAATGGTAGCAAAAGAGCAATAAAACCAGCGACGATGAATATGGCTCCTGAAATCCAGATTGGCACAGCTGTCGTGAGGTTAGAGTACAGAGCAATGACCGGAGCCTGTGTGGTAAATTAGAGGGTAGCAAAGCGCACACAGGTACGGTCAACGACAAATGGACTTACCATGATGCCAAATATTCTGTTTGCAGTGGCCACGAGCGCGTTACCAGTTCCACGATCTTTGGTAGGAAACAATTCGGGTGAAATGGCATATAAGACACCATACATGACGTTGCTCGTGTAGCTATAAGCACAATTCCAGCCAAGGAGCGCATTGGATGTGCGTGCGGTAGTGGATGCCAGTATGAATACACCTGTCAATACTTGACGACAGATTGAATCAGCTGAAGCGCGTAACTTATCCTGAGGGTCTTACCGGTGAAAATCGCCAAGGTGCCTCGCCTACCGAGGTACGGAAGCTCGACAAAGTAACCTGCCATTAATGCTCCGGGAACGCCTATCACGCTTAGTATGACTTGCTATATAGGATGTGAGTCCAGCAAACGGCAGAAAGTAAACGGGCGTACGTTGCGATACGTGATATATGTGGAACTGTCGCCAAAATTTGCCCCACGGGTGGCCAAGCTAGTAAGGAGTTGGTGAGGAGCTAGTCATATCTTGAACCACTCACAAGTATGTCACGAAGCCGTTGTACCTGAGCAAGTCTGAGTAAGGATGTCCACGAAAAAATTGAACAAACCTACAGCGGAAACGCGAGGCCGATCAAAGCTGAGGGAACACAAAAAACATTAGTCGATACTCGAGCCATCTCGTAATGCAGACTTACCCCAAATAATGATCAAAATAGTGGTCGACCAAGCCATCTTTCGAGTGGCAAATAACGATTTAACATGGTTATTACTAAATATTCCCATCTTCCTCCGCACAGCAGCCAAAGCAGATGTGTCCATATGAACGCCATCGTCGACGGCAGCGTCAGCCAGTTTTTCAGCCCTCTTGAGGTCTTCGAGGGTAAGGTTGCTTGTTGTTCCATTGTAGGCTGCAACTTTGTGGACGACTTCGACTGCCTGCTCGTCTCGACCTCGTCCCATGAGGTATTTTGGACTCTCGTATAGGTTGAAAGCGAAAAAGCGGATTACCCAGAGGAACATCATGAGCCCACCCATAGTGAACAAGAAATATCGCCACCCTTCATTTGAGGATCTTGGACAGGGAGAAGGGGGGACGGTGGTGGGACAAGAGTAATCGGAAATAAGGGGCCATGCAACCTAAAGCAAGTTAGTATGCACCGTAAGTATCAATCAAGTGAATTTCCGACCAGACTACCCAACAGTTGCCCAAAGGCCCACCAGACAGAGAGTACCGTCAATAGATATTGGTGAGAAGCGGGGACAAATTCTACAAGACGCATCAATATCATTAAAACCGAATGCAAATCCTCTTCCTTACCTAAGAAGACAGCAGAGTCGACAGGCAAATTGCCACCTACGCCTACTGACCACACCGCGGTCAGGGAACAGAGCGCAACGTAGTTCATAGATCCCCCAGCCGCAATGGCGAACACACCAGTCATGCCCAGAGTGATGTTGAAGGCCCATCTACGCGCAACCCGTCAAGACAGCACGATAACGTGAAAGTGTTCAGATAAATCATACCTCCGACCCCAAACATCTGAAGAAATGCTCCAAAACGCAGCTCCCACTAACAATCCGATGTTTTGAGCGAGTTTTAGCCATGGACCTAGTACGTTAAACTCGTTCACTACTGGCGTCAATATCAAACCAGTGACAATCTATGAAGATATTAAACAAATGAGTACCCGAGACACGAAGAACGCACATACCGGCCAAAGGTTATCGCTACACGACGAAGTTTAGCAGAACATCAACGACCATGTTCATTTCCTAACTCACGACAGCCAGCCAAATCCAGCTACCAGGAACAAGTACCACTTCTCTCCTATTAACAAACGAATGCGTCGACTACGAGTCACTCACCTGATACTTTCCCATTCCGATCTCCTGCAACGCATCATTGAGGATCCTGGCTTTGGCCTGATATACAGGGTCCAACGAATCCTCAGTGAATATGTCCCGAGTCTCAGCTTGTACACCGAAACTTTCGCTTTCCTTGTCTTTGCGCAGTTCACCCTGCTCGACCGACATCGTGAAAGGAAAGTAAGAGCCAACCACGGGCGCCTGCGGTCTCCATGGATGATGCTTCCTCGGTTTATATATGGCATGAGAGATCCCCCCAGCACAACTTGAATAGGCCCGTTGGAGACAAATTGCGTATTTCACGTAAATGTTGTGCCAAAAGACGCATGACTACGTTGCATATGGAACGTGCCAAGAGCCTGCGTGGAAAATCGATTAAGCATAATTGATATGATCACGAGTCGGGGAATCTATACTTAGTAGACTCGTTTCTCAAGTCCTCCGTAGTATAAGTCAGGCTAGTCGCGACTCACGGGCCTAGAATCTACTACCATGATGGTAACAAGCTTGATGGTACAGTCATGGTAAAAGTCACGGTCAATTGATCATCAATTGACCATGACTTTTGCCGAGGTAATCCGATATCTGGACCTTGTCATCTTCAACGCTGTTACAGCAATGTTCTGACTCAATACCCAGTGGAGGCACACGATGGTCCGGCCTTTGAACTAGCGCGATGTCTCCACTGTGTATGGTGACGGGCACGCACACAGTGTCAGGAACGCGAGCAGGCTAAGAGTAGGAAACGCTGATAGGGTATTCTAGACTCCGCTGGGCGGACTGTGAAAACAGTACAAAGCAGGAAGAATAACTTTAAGGAAGAATATGATCGCCAACGGTGGAATGGAATCAGCGCGGCCCGCCAGAATTTAGAACCACGGCAGACCCGCACTAGACAATCATCGTATAACTCTCCATCTCTACGGGTCCCCCTTTCCTGTACGCAGCTGCCACATACCGTTCTTGCCGCGAGTCAACCCCAGAAACATGTACTTCTCTCGCAAAAAATCAACCCGCTTCACCCCCTCCATCCGTTCTTTCTTGTTGTTACAACGCGACTCCCACGCCAGCCTAAGCTGTTCCTTGTCCTCGATATCTAGCTCGTCATTGTAGTAATCCTCATTGCGTATCGGTCCAGCGAGGAATTGACATATAGTCATGAACAAGTCTCCCAGCGTGACATAGGAGCCACTGCCCATCGGCACGACATCGATGTACCACGGTAAGCGCGTGTGATAGAGACGCATGAACAACGTCGGTGGGTTTGTACTCGGTTTCATCAAGTCATTTGCGACTACTGGGCGCCCCAGCGCTGGAATCATAAGCAAGTGTTGGCTACGACGGAGATCGAGGATTAGAGCTCTGTCGTATTGCAGGACAGGAGCGAGGTTGAGCCGGGCGCTATCGGTGGATGCTGCTGCTATATCAGCATCGCTCCGTAAAGTCGAGAATCAAAGCACAACTTACGATCGGGTGTTCTTGATACAGTCTTGCTTCGGAATAGTAGGGATGAAATACCCGACTTGAATTTGAAGCCGCGTCTCCAGCTTTTTGGACGCTCTCCTGGCCAATCTGGAGGCACATATGCAGCCGGTAATGACCGTGTCGTGGAGACTGCGGATGCGGGGGTGTGTGAACTTGTGCTTGGGAATGTTTGAATGGGAGGTCTCGCGTGGTTAGGGAACATCAATGGTCCCCACACATTCCACGCCGCGGCTTGTTGCTGTGTGTTGGAAGGACCAGGCGCAGAAAAGCTATTACTTCGCCTAGGGAGACCATGTTGAGCGGTCTCAGGATTCATGGGCTGGTGTGGTACATAAGGACTTGGCACAGATGGCGGTGCTGGCGCAACCTGAGCTTGCCAGTATTGAGCCCACCTCGCCCATTCTTCTTGAGCTGCTGGCTGGAATGGAGGGTACGGTTGAGGCATGGGCGCATTCCACCCCTGGCCAGCGAATGCGTTTTCCGGGAGTGGGGCATTCCACCCCTGGCCAGGGAATGCATTTTGCGGGGGTGGAGCATTCCACCCCTGGCCTGTGAATCCATTTTGCGGCGGGGGCGCATTCCACCCCTGGCCAATGAATCCATTTTGTGCGGGTGTATGACCTGCCATGAATGCCGCATCTACTGGAGGGGGTATACGTGGCTGCGGCATGTTGGGGTTCGAGTCAACTAGGGGTGGCATGTCATCATAGATGTCGCTCATGCTGGCCGCCGGTGCTTAGAGGATGCAAGGACGATGTGAACAGGTGATAATATCGATAAAGCGACCTCCTGACCTTGATAAAGGTGAAGCAGTGTGCACTGCAGTGACAAATGAACGTGAACAATAAATGCTATAGATTCCTGTGCGGCCTTGTATTACGCGACCGTTAGCGGTGCCAGAGAAGTACTTGCAAACCGGTGCAATGCAAACGCTGGCGGCGGAAACTCGGGAATCCTTACTATTGGATGTATGTCGGGTTTATATAGGGAGACGCTTCCCACAAAATAAAGTCAGCTAGCAGGAAAAATGTGGCGTAGGACCTTGACATGATGATCCCGTGACGCCTGCCAGTGTATGTGTTGAATTGAGGTTGAGAGTCAGGGATTCAACTGATACGCCGCTGCCCGAGCTGCACGGAGTTTGAAAACGGATCCAACTCTTTGCTCTAAATTTTGAGCAAGCTGATTTGCTCCATGATCCTGGAGAATTTATCGACAAATCAAGCAGGGTATAGTGAGTATCAGTTACCCCTTCTACAGTACCATGATTGATGATTCGAACTTGGAGGACATATGAAGATAATGGCGACGATCCCGAGAAATTACGGAAATGAAAAGATTAGACACTGGCAATGGACCCACGATGTAGCTCATTGCACACCCAATATGTATACAGTGATACATGGCAGCCTCAGGTAAGTATACAGTAGTTGTCACTTGCTGCCTCCTTCACTATCCAGGACTAATTACATGATCATGTGAGGTCTCAGATGTGTCACGTCGGATCTCTCAAGAACAAGAACTTGATAAATCAGTCCAAGATGAGCACCATCGTTTAGCTGACATTTCCGAGTCCTTCATCGCTTGGCCCATAGCTTGCGAACATCACTTTCCGATAACATGGTGAATATATCTATATTTTCTTGTTTTGACAGCCTAGGTGACTAGCCATTTTTCCAGGTATCAATCCATTCAAATACACGTTTGAACTAACGGCCTTGGCCTCGAATACAATTTATCATGAAATCAATTTCCTCTCCGCGGAACTTATTGTGTTCTGTTTCAGGTCTGACAAAACGACTTCCGATCTCTGTTATGTCGCTGGCAGCTGACCACATGAAGTTCATACTTCCGCGTGCAACACTCATGATGTCCAAAGTCATCATGAACTGATAGGCTGGCCCCAGCAGGCATTTTGTCGTCAAGAGCTTGACTGCCGAAGCCGGCACTCGACATCGCACATTGATCTTTCATGACATTAATTTGCACAAGATTTAATATAACACCCAATTTCCTCGGTCGATAACACAAATAATAGTATTCCCCGCGTATGATGCCCTCCAGATTATTAAACGACATGTACATTAATACTCCTAGCGCGAGAGCAAACAAAAATTCATCTGCTCCCTTGTCAGGCACCTCGTGACCACCCAGTTCGCCTCCGTATGATACCCACGGCTCCGACTTATATTCGTACCTTCAGTCTTGGAGATTTCCTTTCGCCAATCAGTGTTTACGACCCGAGTCAGCCATATTACCTCGGTTGTTATAAGCAGGTCAGCTAGCCGGACATGTACTTTATCTTCATTTATCAGCATCCAGCGCTTCTTCCCTCTCAAAGTTCCATTTCAATTAATTCAACACTTTGGAGGAATGAGAACACCTGTCACTAGGACTGAACATCCTTTATCCTGTTTGATTATGTTCCCGACCTGGTAATCTGAACCAGGTTGACAACCAAACCGAGCCTGGCATTGCGCGTCTTTGATTAATAGTCTTGAGCCAAGGTGTCCTGAAATATCAATGCAGGTCGTTTCCAAGTAAGTTGCATACTAGTCTCCGAAGCATACGTCATAATTCGACGTTCTTCATGCCTGATTGCTGAGAATGCTGAATACCTCCAGTCTGGCATTCGCCGCTAGATTTAGATCGCACAATCAGATGATCACTGTGAGTACAGCTCACTTTTCTGGGTCTACACGTCGTCACAATGTGTATTCGGTCAGAGCGAATGTGTACGAGACGTGGCAGTCTCTGGGTGGACCCACTTTAAGGATCAGTAATCGGCTAGGTCATCGATGATCTAGATTCTCGACATCTCGATGCTTAGATCTAGATGGTTTGATCGAAGTCGTATTTTGAAACCGAGAGTCATCATGATCATATGCATGATCATGATCACCGATTAGATCAGGATGAAAGGTACGGTAGGGTACGGTCCACAGTTTTCAAATTGCTTCCATATCAATTTAGGCTCACCACAACTACAACTACATTTGTTCTGAAGGTCCATATGTATCGAGGATCGCTGAAATCCTCACTCCTCAACATCTGACTGAATCAATGCACGATAGCGTCTTCCCAGGCGTGAAGGTGTATTCATACGAGTATCATACTCTGGTGTGTCCAAGTCGTCATCGCGTCGTACAGACGTCCCTTGAAGTCGCAGAGACTTACGAGGTGCGTGTGGGAGTTCATCATCATTGTCTGGGCTTCCAGCGGATTCTTGAGACAACGACAAAGCACTGAGAGATTGAGAGAGTTGTTGGTGATGAGAGGTCTCAGGCTCATCTAGTGCAGCGGACTCTACATCAGAGTGGGAATCGGTTTGTGCAGACCTATGGACTAAGTGAAGTCCTATCAGTGTTTAAAACATTCAGAAAGACTATCGGCACCTTCATGTTCGGACTTGCGTCTGAGGCGTTTTGGTGGGGGCTGCTCAGTGGTATCAGTTTCCTCTCCCGAGCTCGAATGGCAAATTCTTCGACGGTTGTTCTAGGACGTGTCCTTTGTTTTTATTCCATCAGACAAGCGCTTTATTATAGTCTTGTTGCGCAATTCATCCAGAGGTATATTGTCATCTGGATCTGAGCCCGATGCTTGAGAGATGTCTGCACTCGCGTGGGAGGGTGAGAGCCTTTCTGCCTGTGCGACAGATCGGTCTGCGTCACTGGTTTTTGCAGAGTCAGAGTTAGCGTGCTCTTCTTCGTCATGCCTGTCACTGTCGACATCCACTGCGGGATCATTGGTGTTATTGGCTGGTTCAAAATCACTACCATCCTCTTGGTAGATTTCCTCGTCATCATCGACTACAAAGCCATCGCGCTCATAGTCATCATCCGGCTCCACAGACCCGCGGCCATCGTCCCGTTTTCCAAGAAGTTGCCCTGTGGGGTTTTCCACGTGCGCAGGTGCTCTGGGGTGGTGTGGCCGTCGGTGGGTCTGGAGATGTATCCTGTACCTCTGAACTAGGTCTTTGAACTGATAATACTGGGAAAAGTGAACATCAAGTGCTAGGTGCAGCTGGGGAACTTCCGACTCACCCACTGGCATTTGTTTTGCTCTGGTTTCAGACAGAATTTGATGAAACCAGGACGCTTGTATGCATCATCGAGCCTATATCCCTTATACCGCTTTCCAAACCATATTGTGACTGAACCTGGTGACTTCTGGTCGTATACCTTGTCCAAGTAAAGACGATTTGCCTCCGCCAGGTTTTGGTGCTACAATTCAGAGTGATTGAAGCGCGTGCCAGTGCCGATCACCGATCAACTCACCCAGACATTACCAGACCGTAAAGGATGAATACCCCACCAGATGCGGTCTTCCGGTACTTCATCGAGTCTTTTGTCTTTATGCTCTCCAAAGGGGAAGGGGTAGGCTTCAGGAGTTTGAAGGAGTAATTCTTCGTATCGTTTATTGGCCTTTATGTAGGCAGGATACTGAATTTATTATCAGTGTCAGCCGTAATTACTGTACACAGTCCTGACCCAGGATCTTCTTGCAAGGTGGGCTTGTGTTGCCCACCGCCTCAAGCCATTTGAGACAGTGTCGAGCCGTTTACCAGCAAATCGTCCGCATGGGAATGGGTAAGCTCTAGGATCGTCGTCGTGGTGAAAAAGTTCATTGCTGTTCACGACACTATCATTGATATGCGCCATATAGCCCGTAGTGATTCTGAAGATGCGTATACTAGTATCAACTTGGGTGACGCGTGAACAGTGTTTCAACCTTCAATCATGCGCACGTGATTCATCATCATACTTGACTACAGTCCTACTACTAGTTAGTACTGTAGACAGTATTCAGTGTGCGATTCTACGATTCTTGCTACCTCCTTTCAGATCATAGACTTGGTAACCTTGTGAGTAGCACGAGTCTTAGTTTGCAGCACGCTTCGGGCTGTCGTCTACAACCTCCTATGCATGACTTGTCACACAGATCTAGAGTCGCAGACATTGTATATCAACTGTCAGTACTTGAAATTAGCTGAACTCCTGATGAGGACAAGATGGTGGGTATGAATATAAGCGTTGCTGATTATGAATGGGGTTCGTTAGCAGACAATCATCTGGATCAGGAGAGGAATATGAGACAGTGTCAGATGCAGTCTTGACGGAGGCTCATCACAGATGAGCACTGCAGATGGATGAGGAGCGACTCGGACGCGGACGTTAACATCGCTGCTCCAAACCTGGTAGGTGATAGCGAATCTAAAACGGTCATCCAAAAATTTGTGACATCCTCGATCAATTACGGATGGTCAGATGAAGGGCCACCAGGAGGCTCAATCATACTCCAGGCGGTATATGTGCACGACACTAGTGTTAAGTACTGTAGATCACTTTCCAGCGAAAGTCACCTGTAGCATGAACCTGACTAAGACGTCGCAGTCTCTTCTGGGGGTTGCCAGAATAGCGACGGCATAGGGTACTGCTCTGACCGATAACTCCTTCGAGCATCCTCGGACTCCCAGAGCCGGTAGTGCATACGTGTTGTCAAGATCGCATGCATCATTATTTGGGGGCTGTTGATTGCAATGAAATTAGCATTTACGATGAGCACTTGGAGGTCGTCGCGTACTTGAAGAGGACTGCGGCATATTCGTACTATGCATATAAGCAGGATGTCAGCTTGTGTGAAGCCTGGCGGCAAAGAGATCAAACTGACTTCGAACAGCGCCACACACAGGACATTGATAATGCTGAAGACTAGAAGAAAAGAGTTTATTGCGCTGTCATAGAAGTAGAGTACACGCACGAAATCCACAACCATAGTAGAACATATGGTGCGTGAGGAGAAGTGTAAGAAGTGGTCTTGATGTTGATCTGTAATTCTTTACGGCCCTTATAGCAGTAAAAATAACAAGGACTGAGGATGGAAGTCAGAGCTCCGGAGGAAACTATGTAAAAAGTTCTTCATACTAAGTTCTAACGTCAGGAGCGCTAGGAACGCCACCAATAACCGTTGCTCTTTTGCAACTTGCAATGTTTTGCATGTCGGAACATCAGGTACAAACACGTACTGCCCCGGGACAAAGGTAAACATGATTAGCCCAGTAACTGTTATACCCTATTGTCACCGGTTCCCTGAGTAACTTAGCAGGAGATTTGATAAAGGATACATACAGCTACGATGACGAACATAACCTGACGTAGAAGGTGTTTCACCTCCCACATAGCGCAGGTTCGGAGTACGAAGATAGCTAACGAACGGTGAGAAAGTGCAAGTGAATCTAGTGACAGAAGTCACAAACATTCTGCGCAGAATGCTGCTATCATACCGAAGGCTAGATATAATAGTTGTCAGCACAACTTTAAGATCAGTTATAGCTGAAGCCCTGCCTGTTGCAAGATCACCTATACTCTGACAGTCCTATGGAAACAGTGAGAAACACGTATATGACGTCAGGGTCGCGCACGCACAACGTTCCCCATGTGGGAGACTTGGTCAACTGGGACCCGAGTGAGACTAAAAATATCATAGAGGATGGATATATGCTCACAGATGAGGCCAGGAACAGCTATCAACAACGGCATATAGCGGGCTCCGATGTACAGAAATTTTGCAACATTCTTGTTGGCTTGGGCGAGAAATGTTGCCTATGAAAAAGGGGGATGAGATCAATAACTGCGAGCATAAACAGTGCCATCACCTCCTGCTGGAATCGTAACAATAAATCATAAACCTTTCACCTGAGAAGTGAAAGGAGTTGTGCTGAAAATCCAAGGGGAAACTCACCCAAAGAGCAGTAACCGCGACTACGATGTGTTCGTCAGAAATTCCCTGTTTCATAGAACGAGAGGACAGACCATCGGTATACTGAGAGTAATCTCTCAGTTGGGATCAACGCTGCTTTGGTTCAGACAGACACTTACATTCATCACTTGAATGCTCCATACTGCCATCAGGAAATCATCCTGCGGTACGACGGAAGTGGCCATGAGGATAAGACTGAAGGGCTGGGGAGAAGTGCCCATTCATCCTTTTAAATCGACAGGTTAGTGCGCCAACAACCTGTGCTTCATCAGTGTGGGTATACATTTGTCGTGCAGTCAAAAAGTGACGTTCTCAACGCATTCCCGTTGAAAGTTATGACATCGGGAACGTGAAGCAATCGGAGATACTGGCAGGTGCTTGATGCGGTGATTAGATACAATCTTGAAAGTACTGCCTCCTACTCGAATTTTAAGAAGATTGAAAAGTAATCGTTCCTATTCGCCGCGGCGCCATTCTTGGGGGTAAAAACATTGACAATGTCGATGACAACAGCACAACTCAACGATAATTAACCAAACGAAACCACAACAAACACGGAATGAACTTCAAATCAACAGGGAGGGAGGGGGAGACACGAATGGGGAGGTCCGACTCGTCCGAAGTGCAAACACAAAGGAAGACTCGCAGTCATTCCAAAACGGCACGCGGTGCCAGGGGGGCCCTTGCGGCGTGACGAGCCACGCGGAAGACGGTTCCTGCTTACAAGTCAACGTACCTTCGCCAAAGCGTCACAGGCGCCTGTGGGACTCTGTGGGACCGTTTTTCTCACGAGAGAAGTAGTTGAAACTTGACGGACAATTTGATGGAAGGAAGGCCTGGAAATGATCCAAGGACGGGGAACAGTGAGATCTCTGCCTGATATGTGGGCTGAAGGAACCTAAGCAATCCGAAGGGAACTGGTGAACCATACTAGCGCTCCCCAGCTACGTATCAGTAAAGGAAGCATTTGGCAATCTCCACTGAGTATCAACAACAATACTGTTACTATGGCCAAGGTGTATGGATACTCCTACCAGGGTGTGGACCATGTGGTGCATCTGGTTGATGGTTTTTTACTCGACCACCTGGCGACTCCGCATATGATCATCTCGTCACTAACTTCATCGTTCCCACAGGGAAAATGATTTTACTATCAGCATTCGCCAGACTACATCCAGGTGAGTACTTTTTTGTAATGTTGCTAATAGCTCTACCGTCAGTACTCCAAATCCAGGTGAGCGAAGCGAGGAACTCCAACATACCGTAAGTTGCATGTATCCCATCCTGAACAGCGACGTGTCTGGCTTTTATCTGACTGTCTGGTAAGTCCGCATATGATCTCGTCACTGATATCTGTAATTGTTCGCACAGGGCATGTGATTTTACTGTCAGCAATCGCTGGACTACCTAGCAGTACTTCATCCGGGTGAGTATTTTTTTGTATCGTTGCAAATAGCTGGTCGTCCTTTGTAGCAATGTCCATCCCGGTCGTTATGTGACTCGCTGGAGTAATTTCCTGTCTTCGTATGCTCCATCCTCTGAAACATCGTGCCGGATTTGTAATTCATTCGTGTGTGTTGTACTCGTTGCTCGTCTTGTGTTTCCAATAAGTCATGGTTGGACAAAAACAAAGTTCTGACGTATGAAGTTTCAATACCATCCAAACCGGAATTTCGTTTGCGTGGGTTTCGGTGCGCCTTACCAAACATTCGAGTGAAACAGGTAAATGGGCACTTTACCACCGATAAGCACTGATATATTCAATAAGCCGGTCTTAGATATACAACAGACCTTCGTAGTATCACATTCACCTCTCCACATGCACGATCTGGAATATCAACTTGAAGACTATGGAGAAGAAGCAATTCTCCTCCCCAGCGGAGACTTCAAGTTCATCTCTGAGCCCCGCAAAGCAGATCCTGCATCCAAATGGTTCACTTGGGCTAAGCTCGGACTCTCTGTCCTAACAGTAGCTTGTGCATGCGCGTTGTATGTTACCTCTACCAGCATTTCTGGGCAGCATAATGCCCATGGTTTGCGGCAGCCAAGCCAGTTTCCAGGTCTGGAATTCTCTGAAGAGCTCGGAAGAAAAGGTACGCATGTTCAGCTATCATGAGCACTTTTTCAGGTTGGAAAGCAGGACCTGTGACGTACTTTCCGGGGAAAATCATACGGGTAAACAAGGCTTTACCTGACCAAGTGTATACTTCGGGCTCACACGTCATATTGAGCGACGACGTAAGTGGATCTCCACCTGAAGTCACCCGGTCATTTATGTCGTCTCCAGGATTCAATGTTCTTCCAATGGCACCTACGCAAGTCGAAATTCAAATCTTGCTATATCGACAGTCTTGTTCCCACTCCCGAAGATGGCCTTGCGGCCAACAAGACCTACACCTCATCTGGCTCCCTCACCCAGATTCAAATTTGGAATGTCACCACTCCCACAAAATCCATGAAGAGCCTCAGCTGGAACTCGCGACCCCAACGAATCGCACTAATGGGCACTGTCGCATTTTTTCCTGAGAAAGAGAAGGAAGAGCTGCTGGGCTTAGAAGATGGATGGCAATCACTGATGCCAACACGGTTCTCCTGTGGTGAGAAAATGACTGTTACCATCGAGGTGGCCTGCGAAGGTTGTAGACTTGAATTTGAGCAAGTGTTCTCAAGTCCTGCGTTGGGTGAGTGCAAGCAGTTGTGTCACAGATTTGACGTGTTAAATTGATGCAATGTGCAGCTTTCGACTTGCTAGAAATAGGGTAGTGTATCAGTGCTTGATAAAAAGTAGGCTTTAACTTATAGTGCTGTTACCTGCGCTTGCTTTGCAGATCAATGTACCCTTAGCACAGTATTTTGTGGCCTGGAAATGGCCAGTCGCAAGATTCGACGGAACCTTGAATTCGAATAAGAAATCGTAGCGGCACTGGGAAGCACCAATCCCCGATTGGCAGCAAATTGTATATCGATCTTCAAGTTGGGCTGGTTTGTAGTGTGTACTATCACCTGATCCATAATGCACAATCGATGGGTAAAGCACAATGCACTTCAGAGCTCACAACTCAACACATATTTCATTCGGAACAGCTGGAGAATGTAAGCTCGTTGCTTACCTGAGTTCCCATAATCAACATAAATACTGTCCACGATAATCAAGCTTGAGCTTTGATTATCACTGCCTTTTGGCATAACTGTCAAGGGACAACAGTCTTAACTACTTACAGAGAACAAGTATTAGCATATTCTCAATAAACCTACCAATTCAAAATTTTAAAATTGACACTGTGGAGCCTTCCCAAAATGAAACATTGTGCAAGTGTACCCAAAATGAGTGATTTTTGGACACTAAAAACAAAATCCACCCAGATCCCATTACAGCAATTTGCATAATGGTAGAGGCCGGCGGTAATTCCCCAAAAAAAATGTGCATTTATTTCCAAAAAGTAGTCCTACAAAGATTGATTTTTATCTCAACAACGAAGCAAGCTATTGACATGGTCCAAGCAACAAAACTGATCAGAAAAATCGAATGCAGATGACCAGCAAAACAAACTAAGTGATTCGGTGAAGTTGGTGGTCACCTGCCCTCAGAGTCAACATCTATAACAACACTTTTTTCTCCAGTCAAACATTTATTGAGTGTCTCTCTTACCCTACTATGAAAGGTCACAAATCATTGCAAGAACTATGTGAGATTATCATCTGAATGCTACCGCTCCTTGACATGTCCAAAATCATGGCATACACTAGTGCAAGCAAATTGACAATAGAAAAAATTGCGCAATGCTACAAATTGACTGGGAGGCCAAATAAAGAAAGCCAGAGTGGTAATCATAGTGGTAGAACTTGGATGATGGACTTGGAAGATATTGAGGTGCGTCCATATTCAATCTCTTTGTGCACAAATTCTGACATAACAAAAGTACATGCATGGCTGTTTGTCCTGCAGCTGTGATATGTATCTAGACAAGCTCCATGATGAGATTAGTGAGGCTCACAGGAAACACCTGTTGTTGTCCACAATCTGTTACGAACTAGGATAGTTCTGACGTATAGCTACTTGATAAGAGTATTCGGCTAAGGTCGGTTCAGGACCCTTGCGTATACAATGGGTCGGTTCTGTAAGACAGGTCAAGGAGAGTGTCCTTGACTTGAATTGAGTTCAGATGACTTAAGATTGGTGGTCTTAAGTGAAGGAAGTTCCAGGTAAAACCTAGTAAGATTAAAGTAAAGACTTACAGTGTACAGAGCGAGTTTATATAGCAAACAACAACTGCTTCAGGGTAGGTGTGAGAACGTAAATGAGTCAGAGATAGCAAGAATAGATCACCTAGCGATGGCTTGATAGTGATCATGATGTAATACAATGAATTGAAGATAAGACAAGAAAGAGATAAGTCTAGCGGTAGCATCATGTGGCACGTGATGTAATACAAGCAAGTAAAAGAGAAAGAAAATAGGGGCATACAGTAACTGTAACATTACTGTTATTACCTACAAACTTATACACAAGCTGGACTTCTTCAGGAGCATTGAGGTATGCAAGAATGCGACTTTTGAAGTCATCCCAAGGCATGTCAGTCTCACCATGAAATCCATGCTTCATGTCACCCATAATAATGTCAATGTTGAAACTAAAAACTCCAGGGCACAGTTCAGGATTTTGTTGCAGTCTCACTGATACCTGGGATGATGCTGGGGCTTTTGATGATGCCTGGGACAGTTCTGGGGTTGGATCCGATTGCATTGGAGTATACTCTGGAGCTGGAACTTCCTTGCTGGTTGCATTGGAAGATACTGCTGGTATGGAGGCTGGCCAGTGTGAATGAAGTGTGGGGGATAATACTAATGCTGCAAAGGTGGCAGATAGTGCTGTGGTATGTGCAGCATTTGCAGATAATGTTGTGTGAAAGGTTGCTGATGATGTGCTGGCAGCTGTGGATAGTGATGAGGATACTGATGCTGGTTGTGAATATTGCCTGTGCCAGACCAACTCAGAGGGGTACTTGACATAGTAAGTGAGGATGGGCTTGTGAGGATGGGCTTTAAGCTCGTGTATCAAGCAGTTCTTATAGTTTTTTTCACAGTATTACACCATAATATTTACATGTCCATACGCCTGCAGCACACTGTTCATCAGGACAAACAATGGTTGCTATTTTTTATGAGTCAATCTTGCTGTTGGGTTCCAAGCGCACAGACCATGCTTGATAATATATATGTGTTGGTATGAATTATATAATTGCACATCTTCTCCAATAATGTCACAGTCGATGATGACACCTGTAACTCCCCCAACAAGAGGCCTTGTCCTCCCCTGTCCCACTTCTCCGTCCAAAGCCTCTTTCTCTTATAAGATGACGTTGGGCAGCAAAGTCTCCGACAATACACTGAAATTGTGCGCCAATATGTTCAGTTCTAACTATGGTATTTGGGGCAATCAGGCAGCTACAATTTCCAAATTTACTGTAGCTGGTCAGTAGTCGAGATGTTGATCATTGGCCATGGCTGAATCATTTACACAGGGAAACAGGTCAAGATGAATGGTGCAAGACTACGATCCCAATGTTTGTCTCACCTGGAGAGTAGTGTTTTGGTAAGCTGCTACATCCAAGTTGATCCACTTGAGAGTGAGTGTCCTCAACTTTATGGACACGCATTTGCCACGGTCTGGGACTATGGTGAAAATAAAGGTAGCTATCTCAATTTATTGCAAAGCTCACCTTTTGATTTCATTAAGTTGGCTGGGTGACACAGCTTGTCGTCGATGAAGCAGTCCGTCAGTGTTACATCACAACCCACCTCTTGCAAACTCTGAAGTGCCATGCCTTATTCTCCCGCGTTAACATCGTTGGTCTCATCTCATCTCACCCTGCTGCTTGCAATGCTTTGGTGAAATATGCTGGTGAGTTATCACCCTCATTATATTCAAATGTTATGACTAAAATCATGAAGCTGCTAATATCAAGGACATTGAATTGGACTTCATCCGTCAACATGCAAAGGGCATTCTGGCATCTTCCCCCATTAGCTATCTAAAGGCCGCTCAACTGAGGGGTTCGCTCTTCCAAGACAGCTGCGACAATGGAGCTATATCATCTGTGTTCACCAAGTTTTATGTTGACCACACTGAGCCTTTAGCGGTGTTGGAACAGTACAAGAAAACAGGTCAATGGTGCTTGGGTGAGCTTCTCAATGGACATGAATTTCTTGCTGTTTTTCCTATTGCACCCATGAGCCCAGTTCGCGACGATGACTAGCATACCCTACATATCTGATCAGAGAGTAGAAGTTAAAATTCCCACTATGGCAATAGTGAGTTTTGCCAGTGTCATCCTCTAAAAAACCTCATCTTTTCACTTTTGGTGTAAAAATGCAATGATCTGGCCCTAAACATGTTTGTCATGTGACTGATGTCTGTTTGAGGTTTTTGTTTCGCATGATTCTGAACGCTCGTTCCCAATTATTCTGCCTGCACACATTGATCTGATTTCCTAGTTTTTGACTACTTAATACTTATGTCTATATCTTCTTATAAAGTCATCAGATCTTTCACTGACATCCCTGCTGTTATTCGCGTCGATGATGTGAGTCTCGATTTGACCGCGTCATTGTCTTTTCTGCACGATTGCAATGTACCACAAACTGTCTCCAATCATCACGGAGTGGCCATAGAGTCTGCTCTTGGGCCGGTTTGTATTCCTACTGTGGACGGATGGCACAATTCCTGACAGACTTTTCGACCCATCTATCTGAGTGGATGCAATGTTGAGCTCGGTCGTGATTGGCTTGCGTCTGTCAATGCAAAGTACGACAGTTCTCAGTTCCAATGGCCTTCAGAAACGGATGTCGGTCGACTTTCTGGTGATCATAGTTGGAATTTCCAGCCTGAAGGTACGTGTATTGGTGTTAATTATCATCTTCATATGTCTGAGTGACTGTTTGTAGATAATATCTGCTCTCTGTTGTCTTCTGTTGTTAGAGACCGAACAAAAGTTTCAGCTACCCAAGTGGGTTCTTCTAATGTTACTGTAGATAATTTTTTTGGTGGCTATGAAAAATTATCAATAGTACCTTTGAGGGAATTGGCAGTCGCTCATGGCCTTCAAGTACCCTTGAACATATCTATGGAAGATCTATGACAAGCTATATCTCAATATGTAGGTACAAGTTTATGTGGATCTCCTTCATCGCAAATATTCAATGGATGCGATGTGGGTAACACAACAAAGGTGACTGCAAGTCAGATGACAAGCAAACACTCTCTATGTTGGGTCTTGATATGCTGTGCGATATGTTCGACCCTTAAGGGAAGCAAAGAAAGCAAGGATCCACTGAAATGATGCTGATCAACCCTGATCAAAGGCGACAAAAAGGCGATGTAAGCGCGAGAAACGCGCTCAAGGCGCGCGCGGGAAAGTGAAATGCGAAAAATGCGCGAAGCGCAGGAAGGCAAAAGTGCGAAAGGCGAAAATGCACGAAGCGTGGGAAGGCAAAAGTGCGAAAGGCGAAAATGCGCAGAGAACTGGGATGGTAGTGCAAGCAGTGCACAAGTGTAGAGAGACGATAATATGGTGAAAAGCGCGGATATAGATGGATACTGATACTGCCACTAGCTTTAGACTGATGCTAGGGCCTTAAGACGACGACGGACGCATGCATTGCATGGAACTAACTGCCAAGTACATGGTGGTAGAAAGATGTGGTAGGAAGCTCTGGTGTAAAACGAACATGAAAGTATGTAAGTTCTACCTAAGCGCTCTCCCAGGGCTCAGAGCTGAATAGGGAGTGCTCTAAGTATGTAAGTGAGGTAAAGTGATGTAAAGTAAGGGTGCATAACTGAAATACAAAGTGTAATAGGCTAAATATGGTCTGACAACGAAAAGGGACACACCTAGGAACTGGTTGGATGATGGATAGGATGCTCCTGGATGATGCGCAATGGAGTGCGCTTAAGCAGTGAGAAAGTGTTGCGCCTCTGGCGCGTTTTGCAGGAGAGCTGTGCATTGTATGCGCAATGACTGGAGACATAGCAGAAGTTGCGTATGGAGTAGGGCGACAAGTGTGAGAGAAACGCGCTAAGCGCGCGCGGGAATGCTGCGCGTTGTGTGGGAAAGTAGCGCGCCTATGGCGCGTTTCGCGGGAAAGCTGCGCGTGGTGTGTGGAATGACCAGAACCATGATAGAAGTCGCATACGGATGATGGTGCGAGTCGTGCAGTAAAGGCCAGTTGCCAGAATTCGTAAAATGAGCCCATATGAGCCCACAGAAACGCGAGTCTCTACAGCGAATCTGTGTGTCAAGGTATTGATGTGTCTTATGATGATAATCAGGCTGTGCTTTCGGTAAGGACAGCCTTTTTGACTTCTATATTGAAAACAACGAAACAATGACCTTTAGAACGCCTGTTGAAAGCCAATGATGTCAGTTTTAAAGTTGGCTCAAAAACGGGACAGCTTCGCTGCACATTAAAAAATCATATCAAAACACTGCGGAAAGCGAAGTCAAAATTGTCTGTACAAATTCAGTCCCAAGCGTGACTACATGATCGCAAAAATCATCGTCGTCGGCTTTGTCATGAATGGCCTCAGATTCTGTCCTCACAATTGAAGCGTTGTCTGGTGCTGATGTTCAGGGACGAGACTTCTTCAGAAAGGTTGGCCACATTTACCTGTGCGTCTTGTGCTGAAAGTGTTTTGTGTTCTGAACGGACAATAACGTCTGTAGTGAACCTTCCCAATTCTTCTCTTTTGCACAGACCTGACCGTCAAAAAGATCAGCATATGACGAATGATTATTTCAACTGGGACTGTCCTCTTCCTCCACTGCCATTTGCAAATTCCAATGGTCCACTTTGTGATTTGATGCTTGATCCATCCGGTGTGAAACAAATCAGTGCAGACGACTTCCAGCTGTCTTTATGTAATGTCTGCGATAGAAAGCTCAAGAAGAGCAAATGTCCGGTGTTGAGTCTCGCGAATTGAACTTTGTTGGGAGACGTACCTGACAAATTGAAAGATTTGACGGTCGTTGAGGAAGCAATGATTGCTCGTTGTCATGTAAAGTGCTGGATCGTTCAGTTGAAGGAAGAAAAACCAGGACCTGCAACTTTCCACCAATCAGCGTGGGATCAAGGGCCATATAATTGTATATCCTCAGCGCCCACAAGGTATCGCGAATGTCTTACCTCCATCAGTGGCTGATATTATTACTCCGATCTGCGTCATTTTTGTAGGATCATGTCCTCCATCTCATGCATGGCTTGAAGAAAAGGCCAAGCCTTTGATAGCTCGCAGAGAGAAAGTTCGAGCTGCGTTAGTTTGGTTAACAAAAACACAACCACCTGTATAAGGACATCATTATCAATTTTGATGTGCTGAATTCTATGGATGAAAAAATGTTGATGCCCTTTCATGTTGATCATGTTCTTCCCAATGATGTGCATGATTCCTTGATGTCAAAATATGATGGAAGCGAGGCAGTGCAATTAGAGGATTCGTCTGACGTGAGCGATCATGATGATTCATTGCACGCTGCTGAACTGCAAATCAATTTCGAGAATGTTGTAGTTACCGATGTTGATGGAGATGCATCTGCAAATGAATTGCGTGCTGCAGCAGTGCATCATATCCTGAGCCCATTAACGAGTTTTTTGATCCGGACCTCTTTCCGATGATTTATCCTACATTGTTTCCATATGGACTGGGAGGATTTGAGGACCACCTGCGTACTGAACCCTTGTTAATCAAGAGACATATCAAACATCTTGTTAACCTCACAGATCATCGTTTTCAAGAACATTATTCATTTCTGTTCATGGCATTTAACATTTTACAGTGGCATAAGATTTTAATACATACATCCTTAAAAGTGAAACGGGACTCCTTTCCAACCATGGCTACTAACCTTGCTGCTGTTTCACCTTGGGCTGTTCACTGTGTGATGGAACGTGTAGCTCAAGGAGACACAGTTTCTGCAAATAATGAAGATGAGCTGATGTGTGTTGCGTTTGATGAAAGAAGTACAAGTCATAACTTCACAAGTACCAGGATCTGTGCACACAAGAAGGAATATGTGGAATGAAATCCTGTGGTTTGATGTGCAAGCAAGGGTTGCCGAGTTTCTATGTCACCATCAATCCTGCAGATGTATATAATCCACTTGTTAAATTCCTTGCTGGTGCTGAAATAGATGTCGATAATCTTCTACCAGAGGAAGTACCAAAATTTCACTGATCAGTCTATTCTTGTAGCCCAAAATCCGGCCGTTGCAGCGAAGTTTTTCAATACCTACATGAGAGCGTTCATCAAATGTCTTTTGCGATTCAAAGGTAAAGGCACAGACCTTCATGAAGGCATACTCGGCGCTGTCAGCACATATTATGGATGCGTCGAAGCTCAAGGCAGAGGGACGCTGCACTGTCATATGCTGATATGGCTCAAAGGTGGTCTCAATCCCAATGAGATCAAGGATTCGAATATTACAAAGTGAGGAACAGACCTTTAAAGAATGTTTTCTTAATACCTAGAGGATACCATCTCAATGTGCATCCCTGAACTCCCTGGAGGAAGATGTATCAATACCGAAATCAAACCTTTCATCCGTGTTCGACTCGAGGAGTGAATTTTCAGAACACCTGAGGATGATTTGTTAGACACAATGTGAAAGAAAGATGCACATTTCCTGGCCAAAAAATGCCGAATTCACAGGCATTCAAAAATGTGCTGGAAATACTGGAGGGGCCCACCAGAACTGAAGGAATGTTGTTTTGATCTAGACGAGAAAAACATACATCCAATAAGCCTGACTGATCCAGATACAGGAGAGATTACCTTAAAGTGTTTGGACAGTCTAGTCAATCATTTTAATGCGAGCATATTGGAAGCTATGAGGTTGCAATATGGATATAAAGTTCATCGGTTCAGGGCCGGCTGCGAAAGCGATACTGTATTATATTACTGACTACATCACGAAGTCGCAGTTGAAAACTCACGTTGCTTGGCTGCAATGGAAACAGCAGTCCACAAATTAGAAGTGTATGATCTGAACGATGATAATTGTACCTTACGACCTAAAAAGATGCTGCAAAAATGTGCTCACTCGATGATTTCTCATCAAGAGCTGTCTGCACAGCAAGTGTGTTGTCACAACCCTTTAACGAATTAACGCAGGGGCAGAGACTAGGACTCAAACAAGGTTATCACAACAAGAAAAGAGTATAATGAGCAGGGACGTCTTAGGATTGCTAGCAGTGAGCTAATACAAAAGAGGTTTGAACTAAAGAACTACTGACTACACGAGCTACCTATATACATACATTGAAGCGGAGACTGAATCTGAGAATGAACTAACTAACCAATCATTAAATAGAAAAGGGAATCGTACGATGATCTAAATATAAATACTCCTATGATGTCATGAAACGTGTAATAGCTGTGCAAGGGTTCTCGGGGTTTCTAGAGTCACGTGACTTGATCGCTTGAGTAAGGAAGTCAAAATCAGGGGATGTCGGAGATAACGGTAGTAGGCGCTAATGGAATAGAGAAGTTCGGAAATGTAAAGGATAAGTTCGGGTTAGGGTTTGTGAATGTCATAGGTACAGCCGCTGACTGAGCGCTAACGACAGGCGCTTGTGACGGGCGCTTAACTGGTTGTCTTACGAGTTGTCTTTAGAGGTCTCACGAATGTTCAAGAAAGAATAGTGATTTGTGTTCGGAATTCGTGACAGGTTCGTACTTGATGGATTTTGAAGACCACTTCACGAGCCCAGAGTACCGTGGCTTATATTGGACAAACTTTGAATCCTTTGTCGAAAAGTGTAGTCCAAGTCCTGAGTGTAATTGAATGTCAATGACTGATGACACTGCATTGAGGACCACTCACAATTATGATGATGATACCAAAGGAAATTTAGATGGGCATGATGAGGAATTGGAGGATAGGCCAGTTGAAGGAACCCTTGATGACGACGGTGTCTATGTCGAACAGCTTCAAAACGACGAAATCAGAATCAGCAGTGACAAGTTTGGAAATCATGTACCCAAAGCTGTGCAGCTTATGGACTACTTGCATCAAGACGAAAAGTTCAACAACATAAGTGTATAGGGACTTCGTAGCTCAGGTGGACAAAGTGAAGAAGAGCAGGAAAAACAAAAATAAGAAAATGACAACTGAGAGTACAGATGACAATGAATCATACTGTGATGATGATGTTGATGACAAAGACGAGCTCGCTGACAATACCATACTAGAAAACGACGCTGATGAATTAGAAGATTTAGAAGACATGGAAGTGAATGAACCACACCTGTCTCTTTCAGCAGAGGAAATTCTTCATTCTTCAGCCAAAACACAGCCCTTTGCAGAACTACAGGGTGGACATTATGAATCGCACACCACATTTTCAGTGAGTGAGACGATGGGAGAATCAACTCGTACCTGTTTCAATGGGTCCAAAGATGCCTCACAGAGACCAAGAGTCCATCTATCCCAAGTACTGTCGTCTGATGCTCATTCTTTTTAAACCCTGGAGGTCTGTAACTGATCTTAAACAGACATTGCAATCATGGACTGAAAGCTTTGAGACATTCAGATGTACATGTGATGAGAAGGTTGTTTCCATATTGAACAATATGCAAATATTGCACGAATGTAAAGACAGCTGGGATGATCATTTCGCGAACCATCGACTTTGACACACACTGGCAGGAATCTTGACTGAAATATCGAACTACACTCAGTGGTTTTAATGAAGATGAGATATTCACAGACAATACTGATGAAGATATACTCACTCATCTAGAGTCAATGGACTCCTGCCATTCAATACACCAAGCCACAATTAACAACGACCTGATCTGCTGCCTTCAACATACGGACTCGTGCCAGTTCTTTGACAGTCTCTCGCATGTGTCAAATCCTGTGAATGCTAGTACAGACCTGTGTGAAAACAGCAGTCAGATATCCGAAGAAATGATTCAAAATATGGAGCAAGAGAAGGAATGGCGAGATTGCTATGAGAAAAGACAGACAAAATGGAAACAAAACCAGGCAGCGCAAGATGCCTCAAAATCACACTTACCCATCAATTGCAATGGACCGTCAACAACGATTGAGACACTACATATGAGACTGACAGAAACACGCAAGAGCCTTGCTCCAAATATCCAGAGCCATACCCATCCAATTGATGAATTCCGTGATGTAAATATTGAACAAGTCGCCCAAGAATGGTCGCTAAACGATGAACAATCAAGGGCATTCAGAATAATAGCAGAACACAGTCGAGTGAACAAGCCTGAACCTCTGAGAATGTTTATTGGAGGCCCTGCTGGAACCGGAAAATTGAGAGTTATCAATACTCTGAAAGATTTCTTCGTCAAACAGAACCAAGGACGACGATTCAGGCTTGCCTCATACATGGGAGTGGCCGCACGGAACATCTCAGGCATGACTCTACACGCATCTCTCCTGTTAAATCAAAGACATACATCATCAGCAAATACTAAGACAAAATGAGACCTCACTGCAATGTGGGAAGGTATTGACTACTTATTCATCGACGAAGTATCCATGATAAGCTGCGATTTTCTCAGTAAGATTCACGACACTTTAGTCGACGCCAAAGGTAATACTGCACTGTTTGGGGGAATAAATATCATCTTCACAGGAGATTTCGCTCAGCTCTTGCCTGTAAGTGGAAAACGATTGTATGCCCACCTTGACCTCAGACTTTGTGCAACAACACAGGGACAGAAAAGCATCTTCAGCAGACTGCTCTGGCTATCGACAAACACTGTAGTACTGCTGATGAAAATAATGCGTCAATCAGGTGCAGAAAACGAACAGTTTGTCGAATCCCTTGCACGCCTGTGCCAAGGGAAATGTATGCTAGACAATTATCATCTTCTGCTGTCATATACCATATATCCGGTTACAGATCCGATGATCCGGATCTCAGATCCGATCCAGATCCGATGAACATATCCGTCGTCCGGTCCACAGATCCGCTTTGATTCTTATTTCATTTCCTGTTCATATAACTCTAACTATCGTTCATCTCCTTTCGGTATTCCTGTACACCGGTATACCGGTTATCCTTTACTTCCGCTTTGCTTACTGATCCGCTACACTTACGAATCCGCTTTTACTTGTACTTCATTCCCGGTTCATGATTCGTGATCCATCTGACTTACCAATACGCTCCACTTAGACTTTGCTTATACTTTTGTACATAGCCTCGCACCTTTGCTTATTGATCATTCCGTTAGCTATCCGTAGTATATAAACCTTTGTATATGCGCTGTAGTAGATCAGTTCGAATATCATCTTAGATTGTACTCATTCCGTCTGGACTCTAAGTCCCTCCGTTATCCGTCGGACTTGAGTACGCTACTCTTATCTATTCCGAGACTTAGGATAGATTCCTATAGTCTACATATCCGCCTCTGTCTTTGGACAGTCCTCACCCAGTTAGTTTCTAGTCCGGATCCGATCCGGATTAGCCGTTACTCTATATGTTCGATATTCGGAAGTCTTAACTGGATCCGTTGCAATACTTATCCAGTTACGATACTTATCCGTCTCACTAGACGCGATACTTTAGCTCTCTGAAATAAGGGGCAAGACTCGGGAAAGGGGCACAGCGCACGAGCTGAGGCCGAAGCCCTTCGGATCCGATACTACTTGAGTACGGTCTTAACATCTGCAAACAAGAGTAATTAGCTCCAACGCAAGAGATACAGATAATTGCGATTGGAAAGATGCACCGATCATCGTCTGTGATAATGAAAGCAAAGATGAACTGAACATTAGAATAACGACAGCATTTGCACGAAGAACAGGATGCACCCTTCATTGGTACCATTGTACAGATAAGCATGGAGGAAAACGACTGCACAACGATGACCTAATTAACAAACTACAGCATTTGAACTCGGGAAAAACAAACATGCAGCTAGGAAAGATCCCGCTAGTCATCGGAATGCCAGTCCTTGTGTCCCCAAATTTTGACGTCAAAGGTGGAATCGTGAATGGTAGTACCAGAATACTGAAGAAAGTGAGATACACAGTTAACGACAAAAAACAACGTGTACTGAGGTCCTGTATTGTAGAAATCAATCAGTTGTCAGATGAAGCGCTACCAAATCTGCATCCGCACGACATACCTATCATTGAAGACTCCATGGAACTAAGATTTATGCATCCAAATTCGAAAAGATGTGCCGGATTACACGCACACAGGTTCCCATTCTTCCAGGTTTCGTGATCACTGCACATAAGTCACAGGGACAGACATTGGAGAAAGTTATCATTGATCTTGGCTCGAAATGGTGCAGAGGAGCTGAGAAACCATATGTGATGGTATCACATGCGACTTCCCTTCAAAGCCTATTCATCCTATGTCCATTCAACTACAGCAAAATCTGTCTCACCCATCCCAAGACATTCACCATGAAATCCTTCGATTAGACATATTAAACCTAAAGATGTTAATTGAATGGCCGCATGCAACCACGAACAACGAGAACTAGCACAGCAACAATTACCAGCACTGAATCAGCTAGTGACACAGGATAAAACATTGGCATGTACCAAACAAGACCGAGTGCATGAACTAAACAGAGTTCAACAGATCATCCTCGACCTCGACAATCTTGCTTTAGCAGGCACCCAAGCCGGGTCAAACCAACAACCACCTCGTCGAAAGAAGAGGAAACTGACTAACTCAGTCAGTATTGAAGACAATGAGATGATGACTGAGGTGCCTCAACCACCTCCACGGTGTAGAGGCTCGTGCCCCTACAGCCACATATGGCCTATATCACGCCTTGTGTCACCAAGCCATTACCAGGCTCATCCCATCACTGCACAACATCATCCCTAGTCATTCCCTATAGAGCGCCCCACTTTCCCGCGCTAGCCGCTAGGCACGCGCTACTTTCCCGCACCAGCCACAGTGTTCCCGCGCGCGCGCCTTGCACGCTTTCTTGCGCTTAAGCGCCCTGCGTCGCCCATCATCCAGGAGCATCCATCCACTGTCCATCCAGCCCACAGGTACGCATTAGTTCGCTATTTTTGCTATTTCATGTACCTTTCATTATTACCTACATTGTATGGCACCATTTCTCATGGCCTAGTAGCTATTACATAGCACTTTACCTCACTGTGGTTCATTTTGTGTTGAGCTGAGGAGGCATTACTACACTACCTTTTAGACACCAACTACCACCCATCGAGTACCACTGAGCACCAGTATAGAGCCGCACTTTAGAGCAACAATCATATCCCACTTCATATAGACTTTATCTTGCATTGAGAGCCACTTCCCCAGCACTTTGTGCGCTCCGGCGCTTTCCCGTGCTTAGGCGCTCCCTTAGGCGCTCATTCAGCGTGTCTTGGATCATTTCTCTGCTGCCATCTGCTTCCACAGTGTGACAATCATATTGGCGCTAGGCATGTATACCTGCATAAGCCTTCAATAGGTGGACCAAAGTTATCCCTCATATTATTCACTACTCCCCTATCAGCAGTCTTCACTTGTCTCAGCCATAACCCTTGTCCGACGCTATTCCGCACTTTCCCGCACTATGTGCGCACATTCCCACAGCACTATTCATGCTCCCGCGACTTATCCGACGCTATTCCCGCGCTTATAGCGCTATCAGAACTACCACCAATGTGTCTATAGGAGCATTAGTGCATGTCCGCTCTACCTAGCGCTTGTTCCCGCGCCTAGTGCTAGTCCAGCGCGTTGTTCTCGCGCTCTAGGAATCACCCGAAATGTCGGAATCCATCCATTGTCCATCCTACCTCATTGGTATGTAATTTGCCTTGCCTCGAGTTTGTAAAAAGTGCTACAGTCTTATTACATGTATATCCTATCCCTTCCGAGTCCGAGATGGTATAGTTTACTAGTATAAGAAGCCTATGGTGACTACTTTGTACATTACTTCCCTTCAACTGTATTTCCTTCCCTTAGGTTTTACTTAGAAGTAGTCACCCTTTAGTTGCGCTCTATAGCCCCTATTGGTTTACCTTGACTTTCCTCACCCTTGCAATCAATACCCTTGATCTCACTCACTATCCAGCACCTTCCTTTCACTCAGTGTCCGCTTTCTTGACTTCCGCACTTTCCCATGCATTAGCGCTCTATCTTGTGACGCATTAGTGCTCCACTACTGACGCGATAGCGACCATCTACCAACCCGCACTTCCGCTTTTCTCATGCCATAGCACTCTATAGTTGCGACATACTTTCCTGCGCACTAGCGCTGTATCTTGCGACGCACTTTCCCGCACTATAGCGCACTTTCGGGTCTTTCTATCTTAAGTTGTCCTTAGTAGCTTTTCCCTTGGGTCGAACATTCTTGCTTTATTGTTTGCAAGTATAGCAGCATAGGCAGAGCTTAGACATATACTGGCTAAGTACCTTTACAAGTGCCTAGTCAGGTTGTGTTTTTCACACCGGGTTGAACAATTTGCATCACACTTCGACCAACACTTAGAGAGAGTATAGCTCTATCTCCCACCTAGAGCTTAGAGCATTATTGATATTTCTTTCATTTGCTCTGCATTGCACCTTAGCAGAGTTGTTGTACCCACAACAGCATACCAAATGACACAGAGCATCCTGACGGCTCAAAAATTGGCTGACTGCTGACAAAATTGTCATTTGTCAGCGACAACATGAGCATTTGTCAACCATGCATCCTACTGTGCGTCATACCTTAACTCCGCTTATTTAAAGAAAGGTTCAATGTGCGTTGGGCCCCTAATTCCATCACTCGATCCACCACTATGTCCTCACCTGATGTCGAGGTCAAGTGCTTCTCACAGCGTGTTGCCAACGGTATATATGACCATGTTGCTGACACCATTACGAGCCTTGGGAAGGATGGCTTGGGCAAAGCAGATTTTGGAATTGATTGGACCATGACCATTCAAGACAATTACAGCGGGACCAGCTGGTCCTATGTCAACACCAAGGATGGTCGCCCATTCAGGACGAACATCATTGGACAAATCACGACTTCGACATGTGGCACAAAGCATTCCGCGAAAGGCACGCACTTCACCAAGAAAGTGAGTCTGTGTCTTGTTGACTTATGAATGCGATCTGACCTTCAAAATGAGAACATACCGCTAAGCAATTCAGACACAGTCAAATGGAAATGGGCAATTTCCAAACTGACACTATGCTCCCCAAATCTGACAGATATATGGGAGAATCAGTTGACGTCGATTGAGGACTGGGTCAGCGAGGAAAGCAAGAGAGCGGCAACGGTCAGTTCCAAACAGAACACCATACAACAACTAATAAACTCAACAGGGTTCGAAAATAAATGCATGCATCACTAAAAGTGCCAGCGACCTCCAATACGTGGACCTTATCATGCTGACTTCGCAACGCATCTATGAGGTAAGGAAAAAAAATGAATTCCACTTGCACTGGCACTTAACATCTCCCACAGAAACCAGAAGGCGTTAACACCAACCAAGATGCCACTCCTCGACAAACGAAACTGAAAGAACATCGAAGACAGTATGGTAGGGCAGCAGAGCATAGCAGCATCGACGAACTCGATAGCAACCTCGAGCACCAACGTGAACATTCCGACACCTGCTCCAGATAAAGGTATTTGTCAGCCTCACACTCCTGCACATAATCCGCTCACTCTATAAAAGTCATTCCAGGAGCACTATACGACCTGAGGATCCTACCTGACTACCGTGGGTCGTATTTTCAGCTGTGACAGAACAAGCTTAAGCAGCTACACATCTATGACTCAACAGAGAACAGCAAACTCATCCCTATGCACGAGACTTACTCAAAATGAAGGTCCAGAATGCTCGTTCTCGCCGTCTGTGACACTCACATATACAACATGGTGCAGAATGGCCAGCCGACCGGCATGCGTACCAAACAGTGTCGGTCAAATCGGTCACTAACAGACCCTTTCAGACTTTCCAGCTCGGCATACAAGCCATAAAAGTCCTGCATCTTTCTGATGAACCCGTCGAAGAACGCATGATCCCAATCCTTTCCATGACGTCCATTGACATGTCGAAAGACGACTCTGCCATTGCAGGGTTCTCTACATTCGACGTCAGCATCAGCTCTGCCAAAAAAAACAAGCACACGAATGGACAGAAGAATAAGGGAGGGAAGGGAAAAGAGAAAGAGAAAATGGACTAACTGCGACTCAACTTTTGTATTTGTAGCATTGGCCTCCATCTTGTTGTAGCGCTCACCTCCGTCTCACGGCTCTATGGCATTATATCTGCACATTTATTATTTGCACATTCCGCAGCTTGTGCGCTGTGCATTTTCGTCAATCCAGAGTGGGCATGTTTTAATCAAGAGGTTCCGCATTCCCGCACTGCGCGTTTTTGCCAATTCAGAGCTGGCGCATTTGCTTGTTCAAGTCTCTACTAACCGAGTCATTCAAGTTGTGCGGAGCTAACTTAGTGGCTCATGCAGTATCATAGTTTTTTTTCTTCAAATACATACTGTTTTGATACACCCACAAAATGAGTGAGACAACGCGTCCTTCATACTTAGTCGTCAATGTTTGCATTCAAAGAGTGTGAAGTAAATCATGTACATGACTCCTGCAAGACATCATTAGGTGAGGCATCACGAGGATGCAAGGTATAAGTATGGAATGAGATGAGGATGAGGATGAGATAGTGGTATGTACTGCAACACATGAGAAATGACAAAAACTAGTACCAAATTAGCATGCCTGTCATCAAAAAATACTAGACCCAGTCACTTGTCAAACATTGTGTGGGAAATGGTAACCGACCCTCCTCACATGAGCTGGAGGTTAGCAGGCTTCATGGAATAGTGAGAGTCCCAGGGATTGATATGCTCCAGTGTAAAAGGATTGTCAACGTGTGGTCGACTGCACCACAAGACATCCGCCTCGCTGACTGACACAAATTCAGGTGCAGACGATAATGCACTCTTCGACTTCAGGAATCGGATGGTGGTACCAGCTTGCACTCCGAGTCGACTGCTATGGAACGACGCCGTTTCTGGCAACAACAGCACAGGTTAAATTTTGAACAAGTAGCACGAATGAAAAACTCACTGAGGCTATTGGATTGAGCAGGTTGAGTCAACGGAAATGGCTGAGAGCCTGTCGATGGTCCAGATTCTGTCAAAACAAGGGAATGGCAGCTTGGACATCATTAGCTGATTCTGTTGAGTATGTAGTAAAGGATTGAATAATAATAAAAAAACATAACGGAAGGAAAAACTCTACCCTGTTTAACTTTACTTTTCTTTCGAATTGCTCTCTGAACCTCCGATGGCAATTGATCACTGGCAGGGGACAGGAACTGTGTGAGTTCGTTTCACTGTTGGAACAGATGAGTACATGCATCAAGGCCAACACCGCAAACTCACTGTTAGTTCTCTTTGGCAATACAACCTTCATTTTGCCTTTGCCTTTGGGATCCTTGACTTCAGCATCAGTCAACTCCACTTCCATCAAAGAACTTGCAAGCTCATTGTCTGACTTGGAGATAAATGAATCATTGAGACTGTCCATGTCAGACAAAAGCACATCGCTGCAATCATCGTGTTCGGAATCTGAACCATCTATGACAGGTTGAGTGTTCCAAGATTCGTAGATGTCGTCGGGAATCCGGTTCCATGTGACTGATGGAATTGTTAGGGCAACATGCAGTGAGTAGTACGAGAAAGAAACAGGAACACACCAAACCACAGGTGACACTCACTGACACTTGCTTTATCTCGGCCCTTGTGTTTCACTAGGTCAGTCCCGGTCGGAAATGCAACATTGACAACCGTTAATGTCTGTCCACTCTTGTTAAGGAGTCGCCAAATAGGCTTCTCTTCTTGTGTTGGCTGTGCTGATGATCGTGATGGCGCTGATGGTCGCTTCTCAACTCGGATATCCAGATAATTGAATACCTTAGGAAACCAGCTTTGTAACTGGCTGGTGATCTTGTGATAGGACCATCCACTATCAATGATAAATTGCTCAGGCCGGTCAAGGTAACAACCCCAGTTCTTCATAGCCTGTATTTCATTTCGGCCATTCTTGCTTGGGGCCTTAGGTGCTCTGATGAGACCGTTTCTCTGGAAAATGCTATGAATCAGTGGGTTTAGTAGACTATTGATTGTCTTTGACTAACATCGACACCACAAGTCAATAGAGCAATTGATGCAACACGAAAAGTGTTAGCTCCGGTCATGGAAAGGTTAGACGTAGTGCTCCTGCGTGCTTGGCTTCCAATTTTACTAGGTTGCAGTGAGCCACTCATAGTATCCTTGCGATCCTAGAAGCAACTTCAGTATTCGTGTAAACTAATCTTCATGCACTAGCCGATGATCCTGTACCTTTCGCAAGCCAGCCAACAACACTGGGCCCTTAGCCAGTTTACTGTAACTAGCAAGTCGGGTGGAAGAAAAGAGTTGATAAGGCTTCCTCTCGGGCATTGGTGGGTGGTACGCCGGCTTCAGTGAGTCGCTTGGTGGTGGACAACTTTTCATTGACGCTTTTGCCACCGCTAGCGATTCAGTCAAAAATATTCTTGATGACAGCTGAGGTATTTCCAAGTTGGTGAGGCTGTTCATCCTCTTGAACTTCCAGTGGTTTTCCACTCCAAGTCGATGCCTTGCGAGGGTGTTTGCTGCGACTGTGACCACACTCCACACAGTGGCCTTCATCCTGCGACCAAGCAAAGAATTCCTTGCAGTCGCACACTTGACTGTCAGATTTTGAACCTCTACAGAAGTGCTCCTGATTCATAGTGTTGCTCTTGGAATCCATGCAGAGCAATAGCACTAGTAGGAGAAGGTGGAGAAAGAGTTCACACGGAAGAGGAGACAAGAGACAGAAACGACTCGGACCTGAAGAGGATGGTCAAAAGGTACTAGATAGTGCGGTTTATATTTACAGTTTGAAACTTATGACATTCTGCCCGCCTTCTGGTTGACGGATTGTCCAAGTAAGTATTTCAAGAGTAATAACTACTACAACTCTCATGAGTTTAAGTTACTCTTGCCCAGCTGCTAAAAAGTATGACAACACTAGTAATGCCTGACACCATAGCCTCGCCCTGGTTGAACCAGCTCAGTTCAGCGAGAGACACATGTAATTCTTTCAACCCTTGTTGGCCAACAGGGATAGCCTCGAAGATCGGATACTCGTCACCTTCCCACTCATTTGCTGCTAGCCTGCAGTCGCATGGTGTTATATCCTTGGCTATGACTTCGATAAGGGTGGCAGAGAATTGCCAGCGTGTTTCGTCATTGGTGAAAGGATTGATTTGCGATGGAACGCTGATAGCTTTGTGGTGGATTTGGTGTCGTTGTTGATTATTGATAGCCTGTACCATATTTAGAGGCTCCTCTTCATTATCACTTTCTTCTTCGTCAATTGGATGCCCCGCTCCACTCTGATGTTGTCGTCGAGTCATAGTAGGGCCATGTACCCCGTAGTATTCTTCAATCACGTCAGGGTGGACCCCTTCGCAGTCATCTCGATACACGCCAAACTGCATTTGACCTAAAAAATGTAAATCCTGGGTCACAATGAGATAATTTGTCAGGGTCACATAAATGTAAAACAACGCATTTACCTTAGGGCTCTTATCATTTATATCAGGACCACATATTGGATGACAGTTCCATTCTGCCCGGAAATCCGAACAATCTTGATTAATTAATTTCATCGAGGAACAGAGTCTGGAGCAACCAGATATGACTAGGGCTGTGAGGGTTGAGCCTGTGATGGTTTTCAAGTCGAGTGAAAAACGCTCTCCATCTCCTAGCAAACTGCGTGCCAACTTCAACCCATAAACACTCAATCCGCGAATTCCGTGTAGACCTTGTTCAGAATTAGTACCTAACATAAAGCTGCAGAACAAACACATTATGACTCACGATCCCCACATGAAGGATGCACAACATGGTCCATTTCACATTATCATATACATTGCAACATCGAGGTTCTCTCCTCCACGATCTCCCCGCACATGAGAAGGTGTTCCGAAGTTTTGCATTGTGTGAATGAACAGTTCCAAAACTGTGCTGGAGCGATTGTTGTTACTTGCTCTCAGTCCCGTTATCTAATAGACATATAATTAGCATCAGTAATCAATGCAAATGCGTTAAAAAAACACATCGCACCGTTCTACCAAACCCGTCAATAAATCCGTGAATCACGATCCCCCATCGAATTAACTTATGGTGGCCATCTACATGCCATAACACATTGGAGCGCTTCACATGGTATTTCCGTTGATGTTTGACCTGTCAATCCCGCAAGACTTGGCCTAAGCCATCAACCCTGCGAAGTGACTGTACTACTTGTCGATGTTGCACCTGGAGACCATGTCTGTGAAGATACCCAACAATGTACTGTATACCAGAATTGGGTCGCTTTTTCTTGAACTCCTTGATGAGGAGATCAAGATCAGTATTGGTAAGATCGGAGTACTTTCTTTCAACTCCATGGTGCTTCATATAGAGTCACAGCGTGTTTCTGTGGACTCCTAGTATTTTGGCAAGTTCTGTAAGTCTAATTTGATGTGAATTCGAGACCACTTTGGAAAGGAACGCAATGTTGATGAATTTTTTCGGACAACCTGGACGACCTGTATGCAGCAATGATACTGGTTCTGGAAACGCAACGTTGGTGTCCATTCTGTGATTCACACATAGTCAACAATCATTCAAAATGAGATAATATGACTTATGAATTTCGAGTATTGTGTCGAAACGACGACAGTTGAACAGAGAGATCTCCTAGCGAGGTTGCTGCACAAGTCAGCCAATCATGCATCTCATGTCCCTGCAGGTCATTTGCAAGGGCTTGAAGCAGGGGTATAGTGTCTCCAGATACAGCCTCTAAGAGAAATGTAAGTTGAAGGGGGTCGGCGTCTTCTTGATGCAGAATATGATAGGCACGTCGGTAGATATCTGACAATGTATCATGAGCAGTAAGAAAATTTGCTGACCATGGAGCTTGAGTTGGCATGCGAGATGGAAATGGCGGAAACGCCTGTGGTGGTATAGGCATCACGATCACTGCGGAAACGAGATTTAGAATGAATCATTCAATAGAATCATAGAGTAGTGTACAATGAATTGAATGACAATGTATCAAACCCATGAGAAACATGGTCAGCAGGTCACAAACATAGGCAGTCAAACTATAGTTTGACTGCCTTCGTCTAATTTCAACTTCCTGCTAATATGTTGACAGAGTTTGTTGTACCAACTCGACACCCAATCTATTACTTTAATGTGTCTGGCCACATCTTCCAGGTGAGTTTCATCTATCAAATTATTGTACTAATTTCGAAACTTTCCATTGACAGGTAGAGAATACACTATACAAACTCTGCAGTTCAATCTTATCCGTGTCTTCCAATGTCTTTCATGATATGTTTTCTACCATGGAGAATTCTAGGCAACCAGAAGTAGATGGGATGTGTGATGATAAACCCATTCACCATAACGGAATATCTCGGGAGACGTTTGAGTTGTTTCTTGAATTCACGTTTGGAAGGTATGTTGATATTTTATGTTTTTAGTCAGTAACTGAACTGTTTGTCATGGTAGAATGTGTACCGGATCACATAGCATTGATGAACTCTCGAAATTTCTACGTTTCTGTGACATGTATCAATGCTCCCATGCACGCGAATTCGTTATTTCCTGCATATCTTCCGCACACTACCATTTCCACCCAGCTAAGTTAATCAACCTCACCATCAAATACCACATCCACTCCATCTTGCCATATGCTTTCTAGCAACTGGCAGAAACCCCAATTACCAAGCTCACTCATGCCCACCGGGAGTTGATGGGCAACAAAGTTTTTTGAATGTAGTTTATGTTCAGGCTGCACTTGATAGTCACCGCCAGATCATAGCTGCGGAGGAACCGAAGATCTTGATGCACTCAAATGAGTGTCAAGACCCAACTGGTTGCAACTGAGGACTGGCACACAATTTGGTGGAATGGTATGGGCTGTTTTCTTCTTGATGGTAGGAATCCACAGCCGTACGATGACACCATCAAACACTTCAAGGAACTGCAGTTTGGACGCGTCAGTGAAGGATGCAAAGACCTCATGTTCAAGATTCTTGATCAGGGAGTGGCATGCAAGCACGCCTGAACAATTTGTTTCTGAGACTTGCAGCTTCCTAGTAGAGAAACTGGTTTTCGAGCCTGAGCCTCCTTCACCATAGTCTTACTAGTAGTCATGTTAGGTTTTACTCATGTTTGTACCAGTACAAATACGATACTGCAGTGGTCCGAGTCTCAAATTGCTTGAAGGAAAGTAGAGATCATAATTATCATGGCGGCAACTTCAAGTTGAGTTTTGAGTCCAATGAAAATGTGCCAGCTCTGGATTGGCGAAAACGCGCAGTGCGGGAATGCGGAACCTCTTGATTAAAATGCGCCCACTCTGGATTGACGAAAACGCGCAGCGCGCAAGCCACGGAACGCGCAAATAATAAATGTGCAGTGAAGTAGGGACGCGCTAAACGCTATAAGACAAGTACACTATGTAGCATTAGCTTTGATATATATAGGTGACGGTTCTAACTCACATCTCAGTCACTTGGAAGGAACTGAGATGCTCGTGCGCTACCACTGGCACTTTTATACTAAGTGAGTCATTTGCTGACATATATAAAAGAGAAACATAAGAAATTGCAGGACTCGAGCTGACGTCACTCCGTCGCTCGTCCTGTCACATTTTGGCGTGCGCTCGTACCTCTCATTCTCCCCCTGCTCCTATCTCGGATCCTTCGGTCTTCTTCGACTCGGATCTCTCGGATTCCAACAATAACGCCATACGGCTCGTGTGGATTACGACTCGTCTTGTACTTATATTTGTGGCACGTTGGGTTGGTCTCGTTGATTTCTACGATATTTGTATCTGTAGCAGTTACAATCGAATCGATGCACGTCATGGCTCGGCAAAAAGCGACCGTAGCGGGCTCTGCCGCGTGCGGCCTTACGCGTTATACCGCTGTGTATGTAGTGAAATTTTTTTGGCCTAGTGTTCTGCAAATGGCTGTAAAAAATATTGTTTTGCAAATTCGACGCAAATGAACAGCAGCATCGCGGCACGACTTTCTTAAATGGTTTTTTGATTCTATCTTATTTTATTCCGCAATATTTCAGCCTGCAGATAGTCACCCAGTACTCCAAAATTTCCAAATCCAGGTGAGCGAAGCGAGGAACTCCGACATACCGTAAGTTGCATGTATCCTCCTGAACAGCGACGTGTCTGCCTCAATTCCTGTTTTACATGTGAGTGTCTCTGCACCATTGTATCATTTGGTTAATGGCTTTTTATCTAACTGTCTGGTGAGTCCGCATAATCATATGATCTCGTCACTGACATCTTTAATTGTTCGCACACCGGGGCATATGATTTTACCGTCAGCAATCGCTGGACTACCTGGCAGTACTTCATCCGGGTGAGTAATAGCTGATCCTCCCTTGTAGCAATGTCCATCCCGGTCATTATGCGACTCGCTGGAGTAATTTCCTGTCTTCGTATGCTTCATCCACTGAAACATCGTGCTGGATTTGTAATTCATTCGTGTGTGTTGTACTCGTTGATCGTCTTGTGTTTCCAACGAGTCATAGTTGGACAAAAACAACGCTCTGACGTATGAACCATCCAAACTGGAATTTCGCTTGCGTGGGTTTCGGTGCGCCTTACCAAACATTCGAGTGAAACAGGTAAATGGGCACTTTGCCACCGACAAGCAATATATTCAATAAGCCGTTCTTAGATACGCGACAGACCTCCACAGTGCCACGCTCACCTCTCCAAATGCATGATCTGGAATATCAACTTGAAGACTATGAAGAAGACGCAATTCTCCTCCCCAGCAAAGACTTCATCTCTGAGCCCCGCAAAGCAGATCCTGCATCCAAATGGTCCACTTGGGCTAAGCTCGGACTCTCTGTCCTAACAGTAGCTTGTGCATGCGCGTTGTACGTCACCTCTGCCAGCATTTCGGACCAGCATAATGCCCATGGTTTGCGGCAGCCAAGCCAGTTTCCAGGTCTGGAATTCTCTGAAGAGCTCGGAAGAAAAGGTACGCATGTTCAGCTATCATGTGCACTTTTTCAGATTGGAAAGCAGGACCTATGATGTACTTTCCACGCAAAATCGTACGGGTAAACAAGGCTTTGCCTGACCAAGTGTATACTTCGGGCTCACACGTCATATTGAGCGACGACGTAAGTGGATCTCCACCTGAAGTCACCCGGTCATTTATGTCGTCTCCAGGATTCAATGTTCTTCCAATGGAACCTAGACAAGTCGAAATTCAAATCTTGCTATATCGACAGTGTTGTTCCCACTCCCGAAGATGGCCTTGCGGCCAACAAGACCTACACCTCATCTGGCTCCCTCACCCAGATTCAAATTTGGAATGTCACCACTCCCACAAAATCCATGAAGAGCCTCAGCTGGAACTCGCGACCCCAACGAATCGCACTAATGGGCACTGTCGCATTTTTATCTGAGAAAGAGAAGGAACAGCTGCTGGACTTCGAAGATGGATGGCAATCACTGATGCCAACACGGTTCTCCTGTGGTGAGAAAATGACTGTTACCATCGAGGTGGCCTGCGAAGGTTGTAGACTTGAATTTGAGCAAGTGTTCTCAAGTCCTGCGTTGGGTGAGTGCAAGCAGTTGTGTCACAGATTTGACGTGTTAAATTGATGCAATATGCAGCTTTCGACTTGCTAGAAATAGGGTAGTGTATCAGTGCTTGATAAAAAGTAGGCTTTAACTCATAGCGCTGTTACCTGCGCTTGCTTTGCAGATCAATGTATGTACCCTTAGCACAGTGTTTTGTGGCCTAGAAACGGCGAGTCGCAAGATCCCGCGGAACCTTGAATAAGAAATCGTAGCGGCGCGGGGAAGCACCGATCCCCGATTGGCAGCAAATTGTGTATCGCTATAGATCAAAATGATTCACCTATGGGACCTGATCAGAGTCGTTCAACCCATTGTATATTCGTTCTAAGTGGATCTTGGGCTGATTTGTATGGAAGCAAGGACCAGCCGTGCTCGTTAGTCAGCATCACAGCCTCATCCATGGTAGGCAGTGGGACTTCGTTGCACTTGCACCCGGGGTGAAAATTTAAATCGACGTGGCACTATCACAAATTCTGGGGTACTACTACAGATCATCGATCATGTTCAAACACCATCTTATGTCGCTCGAAGTGAATTCCAAACACTTGAATCCTCGTTAGTGATCACACTCATGAATGTCCATCTGCGTACAGGCCCTGGAGTACTTGTTGTATTCGCTTCTAATCATATTTACAGTGCATGTCCTCGTTCGTGCTATTCGGTAATGTAGTGTGCATCTTGTGTTTGTCTTGTATTGCCTCTAATCATTAATTTAATGTCAGTTTTTAGACGCTGTGTGAAGTATTGTCTCAAGTCTCGACCTCACCTTGTCAAGTCCGATGCAGTTTCTGTACTCAAGTCAAGCCCCAGTCTTGTCATGTCAGGCCTCAGTCAGACTTGGTTAAACACCACTCATACGATGACAAGCTCTCCTCAACATCTCCTCAACATCTGTACTAATGTCATCCTCCACACTTTCCTATGCCGGCCGTCAAACCCCACCTCGGTGCGCGTCAGCACTTTAACTGTCAGTGTAACTTAGGTATATTGTCAACCTGTCATAATAATTTATTTCTAAACAGTGTCTCCTTTCGTTCCCCTGCTATGATCGCTCAGGTGCGCCGTTCAACTGATGCTCTTTGCGAACTCAAATTTGACAAGTAGAATAGGTAATACAATAGCTTATCTTCCAGCTTCTGTGCAGATCACTTGGACGTCACATGCTTGGATGACGTTGCCACTCAGAGTCAGACTAGTCAAGCCCCGCCTTCGCCTCGACCCTGGTGCATTGCCACTGTCATCGAGCTTCGTGCAGGCCACGGGGCTCGACAGTCGTCTTCATTCACACTGTCACGTATCCAGCTTCCGGTGAGTGTCACAAGTCCAGTCGTGTGAACCAGGGGATCGGTCATTGACTGGTACGCACAGCTCATTATTTCTAAATATGCAACTATATAGCCCCTCTATTAAAACGGTCAAGCAGGTCGGGCTTGGTGGAATGGTCTCTTGTCCAGTCTTCGGAGATCATGACAAGGTCGAAGGCAAAGTTATTCTTAACTGCTTACAAAACGGTCGGCTGAACATATCTGTAAGTCTAATTCGATGGGGTCATACACGTGAACTCAATAACTGTTGCTATTGTAGATCGAAGGTGTTACGTCTCTATAGAGGAGGATCTAGACGACGAATCTGCTCAGGGATCTAAAACTTCGAAATACAAGCATATATTCTTATCGTTCTCTGCCGTTATTCTTATCTTACCTCTCCTTGACCCACTTTCTGTTTTTGCGACATGTTTAGGGTACCACAACTTCCCAGTGACTCGAGTTTGAATGGCTCTGCGCCTAGATCATGCGAATTCAGTTTCGAAATTACTCACGGTAGTCGACCAGGTGACGAGATACCTCCCCTCTTCTGTTTTATGCCTTGCGATAGCAGGCGAGGAGGCCTGTCTGTTGTGGAGAAGGCTGAAATGTCTTATCGTGTTACTACGGTGTGGGAGCCCTCAGATATGTCGGAGACCAGCGGGATGTGCGTTATCGAATGCCAGGCACCACTAGCCTTCAGATACTTACTACTCAGGTTACAGGCTGGAAGTTCCCATTCTTTTTCGTCCGGACACAGACTTTCAGTCTATGGACGGTTCCAATTTCGCGCCAGAATTATGGCTCGAAATGCCTCTTACACCAGAACGATGTGGTCCGTTCCATTGCATTGTGGCTCGAAAACGTGGCACGCATGTATATTGTCTCACGAATAGAATCTGTAGGTCACTCTATCGCGCCTGCAAACGTTTTCTCAACATACCTCTGTCCTATATCTTGTTAAGTTCACAATAAAACCTCGATGTGCTGTACTTGCCCGAGAAATCGCCGCCAATGCCAACATTGCTGTTTCCCTAGTCTGCAAAGTTACCATCAAGCCCCAGCTACCCCCTACTTCCGAGTCCCCTGACACAATGCAATTGTCATTGACATATCTGTTTGTCATGGAATATCCAGTTACTTATTCGGGTGTCGGACGAACTAGGGTGGTACCGTGTGTACGGTGTATGCAGATGACGGTCCGGCTCCGATCTGGGCAAGCACATCTCTCCCTTGATCTGATCGATGTATGGTCAAATTTCAAAACGCACACAATAAAGCAAAGCAAGGTGCCACTTAGTTTGATGCACTCGTCAGCTATATCTCCCTCGAGATTATTCGTTCTTGTCAGTAAACAAGTGACCAAAACTTCTTCTCAGGTCGCAGGTCGCATCCAGCAATGCTTAACAGCTTCACACGTCGAACCTCAGAAATTCTGCGGATATTTTGGCCTAGTGCTTTGATCATCAGCATTTTATTGAACATTCTTACTATGTTGCGCTTGCAACCTGCGTCGCTTGATGATAGGCAGTACTGTATGTCGTCATTTTCACTGGCACTGGCGGCCATAGTAGTTCAATTTCACCCATATTCAACGCAGCTTATATTGGCGAGGATTATCCAACAGAATTACCCCTCCGCCTGGACACTGTTGCATTGAAATTCAACGATTCGGACCATTTGGACCATTATGGTATAGTAGGCGAGAGGGCCTGGTCGGAATGGAAATCGCTTGATCATTTTCCACACGGTCACGGATTTGTACGTCTGGGACCAGATGGTATTATAATCATCACTATATCGTGTGTCAGGCATTCACCATTCACAAATTGTGCCAGGGCGGCTATTTGGGATATCCATGTTTCACCAAATTCACTGCCTGCAAATGGTCCGGCTAGCCCTCATTTTTGGGCCTAACGGGCACAGTGGTCATTGCATGAATATATTGCGGCAAGGCATTCTTTGCTATGCTGATATTACTCTCGATCCACTTGTCATGACAGGCACAGAGGACGTGACACATGTTTGTCGGGACTGGTCGCAGGTTTATGACTATATCATAGAAAATCAGAATGGTCCCTTGTGGTGGGAAGAGCAACAAGAGCAACAGATAGCATTGCAGACAGGGACCTAGGTGTAGGAGTGGAGTACTAGCTACACAACACCATAGGTTAGTCAAGGTCTTTCGGGCTTTGTCGTATATACGTAGTGCTCTTCACCACTTCTTGCCTTGCTCGTGGCACGCAAGTACAGTCACGGATACACCGCTCGAACATGATCATGGCACAAGCAAGTATTGTATATAGCACATTAAAATCCAGCAAGATATTTCGAAGGATAACGTATACCATGATACCGTGAAAATCTGTCGTGTATCCAAGAACCGCTTACTGAATACATTGCTTGTAGGTTGCAAAACGCCCATTTACCTGTTTCACTCGAATGTTTTGGCAGGGCGCACCGAAGCCTACGCAAGCGAAATCCCAGTTTGGATGATATTCAAATTTCATACTCAGAACCAACCACTACACACACGACAGACTCCTACCCAGCCACCCGTGGGGAGAAGTCCTCTCATCCTAGAGCCACAATACAAATAAAACCATACATTAGTCATCATACTATAGCCAAAATTTTGGAGGACCACTCCCCACTAGTGCTGCCGTGGTCCGGTTCGGTCCGGTTCAGAGGGCCCTGGACGAGAACCGATAAACCGAACCGTGGTCCGGTTCTGCAAAATCGTCGAACCTTGAACCGGACCATCAAGAACCATTCTCAACGGTCTGGTTCGGTTTTTTTGTGGTCCAAATGTGAACTGAACCGAAAATTTTTCAAGCGCAACAAAAAATGACATAGTAGATCTACGTGACATTGAGTAACTAGTCCAACATCAGATATACATGACGAGTGCGGCCCATCCAGCACATGCTGCAACCATCACCCAAAGAGAAATCACAACTTTCTGGATGCTAGGGTGAGCATGCCACGCAGAGGGCTGTTTCTCTGAAGGCTTCGCTGGACCTCCATACGTGTCTAGGTCAGACACACAATGCATGCACTGCAAAGTAGCAGGGGGTCAATTGCGTGTCTCGCTGTTCCGAATTATGACCATAGGAAATGGTTCCGGGAACATGTCCATGTACCTTTCAAGGTGTTCATGAAGCTGTTTCAAGAGCTCAATAGGTCCAGGTCATCAGGAAAGCATGGATGTCGAGGGACTTTAAGTAGTAACTGTGTGTGATAGCGTCCTTGTGCTGGCAGAAGTTGCTGATGAATTGAGCGTACAGTCGAGTATCAGGCATGTTAAAGAAAGGCGGCGGATACATTGGCATGCCATGAATATCGACAAGCTTTTGGTGGATCGTGTTCGGTATGATACTTTCCGCCTCGACACATTCTCTCGATTTGTAGAAGGTAAATGGCGCAGGGAGAGTGGCTCGCAGGCCTGTCTCCTTCAAAGCTAGGGTATAAACGGAAATCGGTCGGACTTGCCAAGGGATCCGAGTGGCACAGTCATGGTGTCCAAGTATGCTATTGAAGTTAGTGGGCATGGGCCGTGGTGCGTATAGCAGATCGTGAGGCACATAGTGCATGTTGCCATTAATGTCGTTGGTGTCGTCTTCCAAATCATATTGTGCGGTGTGACAATCATATTGGCGCTAGGCATGTATACCTGCATAAGCCTTCAATAGGTGGACCAAAGTTATCCCTCATATCATTCACTACTCCCCTATCAGCAGTCTTCACTTATCTCAGCCATAACCCTTGTCCAACGCTATTCCGCACTTTCCCGCACTATGCGCGCACATTCCCGCAGCGCTATTCATGCTCCCACGACTTATCCAATGGTATTCCCGCGCTTATAGCGCTATCAGAACTACCAGCAATGTGTCTATAGGAGCATTAGTGCATGTCCGCTCTACCTAGCGCTTGTCCGCTCTATCTAGCGCTTGTTCCCGTGCCTAGCGCTAGTCCAGCGCGCTGTTCTCGCGCTCTAGGAATCACCCAAAATGTCGGAATCCACCCATGGTCCATCCTACCTCATTGGTATGTAATTTGCCTTGCCTCGAGTTTGTAAAAAGTGCTACAGTCTTATTACATGTATATCCTATCCCTTCCGAGTCCGAGATGGTATAGTTTACTAGTATAAGAAGCCTATGGTGACTACTTCGACATTACTTCCCTTCGACTGTATTTCCTTTCCCTTAGGTTTTACTTAGAAGAAGTCACCCTTTAGTTGCGCTCTATGGCCCCTATTTGACTTTCCTTACCCTTGCAATCAATACCTTTGATCACACTCGCTATCCATTACCCTCCTTTGACTCAGTGTCCGCTTTCTTGACTTCTGCTCTTTCCTGCGGATTAGCGCTCTATCTTGCGACGCGCTATTCCCGCACTTTAGCGCTCTTTCAGGTCTTTCGATCTTGAGTTGTCCTTAGTAGCTTTTCCCTCGGGTCGAACATTCTTGCTTTATTGTTTGCAGGTATAGCAGCATAGGCAGAGCTTAGACATATACTGGCTTAGTACCTTGACAAGTGCCTAGTCAGGTTGTGCATTTCACAGCAGGGCCAGGGTCAGTGAAGTGGAAGCCAGGGACCTGCAGTGCCTGTGTGTTCGGCTTGCATGGCAGGTAGAAATAACAATTCTCGTACCTGTTTGTGAAAATCAAAAGTGTCGGGGATGCTGGTGTACAGTTCACCAGTACTTGGTAAGCCGGGTAAATAATAAGCAATGCTCTGAGAGGGCGCAATTGTGGTGGACTGAATGTCACATAGGACGGGATGCGCGAACTCCTTCAAGGGAGAGTTTTTAGTCTGAGTTGACTGCATGATGCGATAATGAGCAAGATGTGATGAGGACACAGAGAAAATGCCCTACTGTTTATATACCCAATGCCTGCAACGATGCATGAGCAGCTGAAGATAATTGAGCATGCCACTCCGACAAGGGCATATCTGTGACTTGTCAGACTGCAGTCGTAGAAATCAGTTCTAGTATCAGCAGTGAACTTCGCATCAGATATCATCCAGTCCAAGTCCTGGTGATTTGGGAGTGTGTGATATGGATGCGAACTTTCATCTGTTGGTTTGGAAGAAGTTGCCATGGGAGGCAGAAACAGGAAGGCTCAAATGAAGAGAGGCTCTGACTAGAAGTGAAAGGATAACTCAGTCATTGGATTGAGAGACTGAAGTACTTGTGATGATACCATCTGACCGTGAGTGATTATAATAATAAGGAGTAGGTGCATGCTCGACTTGGCCATGGTTCGTTTGCAGGACAAGGATTGGAAGGTTCCAGTGACTAGCAGTAAGTGTAATTGATGCGCACTCACTATTTGGGAGCAGCACAGCAGTGGTTGTGGCAGTTGCCGCAGCAGTCACAGCAGTGGCAGCACATACCATCGGTTTGGGGTTCGGAACGGTTCGGGACCTGTCCAAACCGAAGTCGAACCGTTGTCTTAATAACCGAGGGTCTTATATGAAAACGTGTAAGAATGTAATGACACCACAATTACACTGGATAAGACTTCTTGCCAGTCCTCGATTAACACGGTCTACGACTTTTCTTCTTTCGTGGTAGATAACGTGTGAGTTCTTGGGAGGCTCGCTAAACCAATCAGTCAGATTAACTTAGCCGGAGCTTTATTATCTCTGATTGAAACTATGGGATTGTCTAGGATATACCGTCTAGACACTTGAACTGGTTTCCTGAATATACGGTTAACTGTTGAGAAGCTGGTCTCAAATGTGACTACGTGGACCAAAGCTTGTGTTGGTCAATATACAAATACCTGGTGAGAACGCTGGTCTCACAAATAACAACAATGACAAATAAAAAAAAACAATGACAAATACAACAATGACCAAAGCTCGTGTTGGTCAGTATACAAATACCTGGTGAGAACGCTGGTCTCACAAATAACAACGGTGACCAAAGCTCATGTTGGTCAGTAAACACTACGTGGTGAGAACACTGGTCTCACAAAACTGGGTTTCTATCGCGAGAAACTTACGTAATCTCAAGGGAAACACTTTCCCTGCACTTGCCTGGACAGTTCTTACAAAGGAAATGGGCTTTGTAAGCAGCAATTTGTTCAGACTGAAGCTTCTTAGGTGAGAGTTCAA